AACAAACATTGATAGCTACAGTTTTCTGAAACCATCGGGGAGAAACTGTTACAGAACATTCTTGTCTTTACGCAGATGATTCTAACTTGACTTCACTTGACTTAACCAAAGAGATATTTACAACTTGATAATAACTCCTGTAATCCAAAAGAGAACCGCGTTACCACGGCTATTTTACAAAGCTATAAAACGATTTTCTCCTTGACATATATCTCTATCGAGTGCCTTCATGACACAAATTTGTTTTCACAGTTATCTGTTGAGGGATTCCATTTAACGGCCCCGTTTTGTAACTGCTTGGAGCGAAACCAAATATCTCTGATATACGACAGAGGATTAAAATCTAGTCATGCGAAAATCCATTGAGTTGTAACCAGTCCATTGCAGCTCTATTGTCAGCTAAGCTTTTGATTCTTGCAAAGAACCAAAGGGAAACAGTAATCGACGTTGTCTCTAAAGCTAACGATGACCCACTACGTAAAGTATAGAGGCGCGAAAAATTTGACCATTAGATGCCAAATAGCTGAAAATTTAACAAAAAGCTATCGTTGTGCTAAAGAAACACTTGTGCCGTGCTAGATATCTATGGACGTGATATCTTTATTTTTAACGCAGCTTTACATACAATTTACCTCAAGTATCACATTTATACGGATCATGTTGCTAACACAACTTAGGTTTCATCAGTGTTGTTCTGATGAAGAAGATGAGAGAAAATCAGCTGGATTAAGCTGGATTAAAGTAAGAGTTTCAGCAACATGTAGAAAGGCATATTTGAATAAATTTTGGGGTTATGAAATTTAAAAGTGGCTTTGAAAAAAGCTGCTGTAAAATGCTGCTTTCTTCAAAGCCATTTTCAAAGGTACATTTGGCAGCCCTTGAGCCTGCCGGGTTCTATAGTGCAGTGTAGATTTACACTTGAAAAATAAAAAAAGAATTACAAAGTCTGTTTCACTGTTCTTTGTCGTCTCACAATCACAACCGTATGGTTATTGGGATTTTCAGACCATGGTTTGGAATGTTGAGATAATGAAATGGATGAATTTTTCTTTTATCGTTAGATTCACTCTTACTCTACCTCCGTTCCTCTGTCACAAAAGGCGCCGGGCCCCAAAGTTACCGGGACGTCCAACAACGACTTCAAAGCCACACAAATCGCACTGAATACCCGTGCAACAAATTGGTGACCAGTGTGGGTTGTACGAAAGTTTGCTTTTCGATTTATGCTTTTTAAGATATTTTACCAGGGAATTTCCAAGTGTTGATGATTATGATTTGACATTCCAGTACGTGACAACAGTGATATGGCGTCTATCTTTTTTGATGATTGGGACTTGATTGATATCGAACACCCTGATAACAAAGAAAGTTGCCACATAACATCCATATTTATGTGCAATTATTGAAATGACATACAAGATAGTTTACAATCTCTGTCTCTTATACATCTCGATGGTCTTAAAAGAGAATTAAACTGCTTGGGTGCTTTTTCAAATCAAATCGACAGCATCAAAACTGAAATTCGAATCAAGACAAACCCAAACCAAGTCACATTTAATTTGTTTTTATTTGATTGGTTTGGTCTATGCGTTTTTCTTTATTACCAAATGTGATAGCTCTAAACTTAGATGAATCTGCAATCATTTCATCTTAATCTAAGCAACCAAGGAACTTTTCTATTGTTGGAAGTTATAAATTGCAATACGGTTGGTTGCCAGTGTTTGTGATGTCACCATCAAAATTACACAAAGACCAAGGATTTTAACAATACAGCTTCGAAAAACATTCAAACAATAGTATTCGATTACCAGCGACAGTGGCGGAAATTATGGGGGTTTGGGGGGGCTCGTCGAAAAATTCGGGCTTTTGTTGGATAATTGACAACCTTTGAAGTGTCGAAATTACTCCAAGAAATCGTTCTGAAAAGGAATTTTAAGCTAATCTAAGGAGCGTAATTGCCAAATTTTACCCCAGGGGCCTCTTTAACCTCTCTGTGCCCTTTTTGCAAAATTTGAACAAAGCATAGCTGATAAAGCATTAGCCAGTATTAAATAATCCAAAAAATATATGACCAAAATCAAACCTGCTTGTGAATTGAATTTAATTTCAATTCCGAAAAGATTAGCCAAAATTTCCATCGGATTAGTTATTTTTAAACGCATTTCTCAGTGACAAAAACAAGATAAAATGCATAAAATGAACGCAAGACTTGTCAAAAGTGTAATCGGTCGACCTCTTGTATCATCAATTGTCTTAGATGAGATATCGATCTTGATATAAAAAATCATTAACGGATTGTTCTTTTTGCTACTTAAATATGGTGTGGTCAGGAAAAATTTCTAAAGGGTCCCGTCAAAAATCACCTATTTTTATCAAATGTGCAATTTCTTCAAAATGAGACATGATCAAAGATGTTAGCTTGGCGGAAAATTTTAGGCCTGCCCCCCCCCCCAAATGAAAGCCTGAATTTCCGCCACTGACCAGCGACCACCGCTTCCCCTTTTCTAGAAATATAAATACTTGCGTAGGATGTCATAGTTATAAAATAGAAAAATAACAGTACAACTGTTTTAATTTCTTTAAAGGATTGAAGTGCTCGAGGACATATGATTGGAGAAAACGGTATTTCCGTGTGGAGAGCTGAAAAGAAGAGGCAAGTTCGAAAAGTTAGAATGATTTAAGATTAAGATTTTGGACAAAAAGAAAGGCTCATCTAGATGATGAGATATTTAGCATTTTGCCAAACCCTGATTAGACTTCGTAATGTGTTTTTTATTTCATCTTGCAAACGTCATTGCATTCATATCGTGAAAGTGGGATGCCAGATTTAGAATGTGGAGCAGATTTCTAATAATGGTTCAAAGCAGGGCGACAACCTCAAAGATTCTAATCGTATAAACCAGGCCATCAAAAAATTCCGTAGCTTTAAGCAGTCGATGACAGAAGAAATGGCAAAGGAAGGAAAGAATGTCTTGAATGGAAAAGAAAGTATTTAAAGTAATCGAGAAATCGTCGGATATCGTTGGAAAAATTTCTCCTTTATGCAAGTGAAACTGTAAAATATAAACAGCCTTATTCCTTTTGTAGTGATTTCTAGAGAACATAAATTGGAAATTGAAAGAGGTGTACATTCAAAAATATTATAAATAGAATGTATTATACTGAAAAATCTGGGGAAGGTCATTTTTTATCTGTGTTGGTGTCCAAGGAATTTTAAGAAGATTTTCATCACAGCGACAGATAGACAACTTATTTACATTAACAATAAGATTATCGACAGTGGCCCGCGTAATTATTGCATTCGGACTAATAAATTCTGGAAAGCGTAATAATATTTTTAATAACCGTGAAAATTTTCAATAACCGGAGCAAGAATGATAAGATTGCATATCTTTATGAAAACAGTTAAACAATCAGTTATCTTTTAGTCAACTTGGCCCATTAAAATACATTTCACTGGGAAACCCTTCCAACATCCTCTTCCTCGGTGAGATGAAGTACTTTACAAATATTCAAGAAAAAAATCTCAGAATTTACATCGTTTAATTGTGCTTGTAATCATTGCAAGGAATACGTATGCAACATCGGTTATATTTCATTTACATTATATTTAGCGTTGGTAATTTGAATTAGTTGGTTTTAATTAGCTTTGAGTATGCATAGATAGAAATTGTACCAACATTAAATAAAGAAAGAAAACACTGTTCAGAATGTAAAGAACAATTGAACTATTTTTTTAAAAGGGATGCAAGTAAGAAGCTGTGCTGTGATTTCCATTGTTAAGTTTATGCAAAAAAGTACAACATTAATGGTGACTCCAAACTTTGCGCGGTTGACAAATGTGAAATTTAACCTCTAAAAAACGAGTTAACTTTTTAAATGAGTTAACTTTTTAAATATACTAACTAGTAGAAAAAACAACTGCTAGATGCAGCAAAGCACAAACCCTGACTTATACTGAAACCAATTATAACATTATTCAAAAGCAGTCAGGATAGAAAGAGACAAGGTTGCGAAATTGCTTTGGAATACCGTATTGCTGAAGTTCTACGGGTTTTGCACAAGAATAGCAATTTGAAAGCACAAAGACAGGAATCGGATGAGAAAGGAAGAATGCATTGTTGCTTTATTTGAGCTCTGAAGAAGAACTCTCATTGACAAATTGCAGAAGTTTTGACATAGTGTGAAATTTTCAATTGTTTACAAAAAACTTAATATCCCAGTTGCAGAGGGACGGAAAAATGCCAAAACCTACAAGAATTCACTTAGAGGATTATTCGAAAAAGGATTCACAGATAAGAGTTTTGACAGGTTGACAGGCAAAAGTATTTAGCAATGAGATAAAGAGTACTGACCTAAACTTAAAATGATCTAAAGGGACCATAAGAGTCTGTTGCAAAATGAAGAGTAAAAATTGGAACAAAATCATTTCGAAAAGTCATATTAAACTTGCCAATGCCTTTTAACTGTTTGTAACAGAATGCCTCCCCCAGAGTATCAGACAAACATTAATCAGGCCACAAAAAATACTATTAAATGCTTTATTTTGTATTTTATAATTTTGATATAAAACAACAAATTTCCCATTTTTGTTATCGTATTTCCCATAGAATGTAAACAGTGCAAAGAAGCCATAAAAAGGCCGCAAAGCGAATTAGATAATCAACTATGAAATGCAATATGCAAGAGATGAAAAGGCCACGGAAACAAACAAGATTCTAAACGCAGCGAAACAGGCCCGAAAATTTAAACAAAGAACACTTCAAATACCGAAAAAGTAACGAGCAACGACAAAAGCAACTATTCCTTGATGATATTTCGCTCTGGCATACAGGGCTTCCTCGGGGCTCCTTGATTCCATGTTTTCATAACTGGCAATAGCAAAGACTAAGGATCTTAACAACTAGCTGCAAAGCACATTGCACCTTCTATTCTGTTAGTCCTGCCGCACTTGGCTCGTGATCGTTAAAAGAATAAAACGTGATAAAAAACAAACTCACATCCCATTGCTTCTGCCATTCCTTTTTGGCTTTCACTTCCTCTTCCTCGGCGATTTCTGCTTCTCTTTCCCTTTTCCTAATCAACAAAAAAAATTATCATTGAAAATAAACTCAATAGAAACGATATATACTAAATAGATAGGGTAATGTTTTTCAGCTCCTAAACTTTTTATCGGGTTTGGACAGGTCTGAACAGCAGGAAAAGGGGTGTTTTATACACGAAAGAGGGTCGAGAAATGGGGGTGCAATTTGTGATGATACAGTTTCGACGAAAGGTCTAGATGCTTTTCACAGACAGCAACTGAGACAGCTAATAGGAAAAAAGTATCCTAACAAAATCTCCAATCAATACTTGTACAAAAGATGCGAAGAAGGACCAATTTCAATTGACATCCTCAAGGGTAGATGGCGGCTGTTTGGTCACATATTACGTTTGTCCGACGATACACCGGCTGTGAAGGCAATGAGATTTTACTTTGAGGGATCGGAGAGGGGATTCAGAGGCAGACCTAGAGAAACTCTCGTGACAACCTTAAATAAAGATATCACCAGAGCAAGAGCAATGGAAAGGTCTTTTCCACTACCGAACATAAAGAACAATGGAGATTTTGAAAAGATACGATCCACAGCAAAGGACCGCAAAGAATGCAGAAGATTATCAGAAGTAGTGTGCAGAGCTGCAGAAGCAGAAACAACATGAAGCCTTCATGTCAGGACTGCGCAACTGCAATTATATTATATATATACAGTTCCTTTTTCTCTTCAAATCTATAGATCTAGATTATTGTGAAAATCTTCTTCTCTTAACGATACAAAATTTTTCAATAATTATCAGTAAAGATTATCATTCTAAAGTTTTAACTGATTAACTGAAAAGCAGAATAACTGAGATGCTATGCGATAAAAGCAAAATAAAAGAAGATATCACCTTTCACTCTGTGTCCTCTCTTCGAGTTGCAACCTCCTAATTTCGTAATCAGCGAATAATTTTGCAGTTATTGCCCTCTTGAATTTGTAGTACTAAAAAACATAAACGAAAATCGACAGCGTTACAGAAAGTGAGGATCAAAAAATATTTTGATAAAAAAACTGATACCAGGATACTGTAGAAAAGAGGAGACGCGTCGAATTTTCCTGAGCTATTCATTCATATTCCCAAGAATAAAAAACTGACTTGGCGCGAGCTTGAAAAATAAGACGGTTTAAAAGACAATACGATATTGTATTATCGATGTGCTCCGGATATATCAAACCACATTACAAAAGAAAACAGATAAACTGGAGAGAGAAAATTATCAAAAAAAGTTCAAACATTTACGGGAAATATCAAATATAATTGTTATTTGTTTTCAAGAAAAGAATGCAGTAAAAACATTTGCATGGCTCGAAAATTACAAAAGCAATAATTTGATTTCAATTTTTCTAATTTTTTCCAATTTCAATTACATGAAGGCTGTTTTATATCTCTCAAGCTTCATAGGTAGCCAATTTAAGAAGCTGACAAAGCAAAGCTGTGCAAATATTGATCTATAAACAACAAACAGAAGAAAAAACCAGCAAATTTCTTAGAATAAAGATCGCTAAGTATTTCTCGTTAATCTCAAATGGTAAATACGGGAAGTGTAGTGTAATCAGAAATTTGACAACGTATAGCTTGATACGTTTGACAATCGTATCGAGATGTTATTCTGAAAATAAATCTTGCATAATATTCTGATTTTATGTGTTATTTTAAAATATACGTTGGTATTGCTGTTGGAAAAGGGTAAATTGTAAAATTGCTATGTAAAATTGTATTTAAAAGGGTTATTTTCCCACGATCGAAAATGAGCAAGTTGACTTATGTTTTGTCACGATTTCACCATAAAATGACTTATGGGTAAGGTCAATATTGCAATCAAAATGGCACAATTTTGTAAAGAAAATGTACAACTCTGAAAGGGAAGAACAGTGGACTGGGGCAGGGATAATGCGAAAAAAGGTTCCTAGACCAACAAAATAATCAAAAAGTTTCTCAAAAAATTTCAAAAAGAAAGTAGAAATCTGATGCAAAGAGCTCAAAGACCGTTTGCTGAATTTCAAAAACTTACAGAAGAATTGGTAAAAGAAATCATACAAAGGGCAGATATCCCACGACAAAGAGGTCAACGAAAGGACGTTAAATGTCATGAAAAGATCGGATTATATGATATCTAAAAGAAAGAAAAATAGGGGAAGTTTTAAAGAAAAGGGGCCCTAACAAGAGAGGTAAATTCACAGAAAATACCGAAAAGTAAAAAAGACAGCAAATCTCAAACTAAGAGAAATTGTTCTAAGAAAACCAAAGATTATAGTCTTTGATACATGAATGTGCAAAGGAGTGTACATTACTTTTTCTGGGTCTGTGTCTTCTTCGATGCTATCAATATTAAGCTTTTTAGCCTCCTTGCGTTTTTCTCTTAGCTAAAAGAAAGGTTTATTTAAAGATACAAACGCTGAAAAAGATACAAATGCTGTCATGAATAAGTTAAAGTAACTTGAGATCGTACAGTATACAGGTTAATCATGGGCGAAAAATACTTCTTCCAAGGATCAGATTTAAACTGCTAAAAAGTTTCTTTGGCATCAATCTACACATGGCGTAAACAAAGAAGTTTTGTAAATAAAGGCAATGTCAACAAGGTCAGCAGTTATCCAACAATAAATATACAACAGTAAAACTTCTCTTCGCCGCATCTTTTTCAAAGAATAAAAAAAATCTATAATACATAGCATTGAATTGAGCCAATAAGAATACTGTGATAGCTATCAAAATAAAAATTCAAATATCCATTATATTTTGTTGCTTGCGCTTATTTCTTAATGATCTGAATCGAGTTGAAATGATATTTCATTCCTTTCATTAACAAAATATTTCCCTCTATCTAGCAAGAATCTCGTCAGGCTGCCATGGGGAGGTTATATTAAACTCCAGTAAATATTGGAAATCAAATAATATGGAATGTTATGAGAAAATTACAGCTTTGAAGCAATTCTGTTTTTTTAAGAAAAGTTGTCAAAATTATTAAATTAACAGTTGGTTGGCGGGCAGTATCCAAGAACAAACACGATATCCAAAATTTCTAAAAATCAAATGTTCCAAACATTTCATTCATGACGCCCCCCCCTACCCTCCTCTAAACCAGTACATAAATTCCAGTTCTTAAAACGACTGCAAGATAAGTTATTGAAACACCTCTATTTTGGCTCATTCTGGCTTTAAAGAAGGAAAAATGATCAATTGACTCGCTTCGTTTGATCAGAACAGCAATGTAGGTTTATACCTGTTTTTCAACTGTGGCCTCAGCCTCTTCTATAACATGCTTAATTTTTTTAACTTGATCTCCGTCTTTGAGAGTTTTGTTGGCCTTGCTTAGAGCTAAAAAGATGAAAATATTTCAATGACATTATTAACTGCAGATCATTTAATAAACTCCCCGTAATATATAATCAATTTAGCAATTACTTTATGAAATTTTTTTCAAATTCATTCTAATTGAAGTAACTAAAAGCTTGAAACTTGCACTATGATAAATACAGAAAATTTCGTGGCCTTTTGCCCCTAAAAGCTATGATAGTGAACCCCAGGATCATCCATAGCCATGTTCAACCAAGATATCTACATCCCAAGAACGCGTAGAACATTTTTTCAAATCCTTAACGTTCATATATAAAATCATTAACATAAGTAAATGACCTGGAAAAGGTTTCTTTTGACTCACCTTCGAATGCCTTCTGTGCTCTTTCGCGATCTTCCAAATTCTTATCAGGATGAACCAATATTGACAACTAGAAACAGAAGATAAAATATATACATATATCTTTTCATAAAATATGGTACAGAATGATTTTTAATCATTAAGGCAAGTAAACCTTCTTTTAACTAAGATGGTTTGGAATATATACAAAAAAAGTGGACTAAAATTTTTATAGATAGCAAGAGTTTTCACTTGTGGTCTTCTAGAATGAGGTTATCGATTGGTTGAAACAAGAAGCCAATCAAACGCGCCTTTTTCTATCACGTTACTTCCGATCCACTCCTAAATAAATATTTATATTTAGCTTGCGTACATTGTCTGATCAGATTTGATAAAATAAAAGCAGTGAACATCTTACCCTTTTGTAGGCTATTTTGATAACTTCTTCATTGGCATCAGTAGGGACCTGTAAAACCTGTTTGAAAAAAGAAGCATTGTCAAAAAAGAAAATACAATGCAAGCTAAACTGCAAAAAGTTGCTTCAATGGATAATCTTTAAAAATATATTAAGGATATGTTTCAATGCTAAATGAAGCTTAAAAGTACAAATATTATTCGCCTCAAGAGAAGATTCAATATTACCAAAACAGTGAGACTAATAGAACGTAGTCTTATTATCGAAACTGCATATTTCTAATAATGTTCCACGCCTAAAAGGAATAGCTGTAACTTGCAAGTGTTGAAACTGTGATAGTTTCTAACAAGATCATGTATCCGTGATAATATTTACAGGCTCGTGGCAACAGGTGTATGACATGTGTGGGGTATGACATGTGTAGGGTATGACAACCCCCTTGAAAATAAATCCATTGCGAAAAAGAGGAGTTTTTGCCATCTAGGGGTGCTTAGTCGGCAAATTTTAAAAGTTGTCGAGAAACAAAGGAAGGCCCACCCACTTTGTCAGCAAATGAGACCTGAAAGCAACCCTCTCCCTCCCCCACCTTTTGAGCACAAAAGCAAGCGACGGGCCTGAATATTTTAGTGTGTTTTTTGGAATCTATCACAAATAGCTGGTGATGGGCTGAATAAGAGAGTTTTTAGAGTCTGAATGACATTTTCTGGCAGAGATATCTAACATTCAGTGCTGTGTTTTCTCACCGTTGTGTATCTTGAGTCGAAGAGTCTCCGCTACTAGTCTTTTCTATCAAAATTCTTTGCATAAATAACATATGAAAATACAAAATATTGAAAACGAAACGAACCTTAGGCATCACAAAATTTGAAGATGGCACGGAGAGGCGGACACATGGTGAGACTTTAAAGGACGACGATTGGTCAAAAACAAGGAGCCAATCAAACGTTATTCTTACCTTTAATTATAACATGTCTTTTATGCTCCGAGGAATGTCGGAAGATATGTACTTAAGTATCCGCTCTATTTTCAAATATCAAAATACAGCTAGAACTACCATTTTTATTTCAAGTTGAACAACTGTTAAATATAGGTGAAATCTTTCAAATGTTTACTCTACCTCGTACGGATTCAGGTTTAGATATTTTGATCCAGATTTTGTAAGTCTTTCGATTTGCTTATCACTAGTCAGTTCTGAATCCCTTTTTTCTATCGCTTTAACCTACAAAAACAAAGAAGGTATATACATAGAGTTTTATGAAAGAAAAATGCATCAGATTTAAACACTGGAGCTGAAAATGTAGATGCAAAGCGAAAACAAACAATGCCCTCACCCAAACCCAACCTTTTTTCTATTCTTTGAGTAATGATTTTTATAGATTGAAAAAATGTTCAAAGGAAGAATGAACGGCTCTGACAAATTATTTTTAAAATTTTTCTTGAATTTTTTACAAGAAGCCAAAATTAAATAGCTTCCCAGCAAGAGCTACAATTTTATTCGTTGAAAGTCAAAAATGGTTCCATATGACTCTAATTTGCTTGCTCTTTGGTTGAGACAAAGCTTGGATAGCATACGGCTCCTTGGACAACCACTGACACACAAAAAAAGAGATCTCTGTTCGTTTGAGACTTTGTTCTTTGCTGTCATGGCTTAATAACTAGGAGACAATGTTTTTTTTTTATGAGAGAAGTTTTCCTGACCTAATGCTTGCAAATTTAAAGAGAAAATGTGCCACGAATCTAGTGCTGATTTTTGGGGACAAACTTACAAAGTCACGCATAGAAAGTTGCTGCTCTGTAAAACTTGAATGAAACACGACAACACAGGCATGCATTTGTCTATTAAACTCTTGTCATTTGATCAGCAAATATACAGTCTTTTAAAACAGCAATAATCAAGTATTGGAATCATTTTCCTGCTTTCCTGCTAATACGAAAGGTTTCTGCCTCGTATTAAAGAGAAAAGCTTTTGATAAGCAGCAGTAATGAGAGGACCCAAAAGCATGCCCTGTCTTTGTACAGAGAACAATTTTGGTGGCAGGTGCACCAAATATGGAAAATCAAATTTCCTAATTATCATGTGGAGAACTAAATGTATTAAAATGACATCATCAGAGCTGACACCAGCAGTGATTTAGAAAGGGTTTAAACTGTTTGGTGATAAAGAGATAAAGATAGCATTGAAAGCATTAGGAACTGTAAAGTTTCCGAAAAACAAAGTCAGCGAAAACTTTTGGAAGAGTTTGCGAGAATTTCAGATATGAAAATTTTGGATAAACAGTTTTTTTATGATACAAAAATATACATTTTAGAACTTACTTTGATTACTCATTGGCAAAGGTGTATAAGACTAGCCAAACAAGATAGGGAAAAAAGCTAAGCAAGATAGCTAAACAAGAACCGAGATACCGGGGGACGGGGGCCACCCAAAAAAATCTTATGTTGCATAAGTAAAATATTTTGTTTTACTTTTATTTTGTAAAATATGGCTGTTGCTACACTGATTTATCAGGGCTGCCCCCACCCAAACAAGAAGGTGTATATCAGTCTTTGAAACTAAAAGCAACTAGGGAAGTTAGAAAAGATTGGGGGAAATTCAGAGCATCACAAAGTTTAAAGCAGATTTTGCAAATAATCTTTATAAAAAATGAGAGATCAGTAAAGCCGAGCAAAGTATCCATCCTTCTCCAAACCAGTTTCCTCCTGCTATGGAAACCTTCTCAGAAAGCAAAGAAATGGAGATGTGATTTTGGAGTTGTACTATCATTTTCTTTGTTTTTGTTGGATAACCAAAGAAGGATATTAAACAACTACTGAAAGTTTCAAGACGATATAGCAATAGATGCCAGAAAATCATTGTTACAAGTATAAAAAATGTTTGATTTTGAAAAACTGAGAAAATCTCAAAACAATGTTTGAGTTTGTAAAAAATGTCAATTATTCATTCATACAGGTCCAAGATCCACAAATAAGCCCCACTTTTTCTTTCTTCGTGTCCCATAGCCCCTTTTTGATAGCCCTCAGCTTCTTGCTTCTCAGCCTTCACTCTTCTGTTGGTTGCCATCTAGCGTTGGCAATTCTTTCTTTGTTTCCTTTTAACATCCCCATTGTAGTGTGGTAGCAAGGCACTATTCCCATGCACCCCTAAAACTCTGGAAACTGATGGTTTCCCATCACTTTATGTGGCTACTGCACTTACAGTACACAGTTCTAGAACCTTCTTTCCCTGGTATATTTCTTTAAGCATCTTTTCCACGCCAGATTGTTTACCGACTCATTCTGCGTTCCAGGTGTATGAGTGAAGACATTGGGAAAACCGACTACAATCAGCTAGCCAATCATATATTTGTTTGAGAGCATCAATAACTGCCTTGGGTAAGCATCTCTTGAGATTGTACTATTCTGTTTTATATGGTACACCCCTTTGCCATCCACATCAAGAATCCATGCCCTTGTGACACAAATGATGTTGTGGTGTTTTGTTTGAGGATACAAGATGGTAAAGATCTGCTGTGACATCATTGAAAATGCCAATCAAATAATTCTTATTTTTGCAGATGGCAAGGCTGTAATAACCATCTTGTCAGTCAACCTACCCCTTCCACCAATAGTCTTCCCATCAGCTAGTTTCTTTTATCTGTAGGCAGTTTTCAATTACTTTAGTCTAGTGCCTAGCCTCTTCTGCACATGGCCCACATACTACTTTTCAATAATGGTAGCCTCTGTACCATAGGGCTTTTGATTTGACAAAGTTTGATTTGTGGAGGAGTCACCATCACCTACAAAGGATATATATCTAAGGCCATGTTTTTCCTCTGATCTTTTAAACATCTCTTATACCTCAATCCAACTTTGTTTCACAAACCAAACCATGTTCCTCACCTGAAAATCCAGAAACTTGCCAGTTAATACTAAGACGGCAGATGCACCATCATTTAGGGGTTCATTATTACCTGGCTTCTGCCAAGAGCTGCCAAAGCTAACAGTAATGGGCTTTTCTTTTGCTATGACCTCTTCAGCTGCACTTTTCATACTTTTTTCTGCCTCGTTTATAGACATAGTCACAGAGAGCCAATCAATTTATTATAGTTACTCCTTTTCATTGGTTGCTGCATATTTACATGCATACAACTCCAATTTGGCACTTTGGCATATTTCCCTCCACTTTGGCAAAGTTACTGGAGAAAAATTCATGCTACAAATAGAGCATTGCATTTGAAATGCAGCAACATGTTTTTCTCCTCTTCCTCAGCGATTACTGAAACTCAGAGAAATTTGACATAATAATGCAATTTTCACATTGCTAAGAGCATTACTAAGGACATTTTGGCCAAGGTGCTAATTTTTGGACCCTTAAATTTCAGTGGCATTTAACTCCTTTCGTGAATTAAAACTGCTTGTTTGAAAGAGCATAGTTTAAACTATTTTTAGAAACTATTTCTTGGGGGTCTAGTATCTTGTGACATAGCATTTCTGCATCATAAGTGGAAGTTTAAAGATATTAACTGAACATAAGTATGATTACAATTTCCATCAATAAAGAACTTTATGCCCTAGGTACCTTTGTTGAATATTTTAGGATTCATCATCACTGTACTGTTCTTGAACATATTACAAGGCAATATCTGATTTAGATTCCAAGTTTTTAAAAAGTTATTTTAGATTTTTAGAGAAAATGGGACAAAGTGTTGTTGACAATAAACAAAATAATGCAGGATATCAGTCTTGATAAAGAGGAAAAAGTTATTCATGTGTATGTTAAAATCTTTGGATCCTAAGAAAGGCCTTTGGAGAACTTCTGACATTACAGCCTGGAAGGCTTTGTAGATATTCATTATTTTAACAGATTGCTTCATTGCTGATTTGAAAAATAGTAGAGACGCACAGGTTTTGTACAACACATATGCAAACAGTTTAGTGCAGATTGTGAGAACACAGTGAAAAAACTTTGAAAGATCAATTATTACTGCCCTAACAAAATGGCCTTGGTATAGCATAAGGTGCCAATCTTCAAGGCGGTCTACCAAAATACGCTTCATGCTGTACAAGCCTTCCTGTATGCAGCAAAAACAATATCATTGTAATGGATGTTGAAGAGCTCACATAGCCAGTAACAACATTTTCATCTTTGACAAGGAATATTAGGATGACTGTCAGGATTGAATGTGATGAAGAATCTGATGGTATACTGTCTAAAACTACCCCAACATGGTTTCTGATTCAGTTTCATAACTTAAACAAATACACTACAGTGAGCAGTAGAAGCGACATGGAACAAAATAAAAAAACACAATAGAGGGTTGAAGGATACTTATAAAAATGACAAAATTGTCCAAGAACGTTCAGAATTCTGGGTAATGAAATAAGAGAAATTTGATTTATTTTCACCTTCATCCCGTTTTCTACAGATTCATGTGGGCATAGATAATAATCTACAAAATGAAGTTCCAAAGAAGTATAAAAGCATGAATTTATCAAATATTACCTCTATCAAAAAGCTATCGAACTTGTCAGACCTTTCCTCCGAGCCATCCGAAGCCGCCATTTTCTCATGGAATATGACCTCGTTTGTGTCCCATGTAGAGTTGGAGGCTAGCGGTTTGGATCATACGTAACGATGTGCGCTTTATGGTTCTTAAAATTCACCTAACTTCTTCGTCTTCATTAATTTCTAAACACAAATTTCTTAAAAACCTCTTTGATATTACTGAATATCCGATAATGAAAATACTATGGTGCTGTAAATCTGTATGTAACAAATCTGCAACCATCTTTCGATCCAGCATCCGGGTTTTTTCGCTGAAAATCCGCTACGCATAATTGTTGAAATCCGACATCAGCAAAGATCACTAAATCCGAAAATAGTTTTAAAAACAGATTTTAGAACGGAGGATAGATGCTTGTAGGAAAAATAATGTAAATTTTCTCGTTTTGCATCTAGTATGGTGATAAACTGTAAAAATTTTCAGAGGAAGACTTCTAAGCAGAAATTTAAACAGCTAATAAATTGAAAATGAGTTATAAATTCAAAAAACCAGAACATTTGATACACTACACCAAAAACTGTCATATCAAACACACATTTAATGCAATTTCAATAAATTCTACATTAACAATAGTCAATTCGCAATCATTGTTAATGAGTTTTTGTTTTTATCTAGCACCGACCTTTTGTTAGCATCTACTTCTATAACGGACATCATGAATTTTTATCAAAATGGCCTAAGAATGAATAAACTGTTTCCTGTTATAAATTACTCGCAGGGATATCGGAACTGGGTGGGTACCGTGGACATGTGTCCCCTCAAATTTTAGGATAATGCCCTTTTTCTAGAAGTTTCCGCTTTAAAACTTTTGGAAAGTGTCCCATTTTCTGAGACATAGCACCGCTTGACCTGGACCCCTCAAAGTCCAACTGCAAAATGGATCCGATATCCCTGTTTGCTCGTCAAATTTTTAAAAACTTTCGTATTGCTATTAAATGAAGAAAAATTATCAAATGTTTAGCAAAGAATAACGCATAAATGTATTCAATTTTCTAACTTTCTGGACAGGGAAATATTGCAGATGTGCGAAAAATATATTCTGGCTATCATTATTTATATAACATGCGTTCAAAAGGTGTGAAATATATTATACTTTGTGTGAAGAAAAGAGCTACACATCCAGGTTCTTATTCATCTTTTCTTTTTTATTGCCATATTTTTTCAGTAACTATTTTACTTCTACTTATTGTCATCGTGTTGTAGTAGGTAAAGAGGACCGCTTTTGCCTATAAATAACATCATCAATATATCATCAAACAGTTGAAAAGCCATAAAGCTAATAACATACACAGAAGCTTTTTTCCTGCTTGAATTATCCGAATGGGTGGGAGAAATTTAGCCTTTTTGGTGGTGATGCAAATGAAATGAATGTTTCCGAGTTAGTATTTGAGCAGAGCGTAATACTTTCTTTACAAAGTTATCCTATTTTGACACAAACTTTTACCACAATGCCAAAATTATTTGGGACACCCACGTTATGTTTTTCTACTTTCGCTTCTTCTCACGAATAAAGCCACTTTCACCCCTCCCCCCTCTCTAGAACAATGTTGACAGTCTATAAATATATCATGCAGGCAACAAGAGGAGACTACTCTATAATCGCTTATCTTTTTTCTATAATGAACCAACACTTTTTTAAAAGGAGAGGAGGTTGGCTGAATTTGCCTTCAAAAACTGACGTTAGTGGTCAAAGACTTTTGACTTGGGTTGAATAGAAAGAATACCATCTATAATTTTTGCTACAAATACGAACGTATATCCTTTGAAAAAACTGCTCTCACCTTAATCTGTGAATTTGAAACGTAATATTTTAGGTCAGATACACATTAATGCCACTCGTTTGTTACAAATATTTCAAACAGCTTGTTATTAATTCAGTAGATTTAATCATCAAAATTGATAAGATTGTCAGTGGGTGGATTTTCAATCTTGTGATTTTTGTGATTTTCTTCGAGGCTGGGTATGCCAACAACCCCAGTGTTACCAGCTGTATTTGTACCTGGAATACTGAGCGACAAAGAAAATTTTACAGAAAAAATCCACCCAGTTAAAACGTGAAAACATTGTTCACTCAGCCTGTTTGGGTATAAAAAGAATTTAAAAATTTGATTAATACCCGACATGTAGGTTTTTAAGTAACAAGTAAATCCAAAGGGTTTTTATACAATAACAAAAGTCAAATTTTCAACAAAGTCAAAATTTCAATAAAAATTAAACTCGGCAGGATTGCAATTATTTTGAATGGATGTAAGCATTACTGTAATTCAAAGACTACAAGAAGCTTCAGAATGGAAAAAAAGTTTTTCCTTTACGTTTACGTTCCATTACGACTATGTTTTTCCAGGGATATAGTGCTAGGGGGCTCAGGGGGCTCAGGGGGCTTGGGTGGCTCGGGGGAGGGGGGCAGAGATTCACTTAAGGTTTTTTCGGACGAGTACGGCTAACCTGAATGTGACGACAAGTCCGTAATTTCGTTTATAATCCTACATAATATACTGGGAATTTTCATAGCCATCTAGCAAACTGCCTAACCGAAATTTTTAAAGTTTAAGTCATGAAAGTAAAGACCACTGATCATTTTAAGTCTTGGGGACATTCCAGTAAATGAGCGAAAGCAATGTTTCAGAAAGCGTGAAAAATGCACGGTCAGCAAAATTTTGACCTTCGAACTTTTCAAATCTGATAATTTTATCAAAAAGGTCTTGCAGAACTGAGTAAAAAAAACTAAACCATCATTGTTTCTTCGCGTAATTTCACGTGCTGAGTAGAATAAGGTGCTACTTCAACTTTAGAACATCACAAAAAGCTTTTTTTAGGCTTTGGTACTTGTTATTTTCAAACTATTTTTAGGCTGCTGTTGGGTATCGCAGTATAACCTGACAACTATGCACGTTGTTCAACTGAAACTTTGGTTTTTGAAGGACAGTTTGTATACATTCTTTTTTATAAGAACCAGTAAATTTAAATTCAGACTGACTGTTCTAATTTTTTCTCAAAAATCGGAGGCTGGATTGGTCTTGAATTGCTCTTATATTAATAGGGTGCTATTTTTTCACTCTAGGTACGTGTTCAGGCCTCGTTTGCCAACTAAGTGTGTGAGGCAACCTTCATTTGGCAACACGGTTGAGTATTCGCCGAAAAAGCACCCAAACATGACAAAACTTTTCGTTATTGAGATAAAACGTTGTTCCAAATTGCATTTTGCAGAAGCTCAGTCTCAGTTTGCTTTATAATTCGTTCTTAAATTTTGACAAATTTTGAGGCTTGTGTTGTTATAAAATTGTTCTTATAAAAAGAAAAGAGTGTATTTGAGATTTTTCTTCCTTCGTTTTCGTTGTTTTTTGACCATTTCTGCAACAGTATGGATTATATCAGCGATCATAAACACGAAACATTGAGTGTTCGAGCTGCAGGAAAATCGAAGCACGCCATTAAAACCGAGGAGCACGTACTTTGGGCAACCAGGCACGTTGAATCAATGCTTGCCAGGGGGGGGGGGGGCTATACAACCCTTGTTATTGCCGAAAAGTAGCCAATTTCTACTTTTGCTATTGTTTCTCGCAGCAATTTTCGCAAGATCTCCTCTCGGTACATTGATAGCACTATACCCCTGGTCTTTTCATATTCCTTTTAGATACGATTTTCTAAATAAACAGGTCATTTCACGGTAAAACGTTTCTCTACAGAGAAATTAGCACGTTTGTCTCTAGCACAAGCTGCTGAGAATCGTTTTCTTCGAAACTCGACCAATATAATGTCTCTATAAAATCACATTTAATAACAGAAAAGTGATTTTTTACAAAAAGATACAGGTGCCAGACGCCTTTAAATTCAAGAATATACATAATTGTCAGCGACCAACGGTTGGAAATAAAAAACATCTTGGGAAGTATTCTGTTAGCTACAATTACTGAGCATCTCATTGTGCAAATATGCAAATATGGAAACAGACATAAGGTTTTCCCATATCAATAGCATGATATTAGGCTATTTCTTGGAAACTTTCCAACACTCTAAAATTCAATCGTATAATTCTTTTATTACGCCTTCTGATAGTAATGAAAGATAAATTTAAGCGATATTGCGTTGAAGTATACTTGCGGTAATCCAATTTATACATCTGTTGCTGTTGGCTGAACACTTAATCATTGCTAAATATAAATATAAGTATTTGAAACCAAGGACACAAAATGAAGCCTTGAGTGACACCCGTTCAGTGCCACTTTTTATGCCGACTGGAGTCGACTAGTGAACCTCTACGCTTGGGTAGAAAAAATGTTTGCACCATGTTGATTTCCATGAGATCGATTAACAAGCCTGTCTGGTCAAAAATTCGATTTTGTACAAAAAAGCAGAAGCATTTGGGAGTAAATTGCAATTTGTTTGGGCTATGCGACATTTCTAAAGAAAGGGCAGCCACTCTCCATCTATTTTCTTGGCTCATGGTCTTTGGAATATTTTTTACATCCTGTCCACTGGTTTCTATAATGTCCCTTCAAATTATCGAAATTTGCAAACTACTGATACATTTTTCGTGCAATGTTGATATACGGCAAGTCAAGCAAATAGCCATTTGAAAAACAGTACCTCTCTGTGTCTCTTATGTCAATGTAGGATTTATTGATGGGTACAAAACATTGACAGTTGGGCGTGCACTATATCTAGAGAAGTTTTGGAATATTCAAGGGGTTTTCTTGAAGAAACATGACTAGTCCTTGACTGGACTGTTTTAGAAACCTTTCTTATTTGTTATTGTAGTATCTAAAGCTCTTACAAACCATTTTTGGACTTTGTTGATATATAAACACAATTCACATACCTTTCAAAATCTTCATTTTGATCTGTTGCATCAAAAAGCATGTTTTCTCCAGAATGTTCATTCTGAAAAATTACAGCAAAAAGTCTTTAAAAACGGAAAGGCAATTTTCTGTTGTGGAGGCAAAGGTAGGTGCGATGGTACTATATTTGACGCTCAGGGCGTAGATAGAATTATTGGTCTCTAAAGAAAGGCGTTAAAATAGAGAAAAGTGTTAGAAAGAGGAGGAGCCTATTTCACATAGATAAAGAAAACGCATGACACAAATGAAAGGGGCATCAAAAAAGGCAAAGGCTTCGAATTCGAATTTACTGTTCTCTTTCCTTTAACAAGGGTAGAAAAAAATTGACTATTTTCAAAATTTCCAGATATGTTCCAGGGTAAGAGTAAAGGCTTTTGATCTACCAGATCGCTCTAATTTTGCTTTGGTTCTCAAATAGCAGATATCTATTGGACAAATTCAGTTCTTGCACCGTCCATATCACAGGCAATAAATCTTACTTATTTTGCAAATCAAGATGTATTCCATGGTATTCTTTCACATTCAAAACAATTCTAAATGTAGAGTAAAAAACATCATCACGTCACCAATCTGTAATCCGAAAGATATATTCGCTCTTACAACATTAAAAGAGAAATTGAAATCTTACAAGAGGATAGGTCTTGTTAAACCTATGTTAGACCTTACTAATCTATTTTTCAAAGGTTTATCTTCTTTGGCAAAATGATATCTACAAGTTGAAGATTGCACGAAATACCGGAAACATAGCATACTTTTTAGCATCCGGTATTTCACAAATATAGCATCCGGTATTTCGCAAATATAGCATCCGGTATTTCGCAACCATAGGTAGCATGCTATATTTCCGGTATTTTTTGCAATCTACAAGTTACAATATTACCTTTAGACCAATGTTGGAATAGATGTATTTCATGGGGTCCCCTTGCGCTTCATCATCTGAACTGGAAAGATCATTGAAAACATTGATCTCTTTTTTTCTCGCGTCAGTCTCAGCATCCATACTGTTATCACTTCTGCGAGTCCGAACGTCGACATCATCAGTACTCTGCCCTACAGAAAGTACTTTGGCGCTGCCCAAATCAGAATATAGGTCTTCTGCCTCTCGGTCTAGCTCTTTATCGATGTCATCTCTTCTCTTAACAATCCCTTCCTGTGTAAAAGTGTAAGTACTAATGAGAGATTATGATACTAAAATGCCAAAAATTTTCATGAAGATGCGTAAAAACTGATAAAATGAATAACTAGCATTTGAAATTGGCTCTATGTGTCGTTTTTTATGATGATAAAATGTCTCTTACAGAGTGAAAATTTCGAGATTCAAAAGCCAATAACTAGAGAAAGTGCCAGGACCAAGTGCCAAAAACAGGCATACTTGTTTACCGATTTGGGAAGATTGGAAATTCCCAGTGGCATCAATTCAGGCTTTCATTTGGGAGGTGGGAAGGCCTACAATTTTCCGACAAGATAACATCATGGCCCATGTCTAGTTTTAAAGAAACTGCACATTTTGATAAAAATAGTTGACTCTTTGACGGGACTCTTTAGAAGTCTTTGCTAACCACCCCATAATTAAGTAGCAAGAAGACTAATCCATTTATGATTTTTGATATCAAGATCGATATCTCATCTTAGACAATTGATGATACAAGAGGTAGACTGATTACACCTTCGACAAGTCATACATTCTTTTTATGCATTTTATCTTGTTTTCATCAGCGAGAAATACGTTTGAAAATAACTTCTATTTGGAAGAATCCGATGGAAATTTTGGCTAATCTTTGCGGAATTGAAACATACAATTGACAAGCAGTTTTGATTTTGGTCATATATTGTTTGATTGATTATTTAGAACTGGCTAATATTTTATCAGCTATGCTGTTCAAATTTTGCAAAAAGGAACAGAGAGGTTATAGAGACCTATGAGGCAAAAAGGGGAAAATCAGATCACCTGCGAGCGAAGCGAGCAGAAAATCTGGCAATTACGCCCCTTAGATTAGCTTAGAATTCCCGTTAAACGGTTGTCAATTATCAGACGAAAGCCCGAATTTTCCAACGACATCGCCCAAGCCCCCCCCCCCTCCATACCGCCATAACTTCCTCATTGGAAATTCTCTTAGGGAACTGACTTACGCTACGTGTACAGTAATTCAAGCACTACTCAAGACACTAAAAATTCGATACTTGCACATATATCAATATATGCTAGGAACTGTTTTGATTTTGGGTAAGAATTACTGCATGCATTAAAAGGTTTGGGATTTTGGATCCAAGTACTACAAGAAAATGCTAAATGTGTCAATAAGGCCCTGTTTTATGGCTGCGCTATTGTCTCGAAAAACTTGATTGCTTAGTTAAGTTTGTCGAAAGTTCGACGTTCAACAAGGGCTTCAATTAAGCTAATGCTTCACAGCAAAAACTTTCTTCACAATCAACAGACAATTAAACAAAGTGTGGCGCGGTCTCAGTTTTCAAGAAATCTTGCATCTTATCAACAACAAAAAACGTTGATCTTGGGAGGAATAGCAAGTGTTTCATCTCATGATATCATATCTTCTTTACTTATCCAAACTTGTGCACTTCTTAGTCAAAGATCTTGTTATCCTTCATAAATTTGTAAAAGGTTGAAGCAAAACGAGAACTTTTTCAAGCAAATACATCACGATTTTACCTTTTTTGAATCTTCGATGAATTTCAAGGCTGTGGCTACAGCTTTGGTGACATCTTCGGTCTGCAGAAAAAAAACACTTGAAATTGGAGCTGTGTACAGGCCTGTCGCTAACTATTGTGCTCAAGAGGGGTTTCCAATTCCCTTTTTCCGACAAAGTAGGGAAGCCATCTTTTATTTGCCAACAAATTTGAAAATTTGCCGACCATGCACCCCTAAATAGCAAAAAACTCCTCGTTTTTGCAATGAAATTTTTTCAAGGGGGTGGTCACGTCCCACAGGCCCACCCCTAGTGATGAGCCTGATTGTGTAAGAGCACGGTGGATAAGTAGGACAGTAGCTACTATGAATATTGGGGGCATGAGCCCCCCAAACATAATGAAACTCCTTTGTATCCAATGAGCAATCCATTTTCTCCTATTGCTCTCGAACAATGGCGCCCCCAATAATTCTATACTTCCTAGGGCATTGATAAGTATAGACAGAAACCTAGTTGCGATTGATTAAACGAAATCTTCTTCAGATCATTACAAAGACAAGAAGCATATATAGCAATGCCCTTAAATAAACCCAAATTCCAGATATGAAATTTGAGACAATATCTCCCTATACATTTCGCAACACTCTTTTCATACTTTAAAATCTCAAGGTTCCTTTGAAATAAGTCTTTATTTGGAAGATCAACGGCCCTCTAGACCCCAAACACACGTGGCACAAGATCATTTGAAACTTACCACAGAGGTTTTGGGTGAAATATATGCGTGGCACACCGGGCTATCTTGCTTATCTTCAATGAAGGAGAAGACCTGTGGATACTGTGCGTCAATTTGCCACCGTGACACCCTATGCAAGACGAAAGATAAGTATTGTCAAAAAATTAGACTAGTGCAATACATTCAAATTGAATCTTGCAGAACATACCAAAAAATAATTTAAAACGACAATAGTTTCAAGATTTTATAAGCTAAAAGAGTACTTTATCTCTTCCCTGCACATGTGCATACAGCAAACGACCATAAAAATAGTCACATTGGTGGAAAAATATTTTAAGAATATAGGTGAGTAATAGGGAGTCAAAGACAGTTACGTATCTAAGACTTCAATTTCAGTAGCGAACACTTTCATTGGGAGGGGGCAAAGTGTGCTGATGTAAGTGTTAAATTTTACGAATACCTTGCCTTTGAAAAATTTAATACCTTGGCATGCTCATAAAAATGAAATATTTTGGCAAGGTAGTTGATATTGATATGATATATCAGAGCATCTTCTTGATTGTCTGTTCTTATGTAACCAGCAAATATGTTGCTTTGATTCGCAGTGAGAAAAACCTTCAATACATTGATCATTGTTGTATAGTTTATAATAAATGATGTTCCTGGGTTAATTGTCTAGCCCTTTAAGAGAAATGGCAAAATATTGATTTTGGCTTTGCTTTACCAAGAAAGGGATATAATACTGCTGCGTCAGCTAAAACGCAGAAGAGGAGGAAAAAGACAATGGGATTAGATAAATTTCAGACATTTCATTTGTGTATTAGGATGAAAATCTTGAAAAAACAATACCTTTGTAACTCTATTTCATACAGTAATTCCTGCATCAAAGAAAAGATATACATTGCATTATTTCATATAGCAATTTCTGCATAAAATTTATAAAATGAAATGAAGGCGTTACATATCCCGAAGCATTGATTTAGCTCCCTTTAAGACGGTGCATGTTTAAGGAAACTACAATATTGTTAACTCAAATTCCAAAAATTGCCTAATTATTGCACAACGTACCAGAAAATTAAGTCTTTTGTTTTTTACTGTTAGTGATAGTGCGAAGTATTATAAAGTGGAAGAGTAACAGATAGGACATTGATTATGTGACCACGCCCTTTTGCCTCATTTCAGCTCTTAAAAACAGGCTTGAAAACACATTACCTACAGTAGTGTGATGCTATCAAAATTACAAGGGGTTTCTTGAAAAAATGCTGCAAAAAATAATAGCAAAAGTAGAAATTTGCCAATTCTTTAAATTTGCGGCATCAACAAAGATGGTTAAGCCCCCTGACTACCTACCCTTCTTCGGTGCCATTTGATCATGTGGACCGTGGCAAAAATGGAATGAGGTAATTGCCCCCTGCCGCTCACACTCATACCTACAACCACTCACCTTTGTAGTCGCATCTTCTGCGCAGATTTTGTCTGTTGCCACGGTAAGGAGTGTTTTTGACAACTTCTTCTTGGATTCCATTCTGGCCTGCAAGTGATCACATGATTATGTTCACTTTTAGCAAAGTTCACTTTTATTCAAAGCGACTTCAAACACAAAGTTGTTCCCGTTAAAATGCATATATCAGGGTTGTAACACTGTGGAAACTGCAATGGGGCGCCCCCGCTAATAAATTCTATTATTCAAAAGACAATAAATAGAAGTTAACATTTGCCAGCATTAAGTACAAAATGGGAAGGACTTGAAACCCAGACATTTTAAATAAAAAAGCTCTCTTCATGTGTTTGAACTTTTGGACTTTCTCCAGCCGTAGAAGGCAAAATTTTCTCCAGCCGTGAATGGAATCAGAAAAACCCCCGTGTGGTGTTTAATACCCTCTGTCAGTTAGAGGCTGATTGTCTATGATGCAATCGAGGTTGAATACTTATGAGATTTGCAATGTCATCTCCAGTGTCCGTAAAAATCAACGAGAAAATCCAAACGATAGCAGAACAGTATCGATGCAAATTATTGCATTTAAATAATGAGTGCATTCAAAAAACTTGTTAACCAGCCGTATATGACATGTTCGAGAGCACCACAACAGCCTACAAGAACAAACCGTATCTAGAAAGGCCTAAACAAACCTTTTTTGCTTCCGTCAAAAGATTCCTGACCGCAGTTTCTGTCATGGTGGAATCACATTCCCCACGCAAGTCAATGCTTCCAAGTTGCTTGAATAAGACGACAGAAACAGCTTAAATATTTCTTCAACGATACTGTTTGTCTATGATTAATTTTGAATCCTCTCATAAGCAAAACAATTTAATAGAACAAGGAAAACACCAAAAACATTGCAGAACCTATGGAAATTTGATAAAAAACAAAACATGCCTCGAAAGTTTTTGTTTCAAATTTATCATTAATAATAAGTGTAATATTTATACAGGGTAAAACCTTATCAATGCCACGAGTATTGTTATCAATAAGGGCCCTGTTTGAAAGTAAAAATAACTCATAAAAATACAAAGTAAAAGCCAAAAATGTCTTTCAATATTTCTTCTTAAAAAAAATTCTCGTTAACATTGAGACAGTTTCCAAGTGAATCTGGAAGACTTTCATAGGCCTACTGCTGAACGAATAATGTATAAAGAATCTTGTACTATGAAAATAAAAATGTGCTGGTAAAGGTTGGCACTCAATAATAAAAAGGCTCACCTTGACACAAAATGTAACATCATCATCCAGGCTCTGAAAAAGCTTTTTACCTGAAAGTACAAAAATCAAAATAGCTTTTAAAAGGCGAATACAGCTTAAAAAAGTAAACAGTTTGAAATATATATACTAAAGGATTTCAAGTGACATTCCTCAGTGCATAAAACCTCAAAACATAAAGGAAGAATTTCTAGAATATAGACCGAAGGGATATTTTACAAAAGAATATGTTGATGATTATTTCATATGTTGATCGTCATATTTTCAGTCTTAATTTCACATTATTCTAGTTGTGCTGTGAATCGATTTCAAACATGCTTGGGTATTTCTACTTGCTTTCACATTATACCCAGGTGACATGAAAAATGGCCGAAGTTCCATCATGTTCGCAATAATCTTGAAACCCCGTGTATCAACTTAGAACCGTTCTGTTCTATACACTAAATGTGAGTACAGCTCTGTCTATACGGTACTAATCACTTTATGACAGACAGGTAAACAGTGATTTTCGTTACAGCTGCATTTAGTTAATTTTGTTAAGCTTAAACGGTGTTGTGGGCTTTAACGCAATTACTAGGTTATTCTTGCATTCATTTGATTGTCGCTCCAGGATAACATATTCACTCTTTCACAGTTGAGTCGAGTAGAAATTTTACATAAGCTATGTAAAAAGGATTATTCTTTAAGCAGACTTTTGTATCATTTCTAGCTTTAACTCTCAGCTTCAAAACCAAATAGCTTGAAATATTTGAATTGATCGATTCTATTTATTGTTTAAATTGTCAACAGAAATTCAAATCAAAAGTGACAAGTTTTTATACATTCAGAAGGCCCTTTCAAAATACACATGTGTCTTGCCATGAGATAAACTTCAAAATATTTGCATATGTACCTGCTATGAAAGATTCACGGTGAAATCATTGTTTAATTTCATTATAAAATGTGCTTTATCAGATCAGGATGGAAAATGGGCCAAAATCACGAATCAGGAGAAAAAATTTTCTCGCTTCACCTTTAAAAATTGGAAATGTTTCCGTTTCTGCGATAGATCTATGATCACCAAAGTTTGCTGGGAAGACCGGTTCAAAATTAGGATCGGCAAAATATTTCTTTGTTTTCTCGAAATACAATGATCAAATGTATCGACTTCTGGCAGGCCTACTTCATTGTCCTCAATGTTTTGTTAACTCGGAAATACAAGACATTAAAACTGTTAACCAATTTGTTTCCTGCATCATTTATCGAGTATTTTGTGCCAATAATCACCTTATATTTGTGCCAATAATCGCCTTGTTTGGTTATATTAAGTTTATCCATTTCATACTGAACTTTTGAAACCACGTATATTTGTGCCACTGAAAAAAATTCATAAGCACGTCCTCTTACTTAATACCAGAGTGCACATTCCTCAAAACTTACAAATATTACCTAACTCATTGAGAACATGCCAATTTCTTAACTTAGGGTCAAAATCTACTTTTTAATCTTCCCCTGAAATACGTTTTCCAGTCACAGCAACCTTTGCTGGATTAACTTGGACGGGCGATGATCAAATATAGCGGCGATCATCAAATATAAATTTATGTGAAATAATTCCCACAAAATCGACATTGTCTTTAATTCTATTCAAAGGATAAAATATCATTTTTAAAATAATAATGAGTTCTGTATCAAACCAACGAAAATTCTTCACAGTCAAACCAAATACAACCTATGAAGGTTATTCAAAAACGATGTTTTCTCATATGACAAACAAAACATCTTCTAAGTACAAAACGCATTTGCCAAGATGGCAAAAAAAATTAGTATGCAGATATAAAATCTTGGTAATATAGAGCAGATCTTACTCAATTTTAGTTCCTCCGACAATGACAAATAAAAGGAAGTGTTTACTTTTTCTGCATTAAAATAAAAATAACACGAACCTTCCTTTTTGCCAGTGATTCTATCAAGCTTTTTGCGAACAGCCCTTGGGCTCTTTTTAAGCGCAATAGCTGCACCTCTTAGCGAATCCATCTTGCCAAGACTAGGCCAGTTCGTCTGTAACAGGTTCCTTTCAAGCTGTAGGTATCGGAAATTTTCAAGTGTTTACACGGGATGAGTTGAACTAATAAACGGTCACCTGGTCTTACATCATCAACATAGATAAACAGCGTCTTTCGAGGTTGACAAAGTACGAGCTCTGGAAAAAATTTGGTGATCTTAACAGCATATGTTGAATAATTCGCGGATTAAATGTTGAGTTGTAATATAAATCGGATATATAGACCACAAGACAGAATATAATTTCCAGTAGGACATGTGCAGTGCAACTGATCGACACTGACTCGTGAACGCTTATGCTAGGCCTGGCGATCCAGTTTCAACCTGTCTTATATAGTCGTCAACTGCAGCAAGACGAGCAAACAATACATCCACATGTTGTTTACAGTCAAATTTATTTATCACAAACAAGAGATTTCATTAAGCCAGTTGACAACCAAAATTTAGTTTTCTCATTTGGCTAAGAGACGATTTGCTCATAAAAAATGCGAAGCTGCACCAATTTAATCAACTCATCACAAAAAATCACGAGGTTTGTTTACAGAAGATAAGAAATGAGGAGAATTGTGATTATTTGTGATGCAAATGACTTTGAGAGCAAAAGGCCAGTCGAGGATCTCCTAAGCGAAGTACCAAGAAATAAGGATATTATTAAAGGCCGAAGCAATTTAGAGAAATTAATATTTTGCAGAAAATAACATTTGCTTGTGCAACGGTGATATTTGAGCAAAACCAAACATTTATCGCTGAATTAGCAGTACACTTATTCTCTAAAACAGATCTCAACTTTAATTAAAGAAATTGAGAAAACGAACATACCTGCCAAGGGGTATAGTGGAAACCTGAAGCAGTTATTGGTTGCTAATTAGTCACTTACGTTCATTTTAAAAACGTACCGAAATCAGACTTTGTAGATTTTCAATTACACTGGCACAAACAATGGTATCTGGCATATTTTGTGGAAAATATTTCAGAGCTAGTTTTCTGCAGCTTAATCTCGTAGCAATTGTAAATTGTGCAAAAGCAAGTGCAGTTGAAACAATAACGAATAGGCCAAGTGGTTGGAGCGTTGGTCTGCAAAACTGCAGCTTATGGGTACTAGTCCTAATTTAACCAATGATTTGCCTTCTGTCAACCACAAAGGAAAAGGGTGTCACGTGGAAGCACTTGCAAGGTTTAAAGAAGTAAAGAAAGGAGCTGGTCTTTTCTTTGTCATACTGTTTGTCTAAAACTTTATCATTCTGTTGCGTTCTAACACGCACTTTTCCTTTGTACGCCGACTGAATCCGACACTCGCATTCACCTTAAACTTACTGTAAAATCCTACAAAATTATCTTTAAGCCGCTTCCTTGTCAAGCTTTGGTAAAATGCACCTCCTATCTTATTGCCATTGAGATATAAGCTTCGCGTTGTTATAGCTACAAACAAAATGTGAACAAAATTGCGAAAAAGTGAAGGGTAAACAGGAATGACCACCCATAAAAGGGTTTTCTGATGCTAATAATTTTTTTAAGATTGCTTGCTTGCACTCATTTGAAAAATTTAAATCCCAACAAAGCATGGTTTTACTTCAAGGCAGCAGGACTGTTCCAGCCACGTTCCTGAAACATTTTCGCAAATTTTCGAAATAGATGTGAAAGGACCTGCTCCCGATGGCAAAAGCAAAAATTCAAGAAGGATATGAATGGGAAGTTCAAACGAAACTACCTGAACTTTCGATTAAAGAAAGATACTTAAACATAAAATCTTCACAGTTTTTCAAAGCCTTCTAAAACTACAGTTGTGCATAAAGTCAATATTTCATTTTTTTCTGTGAAAATGTAACTAGGGTTAAGCGCATAAACACTTCGATTAAAGGTAACAACATTTATCAGAATTTAGCAAAAACGTTGATAAATTGGAGGGATAGTTAAATCCCTGAGTTGTCATTTTGTGACGTAAGCAAAGAAGTGTAGAAACTTTTTCTGACAAGAAAGTTCTTATCTTACAGTGGCCACCCGGCTTCTTTAAAAAAATTCCGGTTAATTCATTGCTCCTGTTGAAGTGACCGTTCCATTCACAGCACTTTCTTTTGCATGTCTGTTTTCCAAAATGCCCCGTGCTTCATTTTAATCTTTAACAGCAAAGGCCCGTATTAAGATCAGAAGTTTTTCAAATTTCCAACCCTACTATGATTAACACATATATAGACCATTAGGTTTCAGGGTACAAATATAATCCAGGTTCTAACTATAATAGAGACTCAACATGGTTTTTGAAATAGCTCCGGACACTGCTATAAACACTCTGGACATAGACACTTGGAACATAAACAACATTTACTCAAAGCAACACTGATGTTGATCTCATACATTCTCTTGACGGACAGTATCAACTGGGTCAAAATCTATTTTCGCAAAAGCTAGTTACACCTAAATTAGCTTTGGCTGTATTTTGAACTAAAACTCAGGACAACTGACATCCTGCCTTTTGTCTTTCTTTTCAGTTAGGCCTAGTGATTTCCAATTTACAGCCGATAATCTCTATTTCTGCCATGGATATAACTGTATAACGTAATTACCTTGCCAATCTAACCACCCTAACACCAAAGCTAATAAAGCAAACTTACTGTTTCATAGTGAGTGCTGGCAAATACTTCTTCTCATTACACTATCACACTTTATCAAGTTAAAAGAATTACATTGAACTTCGAGGAAAATTCCGACTTATCCGCGTTTCTAACCATTTTATTTTTACCTTAACAACAAATAAAGTCGGGCAGGAAATATTCATATACTCAAATTTTGTTAACTGCTCCCAAAGGAACATTCATTTTAGCCTTAAATTCGACGAGACAAATATATGAGCTCTATCAAAGAAGTTTTCATTTTATTACGTACTGTTTATAGATATGCAAGTCAGGTTATAGTCAATGTACGGACCAAAAATGCTTTCTAGGGCACTTTCAACTTTGTTGCAAACCATATAAGCGAGCCCCAATGAATGGTTTCAGGCGCATGTCACGTGTCGCTTGTTAACAAAATACTAATGTAGATCAGGGATGCATTAAGGGAACAGGGGGTCTGAGTCCCCCAATATCCTAGTGGGTCCCCAAATCAAAACGTTTGCAGATCGAGAAACAAATATTCATAGTGTATAAATTACAATGTGCAGATGTATTGAGTTTCAGAATGAGCACATGTTGCTTCTTAACCCTCTCTGCCATGACTGTGTTGGTTTACACATGATTGTACGTTACTTCTGACGTTATTTTTAATACAGTCATTTCTATATGTTTATAAAAATATTTTGGTTGTCGGCCGTAATGCTTTAACTGTACCGCGAAAAACATCATAGTTTATGCTGGCCATAATCCATGTATGTAACGTATGTAAACAGTTCCCAAAAAGCAAACAGTTCCCAAATATTATTCAGGCTTTTTCAACTGACAGTTCTCAGAATGTAAAACGTTGCGTATTTTTGATTGGCCTTTTTCGATCCACAACTGGGTATTTATTTTCCCTCGTATCTTTTCGGACCCTTATTCTGACGTTTTATACTCTGAAAAGTGCCAGACAAAAAGCTTCAAGAATGTATGTTATGACATGTTTGGTTTTTTCAAAGCCATTTACATATGTTAATGGATTATTGTCAGTAATACAGTAAAATAGAACACATAATATAAAAACATCATGAAAACCAACGATAACAACGATAAATGCTTTACTTTACAAAGAACATAGTATTATTCTCGCAGTTTCATCTTCAAGAAAGAGATTTATCTATATTATTCGTTGTTTTGTACCACCACCATTAATCCAGCAAATAAATGGAAATATTTGCTTTCAAAGTGCATGTAGATTTCTTTTATATACAAATACACATCATGCCTCCAGAAAAGGCCCCAGCACGGATCCTTGAGGGAAAACGAGGAGAAAATTGATTTGAGGGAGAAATGTATGACAAGAAAGAACTAAAAAAAATTTTATGTGTAATAAGAAAGAGAACAGGAAGGAAATGGGAAAGGGAGAAAAACGACTTTGCAGAGAAAGATATACAAATGTGGGGAGTTGGGTGAAAAGAAAAGGGAATGAGAAGAATGGTCCAAAAGAGGAAGAAGAGGAAGAAGAGGAAGAAGAAGAGCAAGAAAAAGAGCAAGAAGAGCAAGAAGAAGAGCATTAAGAGCAAAAACAACTACGAGAAGAACAGAATGTCAGAAAATAAGCAGCGAATAAGAAAGAAAAAAGGTAGAAGAAGACGAAGGAGGAAAGACAAAGGAGAAGAAGATAAGAAGAAAAGAAAAAAGAGCAAGAAGTAGAAGATGAATTAGAAGAAGAACAAAAAGAGGAAGAGCACGAAGCAGAAGGTAACGAAGTTGATATGATGGAAGTGGCAAACCTCAAGGCATTGACCAGCATGGCTCAAGGGGATTAAGAGGAACTGAGAGCAAGCATTGAAGCAGGCATCGTTAAAAAGAATGGCTGCACATTCGTTTACTGAAATCAAACAGACACTATGTAGCTAATAGGAAAAAATGATCACATGATTGGCGTCCTTTCGCCAATCAATGCTCTCTAGCACCGGAAGTAGATGAATAGTCCGAAAAAGATGAGAAGTAGACGGGTAAACATTTATTTGGGTTTTGTGTCCACACGTGACTTTGTTATTGTTAGACTCTTCAACCATGTGAGATTTTGGCGAGAGCTGATTGGTCAGATAAGTCAGAAAAGAGCCAATAGATGAGCTAATTTTTTTTGCCGTACAATCTATCGCTTTTCTTTTAAACGCTATTTCCTTTTAAATCATACGAAACATGTCATCCCTTTCCCCCCTACTCGAAATACGGAAGGAAGGCTTACAACGTGAAGGAGAGCTGGACTTCTTTTCACGACTTTTTTCACAATTTTTCACGACCTTATCATGCTTAACAACAATAATTTGGCTACGTGTCTACATTGACAAAGAGCCAGAATTGAGGCAGCGTTAGATAAAAATAATCTTAGAGTGAGCAGAAATTTTCGCCTCTTTTTGTGCTATTCCAAAAAATTAAAAAAGTCCAACAAAGTTTATTCCTTTCTAAATATTTTTCAAGATTCTAAATGAAGAGAATATCTTGTTTAAAGCAATGATATAATGTAATTAAATATGAAACTATTAAGCAAAAAATTTGAAGATAAGACCTTGAAATTAGATATATTGTGATGAATTGTTAAATATTATCTTTTACCTTTAAAACGATTCTCTATGGATTATTGCTTTCTATGAAAATGGACAAGAATCGCAAATAGAAGAAAACAAATAAGTAGAAATGCAATCTTAAGCCAAAATAGTCCACAAAATATGGCCGACTATTTTGAGGGAAGTTACGCCCATGCCACAACAGGTAGGTTGAACAATATATTCAGGGCCATTTAAAATAAGCATATGGCAAGAAAATGTGAACAATTTTTTTGCGGTACAGAATTTGAAAATGGCTTTGAAAAAAAGCAAACATTTTACAACATACTTAAAGTTTTTTCGTCTGACACTCCTCAGAGCATAAAACGTCAGAATAGGTTCCGAAAAAACACGAATGGCTCGCGGCACTGATTGGTCAACGGTCTTGTGAACTGGGTATATATTTTTCCGTCGTGTTTTTTCGGAACCTATTCTGACGTTTTATGCTCTGAGGAGTGTCAGACGAAAAAGGCAAGAAAATGCTAAAAAATCCACAAAAGTTTTATTGCTGATACAAGTTCTAAAGCGGCTTCGTAGCTTTGTCAAAACAGAAACATGTGGCCTATTTGAAAACTTAACAACCAACTTTGGGTATATTTCATTTTAGGTTTAGTTTAATATTTTTGAATTGGGTTTCAGGCTTGGTCGTCACAAGGTTATGCTAAGACTATCACTAGTTTCTTTTTCTTTTTTTCTTGTTTTATTAAAAAGGTATCTAGGCCAAGATGGCCTCTAACCTAATTACAACATAAAAATAACAATAAAAGTTAATAGAATTACCTCTACAACAACTTGTCAAACGTTAATATCAACTCAATTTTGAATAGTACAATTTTTTAATCACGAAAGCACGAAAAAATTAAATATACGCAATATCAAAAAGCTATTTTACAGCGAAAAATCTATATAATCAACTAATAATTAGAATCCGGGGTTTGAACATCTTGGGAATCAGTATTGTTCTACTGTTCTTTCAATCTTGTTTCAAAGCATTTGTATAGAAATGTGGCAACTAAATTGAGACATTTTAAGTCTTCTTGACTTAATATCTAGTTTCAAAAGGAACATTCACGTTCCATTGCGAAAATTGATGATTTCACCTTGATCCCGTATGCTCAGGCTGGGGGTAAAAAAGGTTATTGCGAAAAAAACGTTTGGTGTAGAAATGCCAAATAGATTCCTGCATTTATGCAGGGCAGAATGCTTACTTTGTACTGAAGTGTGTCATAAAATGTAAGCTTGAGGTCATTTTATATCCTACTGTGTAAGAAAGAACATATGCGTCAAAATTGGTCAAAAGCCAAGAGCAAATTAAAAACAAACTGTGGCTAAGCTGCTGCAAAATGTAATTTTGAATAATGTTTAATCTCAAAAGAAGAGAATTTTTAGCCATGTATAGATGATTTTTGATTAATTTTCAAATTAATCGACAAATCTGAAATCTCACTCATTTTGTTTGCAAACGAGGCCTGAAAATCTACCTAGAGCGAAAGAGTTAGCAACTACACTACTTACGCCTTATTAATTTAAGAACAATTTAAGAACAATCAAGTCTAAAATTTTCGATAAAAATCGAAAACATCCAGTCTGAGCTTGAATTTACTGGTTCTTATAAAAAGAGAATATACAGAATTTGAATTCACGACATATTCAGTGATAGCTTGAGAGTCAGGTGTTTTTAACATTGCTCTAAATTACACATAAGACCACTAAAGAACAGTTTTGCATGATAGTTTTAGTAGCATATATTTGATTAGCTTATAAAACCTGCTCTGTTTTGTAAACACGAGAGAAAAGTTCTTGAGGCTACGTATGCTCTTAGTTTTTTCTAACTTTTTGGCAGATCCGAGCCACGGTGTTCACACAAAGCGTGTTCTTGTACGAAATAGTGTAGTGTCTTTGTTAATATAAACCAATGGCTTTTAAAATTTTTTCTATAAAGGCTACTTGGATAATAAAAAATATTATAGAATTGCATGAACCCATGAAGTGCTTATATAGGTGGTTTGCACAAAATTGAAAAAGGTTTTCTGTTCGCATTCTAACCCTTTAAAAAGGGCTTTGTAAATAACGGAAATTTTCAAATTCCCAAAACAATCCCCCTTTCCCTTTGAGTATCGGCAATTGTCGAGAATCTGTGCTTCAGGGTTCTCCCAGCGTTTTCGTCAAACCCTTTTTCGATATCAATCGTCTGTCGAGAATGCGTTTCGTAATGCGAAACTCTCTACCCTTTGTCAACCCCCCTGCTCGCGTATCTCGTGCTACAAAAGCTTGCATTCAGCAGCTTGTTGCTCTGAAGTCTCCTGCAAAACTCAATCAAAGGATTTACCACTTGAGCTAGAAAGAACTAATGAAATACTGGTTTAAGAGCGGATGTAGAAGGTTTTGTTATTTAGTAAATCCAGTAGGTTGTGATTGTGAGATCGATGATTCGATGATAGCACCCCTTGCATGCTTGAAGCATATCGGATGTTGGGAGCCAATAACAAGAAAGCTGTGGAGTACAACTAAGACAAGACAGCCTTTGTCGAGTGCACTTGATTTCTACGTACCAACCTCAAGTGAATTTCAAATACAGAATCGGTCACATGGGTGACAACTTCCGATGGACCCAGGCTCTTTGACACAAAGGCACTTTCACAACCAGGCGAATGTTAGGTGACAATATTGGCTTTTCTTAGGAAGAACTTTACGTCTCAAGATTCTGCAGCGTTGCTAAAAAGGAAAAATAATTTGGAATTTGGTTCAATAGCATGCGATTGCAGATAATGTAGAAATTTGTCATATGGAAAATCAAAATGGCTTTTCGAGGAATACTTGCATTGATCTTCTTGAGCACAGGTATCAGCATTATATTACGTTTATATAATAGCCATGTGTTGATGAATGCTTGAATAGTTAATTTAATAGCTATGCGAGAAAAGTACTTCTCAGAAAGAAGTCTCTTAGTGGCACGCTTTGAACACGCAGAAAAACATTTATAGTAAACCTAAAAAGTTTTGCGAGTTTGAAAGCATTTAAGAGATGTTTTCTGATTCTTTTCCAAATTATTGACTATAAAAGATGCTTGGGTTCATTGAGTTTTTTTTATTTTTTCTGGAAAGGAGATTTGTGAGGAGATTATAGTAATAAAAAGTGAGGGTATGCTAAGAAGGAGAAGCGAGGAAAAGTAAATACGCATGACTTTGAGAGGCACGAGAAATGAAGGAGCCCCAAATATTTCAATCTGTTCCTCGTGCTCTTATGAATTTAATCTTGGCGACATCTTATGAAGATCCAGCAGGGGCGTGGTAATGGGGTAGACATGGGTCAGACATTTCCAGCCCACAGTCTTCAGGATATTTCAGAATATCTCAGGATTATGGCTGTGTTTTGGTCTAAATTTGACGAGGAAAGTAGAAATATGGATGTGCTTGGGTCTTGGCCTTTATCGACGCCCTCTAGATGTTGTTTCTCAAACATTTTCATGGTAAGGGCCCCCACTTCATGGCTGCGCTCTCATGTCCTCTCTTTTGAGGCTTGCATCATCCCTGCATTCCAATAGTTAAAAACATGTCAGTTGTTTGAAACATGATATAATTCGATGAAAGGACGGTAAAAAAGCGTCTGTCAGAATAAAATAGAGAAAACTTGCAGATGATAACGGTTACCCACACGGAAACGATACCTAACGACAGGAACTGACAGATTCCCGAAAAGTTACAAAACATGTTTTGATGTCTGTCTGATTAAAATGTATTAAAGAAGTCAAAGCACAAAAAACAAAGGAATAATCTATAGGTTTGAAAATTCAAATTTTCATAATCCAAACACAATTTTTTACTCATACAGAGTAGTTTTTCTTGTGTAACTTCGAATCACCTCAGGAAAATCTCGTTATTTTTAATGGGAATGTTTCCTGTTTAATCTAAAAGTCCCTGGAAATCCTTTTGTTTTGGTGGAAATCTCGCGAACTATTTGGAAGAGTGAACTGCCCCTGTTGTGAGAAAACTATAAGAAATATTGAACAAATCCCGCCTTTCTTAAAAGTCTGAACTATTCACAGTAATATTTGAACTTATCCTTGTGCTGTTTTGTAAACATGAATGTGTATTTGTTTTTGGCTCCAAACTGTTAGTTCCTTGGGTTTGTCAACTCGATTATTGCATAAATAAGTTTGCTTGCTCGATGTCTTCTCACGTTGGTGTTGAGTCGGGCAAATTAGATGCTAACTGAAATAGGGTTGACGAAAGGTGAGAAAAGAAGCTCGTGTGTTATGCAATTTCTAGAAAACCTATCATAAAACTACTAGTTTTAGGTTTAGGTCAGTGGGGTGATCATTTTTGCTGTAGTATAACTATGTTGTATATATCAAAGATAATTAACCATCTCCCTGTACATACTTCTTATATAAGAATACCTAATTTACTTCTAGCCTCAATACAATTCATCTAACAATTTTTTCATTTTGAGCCTAAGCTCATTCTGAATTTATTCTTAAGCTGGACCTGGTTGGAAAATATTTTTAATGAACTATTTTGTTTTAGTACGTTTGAGACTTGAAATTCTATTAAAAACGGTTAAGCTCATTTTAGGAAATGCCTTTCTCTCTGCGCTTTGGTTTTTAAAAACATCCTTTCTTTTTATTTCTGAAACTTAAAAGAAACATTCTGTAGCCGAGGATACAAGATGACTCTTTTCTACATAGATCTGATGTACTGAACAAGGAAATAATTCCTTAGTAGATGCCATTACATGACCCCCTGACTAAAGTTAGGCTAGACACGTGAAACTACATTGGACAATGTTTTTTCTCAAGACGTCCAGGCAAACAAAAATGTGTTTATATAATCAAATCAGTCAGAGGCATTTAAATTCTTTTCACCTATCCTAATACGTTAATTTCTCTACAATTTGCTGCATTCTGAGTTTTTTGCTCGATTTAAGCAGGCGTTGTGCATACCTAATGGCATGCTGGGTAATACTGAGCGCAATTTGAACTTAAGAATAAGGCTGTTAGTTTATTGAAAAATTCATTATTTCTAGATTCCACTATTAAACAGGAGCGCCGCTATGTCACGGAACCCAGCAAAGTAAAGCAATAGAAAGAATCCACAAAACACAAGCAGTTTGCGACGAAAATCGAAAACAATGAAAGATGACTGAGACTTACAAAAGCAAAAAAGATACCGAGCAATTAAGCAGAAAATCCTTGAAGTCGTCTTTGATGGGCGGCGGGTCCATAAAAATCTCGTTTCTAGGGCATGAGTGCTTGGACTCGAATTTTTCGGTGTTTGCTTTTAATTACTTGGTCATTCAGCTAAAAGATAGGGGATGATAGCAGGGATGAAAATAAATACTAAGATCTATGTGGCTGGTAAATGATAAGATAAAGTCGAGTCGAAAATATTTGCTACTTGAAGTGAAATTGATTGGCATAACCCCGTCAATAAGCTGTGGTTGCAAAGCCATCTCTTGCGCAGGAAATCGTCGAATTTTAATTTTCACCTGTAACGGTCAGGATTCTTCTCATGACGGTGAATAGGTGAATAACCGGTGTATAACAAGCCCGTGGGTGGAGGGATGGGATAGGCCCTGAATAAGTAGCACACAAAAGATATCGTTCTTTGATGTTTTCTCAAATGATCCAACAGAAAGACTAACTTATATCGTGATTCGTGATCAACACATACTATTAACATAAATTGAAGCTAATTAACAGGACAATACGAGCGTCACACTACATGTTAAAAGACAAACACATTGCCATAAAAAGGCGTTGTTCACTAACACAACAGGACTTAACAGAACATGTGACTCTAACACGCAACCGGAACATTACTAAATTGAATAAATATAAAATCCAAACCGTTACACACCTTTTTGAAGAAATAAAAGGAAATATGTCGGGAAAAACTGCTAGTAGTAAAATTAATGATTGGCAGGACCAACAGATGGCGAGAAGCAAGCAAATGAAAATAAAGCTTATTCGAAGAACCAAATATTTGGTACCACTTAACTAATATTTTGCCCCTATTTTATCTGCCAAAAATTTGATGGGTAAGGTTCTCATTATGTTCTGTATCGCAGGGAACACACAAAGTAATTCACCTGTCGTAAAACAGAAAAATTAACGTTACTCGCTCACATCTAATAATTATGCTTCGTAAATGGCTTTGAAAAAAGCAAACATTTAGTAAACTAAAGCTTTTCGTCTGACACTCTTCAGAGTTTAAAACGTCAGAACATAGATCAAAAACTCTACGCTAAGAAATATATACCCAATTGTGGATCGAAATAGGCCAATCAGAAACACGAGCACATGACTGTAAAGGTTAACCAATCAGTGCCGTTTGCCTATTAGAATGTTACCAATGGAGTCCTAAGGTGAAAACGAACTCCTTTTGTCTACACAGTAGCGGTTTTTTCGTGCTTATGTAGATAGATTCTAAAACTGCTAGGTGGAACGACGATCGGGCTTTACCAATAATCCGAAAAATGTCGCCATTATAGTTTTTTGCACAAATATGCTTCGCCATAAATCATAACATTCCATTCAGGATGGTAATGGAAGGGGCTTGAAAAAAAAATGGCCTGCGAAGATTTCTTAACTTGGTACGATCTATCTCTTTAATGTAACTGGGTATCATCTACCCCCTTAGATTTTGTCATGCTCGTTACGATGCCAAGATCCTTTAGGATTCAACATGTTAATGAAATCAAAGTGCACCCCCCCCCCAATCCTTCCGTTCATGTTTACTCCCATCATAATGACACTTCTGATCGTATCTTTTTCCAGGGTACACGGCAGCAAACTACACATTCATTTACACGCCAGGCCCTGTTGTTTACTTCACACCGCCGGAGAAAGTAGAGCTAAGATGGACGGTCCCGAGCATTCATCCGATCTTCCGGATTCAATTTGAGAAGTACTTCCCGGAATATGAGACTTTCAATCAGTACATTATCACAATACCGAAATTCAATTATTTGTGGATTGGTATCTACCGAGACCGGTTGGACTACCATGAACAAATGACAATGCGGTTCAACAGTACAATACTTTCTGATCAAGGGGTCTTTAGATGCAAGGTGATGTTTGATGGTGCTGGCGTGGAAATATCATCCGATACAGATCTTCGAATACGTCGTAAGTTGAACAAGATTTATTTGATCAGTTCCTTTTATCAGTCTTTAATTTCAAGTAAGAATACTGAGGGCAGTAGTTGCGTTTTCGAGGAAGCTTCAGACATGATCAATTATTCCTTTTCGTTAAAGGCAATCGACATCCTGAATCGACCAATCAGTGAGTGTGGTTCCACTCAATCGCTTATTGATTGGCTAATAGTGATTGACAGGTGGTTTAAGTCAATTTCGTATCTGTTGATTCGCCTTTTTTTGTCTGTCCCTGGAACCTACATCAGGTTACTCAAACCCAGTCCACTTCCTATTTGTATTGCTAATATATGGTCACAGGGTTGCAAATTATCTCTATGGTTACAGTTTTAAGTGTAAAGTGTTACATATGCTGGTATAATCTATAAAGAGGCCAGTTTCCACTTGATTTGCTCTAGGTGCGCGACTTTGGCCAAAGCGAATCTACTGTTAGAAAACATGGAGACTCTGCGGAGGACGTGTAGTAAATATTGAGTATTGTTTAGTTTATTTCCGTGAAGTATGTGAAGAGATTTAATCGAGGTTGGGGGAGGCATTCTTTGATATGATTTTGATTGTTGGATTGCTTGGATGGAGATTGTTTTCTTTTTCGATTGGAACACGAACGCGTGTACGGAATTAAAATTGTATGTGTCTAGAGAATATATTATGGATATCGATTTTTAATCGTTTATATTGGAATCTAGATTGTAGATTCACTGTTTTCTAATATGACCGTTTGAGAGAACCTTAGAATCATAACCAGTTTGTTTCCCTCTTGTTTATCTTGAACTGAATTTATGGTACGGGAACACTGCTCGGTTTAACTATTCCGGTTGAAATTGTTTATTTGGCAATGTTAGCCATCATCTACAGAGCCAAAGCGAATCGACAAATCAGCGAACACGACTGATAGCGTATTTGCAGCGAAAGAAGAAGTTAAATTTGCGTATGCTCGAATGTGCATTTGCTCAGTCGTGCGACCAGAGCGAATCAAGTGGAAATCCACTTTAAGGCAAGTAATAATAAATGTACTATCTTTTTTCAGCCTCTTCCCTGATTCAACAGCCTGCAGCAACCTCTTCCCTGATCCAACAGCCTGCAGCAACCTCCAGTTGGTTTAATGCTTTGAATTCAGTAACCAACAGTGTGATTACGTCACAGACAAATCAATCCTCAATGCAAGTCCTTAAAGCATCAACGTATTTCAATTCTGATGTCCTTATACAACTGACATCACAATACAACAAAATATCTCGTTCAACGCTCTACAATTCCGACTTAGCGTTGAGCACATTAGGCCAATCCACTTTATCGTTGCTAAAATCAAGCAAGGCTTCATTATCGGCTGCTGTTGGGGTTTCAGCGAATTCAACAATGGTTAAGAGCATTGAATCTTCTAAGCTCCAACAAACAAGTATATATTCAGCGTTACACGAAGCGATGATGTTAACCTCTTTTGCGATTTCAAGTACGAAGATGATCCAAATTTTCACTTCCCAACTCAAAACTCTACAGAGCTCGAGCAGCAGTGTGTCAGAATACAATTCCGATTCTCTGTTAACATCGTCGTCCTTAATTTCTAAAGCTCTTGATAAAACAACTCTAAAAAGCTCCTCCGCACCCACATCGACTGCTGCAACGATATCTTCTATTCTTAGAGTTTTGAACAGCACCAGATCGGTGGATTCCAAAAGCATCAGTTTTTATTCTGACTCTGTGCAAGATAGAACTAGCTATACAAGCAAGTCTACAAAAAACACCCAATTCTATTCTGACACAGTGAAGGAAGGAACTAGCTATAAAAGCAAGTCTACAAAAAGCAACATTTTGTACCCTGACTCAGTTCACAAAAGCGCTTATAACATTAGTAAGTCATCAATTTATTCACATACGAGTTCGGAGCTAAAAAAATCATCTTGGGACACAAATGTACAAAGAAGCTCGAGGATACCCAATACCAAAGTTACCCACAGTGACAACGTTTTGAAGACCTCAGATATGTCAATGACAAAATTTGAACAAACGAAAAGTTCTACTTACCCGTCAAAAATTACTCCAAGCACATCCCATCTTTCGCATACCACAGAACAGACAGAGCCAGTGATGCAGCACACGATATCCTACATTTCTGCCTCCACCTTGAAAACTCCAAAATTGACGGTAACAACATTGCAGCAAATGGGAGGAATCTCTAGCTACAAAGCTCAGTATACTCGGAGGTTATCATATTCTTCTCGTTTGCTTCCAACGGCCACTTTAAGAAACAAACAAGCTACACCAAGAAAACAACTATCTGACAAAGAGATAGGCCTTTCTGTCGGTCTGCCCGTTGCTTTTGTCTTTCTTCTCGGCCTCACAGTATGGTTCTTTTTCATGAAATCCAAAGTATTCACGTCCAGAGTGTGTCCGAAATCGCACACTGAAAAGGCTGACAACTTGGAAGCGGTAGTAGCACTTAAATACATCCCAAAAGATGATTAAGTCGACAGAATCTGTAGGAACAGACAGCCAAATCCTAACAGGTTGCTAAAGTATTACTGCCGTTTCCAGTAGAATGCTGATACACAATCAATCCCTTCTGGGATGGTAACACCGTGGCAATCTACTGAATGTGTAATCAAGCCGCTGGGTTAACACCTGGGGAGAAAAGCTACCAAGGGAAAAAGCACACAGGCCATTTACAAACGAGTGTGTGAGGACACTGGGCACTCTCATTAGACAGTTAGATTTACAATGTACAATGCCTGCCAAAAGTCTTGGAACACTGACATCAATTTCCAAGGTTAAAATCAATCATCCCCCTCTCCCCTACAGAACAATGTTGGTTTACTATCAAACGGGTTAGGATATAAGGAAGCACTTTCTTTTGCGCTTCTTTTATGATATTTCTCTAAATCATCAACATTGTTTGAGGGGGAAGGGGGCGGAAGTAGCAATTTTTTTAATGAAAGGAATGAAAGATATCAAATGCAGCGTAAATTGGTGGGTGTTCCAAGTACTTTTGGCAGGCATTGTAGAAGAGATCCAGTTGATACAAGAAGCTATGACCGTTATCTTAAAGTTTGATGGAAGGATAACTAGTAATTATTTTCCATGTACACAGATCTCGTTTAAAAACGGAAAGGGGCAAATATTTTTTAGATAACAGCACAATTTAAAAAACATAGCAACGTAAACACTACAAAGAAGAACATCTACCAAACGAAAATTATTTCCATTCTTCTCTGCAAGATACAATTAATCAATAGCCGTGATGAGTTTCATGATAGCTAGAAAGGATTAATTAATAATCCAGTTTATTAGCAGGATCATTACATAATCCCCCTTAGAAAATTTTCAAAACCAGACAATCATTCAGATGACAGACGGGTTACTCATTTCGAAAAAGATTTGAAGAAAGTTTACATGTACACAAAAATCCAGTTAAGCTTACTTGCACACAAAAATCCAATTAACTTTTTTCACTGCACTTCAAACATGATAAAGGCCAATTACACTTTCCTGTAATCAAATAAGATTATCAAGAGAAAACGATCGATTAATTAATCCGATAATTTATCCAATAGCACGATTAATCCGACAGCACGATTAAGTAGGATTAAACTGCAATCCACAGAATTCTTGGTAAACGATTCTGCCATTCCTTTTGCATTAAACAGATACCTGGAATTAACATAAAATGAAAAGGATACCTCCCCGGAAGCTTTTCAAAGTTTCAGGTAACAATCAAATTTTCTAAATGATTGGAAAATCTGAAGGTTAATCATCGTGTTGATTTGATTTTACTAATCATCTCTTAAAATTGATTTAAACAATCTTTTGGTGGTACAAAACTTGTAAATAGCTTTGAAAAAAGCAAACATTTAGTAAACTAAAGCTTTTCGTCTGACACTCTTCAGAGTTTAAAACGTCAGAACATAGATCGAAAACTCTACGCTTAGAAATATATATACCCAGTTGTGGATCGAAATAGGCCAATCAAGAACACGAGCACATGACCTTTACATTTCATGTCTCGTGTTTCTGATTGGCCTATTTCGATCCACAACTGGGTATATATTTCTTAGCGTAGAGTTTTCGATCTATGTTCTGACGTTTTAAACTCTGAAGAGTGTCAGACGAAAAGCTTTAGTTTACTAAATGTTTGCTTTTTTCAAAGCTATTTAAAATTGATTTACAAAAACCTGAATGATACGCGAGTATCAGACGTACGTGAGTGGTATAGTAGCTGCTGCTTTTAAGATGATGAGGCATCTGAAAGTTGCGAATAGACTAACCAGTTAAAATAATCCTAGCGCTAGGAAGTCATCGATGTCCAATTACCTCCACAAAGCTACTAAATTGAAATTTTCTAAATCGGCAAAAATAAGCAAAAAATCGGCAAAAATAATCAAAAACTGGCAACAGATAGGGTTTTACTATTACAGTCAACTCTGTGTAACTCAAACTTTCTGGTGGATCGTCAAAATGTTCGAATTATAAAATGTTGGATTCATACGAGTTTTAAAAAAATCCTGGTGTTTCCCTCAGTTATAACTACAAGAGCTACATTAAGCCTTTATCCATAGAATTGCAACATACACAGAAATTTTAAATAAAGAATTGTCAACTTACTTGGTCTTTTAACAAGAATGCAATAGAAAAATAGACAATGCCGTTAGTCTTTCAGAGCTCGGCACAGGGCAGGCCAAGACTCCTCGAATATTGGTTTATTCATCTCCCCAACAAATATTTAAGCAAACTATTTAAATAAAACAGCCAAAAATGACAATAACGTAAATTTTAAGATAATTTGATGAAATGAAGTACTTTTATCACTAGTATATTTCTCAAATTTTTTTAACTAGAAACGTAGTTTTTCTGCGGGGACCAACAAAATTGGTCCAATTAGGAAAAGTTCAAATTATCGAGATTCGAATTATACTGGGTTTTTGTTAGGGTTTATTAGGTGATTTTCAAGAGAACTGATAACGTTTAGTCTTCTTGAAAATAACATGAGTTCGAATTAGACAGATCTGACTGTATTGCGTTTAAGAAGGCAAAGTTTGCAAATTATCTTTTGGTGGTACAAAACTTGAAAATGGCTTGAAAAAAGCAAACATTGGAGTAAACTGACGAAAACTTTAGTTCATTCAAATGTTTGCTTTTTTCAAAGCCATTTTCAAGGCAAAGTCTCTTCCTCTCCGACACACAACAAAATGAGACAAGATTCTTAACATTTTTTAGCCATTACTAGGTGTGTCTAAACTGCCCGACAATTCCACAACTGAGCATCTTACGAACATTTTCCCACACAAAAACATTTGTGGGTATCTTACAGCGATACAAGGCACCAAATTCATAAATCAAGCCTGTCATCACTGAATTATAAACTTGAAATACTGACCAAAAGTCAGACGATTAACGAAACCTGTTGCCAAGGATCTTTTATGAATTTTGCTAATATTCCCAAACTTCCTAAATATTATCATTCCATTATTCATTAAAGTATTTACACTAGACCACTGCGTATTAGCTTCAAACCAAAGAAACTAATCTAAGGCAATGGTAAAAATTATGGAGAGATTAGGGGGCAGCTGCCCCCCCCTCCCCCTAAAAAAATTGGACAGGATTCAGAAAATTTATATAGAAAATTGGATACTTGGGAATCTACTCAAGTCATAAGAAAAAAGGCCAACGAAAAAAGAAACTCGAAAAGTTCCCTTCACTTGCCTAATCTTTCCAAAAGGTCAAATTCTCCCACTGATCTAGGGACGTTAACTCGGGCAAGACCCAACAATAATAAAGTTTCGTACGGATAAAACAGATACTCTAGATGAAAGATCCCCTACAATTTCGGGAAAGAGCATTTATTCTCCCTCAAGATTAATTTGTCCCTAAATTTTTGCTATTCTTAGCAATCACTAAATTTCCCTAATTTTACGAAACATTTTCCGAATAATCGCAATAAATTGTGGATTGCACTTCAGTTTTCGATTACATTCACTGGCGTTCCCTCTACGAGATTCTGAGGTTTTCTTAAAAACAAAAAGAAAACGATAAACTCCAAGTACTATAATTAGTAATTACAACATTCAGTCGGATGTGTGTTAAAGCCTCCAGATACCATCATACTTAAAATACCTTGAAGTATCAGAGAAATACAGGATAATACCAATTAAATATGAAAAATATGTACAAAATCGTGGTTGTATTTTGCAATTAAGGCAGCAAACATACATGTGTAGATAAAGATGACTCACACATATTGATGTTCGTATTCTTAGCCATCTTCAGTGCTGCTGTTTGTAGCAAGATTTGTACTATCAAAAAATTCGATTTTTTCAACAAGTTCCTTTTTATATTCTAAATGCTCTGCTAGATCACTTGGATTGCCAAATGGATTCTGAAAATAAAACACCAAAATTGAAAGAAAAACAACAATTTGAAGCTGCTTTTTTATTTAGCTCTTCTACCAAGCGTTGCAAAAGAATTCTAGAATAACCGCAGGAAGATTGTTTCTTGAAGTCATGACAGCATTTTTCTAAGCTTTTTACCCCCTTCCCTTTATGCAAATGTTTTTTAAATCAATACATCTAGTGTTTATTTGTGAGTGGCAAACTTTTATAGACAGGGGGTCTGGGCAAACGTCACAGAACAGTGATAGAAAAGTTAAATTTTTGCTTAATTTTTAACAAGCCTTTGATTAAGAAATCTAGCATAAGCCAATGAACAAATATGGTGACCTTTTATGGCCAGTGGTCTAGAGAGTTAAAAACTAATACTCTTTTCCATTTAGTTGGTTGTGCAGCCATTCAATATTCTAATGAAAAGTTTAAGGTTTTGGGTTTAAAACTGAATATTCACTGATACATTTCATAAGTTTTCACATAAACAATTTATAGAAACAACCATATTTCCGGTGTTTTAATTGTGATCAAATGAAATTTTATCAGAGTTAATTTCATGTAAGATGTCGTAGAATTAAATTTTACATTGGATGCTGCAGAATTCAATTTCATTAGAGGTTCTTATTCAAGCGGAATTGTATTATCTATAATCTGATTTTAAGGTTTATGCGTTCATTCTTGTTCCAAGCCTCCGTGTGTGCCGATGCACCAACGGCCAATCGCTGCTTCCTATGATTAGGGAATGTAGCCTCGAGATCTTATTTGATTAGTGATGTGACAGTATCTTCTGAGGGAACAATATTGTTCAAATTCAAGCACTTCCTTGGCTGATATTTCCTCCCCAAGTAGGGAATTCAGAGATGACAAAATAAACAGATGTTTTGAAACGTAACCTTTTGAGAAGAAAGTTGAAATTTATTCATACCTTTAGCTTTGAAAATTTCTGCTCTTTTGAAGAATATTCACGTAGTAAGAAGTTTGTGCCCGTCTGCAAGAAATGATAAAGAGTGTAACAGCCGACAACCATGATGGGCGACTGGATTTCTTATGCTTGATTTGCAATTGGTAACAGATAAAACTGGTTATTGTAATCAAGGGGTGCAAAGAAGCTTTACAGACAACAGACATTACAAAGTTTCAAAACAGCACGAAAAAGCACAAATATGGCATACTGAGGTATTTTTCATCTAAATAAAACATCAGATAATGACAAAAAGGTAAGCAGAAATTGATAACTAGCTGCGGATTGAAGTTATTAAAAACGAAAACTGTTAAAAAATACAGAATAAACAACTTAACCAGAAACTTAAGAAAATTTGAAACAACCATGCAGAGTTCTTTAGGAATTTGTCTTACAACAGTGAAATTCAAAGCAAATTAACTGAAAATCTGTTCCGAAATTTTTAAGGCTTTTACTAAACGCTTCACATGAATATATTTGAATTATTTATTAAATGACATCATCATCACGGCGACCGCAGTCGAACATTCATCACGTAGTTTCCCCACAAGTAACGGTCGTCCATAGCTTCTGGTAGCTGCTCCTTGGCTACGTTGGTATCTTTGGTTAGTTGGTCGATGAATGTTAGAGCAGATCTTCTCTTGCTGCGCCTTCCATGAGCGGGTTCCAAAGTAAAGGCTTCCATATTGCAATTAAATACTTTGGAAATGATATTGATAAAACAAAATTAAATTTATTCATATCAGACCTTGTTTTGAAAATCGTATCCTAGGTTTTTCCATGCATAAATTAAGGACTCAAATTTGAAACGTTGAAGTTGTAGCAATAAGTGTTTTGCAGATTTACCAAAAATCGAAATAGGCCAATCAGAAACGCGAGCACATGACTGTAGAGGTTGACCAATCAGAAACGCGAGCACATGCCTATTTCGATCCACAACTGGGTATATATATTTCCTAGCGTAGAGTTTTCGATATATGTTCTGACGTTTTAAACTCTGAAGAGTGTCAGACAAAAAGCTTTAGTTTACTCAAATGTTTGCTTTTTTCAAAGCCATTTTCGTTTTCAAAGCCATTTTCAAGTTTTGTACCACCAAAAGATTGTTAACACGCTTTATCTTACCAAGATAAAGTTTTGTAAATAACAAGTTTTATCTTACCTAGAAAAAAATAATTGTGAATAAAGCATTAGTAACCAACCTCGTGGTATAATCTTGTATCATTTATTCTGACAAGAACGTTGTCAACTCTAAGAAAGAAACGAAGAAGTGCAAAGAAAGCACCCGCCATAACACGCTGAAAAAGATAAAAAAGTAAACGATTTTCATATTTTGTTGATAAAAGAAAAGCTTCCAAAAGTCACAAATATACGGATAAAAATAATTGATTGGACGCCTTTCAGGGCTACAGTTTACCCCTTTAAAGTCATGTACAGAAGCAGAGCCAGGTGGACGAAACAGACCCAATTGTGTTTGTCAGATTATAGGCTTGACAATCATGCATGGCTCTACTCCTCTAATTCACCTCTTCGTTGCATTTCCATTGAACGTACTTATAGGAAATTAGTCTATGGCCATGGAAATATTACCCTAACGCAACTGTAAAAAATTTGAAGTGACTCGAAGCTTGAACTTTTAGACGTAGTTTGCAGATGCATTGCTCGCATTTATCTGACAAGGGAAGCTAATCAGTCTCTGTCTTTGTGGACGTCAGCCAATCAGGTCTTGCAGACCCGTCGAAACAAGGGGGCTGGGGGCTGGGGGCTGGGGGGCTAGAGCACCCCAATAACTGTTGAACTGTAGTATGTTTCCTTTATAACAGTGAACAGTGTACTGAATGAGAAGGGAAACAATGGGCACCCCCCCCCCAATATGAATTTCGTTCCGACGGCACTGTCATGGCGTAAATGAACGGAGCCAATGAGATATGCCATACACCGTGAAGCCATTATCGTTGTTCAAATTTCTCATGTTGATATCGCTAAACACCCTTTAATAGCAGGGCTATCAAAATTGAGCTGGGGGAACAGAGGGGCGGTTTGAAAATCTCACCTTCGACTGGCCAAGAATGTAGCTAAGTAGCCCTTATCATAAAGGTCAGAATAAAGTAAAGTAAATGAGGTATAATAATCTAAAATGAGAGCTTGATATATACTGTTGACGGAGCTGGATATTATGTGCTTCATTCAATTGTTGATGGATGCATGAGACAAATGGCTCCATCTGGCCACCCATTGTTGTTTTGTATAAACTGCTTATAAACTATTGTTGAAATAAGGGCTGTCGAGAAGAGGTTGGGCTCCAGAGAGGATTCCATTAGATATAAATTTATTACCCTTTACAGGGAATGAACTATTTGTGTGCACTTCCAGGGTTTGGGCTCCGAGGTTTCTTACCATTTCCTGTTTCTCTTCAACTCCCATGCAGTCAATTCATTAAAGGTGATGATGACTGGGAGGAGGGCGTTGCCTTAAAATTTCTGGGGAAACTCCCTTCTAACTGCCTTTATTTCTGAATCTACCCCCAGATTTAGAATTTGTTGCATTACATGAACAAATGCTATAGAGAAGTGCAATAGGCAGACAAAATGACATGCTTGAACTATATATGAACATCAGACAAGCTACTAATTTACTTAGAAGTAAAATAAATTCATTCCTTCATTATAACTAGAGAAAAAAAAATTATTGACTTACAATCTTAATATTTAGTGATGCCATTCCATTGTCAGCAAGCTCATCCTCAAATAATATGACATCTTCATAAAAATATATTTGCTCTTTAATCTTTAGTTTGTTCAAATCTATGATCTCTGTTGTCTCATGTACCTAGAGTAGATGTCAGGAAGTATTTATTCAAACATTTCATTTCTATCAGGCAAAGAGTTCAAAAAGGAGAGGGAATGCTGATTCTAGAAGCACAACAATGTATTACATTCTTATAGCAATTACTAATCCATGAAAAGGAACATTTTTACTGCAAATTGTAGTCAAGATAATATGCTTCTAAAAGAAACCTAGTTGATAAACATTGGTATTTTCTGTATTATCTAATCCAATAATACCATCTATACATTTTAACACAACTTTTCATACACTACTTTGATGTGTATGCACACTTTAATCCAATAAATAAAAAGCAGATCAAGCCATGTCAGTCAGATGACAGAAAGCTTGCAACAATGGCATACCAGCTGAAAGCAATATAAAAAATTCAACCGATATAAAAGTTAGACTTTATCATTAAGTGTTTTCTTAATCAAATTGATTATCTTAGGCAGGAAATAACAAATGTAATGTCACAAAACTCAAACTGAATATAAAAATAATATGGTAGGGTTATGCAAGTTTTTATAATAAGATTAATTTGATAAGAAAAGTTCATATGGGAATATAGATTTGTTCTTATCCTTGTTCAGGTTACAAAGAAAATGTCTTCCTCAATTAAAATTGATTGATAAATATAATTTATTCCAAATGGCTCTAGAGAAAATCTTTAGAAGCCAGGCAACAATGAATTGCTTAATTTATTTATTTAGGAATTTATCATTTGTTAATCCCTGAATCAGTGTCAAACGTATGGCCAGAATCCAAAACTGGCCAACTTTGGGATCAACTTGGTTTGATGGGTGAATTGACAGCTAAAGATGCATGAATGACATTAATTAGAAATTTTATGCAAACATCTGAGGCTCAGAGCAAATATCTAAAATTACTCCCCCTTTCATTTGTAAGGGAAGTCAAAATAGGCTTTGAGAATTATTATGTATACATGGAAATCCATGTTAAAAAAGTTTAAAGATCTTGATGAATTCATTTCATCTTGAAATGGAACACAATTGTGCTCCTTTGCATAATCACTATGATAAGTTGTAATGCACAAATATAAGTCAAAACTGAATAAAACATTTTTTAAAAAATCTGAGTTTTTTGAATATCTTTTGTGAAAAGATTGCTAATTAACAAGAAAGTTTTCCATTATGTAACAATTTCTCAAAATGAGACCTTAATTTTTCTTCAGCCTTGATATTTTTAAAAATTCAGTTAAATATTTTTTAGTTAAGCTTAAACAAAGCCATTAATAAATCATCTTTTGAAAAGAGAATGAAAGTTTGAATCCCAAAGTGAAGTATGAACAAGACCCATTCAAAACATAAGATTATATTTCTCAGTGGTATTACTGTAAGTTCAAATATTGCCAAAGTTTAAAAATGCAAGACTTCCATTCTTCATTTAATTCTTCAATTATGGCAGATTGACCTTCAGAATTCTAAAGAAAATGTGAAAATGCAGAAAACAGCTCTGCTAGTAATTGTCTAGTAGAGCCATTTGTTGATGAATATGAACAGAAACAAAGGAAAAATTTATTTCAAGGCTTGCAATTTGCTTTTTAGAGCAATTTAAGAGAGCAATCTGTAGCTCCTTTTCAGCCAGTGGCCGCTCGTGTATTGGGGCTAGTGGGGCTCAGCCCCACCAAAGATTTCCAAAAATAAGTTTTAGATTTATAAACATAAATAAAATCAACGTCCATTATTAATTTAGCACTGTTCAATAATTTCGTTGCTTTGAGTTTCACTGTTTGTCCATTCCCTAGTTTTTTTAGGTCCCACTGCCCGTGGTTCTTTCGAAAACTGAACAAACACGCGTATCAGAAACCATCTCCCGAGCTTTTGGGGCTAGCCCCAAACTAGCAGAGAATGCACCAATCAAGTGCCTCTTATGACTCAACTATTCAATTGATGACTGCCTTCTGATTGGCCAATTCTGCTCGAATCTGCATTCCTTTGGGGCTAGTTTCAACTAGCCCCAAATAATTCAATTCAACGGTAGCTGGATTTTTGTTGTTGTGATGTGATAGGCAATGTTGATCTTGAAGTGGAACGCAGCAGAGTGGCGTGTTTTCGATGACTCTCATTTTCAGCTTTAAAACTTTGAAATAGAGCATACAAGTTAAATCTTTATCAGAATTAATTGTGCCGATCTTGAAATAAGCTCATAATGGGAAGGCTAGGCGGTAGGCCTTCTAAAGGCATAAAGCATATTTCCAATGCAGGCTTTCAACTGGAACAATTTTAGCTTCGCGGCATATGAAAATTAATTATTAACAGTTTGAACTTTTTGTTCTTTAAAAATTTTTTAATTGCCATGATATGCAATGCAAAGGATATCGTCTACGGGTTGGCCATATTTAAGTTGTCTATGTTTTTATAGACATCCCCCATAAACCCCCCTTTTTTGTGAAGAGAGAAACGGTCCAGCGGACTTGAGTATATAAAGCTGAGCACACCAACATTTCACATAGTAGAATACTTTGCTTATTAAAAATTATACATGATTAATAGTGGCACTTGTTTTTTTTCAATCGAAACTTTCAAAATGATGACAGCCTTGTTGAGTAGAGGTAGTAAAGAATGGAAAGGCTTTTTATTATTCTTGGCGTTCCGTGTCTATGGCTTTAGATTTTGAATATTACGTCATCAGCCCCACCAAAAATTTATCCCGCAAGCCGCCACTGTCTTCAGCATTTGAGGAGAGCCTGGAGGGGCACAAGAGCATGACCAGGCCTGCTTGTCTTTGCTCTTGAGGGAAGTTTATACACTAAAGAACAAAATTCAGTATAATAAAAGAATGATAAATGAAAAATATTTTCTACCTTGTAAGAAGAAGGATCTTTGGAAACAATTGTTCCTCTGTAATCAGTTGTAAAGGTCCAATCAAAAGGCTTAACCACTTCTTTTATGCCGTCTGTATCTGCTCTATGGAGTTAGAAGCAATCAATATCAAGTTTAAATGAAACCTTGAAACTCTTAATTATTGCAACCAAAAAAACCTGACATATCAGGTAATGAGGGTCATCAGAATGGGAGAAAATTATGAGTTGCACAAGGGAATGGCTTAGTGAAACAAGGGAGTTGCACAAGGGAAACCCACTCCTAGAGTTGGCTGGAGTATTTTGACACAACTGCAGTCAAAATTAGTCCCTTAGAAGGTTAGAATTGACTATGACCAAAAGGTTAGAATAAAGGAATCAGATTTTTTTGTTTCTGCATATGATGGGAAGTACTGGATTGGACTTGTTATGGAAGTTGACAATGAAAATAAAGACATTCTTGTCAATTTTATGCAACCAAGCTACCCCAGCAGATCTTATTCGTGGCCAAAAAGAAAAGATATATGTAATGTACCAGAACTAGACATTTTATGCAAAGTTCCAGCACCAATGACTGCTACAGGGCGGCAATACCAATTTAAGGAAACTGAAGAGAAATTGATTCAAGAAAATATAATTAGATTTTCCTTCCACAGCAAAATCTAACCTGCAATGAATTTTTACTTAAGATTTACTGAGGAGACATAATATTAAATAGCCTATCGTTTTTTAAAATATGTTCTATGCTATGAAAGACAATGATTAATTTAACATAAGTCTGCAAATGCGATTATGAATTTTGTAAAAGTTTAGATACCAATTACTTGAAAATGAAGAAAAAGACCAAGACAGCTTTCATTTAAGTTAAAGTTCAATGTCTCAGGAACCTCCTGGCCAAATTTGGCCTCCAATGGTGTTGTCAAATTTTTTTATCAAGACTTTAATAGATGTAAAAAAATGACATTGGAAGTACCCAATTAAAAAACAGGGGGCACAAATGATACTATGGGGGGTTAGGTTTGATAGTTATGGTGAATTTAATAGCATATTCAGAATCCCCATACATGAAATAGTACAGTTTTTGTTGACCAATTCATCCAAACACATAATCCTTCAGGGTTTCTATTTTTAATTTCTAACCGGAATTCAAAATGGCCGCCATGTGCCAACTTCTGGAGAATTTTGATAAAATTAAAATCCCCATAACTTCTAAATGGTTTTGAATTTTAAGAAAATTTTTTACAGATGTGCTTGTCATATGGTAAGGCTGTTTTAGACAGAAAATTAGCCAATTCTGTGATGGTGGGTGTCAAAATAATGTTTTGCTGCTGATTTAACATGGAATCACCCTTCTGTCAGCCCTTTAGTCACAGAGTTTCTGACACCACAGCCTCCAAAATTGGTAAGAAAACCATTGGTGCCATAAAGAGACATAAGTGTGTTGTTTACTAAATGATAACCCGAAATTTAAAAACAAAATTTTTTAGCCAGATCAGATCATATTTTGATGAAAATCAATTCTCAACAATTTTTCAATATCATCTTATGTGGGTGTTGGTAGAGGAGTAGGTGATCACCAGGATGACAAGCAAAGGCTTGCTGGAGGAGTATGAACTGCAGAAACTGATACCTTAATCTCTGCCATTCTTCTGCAACTGCAACTTTCATTAAATCCTGTTTGTTATCAACTCTTTTTAATGCATCAGTTGCATTGAAACTGAGTCCAAATCCACTTTGGTGCAGAATCTCCATTTTGTTTTCCACAAAAAGCATTTCAGGTAACTGAGGTATGTCAAGCTCTGCTGCAACACTGTACAAACACAAAATGTAATCATGTGTTTATTTCTTATTGTTACAATCAAATACATATAGATTATATATAAAGCTTAATAGGGTTTATAAATTTCACAAAACATGACTGAAATGACTGTACATGTGCTGGGTTTCATTGCAGAACTGTCAAGCTCTGCATACTGGCCTGCACACATAGTTTTGATGTGCCACCTACATCTGAGATTGAAAACATAAAGGATTTTGGCTATATGCAATCACACATATGACGCAATAAGCAAATATTCACAATTTTTCACCAGTCTGCACTCTATAGCAGTTTTAAATGAAATCTTTCAGCTGTTTTAGGCAGTTTTTCTGCAGCAAATCTCCTTCTACTGGGCCTGTGAACAGAACTTAAAATACCACTATTTTAAATTTATTTTGGAATTTCATATTCTGGTCTGAAGCACTACAATGACATGGTACATGCATCTGCAAAAACACTAGAGAATTGGAAACATATTGAATCTAGCTACATGCAGTCATGAGCAGTTTAGGTTTCTAAGGTAGGAGCTACAAAGCAGTTAAAAATGATTGACGAGGAAGGTTTCTTATATTGCTTATTATAAGCAGCAACGTTTTCAAGGCTGAGGCTAATCAGACTGTGTAACTGCATATCAGTACAAGTTTTCAGCTTAGGTCACTGAGACATTTGGAAAAGTGATTGCTTGGACTTCTGTGATTCTTAAAAATGCTCATTTCTATTACCCCTGTCATCAGTCAGTGGCAAAACCCTGATATAAGAAGCCGTGACATGGGGTTTGTTTTCTTGGAATGCACCCTAAATCTAACAAACATTTAACACATTAAATCTACGTTTTCTCTAGGAGATTTTAACTTGAGTTTATCAGTCGCAGTTTTACAAGGAGACCTTCTTATTACCACGCCCATTTCTTACATATCAAATTTAAGTGTAAGTAGGTATCTAAATAGTTCACCTCTCGATATCGTTAGATTTCATTATGGTTCCTTTTACTGTGTGAATGGTCCATGGTCCAAAACTGTAGTCATTGGAGAGTGGTTTGACAGTTGTTGCCATTTTTTTCTCCATTTTGATTGCTTTTTGGATTGAAATTAAAATTGAACACAAAGCACTTAATCTTCTGAAATCAAAAGGCGGGAAAACGAATGACACCTTTGTTTGACGACGTAACTAGCTGCTTATCTACCCAAGTGCTTCCTGCATTCAAGATGTATCTACCATCGATAAATTCATTTAGCAACTGCAGCTTGAGATCATCGAATCTAATGTTTTCCTTCTGTTTTTTGTTCAAGGCAGCTTGCCCTCCTGCTGTAATCCTTTTTTAACTTTACAGCCTCGTGCACAAATGTCTAGCCTCGAAAAAAACTAATAATGGCGGCTGTAATAAGGATTTAAAACACGAGGTAAGCACTGAAGAGTTGTGTCAGTTCTCAGGTTATAAAGATGCGAAAAATTTGCCCATACTGTGGCACAGAAATTCATGAGCCATTTATCAGGTGTGTAGAATGTGTTCCAGAGGTTGACTTATGTCTTTCCTGCTTTGCAAAAGGGAAGGAATTCGGTGCCCATAAAAATGACCACGATTATGAAGTGCGACAGAGTAATTTCTCTCTGCTTGAAGATGATTGGAGTGCAACAGAAGAGCTCAAACTACTAGATAGCCTAGTGGATCTTGGTTACGGAAACTGGAGCGAGGTCTCTAAGCAGTTACAAACGAAAAGCGAAGAGGAATGTAAGCAACATTACACGCACAACTACATCGACAGTCCAGAGGATGTTTTTGCAACAATATTGCCTCCTTTGACACTGGCCTTGGCACCTAAATGTGGACGCAGAGAAATTGCATTCAGATTTTCTGATGATCCACCGAGACCAATGCCCATGTCAGATATGGCAACTGAAATTGCTGGTTACATGCCCTGTCGTGGGGATTTTGATGTTGAGTATGATAATTTTGCTGAAACCTCCATAAAAGATATAGACTTTAATGATGATGATGATGAGTTGTCAACTGAATTGAAATTTGCTGCAATAGATATATTTTATTCAAGGCTGAAGGAACGGCATTTCAGGAAACAGGTGATAAGAAAATATGGGTTGATAAATATACTAAAAGACTCTATGGCTTCGTACAACAAGCAAGAAAGGATGATACGCGAGGCCATGAGGGTTTTCACCAGGTTTCAATGCCCAGAAAAGTGTGAAATGTTTCTACAAGGCATCATTCATCAAAGTAATCTAATGAAACAAATAAAACTATTACAAGGATATCGAAAAGCTGGCTTGAAAAAAAAGCAATCTGCTGGCATCTTTAAAAAACTCTATAACACAAGACAAGAATCCAAAACAAAACGGACACTGGTGAGTGAGATCTCTTGTCATGTTGATATGCCAATGTCATGTCAACTATGGCTTAGAAAACAATTACAGTCACAAGCAAATGACAAAGTAATAGCAGCACCAAGCATGTTTCCCCAACTGTCTAGAAAACCTGCAGCACCTCTAGATCTTAGTGGAATGCCTGGTGTAGAGCAACTTAATGATGAAGAGAAAATTCTATGTTCACAGATACGTTTACCTCCTCTTCAATACTTAAACCACAAAAGCACATTGATCAAAGAGGGGAAAAGACTTGGCTCACTACGACTACAGCAAGCAAGACCTTTGATAAAAATTGATGTCAATAAGACGAAAAAACTTTATGATTACTTCGTAGAACAAGGATGGATCGATGCTGGTTTTGAATAAAACAATAAAAAATTAGCTGTATTATTAATTGTTCTTAGTGTTCAAAGTTGTATTTGCTTCACTTTTGTCTTTCATTGATTGTCTGTTTACCATAAAAACTTGGTTAAGCCCCCTTTCAAATTTTTCTCTTTTTCTAACATTCTGTTTGAGTAAGCCCCAAGTTAAGCCCTGTGATGAGAAACTGATTTTACAGATAGTTTCAGAAATAAACTGCTCTTTCATGGCAAATACTGATAGCTCTGATTCCTTCACATACAAGAAAATTATTGCCAAAAATGTTTCACAACAACTGGAAAGTTTATGATTAAATCATTTCTAAGAAAGAAACACCACTTTGCACACTGAATACCTATACATTGATTAAAAGTCTACATAACGTTGTTTGTGAGTTTGCAATGTTTCATGGCTTCTTGAAATCCTTGACACAGTGATATATCATATTGATTTTCAGCACAGTCCAAAAACTGCTTGATTTCAAATTCACATGGGTTCCTGTAAGCCTGTTGTTGGTACTGTTGTGGGTATTGCTGACTCTGGTACTCTGCAGGAGCAGCTTGTTGTTGTTCTTGTGCAGGTTGTGAGCTTCCTCCACTGAAAGCACCAGTTAAAGCACCACCTGGAAAAAAACATAATAAACATTGAAAATAAATTGAATTCTAAATTTAAATTGAGGTCCAAAAATCTCAAACAAATTATTAACTAAGTGATTGTCTAGAAAGCTCCCAATATTATCTTTACCATAGGGTTTTCCATGCAAATTACATACAGTTCAAAATTATTCATTTCAAACAACAAGAAATACAAGTTAAAGTTTGAATATAATAAGTGAAGATATTACATTAAAAATTCCAAATCTTTATCAATCACAATAATTGCTAATACAAAGACAGTTATACAATGACTTTCCTTAGAATAAACTCCAAGAAGGGCTATTAAGCTAAGGGCCCCGCTTTTGAGGCATTGCTAATTAATTGAATTGAAGATTAACAATGGTAACAACAGCACAATAATAGTAAGCATAAAAATGAACAACCCCATCAATTGCAATTGTCATTAATAGTGACAATTTATTCAGTTAGTTTTTGGCTAGGCCAAGTTTCATTAAAGCACTTAGTAATTCTAAATAAGTAAAACTTAGTAGAAGCTTATTAGCCAGAATATTTAATTTTTGGCAAATGCATGTTTTGATGCATGCAAAAACACCTGAGCAAGTGAATCTAAATTTTTTTATTTTCTGTAGGTAAAGACAACCCTGGGTAAAGAATTTACTGTTTTTAAGATCCCATATTCTATGCACCATTCACTGATCTCAGCATTAGTAACTCAAAAGAATCTCAATGAAGAGGGAAAAGGAAAGGCAAATAACCAATGCAAGTATTTCAAATATAGGATGAGGGTGTAGAGTCAGCACAGAGGGTCTGTTATATTTTCTTAGAATAGTACAATTGCTTTAGGGAGTTATTTGAGAAGATGGTTCTTTATCAGATTTAAAGATGATAAATACTGTCCATCCAATGGTTTTAAACAGAATTAAGTGTCAATTACATACTTTCAATGGGAGCTCAAGTACTGATGATACCATTATTTTGCTCTGATTATTTTGTTCAATTTTCATCCTTAAGTATCACTACTAAAACAACCAAATATCTTTGCTTATAGCACTATTGACCCCTCTTGTAGTTAAGTTTTGGTACATGCCTGTATAATATCATGTCTGGATCTTCTACACATCATACAAGGTCGCACAAATAGACAATTTGGCACTCCCTCTCATCTCCAAAAAGGCAAACTCATTTTTTCAAAACTTTTTTTCAGCACCAATTTGTTAATTATAAGAAAACAGCCTACACATATTATTACCCATTATTAAAACCTTTATTAACCCACACATTCCAATTTATCAACAAGAAGAATGTACGAATAAAGAAAAAAACAGCTGAGAGATAAATGTAAAAGAACTCAAGATAGAGCTATCTAGGCCATGTGACCAGGTCACATTGTTAAGTTAGGGCATTATTTAAAAAAGTTCAGTTTTACATTAGGAAACAACAAGAAAGAATAAAGGATAAGTAAATAAAATAAGACAAGTAAAAGAAAAATAGAAATGAAAACATAACATAACAAAAATAGTAAAAGTTACAGAAAATACTATTATGTAATAAAGTGGTACACATACCTAATATATTAAGTATCTAAATCTGAGAGGACTTTCAGTTCAGTGCAACTGTTAAACATTGAGTGAAGTAAAATTGACATATACCTAATGTGTGACCTATCGTAGATCCGACCGCAACACCAGCAGCTGTTGATGCCATTTGCCCAAACAGACCAGGCTGTGAGCTTTGCTGTGGTGCCGGTTGTGCAACAGAAGAGGGCCTAGCGGGTGCAGTAGCAGGAACATTTGATCGTGCTGGAGCAGGCGCTGGCCTTGCTGGCATTTGATCGTGCTGGAGCAGGCGCTGGCCTTGCTGGCATACGAGGAGCAGACATTCGTCCACCGCCACCTGATCTTCGAGGCATCACGAAATATAATGCTAATTAAGCTAATAGTTTCAAAAGTTTTGTATAAATTTTGCCACGACTTCGTAACACGATGTTCTTGAAGATGCTCCAGAAGACAACGAATTTAAAGCTTTTTCGTCACTCATACGAGGCTAGAAGATGACTTAGGAAGTTTCTGGAAAGCACGCAAAAAGCAACATCCTAATTCCCAAAAAATGCAAATTAAAAATATTTCAAGTGTTTCAGTTAACTCTATAGTGTGCTGTCTCTATCTGGTAAAAAAATTCAATATACTTATTTGCCTTTTATTAAAATCATAACCGTGAAATGAAAATCTCGTTTTGATAAAAGCTCATGACGTAACATTTCATAATGATGCAAAGATGACGAAGCCTTTTTCAAGTAAACACATTACGTAAAGTTAAATTTACAGTTTTAGCGACTATGATGACGAAATAAAATTCTTAAGGAAATCAGAGGGAGCATTTGGTAGTCTTTTCAACGTTAATTCGGTCGGTCATTTTTTCCTGAACCAAAGTAATGAGGTGATGATGTGGGCAAAACGTTTAATTGCAGAGCGTTTTTTCGGAAGGGGTGTCACACCCATATGTACCCAGTAGCTACCCCTTTTTAATAAGATGGTCACTTCTTTTTCTTAAAACAAGATACAATGCCCCCCTTTTGATGAGGACAAAGGTCTGAACCCCCAGCTGAGGCCTCTTATGAACGGCTTTATGGATCCCTAGATCTAGAAGCAAATCAAATAGTACATCTCTTTTAGGGCCGTTAAAAGAAAGGATTTAAAGGACATAATTCTTTTCCTGGGTCTCAGTGGCAACATTGCTAGGATCAAATTGTTCAATGTCAAGTTTGCTCATTTTTCAACTCCTGGCATAAAAGACCTGGCAAAAATTATCAAAATACGAGGGATCTTATTAGCTTGCATCATTTGAATGCTAAATCATTAAAAATCAACAGCGCACATTTTCACCATTACCATATCATACATAATAAGATACATAAACTAAACAAAATATTATAGTTTCTATTTTCTCAATATTTATCCAGTTAGTTGTCACTTTTGTTTCATTGCAAACACCCACACACCTTTTTAGAAACAATTTGTTTTGCACCTGTTCATTAATATGATACATCTTGAGTTTGCTCAGCTCACGAATAGGGATATAAATGGGATCATTGCAGAAGAGAGGCTAACGTTATATGTGATTACTTAAACCTGCTGTTTTTGAAATATAATGTTTGTCATGATACTGAGATGAAATTTAACTGAATTTGATAGCATTTAACTCATGTTGAGAATGGCTGTGCAAAAAGAAATAATTTTAATTTAATTTAAGATTGTTTTAAAGAATTGTCTTAAATCCTCAATTGACTAAATCTATACCAGCAAAGCGTATTTATCAATAAAATAATTTCCGGAAAAATGATTTGAGCAGATCATGAAAAATGACTTTAATGAATAATTTTGCCAGATGGCACAATGATCGGACACAAGGTATTTATTTTGAGCTGATATTGTCAAAAGCAGTTCATTCTTTTTTGTATAAATTAAAAAAACAATTTATGTTTATCAAAATTTTGGTGTTTTACTTCACAGATCTTTGAAGTGATGGGACTTTTGATATGCTTGCACAAGTATATGCTAAAATCTATCTGGTTAAATCAGTTAAACAATATTAATTTTCTTGATTGAACCAAATTTCTCTACATTGCTTGTGATAACAATTCAATCCTGCTAAAAATGTGCACATACTCTGATAATTTCCTGGGAACCCTATTCCAAGTTTGCTCTTATAATTTTTTCAGCTCAAAGGTAAATGAGGCTTATAATGTTTAGTTCCTAAACTGCATCTAAAAAGGAAAGAAGTAATTTTCCAAGCAGTTTTTTGCACCATAGACTAATTAATGTATGAAAAATACAGTTAAAATAAAAGAACACTCTCAGGAAGGATAATACAGTTATTTGTAGTGATGATTCACATCTGGTCTACCTGATATCCTTCTAAAACTTTTATAATCAAACTCATAATAGCCAAAAAGGAACAGTAAAAAAAGACAACTAAATTCACACAACAATATAATATATTTACTAACCAAAAACATATATACTTAAGGAAAGAAATGAACTGTGGAAATATAAACAAATCTTTAAATGATAAAAGATGGTCCCTCACATCTTCCATACTCAAAGATTATTACATTATTTTACAAGGTAATTTAAGCCGGTTTCTGATTTCCATCTCTCAAGACACATCTAAAAAGGAAAAAAATCTTATGATTACTGCAATGTACTAGAAAATAATTTGTCCAATGGTGCTTTTGCTGTGTTAGTGAGAATTGGAAGTTTTGTAAATAACAGAATTAAGAAAGACCAATGCTTTTTATTACATATGAGAATTTTTGTGAATATAACTTTAAAATTACATGGAATTTTACAAGGAAAATAAGCAAGTTTGAAATAAAGGAATATTATTATATTGAGAAGTTTTAAGAAAATAAATGTAAATATTTATTCATTAGAAAAACAAAGGCAATTAAAGCACTGGTTTTTAAAAACATTGTTGATTGTAGAGGTCCTAGAAAAATGCATTTTCCAAAAATTCTAATTTTTAAATGGAAACTTAACATGCTTAGAAAATGTTTTAGAAATGCAACCATAAAAACAGTCAACTCTGGAAAAAGAAAGGAGTGAGAAACATCATGCGTACTTGGCAGGTGTAGACATCACAATCCCTAAATGGCAGACCATTGCTTTTAAATGGCTTTTAATAAGTGTATATGGAGTGTGTTGTTGTTAAACAAAAGAAAAGTTTACAGTAATCTATGGGGGGGGGGAGTGGCCTCAACCTGTCACAAGTTGGTGACAAGGAGAACATTTACAAGAGGCATTAAAATACTGTGTGGCAGGTGAACGGTAGGTAGTTACCAAAGCTTAGTTACCAAAGCAATTGGAAAACTTATGAAGCAAATTGCTACAAGATATCAGAGTCTCAATCAAACATTTTCCAAAAAGTTGGCAAACATGCAAACATATAGCTGATAAGATATGAAAAAGTGATATGTAAGGCCTGGAAGAAGAGATTAAGGTGACTGAAAACTGCTTTCTGAAAGATTTGGATCTGTGCTATAACTTAAGAGCCCTTCAAGTACAGAATTAACCTTAAAAAATTCACTAAATGATTATCATAATTGGGTGAGATACTCACAGCTACAACTTGGCTCACTGTACTGTCGCACAATTTGATCTTGTGTGAATCTTAGGAATGAATTATATTGTTCTAGAAAGAAAACAAAAGTTCTTCAAACTTACAAACATTAGACATGCATCACAACAATTTCAACAAGCATGCACAATTGCTATTCAGAAAGAATATTTACATTGATAAAAGTTTGCTTTCCTAACCTTTTCCTTACTTTGAAAAAAACCTATAAATGTCTAGCCTAGAAATGAGGTGAATGTTCACAGCTCACCTGACAGAACAATAAAATACCAGGTCTGGCATTAATCCCTATCCTCTTTGAGCTGCTTTAGTAGCCAGACCTTGTCTCCCTGTGCACCAAATGAGCTTCTTCAAGAGTTTTGGTATGATGTCATTTGGGACAGGTTCTTTTGTCTAACAAATCACCTAGACTACTTCATGTATATTTCATTATGTAGACAAAGATTTGAACCAAAGACAGTTGATTTCTTTGTCAAATGTGTTTCTACATGAAATTTTTTGAGTAAATGCTAGTTGAGCATTTCATTGTCATAGCTATCTTCTACCAAAGTTCAAGGTAGTTAGAATATGGTGTTCTATCTCAGAGTGAACTACTTCCACCAAAGTCAGATATTTTAGCAAGAAAATTTGTTGGGATTACATAGAGATTTTGCTGATTCCGTTCAAGTGATGGTAAAGCATTTGAAGTGTCAATCGAGGCTGTGAAATTGATGCTAGGCTATGGACCTTCTGTATCAGCAGATGTGCTTATTGCCTCGACCAGGGACAAAACAAAGCCAAACACAGCCAGAATTAAATTAGCTTGATCACCTTTTAACAACCTCTCAATCAATTTTTAGATCAAATTCTCACCAATGCCCCAGGTGTTTGGAAGAAGTTTAACCCCACAACCTTATAATGAAATGTTGACTCTGGAATGAATTACCTGATAATATTAAAACGGCTAACTCTAAACTTACTTTTAAATCAAAACTGAAGACGCATTTTCTAGAAAATTTATAACACTGGTCATCAATTAATCTCTTTTTTTTCACAAAATTTCTCATCATTGTGCATTTGATTTGACCCAGTATTAACTTTGAAAGAGCTCCATATTTTAGAACTATAGATCTGGTAGGGGGCTCTCTTCTCGTTAGTCTACCTACTTAGAGAGTTCCTCCTTAAGAAATTTTACTTAAGAGTTCAATATGTTTAATTTATTTTCTATCTAATTGCTCTCTTTTTTTATTCTTTAATTATATTAACTGTATTTTAATTTATTGTATTGTATTTGTGGAATTTTAAATAATGAAACTGAACTGAACCGAACTGAACTGAGCTGTGTTAAAAGATATGTCATATGTGTAGCATAGATTTCCAAAGGGAGAAGGACTACTTTTTTATATAAAATAATAGATGTATATATAGGCTGAAAAGGCCCTAAATGTACTACAACAAAACAAAACATTGTAAACTTAAATGGTTAATTAAAATTGTACTTCAAATGGCTACAAAAATTATAACAACTTAAATATACAACAGCAAACTTTCAAGAAACTTATTGTTTTTCCTTCATATAGGTTAAACAATGCAATATCATCAAATAGTTGTCAATGAAATAAAATATTACCTACCTGACAACCTCTCATGCAATACTTGATCATATTCTTCTTTTAGTTTCTCTTCTCGCTCCTTCCATAACCTTTCGCAAAGCATAACAACTTGTTTTGCAGTAAACATTGGCTGCTCTTTAGATGACTTATTTTCTGTAAATGCAGGTGCTGGGTAGCTTCCAGGAGAATTGAAATTAAATGATGGCATGTTGAATTGAGGTGCAGGATTTTGGAGTTGAAACATTTTGTGGTGTTGATACTGATCATTTTGAGGTGGAGACATTGATGATGCCAATTTCTGTCGTTTTTGAATTCGCTTCCATTCTTCCAATACACTTGCACTCAATTCATCTGAGTTGAAAGTAAACACAATCTCATGAACATAAAAATCTTAAACGTTTAATATGCCTAAAAAGGTTTTTTTGTAGCTTTTAGAAGCTACTTTTTACATATCAAACAAATTGAACACAGGCATGGCAATAAATGCTTACCAAAATTGAATGATCTAAAAATAGAGGCAAACGAAAATGGAGTATTGGAAACAGGGCCATAGAGAGTTATTATGCCCCTGGAAAAGCTTTCAAGATAATTCATGCAAAAGAAATTAAAGAACTACTTTTTAGCAAATTAACAAGAAATTAAAAGAAACATAATATAAAAAAAGAATAGCCAGTCAAAGCATGGCTTATGTGATAAAAAGCATGACTGGTGAGTTTTAGGCATGGGTTGAGGCGTGCCCATGCATTCGCATGCCTAATTTAACCAGGACAGGGACTTTACACTTTGGTAACTTTGAGCCCTCAAAAGAACAAAAGGAGCTACAATCTTACATCAGTAGGAGTAGTATGGTGTTGCACAAATGATCTCTTCATCTCCCTTTGGAAATGGATGCATTTAACATTACAACCACCACCATTTACTTGTTATGACATCTTTGACTACCTTTTGTGAGGGCAGTACTAAATCATAGAGGGCTCTTATTAAATCAAAACTTGTACCTTTAAAAAAGATTTGAACTTTATTTTAATTTAACAGTTGCAAGAGAGCAGGCATGATGTTGATGTCAACGAAATAATTTTTTTAGTCACGAAAAGGTCAAAAAATTCATATTCGAAAACTTGTCTCACATTTGAGGTGTCTCATATTTGAGGTGTCTTGAACCAAGTTGTCTCTGATTTGAGTTAGAAAATGTTATCAGTCGGGCTAAACTGCCACCCCCGTTAGGCCCATATATTGTACCCGCTGCTAGACACGCCACTATTTCAAATTGTCGTTCAGTCCTGATAACAATTACCCAGTCTGTAAAACTTTGAAAAGTAGACAGTAAGGGAAGCAAATTTTAGAACACAGCGGTTCAGAACCATTCCTCATTATATTAAATACGAGAGACGTTCAGAAAATTTGGCTTAGCTTCTAAACAAAAGAGGCAAGCCTAGGGTTTGGCACGAAAAGTGATTGTTGTACCCACACAATAAAAAGAGTAGAACGACTGGTTTTCTTTCTAAAGCTTAGAGATTAATTATAAAGAAATACCTGATGAGATTTTTGGAGTCCTTTGGTGGAAAGGAGACGAGCTTGGATCGGCTGTTTGTACAGGTGAAGACACGACTGGGGGACCACATCTTCTTCTCTTAGGCGATCTTTGTGTTGGGCTCATCAACGGGTCGAAATCATATGATCGTTTGAGAGTCGCACAAGCCATGACTGCTTTGGGAAACCAAACTCAGTTTAGACTGTTTATCAGGCTAGTAGCTTGATAAAAAGGAGAAGTTGACGTGTTCCTTGTCAAATGAAAAGTTGATGCTCTTTCTTTTCCCTTCCAACAGTGAGACTGATCTCGCATTTGAAGTCATCAAGGAGAAAGCAATATTTAAATAGCGTTTCGAGTCTATGTCATTGTTCTCAAGGACAGTTAATGGTTTTTTCACACAGAATAAGTGGAGAAAAGTGCATTTGAAAATCTTGTAAATGTATAAAATGGCATTTGCAAGTATATTTAAATTAACTACAAGCGAGTTTTAATGATGCTTCGATCACTTGAACAATTTTCCACTGCTTTCTATAATAGCCTTTTTCTGTAAAGTAAAAGAATTTTTATCAAATCACCTCTAAGAGTATGACAATTAATTTGTTCTTCAGGTTGTCTCGTTTCGGAGTAATTTCAAAAGAATCAAACAACCAATCAGTAGAACGGAAAAAAATAACGGTTGACATTTGAATTATAGGCATAATCATAATCAATGCGCAGAAAAGGTGTCACAAATCATCTTCTTTGTTTCTTCAAGTTGGCAGTTGTTTCGACCAGGAGCCCTGGAGAACCTGGATGCTGGGTCAAAAGATTATCCAGTATGCTCATCAACCAAACAAATTCATTTTCAAGGCCTGAATGTTCTTAATTTGTTTTTTCACTTCACTTTCACCATTTTTTCCTTTAAACGAAACAAAAAGTGAACAGAGCATTACGAAATGAAACATGTCTTCTATAGCATGTTTAGATATAGAATTACAATCTATTCAGAGTCTGTTTTTCTTTAGGGTAGGCATTTTTCCTTTCTACAAACAGTGGCGTCGCCAGCTCAAAAAAATCTGGGATGAAAGAAAACTGATTTTGTTGGCCACGCCGTTCAGACTCTTGGAAAGATCTTTTTTAGCATTTTTTATTTATTTCGTAATAAAGTACAATAATTTACCTCTTTTCTCTCTTTGGGCAAGCAACTTTCTCAAGCAGCTTTTTTCGTAACGGTGTCTTTTTGCAAGTGCGAAAATTTAATGATTTGTTTGCTGCTTCAAAGGAAAAAATTCTTTGAAGCAATGGCTCAAGACAATTCTGTAAAAGAATGTCTTAGTATTTGATAAGATGAAACATGAAGTAGCATTTTTTTCAAGAAAAGTGAACGATCATTTTTAAATTTCAAGCAAACCGCTCTGTTAATGAAATAATTACTGAGAAGATGATTTTAGTGGCAAGATTTTCTCATTATCTAAGCACATGGTAATCATAAAATTAAATCAAGTCGTTCTACCATCACTGTGCTTTTGAAATTAATGAATAAAGATAAATACATCAGAACTGTCTATGTTATCTAGCACGACAGCTATTTTCATCATTAAACGACAGCTCTTGGAACTTTCCACCTGGTAAAATAATTAATAACTTAAAGCCAGATGTCTCTGCCAAAATAATCTTCTCAGCAATATGCATTTATAGTAATATCTTTGTATAAATGTGTAAAAGGTGGTCGCATTAAGATTGCTCCAAAATTTTTATCCTTTTTTATTGCATTTCTTGAATCCTTCGTTGATGTTTTCCAGAACTTTTCTGAAGCACTGTTCCAACGAGTTTCTGAAATTTTCCCCTTAAAAACAGTAAAATAATCATTTAAATTTTTTTTTATCCAAAAGCAATTAAAATTGCACAAATATTTTTCTACAGAAGGCTCTCTTTACCGAAACACCTTAACCCTCAACAATGTGGCATCGTTTCCATACTTTTGCAACTCCAGTGTACTTTTTTTTGAAACCTGGTATACGTGTCAAGATATTTTTAAAACATAATTAGGGTTTTGAATAACGTATAGGCTTCTAGTTTTTATTTTGGCTTTTTATTTTTGGCTTTTTATTTTTGGCTTGCATCATTAATTTGGCTTTTTATTTTCTCCATGATGCTCGAGGTAAAGTGTTGTTTAACCTTCGATTTCAAGAGTTTGTTAATTTCAATAACTTTTCTAGCTGTAATAAACAGTTCTTTTCCATTCAATAGGCAATTCAGGGCTTTGGCTGCGAGAATAAAAAGCTTTCAGTCAGCTGTGTTTCCATGGGATGTGTTGAAAATTGGGGAGCATGTTAAAAAGAGGCATGATTTAATAGTAAGAGTAAAAGAAAAAATTTTCGGCAAAGGAGTATTTTTCCAAAATAGGGTGAATAAGTGCTGAAGTATGGGGTACTTGCCCCCGGTTCCTACTCAACTGGTCTATTCTGACAACGCATCAACCCCCTTGCATCACCATTTTATCTTGCCAACACGTGTACTCGAGTTTTCCATGGCTTTCCTATTGACATGTTTACAATGCTACCCATCTCCCATCGGGGTTGTTAATATCCTTCCTCCCCCGTGGGAACAAGAGGGGCTGTTCTCACTAAGCATAATACCCTGACACGTGTTCAATAATGAAGACGGATGGGAACAGAGAAACCGAGTGTGAAAAGCGGAAAAATCAAAGAGTCGTTTTGCAGCACCCCTTTTACCGGCCCACCATCCTGTGGAAAAAGCAAAAACACGTTCAACGACGAGGGAAGGCCAATTAGATTAAAAACTGCAATGCGATATTCAAACTCCATCTTGCAGTGCAATTGGTTTTCAGAGGAACGATTTCAGAGCTTTATGGTATTAGCTAGCTTAGAACCCCGTCCACACAGTGACGGATACTTTTGAGAACGCAATCATTTCTATCCTTTTTTACCTTCCTTCCGTCTACACGTAGCCGGCTTTTTCGGTCCCGCAAAACACAACTTTGTGAAAACGTTCTTTCGAGTGGAAATTCTTGAAAACGCCGTTTTCATGTTCACGTGTGGATGGCGAAAAAGGAACTTTTTGAAAACGCTGACGTCACACACAAACAATCTCCAGCCAAGATGCCGGGTGAAGTAATCGTTCTGCTGGTATCCTTTTTTGGCAAAGCCTGACAGCTTACTTGCAGATAAAAAGTCATTCTTTAATTTTTGAAATAAATAATCATATCAAATGAACTATATAAAAATAGGCGGCTTTCAATAATAGTTCAACTTCGTCGTCTGCCCAAACAAACGACTCACTAGTCTTATTTTCTGAAGGTTTCTTTGCTTTGCAAATTACTGTGATTTTCCTGAAGTTGACAATTATTACTATACTCTATCAATTATTATTACTTACTATACTGTATCTATAACACAAACGGAGCATAAATGTTGCCTTTTCAAAGTCATCGTTACATCTTTATCTACGGTTATAGATGACAGAAAGAATTTTAGGTATCTTATCTTATCTTTCAATGAGAATCATTTTTCAGATGACAGAGGAGAAATACCCACAAAGAAGTTGACAGGCCAAGTATAATGCAAAAAGAAGTTCAGTATGCGATTCAAATGACATTTGAAAGGAAACAAACCAGATAATATCACTATAGAGCCGGTCAAAGGATTAGAAAGTTTCGGAGTTCAAAAAGTAACTGAAATTAAAAATGGCTTTGAAAAAATTTCGCTCCACAACTGGCCTGGGTATATATTTTTCATCGCGTAATTTCGGACCCTTATTCTGACGTTTTATGCTCTGAGGAGTGTCAGAACAAAAAGCTTTTAGCCAATATGCAATAAAATGCTTGCCTTTTTAAAGCTATTTTTAAACTCTGTACCGCCAAAAAACTCTAACTGAAATTGCAAACACGATATATAACGCGGTTGTTCAGGATGGAAAATCCGACCTGAGCAAATCGGTATTTATAGCTATCCCTAAAAAACCTGGAACAAGTGAATATGAACTCTACAAGACGACCAGTTTAATGAGTCATATAACATGATTAATCTTGAAAGACTTACGAACAGAATAAAATCCAAGATTAGATAGGGGATATGAAAAGGACAAAATGCTTACATTGAAGGCAAGGGGACTAGGGATGCAATTTCAATCTTTTAATCTGGCTTAAAGAGCTAAAGAAGTTCAGAAAGATTAATATCTATGCTTCAATGATTACAGCAAGTTATTTGATAAAGTAAAACATGAAAATACATTAAGCATTGATTGAAAGGATTAACAACTGATGAGTAAATGATATTGGGAAAAGAGTGTAGCCAATAGAATTGACGGCGCAAACTAGATAGTGGACATCAGTTATGAGAGATTAAAGACAAGGATATGTGCTATCCCCACATCCTTTTAATCTATCTATACAATCAAGTCATTCTGAGGGAGATGCTAGGTGTGAAAGTTGAGATATGCAGATGATACTGTACTAACTGCGGAAAATGAAGCAGACCTACAAAATATTCTGATCAAGGTTCTGTTAGAAAGTTAAAAAAATGTCTTGGTAATTTGTTAATTTAAATGTTAATTTAAAATATTTTTAAAATGTTAATTTAAAAAATACAGAATGTAGGATTACATCATAGGAAAAACAACGACGAAATGTTCTTTGTATATCAAAGGTGTAGCAAAAACTAATGTTGGGAAGTTTACTGGTCTAGGCGGCTTGATAACATCGGATGGAAGGCGTGTAACTGAAATACAGAAAATATATGGGATGGCAAATGAGGGATGGCATAATGAACAGGATGAATGCTGAATTTAAGAACAGGCAGCTAAAAATTAAAACTAAGATCAGAGTGTTAAAATGTTATGTGTGTTTAGTTATACTGTATGGATGTGATGCTTGAACAATTAGTCAAAGCATGAAAGAACGTGATGCGACATTGGCCATATTTTCGTGCGTGAAATCGTGAAATCGTGAAATCTCGATTTGTCATGAGTGATTTCGTGAAGGAAGAATCCTACGTGAAGCGTGAAACACGAGTTTTCTTTGCGTTATGTCGTGAAAAGGCTTTAACTATCCGTGAATTTGTGAATAAAATTTTGAAATTTAAAAAATTGCCTCAATTTGGTGTGTAATAAACCAACAATAGTTAAATCTCAAAAAAGTATTTTGTTGAGTCATATCACACACGACTCTCTATAGTCCCTATAGTCACCATTAAACATCTTGTCGTTTCTGCTGATTTGTAGAGCTAGCAAAGAGTAGACATTCAAGTCTAAAAGTAGTGAAACAGAGTTAGCAATGAAGAAGTTTTAAGAAGAGCAGAAATAGAAAGAATCCCGATGGAAGTTATTATGAAAAGACAGCTGCAGTTCTTGGGAAATGTGATGAGATCTGAACAAATGGACAATTTAGTGCTAACAGGAAAAGAACTTGGGTAGAAGAAGTAAAAGTAGACAAAGGCAAAAGTACATTACGCGACTGGACATGGACTTCAATACTGGTAGAAGCGATTCAGAAATTTTGACATTGTCAAGAGAGAGAGAGAGAGAGAGAGAGAGAGAGAGAGAGAGAGAGAGAGAGAGAGAGAGAGAGAGAGAGAGAGAGAGAGAGAGAGAGAGAGAGAGAGAGAGAGAGAGAGAGAGAGAGATGGAAAACCAACACCAAGACACTTGGAAAAAGAAGAAGATCAACTGTGTTGTCCTACAAGGTAGTGGGCTTAGGCCATTACTGTTCTTACTCATTATTAAGAACATTTATAATTTTACTTAGAATCTTCAATTTTGACTATTTGCAAACGAAACCAGCATTTTGCAATTTCATTTATGTAAATTATGCAATATTATTAGGGTAACCGACTTTGCACCCCACTAAACATCGTTTACTGCTCGAAGTGAACCTCGAACCGCGCAGACCTGAAACAGCTAAGTTCGGGTTTGCCCACAACAACAAACTGTCTTCAATGTACGAATTCACGTAAAACCAAACAATTTCACAGATGAAAAGACGAACTTCATATAAAGGGATCTCTCTTTCATCAAATTCCACGAATCAAAGCATGAAACTCTCTTCAAGCAGAATTTAAAATGATAAACAGCAAAGGTTTATTTGTTAAATTTGAATGTTTTTTCAAAATCTTTAAAAAGATGCATAGTTACAAAGTTCTTTTAAACTTCATTACATGTTTAACTTTAACGATAATCAATGTGATCATTATTTAATCTCGTTTTGCACTTAAAAATCCTAGTTACTTCTTACTTTTAAATATTCAGACTTAAAGATCGAGAACACGGAGAGCATAAAACATACCAACTGGATAAAGGCTCGATAGCTTTTCCAAGGTTATTCCATGTGGACGTCATCATACATCTTCAGTGTTTCTTGTCTAAATTTTAGTATATTTTAGCTAGCTTGTTTATGCTGCAATAAAAATTTCAGAGTTTGAGCCTGAGATTGAGTTAACGAAGTTATGATAACTAATATTTTTGAGTTTTCGCAATAGAAAATTTTCGGCAATTTAAGGAAGATCTAAGCGTGTTTTTCATTAAATTCATCTTAAGGCAACTTTTTACACGATGAATAAATGCATTTTAAAAGAAGAGGATAGGAGGATGGGGTAAAAGGGGAGGTTAAGAACAAAGTTAGCACTTTTCGATTAAGACATATTGATAATTGAGAGCCATATAATTGTCCCCTGTTTATGTTTAGTACGGTCCGGTACTAAGTAGGTAGGGGCAGGGGTAGGGGTGGGGGAGGATGGTCAAGCGGAGGCCTTTGGAAAAACGGGGAGAAGTCTGCCAAAAAACATGGGTAGTCTTTGAGCTAATGAACTTGACACGACACGACTATTTTCCTGTATAAGATGGCACCAAAACGTTGTTACTGATAATGTTAACTTAATCAATATGCAATGAATTATGACGACAAATAAATGATTAATCGCAATAAATCAAAACTGTAATTCTTGGAACAAGGCGCACAACCTACAATAAATGTTACTTGTTTTCGTATAAAAAATTCTAACTTTATCACAATGTCTTAGAAATCAAAGCAAAACCAAGCTAAAGAGAGACAGTCATGTAATATGCAACAACATTTAAAAACTTGATGTGATTTCAAAATATATAAATATATACAACAATGTTTAAAATCTTATCGAGGCATTATTTAACAAAAAGAAAACCCTTTACATCCAATAAGAATTTCTCTAGGTTTTTTCGAAAGGTTGAGATAGATACTTTGTCAATTGATAATTTAAGAGTAGATGGTGTTAGCTCATGGAATGAGGTTCTGAGGCGGTCCGCATTTTCCGTGTTGTGTTGTCCCTCTAAAAGCGCTTGCGCCATTTTCATGTATTCTTGCTGGTGACAACATATCAAAGTAAACAAAGTTTCTGACGCCGGCTGCAGCAGATCCATGTCAAAATTGCTACCAAGAATGAGTTCAAACACAATCTAAGGATAAAGAGCAATAATCTTACTTTTAAACTGCTCTGACAGTAGTGGAAAACTGCCAAAGGATGCTAGGATGCGAGCGTGCCCCAGGTGAGAAAACCGGGAGTTTTTGATTGGTATTCCTTTGCAGTTCAACTAACTCTCACAATAGATAAGATGGCCTGATGAAACGCCTCCCACACGCTTGATATATTCTATAAGATATCTCAAACATCAAAGTTCTAGTTGAAGCATTCGATTCAGATTCGTATTCTTCAGATTCCTTGTATGGGATTTGTATTGTGATCTGGTGGTTGCCTGCTGGGTTTAGCTGAATTGTTCCATTATTCAAATCCAACCAAATTCACTTGAAATTATTCAATTAGGGGGGGGGGCTCTCTCCACGATTAGTTTACCCATTGAGAGAGCTCCTCCTTTAAGTAATTCCCTGCATACAATTTTTCCCCACTTTTGTCTGTCTTATATTGTATCATTGTATTAATCTCCTTTGAACATTGTCTTATTTCCTTGTAGTCTTGTTGGTTATTATTAAATTGTATGTAGTGGAATTATTAATATATGAACTGAACTGAACTGAACTGAACGTTTGCTTCCTTACTCAACAGATGCTCATATTTTTGGAATCTTCCGTAAGACATAATCTCTTATCATTTATGACAATGATGATACACTACGACGGGTTAAAGGAAGGGGCAAGGGGCACCTCTCTCATTGGTCCGAAAAAGTTGGTGTTTGAAACAGCCATAAATCAGTAACAATTAAATGCAAAAAGAAAGGGAACGGAAATTTCCCATTAGTTCTCACTGAGGGTCCATTGTGGCGTCAGAAGGTGTCAGGGAGGTGTCAGGAAAGTTTCCCCAAGAAAGCGCCCCTGACCCCTATTGGCTATGCTTTTTTTGCTTGGCTACATGTGGTTTACACTTCGTGAGATTAGGAAGACGACATCTGGACAAACAGTGCAAAGGCAGCGTGTTATTAACGACTGAAAAACGTTTTTAAGCAGTGAACGGTAAATAGAACTCACTTTGAGGAAATGTTGCAAAGATGAATCCACGTGACCAACAACCTCTTTTCCAGCTGTCTTTGATTTGAAAAAGTGGCTGGCTATGGAGACCAAGGCTTCCAAAGAATTTTTCGCGATATCTGGACCAAAACTGGCGAATGGTTAAGAAAAAAGCCGCCCAAAACAAGCAGAACTATAAAAGTCTTTAGACGCACGAAGAGAGCTTAGAAAACAATCTGCATTATTCAAGATGTGAGCAATTTGGTATGAAGTGAATGCAGTGTCGGATTTAAGGGGGGCAACTAGAGGCAGTTGCCCCTCCCTCAACGAAGTGAAGCAAGTCTGGCGCCCCTTTTTAGAAATTTTGCGCCCCTTTTGAAGAATGAGATCCAGATGAAAAAGGTTCTTGGACCGATAGGTTAATTTGCTTCAAGGATTACCTCAAAGTTATGTTGTTTATTCCGAAATTGTTGTATACAGCGTACTCTCGTAACCAATTTTGAAAATTTTTCAGCGCCCCCACTATCAACTGCCCCTCCTTCAAATTTGCTCTGGATCCGCCCCTGAGTGAATGTTAATTTCTTGGGGGGTTAATGCTTTCTTGCAATCCAAATCGTTACTCTTAGAATGTGGCTGCGGAAAATCCCTACACACCCAACATCTCCCTTCGGAAACGCCCCATATTACTGTTGTCCCCTGCAACAAGTCCCATGTGTGATATATAATACTTGATTTATAATATTAATAGTAAAACTTCTGGCACAATGGTTATCAAGTAACTGTGATTAGTAGAAATGGAAATCAGCTAATACTAAGATATCTGAAATATTAATGTAATAGCAGACAAAACAGGATAAAAAGGATACTGTATCAAGGCCATTTCTAGTGATTTTGTCAGAGTAAAAAATAAATTTTCCGGGAGACTTTCAATCCTCTCAGGGTAACGCTCAGCAACAAATGTAACCAACTGGAAATATTCATTGCTTAACCTTGGAAACTAGAAAAGATTTGAGGAAAGATTCGAGCAAACTTGAGATAATATACTGAAAAAGTATACTGAGAAAAAATACTGAGAAAATATACTGAGAAAATACACTGAGAAAATACACTGAGAAAATATACTAAGAAAATACATTGAGAAAATATACTGAGAAAATATACTGAGAAAATACACTGAGAAACTACACTGAGAAAATATTCTTAGAAAATATACTGAGAAAATACACTGAGAAAATATAATGAGAAAATAAACTGAGAAAATATACTGAGAAAATACACTGAGAAAATATACTAAGAAAATATACTGAGAAAATATACAGTCGATGGTCACGGATTCAAGGCCTTGGCCTGGTCATTTCACTTTCTCACATTTCCTCAGCAGAAAGATAATATTAGTGAAGGATAAAAATTCATTACTTTCGATAAGTTTCTATTTTTGCAATTGATAGTAATCTTTTACAATTTCCATTATTTTTGGTCTTACTAAACTTTAAAATGGTAACATGTCAGATTCAAAATATATTTGTGTTTAACAAAACTTACACAATATTAGTGAAATTTTCAATATCAAAGGAAATATTATCTTTATCACAATAACAGATATATGGAATATATGAAGGAATTCTTGCATTTATTCGGTTTAAAAACTGACGTTTTGCCAAATAACCAGTGAAATGATAAAAATATCTGGTCGCTGAACTTTGGCTACAAAAGTTTAGGCAAATTCTTCTTTTGACCAAATTTCGATATAACTAACCAAACTCTAGGATCTAACTCCGAAAGCGTAAATACTTTAATTTAACTGAATTTAAGAACAGATTTCGGATCACAGTATTCATTGAAAAACGTGTTTATACCTCACCTTTAAAAGTTCGTCATTCATAAGTGGGACTATGATGTGTAAGCCGTGAAAAACTGCATCGATTGCATTTAGCAGCACACTATTTTCATTTCCATTAGCTGTAAATATGAATTGAGACATCATACAATTAATGAAGTGTAGGGCTAGAAACAGCTTCTAAAAATGCAGAACGATTGCATTAGCATCCCATATACCACAACTCTTCCTTCCTCTCTAGATCTTGCAAACTTTGGAATGCTCTCTACCCCCTTCCTGTTTCCCAGACTCTTACAGCCTTTATTGTTCAAAACAAGTAAACAAACTTGATTTTTCCTTTCGCTCTTCCTAATCCTTTCTCCCTTTCCCTTCTTAGGGCCTAGCTATAGGCTCACGAGCCTACTAAAAAAATCAAAGAATAATCTTTTGATTATAAACTGTCCCTTCCACATGACTGCTTAACATTTCACGTCTACTATGAATTGATATGGCACATAAGTGATAACGAAGAATATTGATTGTGAATGTTGAATGTGGGATGTAAAATAAATAATTTTAATACAAGCTTAACCCTGGAAAGTAAATTAACATTTTTCTTATAATATTGGCACACAAAGTGCTGAAGTGTGCGAATAAAGGAGAGGCCACGATAGCAGGCTGCTCGACGGATTACGGAGAAAATCTTGCGGCGAAAAATCGATAAAATAGTCGTGTACAAGGAACACCGCAACGTGACGATAATAAACAACAACAAACACACAAATCAGTGATGGCTAATATTTCGCCCCGGCATACGGGGCTTCAGCAGAGCAAAAGTGCTAAAGGCCTCGTTGACAGCGATTTTTGATACTTACAATCATCAGAAAAGTCCAGATAATCCTTCGAAAGGATATGTGTCAGCAGGCGAATAAGAAGTAAGATTTCTTGATACGATTCGTCTTCGCATGAATGTAACGCACTGATTCTACCTGAAGTAGGAAAAGAAATGGTGATAATTAGGCGATAAACATATATGAAGTAGGGAATAAGAAGAACAGACTGCAGAACAACAGATATAGAGAATTAAATGAAGTTTTATTGATTCTTGAATGAGGTTTGGGAAGAAATTCTAGAAATCTTAGTTGATGGCGAGTCATGGAGCATCTTCCAGAGCGAGTCTCACAGCTGCACAGTACATGCACAGCATTTGTATAGAGAACTACTGTCACACTGTAAAGTTGCACACTGTCATGGAAGCAGAGTTGTACATTGTAAAAGCGAAAAAGGGGATTCGAATATATTTGCTGAATGCCTAATAACATGCACAAAACATTTAACGCACAATCATTTTAATATTCGTAAATGCTTCTTGACAACACACTGATAGGTACCAGATTACTACAAGAAAAGTCTGGTAAATTGTGGCCAAGATTTGTGCAAAAATATCAAAATTCTCCTTGCCAAAAACTTGATTAAATTTAAACAACACCTGATAAAGATAATATATTCAGCTATTACAGCAAGGGACAAAAGTTTTTTTTAAATAATTAAATTGTGTCTCAAAACAAAAACGAAATCAAGAGTTCCCAACAAGTACTTTTTGTCTAATTTACTGAAAAATGTACTGAAAAATAATCAAATCAATAACGATCAGAATTCTCAGTTACTAATCAAGAGAGTGATATTTTCTAAGCAAACTTAAAACTACAACCTAATTTTGCAAGCAATACAAAAAACTCACCTAGGTTGTATTTAGAATAATTGGCGATAAGCTGTACGCAAAGGCCACATAAAGCATTTGATTTTTCCTTAAAAAGATACATGTAAGTTTAATCAAAAACCGATACCAAGCATCGTTATAGGATCATTATAAACCAATCAAAAAATCGATGTCTTTTATAACAACAGGTGGCTAGCTCCTTGTACACCTTATGGGCTGCAAAAACATCTTGTTTTCAAATTGCAGCTGAGATGTCGATGTCGCGAAAATTCATGCCCAAATTCAAATTTATACCATGCAAAAGGTATCATGATCAATGGCAAATGAAATGATACTTAAATGAACTTCTAAAGATAAATATCAAGTTCTGCTTTACTATCATAACAAATTGTCGAAAATTTTAAAAAATATCAGAATTCCTGAAATCAAAACATGAACTCAGTTAAAAATCATAGTTTCAGAAGCTCATCGAGCCAATTTCACTCTGAGCTGACAACACACAAAAAAATACTTGCTATATGAACAAATATGTTTTAAAACTGAAAAATGGAAAAGAAAATGCTTACCCTATCCAAGTATATGATTTCTGTCCTAACCACATCGACAAATAATTCAAAAATAAGCTCAACAATATCAGGGCAGTTTGCATATTTTTCTAACAGATAGGGGATGTCTGTGAGATAAGTAGACAGGAACTGGAAAATCATCTCAGCGTTTTTACGATTTGTGGCAGATGTGATCCCACGCATTGTCTCCAAAAGAGATATGAGTTTCTGTCGAATGGACTCTTCTTGGCAAATTTTATCAAAATTTGGATTTTTTCTTATCTCGTTGTACGATGACTGGAACTGTCCAAGAAACTGAGAAGAAAACCAAAGCGATCAGCTAATAAAAGTTAGTAGTTGGTTGCAGTTAGTTTAAAGAGTAATAGCAGCATGGAACTGCTAATTTATTATCAAATATTGGACAAAGCGGAAACTTTTCTTGAAAGCAAAAGGAAAGATTTATGCAAATACGTTCGTAAGTTATAAACTAGGGGAAAATTCCACTTTCGGATGTATACAAAAAATCTTTAAGGTAATGAAACCAATCTGATAGTTGGTTATCAAAAATAGATCTTGAACAAAACTTTAGGGCATTTCTACACGATTAGAATGACAAAAGATTTAAATGGAGTTTTATAAACGAGAAATATTAATAAACATCTGAAGTTTTGGGCAATTAATCAAATTAATCCCTTATGGTTGGAAATATGAAATGATAAATTTTTCGCACTTGTTTTAAATTAGTGAGCATGTTTGCTGGTAAATGGTTACAGCTTTAAGAGGTGATGATAACATTAAAATATATTTTTCTATCCTTTCATTTTGATGCAATGCTCGAAATTATTCAAAAGAACATTAGCAAATAGTTTAATTACGTTTAAATAGTTTAATCAAGATAGTTACGATTAACTACGATATAAAAAATATTAGCAAAAATATATCCTCATGAATTCATTCATTCACGTTTTCTATCATATCACTGCAATTTAAAATAAATCGAATGTAGGAAAGATAATAATCGAATAAACCGGATTCATGAAAGAGCAATGAGAATAGCTCACGATGATTATGAATCAACTTTTGAACAACTTTTAATAAAGAATAAAACAATAACTTCTCATAAGAAAAATTTACAATATCTTGCGATAGAAATTTACAAAATATTTAACGGATTGAATCCACTTTTTATGGATGAAATATTTTCCATAAATGAATGCCCATATTACTTAAGAAACTCCCAATTCAAAACAGCGGAGCCACATTACAAAATATATGGATTTAATACCGTATCATACAGATGTAGCCAAATATGGAACTCAATTCCAAATGAGATAAAGAACTTTATCAATATTCAAGAAAAAAATCTCAGAATTTACATCGTTTATTTGTACTTGTAATCTTTGCAAGGAATATGTTAGCAACATCGGTTATATTTGATTTATATTATATTTAGCGCTGGTAATTTAAATTAGTTGGTTTCAATTAGCTTGTATGTATAGCTAGAGATTGTACCAACTTTAAATAAAGAAAGAAAAAAAAATTTGCTCTTGGTTTTGAAATTAAGAGCCAAGCAAGAACCAAAGGGATCCTCTAATAAAAAGATTTAACAGTTTTTGTACATTTAAAGGCATTTTGTAGTATTCTTCCAGATAGTATGGCCAGAATCATAAATGTAACTTCATGACGTAATCACTTGTTAACTATATTTTTTTGCTTGAAACACAAAAACTGAATATATCAATTTAAGTATTTTTGGCACCCAAAAATTAAATAAAAACAAAAAGTATTGGCTGTCCTTGAAATGCTTGAGGCTCAGAACAAAGCTTCCTTCTCTTCCATTTAGAATAAACATTAATAACATACACGCTTATTTATTCATAAGAAACATAGCTCGAGGCCTATTTCTAGAAGTTCCTTATTTTTGGACCAATCTTGATCGAATTGTAGTACTAAAGTTCATTTATAGTTTCTTTATTTAACTGCATATTTGGTATCAAATATCACATCATACATTGAAATTTTGTATTAGTGTTCGTAGATTGTTAACTTTTACTGAAAAGACTGAGGGGCAATAAACAGCAAAGCCAATAAAATGCTCGATATCTGCCCTGGTAACACACAATTAATCTTATTATTAACTATAAATGAATGTAACAAGCTTCCTTATTCTTGGTTGTTTGCAATGACAGAAATTCAAATTGAAAAGTTTCTTCAGAACTTCGTCTTTAGTACTAACAGTTCTAAAGTATTCGTCGCTTGAAAGAACAAAGATAAACCTACTGTTGCTAAGAATTTATCTCTTAACGCAGAATCTTGCACATGTGACCCAGCTTTCATCAGCGCTTCCACAAGGTGGCGATGCACATCAACAGGCAATTTCTGAAGCTGTGAGGCAGCTTTGGCTTGGAGATCGGCAAGCCTCCATATATTTGGGAATTCCATTGCAACTTTGATTCTGAAAAAGTATAAAACGTTGTCACTTTGAAAAAGTAAACTAGTTTAGTTACTATCGGTTCTTTTATTGATACAAACTAAGGGCAAAATTAAGTACAATGAAACAAATATAACAAACTCTTCATTATTTGGGCAAGACGATTCTGAGTGGACCTTCGCAAAAATTTAGGGTCAATGCCTATGGCCCAGTCATGGCTGTTAAGGGGCCTCCAGATACCAATCAAATGACCTGGCATTAAAAGCTAGATCTAAAAATTTTGAGGAAAAGAAAAGAATTTCAAAATTTGAATTGAGAATGCTTTTCATCGGAGAATCGTCAAAATAAAAACTTTACTTCCTGTAGCGACGGTTTAGAAAGGCCTTGATTCTAGGATTGGGGCTCAAATCTGACAGCAAGTCAAAGATTTCCCGAACTAAGACTGCCTTAGACGTCCTTCATAGCAACATAGGCACCAGCCGGAAATGGTGAAATACAAAGCACTACATGCAACGTTAGCTTTTTAGATATATAAATAGATTTAAATATTTTATTTAGATTCTAAAGTGTAAATTAATAAGTAAAGTTTGTATTCTATTTGCTGAAGGGGTTTTTCATGTACAAATAAATAAAAAATGAAAACGAAATGAAGTTCTTGATTTTGTGAAAAAATCAGCGCTTGCAAAGTTCTTATACTGTACTAAACTTCTCAAGCTGTCACCTAGAAGTTATTTTTTTTATGAAAGCTTTGCAAAAAATTTTTCGATACCTCGAATCTTTAGAGAATATTTTAAGGAGAAGTTGAACGCTGTCGAAAGCAACTGTGGGCTCTTCTGGCATGTACGTTAAATTGGTTTCTGCTGCATCCATAGCAAAGCCGAGCATGATTCGTCCACATTGCGATGATACACCGAAAGAGGACTTGAATAACTCCGGTATGACGTTATCTTCTTCCGAATCCGGAAACAAATACGATGATGACCAGCAGTGGAGAAACCAGAGCGTATCACTGGCGATTTCCGGGCTCAGGATGTTGCCCATTCCACTTTTTAATACACCACATATATACTCAGCTAGTCTAAATACTTCTGATATCAAAATCATCAAATAGCTCACTGTTGAAGAATGACGCAAAGAATTAAAAATATTTTTAGTTTAATGGCGATGAAATTGATTTTATCGATAGGTTTGTAAGAGAGTCTTAGCAAATAGCAAATGCTTTAATTCTGAACAAATAAAGAGACAAATCTGTAAAATAATTGGCTTATTCTACAAGGCGACCTTATCAAAAAAATTCTATGTACCCTTCTCCCTGCGGCGCTGACTTAAAAAGAGGGACTAAAAAAGTGTTGGTTTGTAGCAGGTTCCAAAAGAGTGATCTTTTATACGCAAAATGCTTATATTTTTATATTGGGGCACCTTTTTTCAAAAGATAGTGTAATTCGGCAAAGCATTTCACAAGTTCGCCTTCAGGGTAGAAAAGGACGTAAAGGACCCTGATTCGGAATAAGGACGTTATAAGAGATATTTAAAAGCGTGAAAACAATACAGGCTTAATTCGACTGAAATAATGTAACGCTTTGAAGCAAAATCGCTGACCTTTATCAGTGCTACAGCTTCGGCCCAAATTTGAAATGTAATTTACACTCAAGTTCACATCGGTTTCGCCTCGTTTCTGCTGTTGGCTTTCGAACATGAGAATATCAGTTGGAATCGAGGCTTCTTTGTCATTGCAGTCCATCATGATGACATTAGTTGCTATTAGCAACAGCCAATGAATGTCTTCGTATAAGGCGTCAATATTTTGTCCTATGCAACGACGAAACATTGTAAGAAAACCAGAGTACAAAAGATTTAGGGTGAAAGGGGTAGAAAAATTTTGGCCGCAAGAAAACACAAAGGGCAATTAATTCGATTTAAAACGAAGTTCAGTCCGGCGATCTAACGCTGCACATGCAAGATTGGGTGCAAATGTATTAAAAATGAATGACCAATTGACTACGTGCAAGAAAGGAAGAGAAAACAAAATGCAAATAAACAGCAAAATCTTATCCTTAAATAGCTAAACTATAATGTTATTTAATATCATTATCAATAACAGTATTTCGATGAAAAAAACTTCTTGAAAAAAATGATAGAAAAATAATGCCACTTATTAGATATTTTTCAAATTTATTCTTTTCATTTGTCACCACAAACTTTCAAATTTCATGAAAAAAGGGATAAGTATTATTCGTTCCTATTAGACTGATGTCAGCGCGCTTTATATAATAAGAATGTGTTTTTCAAAAATGTTCAATCCTATTCAAAATTAGAATGAAAATGTCAAATTCTTGAATGGACCATTCGGATCAAACAAATAACAGTTAAATAATGTTTTAGCATACTTCACGCCCCACTTTTGAAGACGAGAAACGTATTTGAAGACGAGAATGGTGTTCGGCTTCAGCTTTCTGTGAATTTCAAAGGTAGGGGCAAAGATATGACACAAACGACGCACCAATCCTTTAGCACTGATTCTTCTCACCTGATGCAGTGCCACTAAACTTCACTTTCAACACATAACAAAGAAAATATCATATCATATCATTCTTGCAACACATAACATATAATGAATTTTTTGCAGTACAACAAGAAAGTCTAAAAGAAAAAGGAACGGAAACATAAAGGTGATTATACCGTTAGTCTGCTTGATGGAGCGCATTAACGACAGAGTTCGTGATTCCAAGAGCTTGCTCAAAGTTGGTAAAACATGTGGCAAAGCCAACCTCGCTAAACATCCTATGTTACTGAGTTCATCAGAGTAAGCTAAGCGATCGTCCTCCTCCACATCACAGTCGATTTCACCAATCTAGATAGAACGCAAAGTGGCTATTTAGTTAGGCCAGGATCTGAACGAAAACGGGGAGTTATAAATTTGTCGTGGCTGGATGGACCTTTCATAAGGCCCTTTCCAGCCTTTTCCAGGTCTCGCTTTCTTTAAACGTTAATTTAAGCATTATTCCAATAACTTTAAAAAACTTTTCGGACGCTTGTGGAATTCCATTACAACAACATTAATCAAAAGCTTGCAAAAAGTAAGATTATCTTTAAAGGCAATCTGTCTCGTTGTGGATTGGTTAACGAGAACAATAGCTGAAACAGTAGCCTAAACACGATTCCAGCGCTCCGCCTTTTTTTTACAATGCGATGAATTAAAGGGGGACTGGAAACAATAAAAATACCCTTTGTTATTATAATCAACCAACGTCGTGACAGATTGCCTTTAACATCAGTTCATCATTAGTCGTTCTGACACGTAAATCAATTGGATACTATAAAAGTGGCATTGATAAAAATTCATCAGCCCAAAACAGGCATGCTTTGCAGGAATAATGTAAAAACTACCGAAACTTTCGAAGGGACATATTAAGCTGAGACAAAAGGAAACATAAACCCATTGGTATGAATACCATACCAAAACAGAAACAACCTTACCTCGTTTCCTTCACTATCGTCTTTTCGAATGCCGTCAGGCTTTGCGAGATGAGTTTTCAAATAGCAGTTGAAGACTTGCACTGCGTAGGACATGAAGTAATTATCTGTGAAGGAGGATAAATTGGAAACGAGGACAACCCAAGCGTCCAATAGGAGGTCGACGGCATCCTCGTACTGATTGCTATCAAACTCGATCTGGTAAAAAAGGAAACAAGATAGTAAGTAAATTTGACAAAAAGCTGGAAAAGCATGGACTTAATTTGTTAAATACAAGCTTCCTGTACATCTCACAACAGGATAATTCGGTATTCTGTTCTCTTAAAAAAATAAACAATTTTCTGGTTGCCTTACAAAACGGCATCAAAATTCGAAAAAATCAGGAATCAAAAAAGCACTCTTCCTCCTTAGAACAAAACAATTAATTTATAACTTTGACTCTTCACGGTTCGCCTGAACTTTTTAACTATAATGGGTGTCCATTCGGACATCAAGCTATTTTTTAACCGTACCTGCTAACAAGATCTTTACACACTGCCAGTAGCATCCCCCTCTCCCCTTCGAACAATACTAGTTTAAGTCATGTAATTGAGTGTCTCTTCATTATTGGTGAGACAATATCCCACGTGCACCGATGGTTGCAACATCATTCTCTAATCAATACATAAGAGAGCTTTCAAATATTAACGGTCTAGACGACATAGAGCATTCTCTGAATAAATATCATCATACCCTGTATATTGTCGAGACAATAAACTTAAGGTACAAAATATCAGTAAGCAGCAACTTTACAAGAAACGATTGATTACATAAACACTGTGACTTTGCACAGTGGTTATGACATTTATGCAGATCGAGAACCAATGTCGGCCCAAATTTTGTCCCAGCAAATTGTTCCATTCTCTAAAAGTCTATTTCAAGCAGACTTCTACTGGTTTCATCCTAGAGTTGTTGATCTTTCGTTTTAATTCTGTGCCAATTAGAAACACACATCCAACGACTCTATGTTGTCCTGGCCTTTTCAAAACTAACTACTGGACAATTTAGACAACAGCAAGAAACACAAACTTACATCTTCTTTGTTGATTGTTAGCTCCATGAAAGTGCATGTTAAGGAAGCAAGTATTTCTAAGAATGTCCCCAAAACTTCCGGAGAAAGAGAAGCGATAGTAGAGACGGGGAAAACATTGACAATGCGGCTCACGATGCTGGCATATCCAAATGCTTCAAGGGCAGTCCATTTTGTTCTGTGAGACAAACAAAGAACATTTTTTGAAGGCAAGAAAAACCCACTTTGGTGTAGATGAAAATTGATAAATGTACAATAAACAGGCAATTCACAAGTCATTAAATTTATAACAACATGCTACTTTGTTTGCAATATACTGAAAGCAAATTCCAATTTATCTTTTATTAACCAAGCCAATCAAATCAGCAATCTCTCTGGCTGATCAGTACCATACATTCCATGGAGTTGATTGCGTGAAGTTAGCAAATAAACAACTATTCAATGTGAGGGTCAGCTCTTTTGCGAAGATGACATGCAGCCGTTTTTATCCCCTGCAATTACTTTATGGCAGGTATATCTTAAAGGGGGTGTCGTGCTATAAAATGAACAAGAAACCCTGAATATTCTCGAAAAACAATAGCAGCAAGTAGAAAAGGGTAATTTTTGACATTAATAAGCTCTGTCCCTCACTTTTTCCACACCTATAATTAATTGTGACTAAGTGACTCAAAGTTGAGCAGTTCAGTTCCCGCATTCCCAATCAAGAAATATAACTTAAATACACAAACAATTTTTACCTATTCACCATTTGCTTGAAACCTTGTATAAAACGCGTGAGATAAGTGCCCTTGGACTGTTGGCCTGCAAAAACTGAGCCTGTGACGGACGCCAGCTGAATGAGACATTGCAAACTGTGGTGTGCCAGCTCCTCGTGTCCAGAGCATCGGTTGTACAACTATCAAGAGACCAAATCGATTATAGATATACCACTAGCTCAATGGGTTGTCACAACGTTTGGCGTTCAAGCCTCCTAAGAAATATTATACAGAGCGCTCAGTAACTAATGAACGCTTTTCATTCCTTTTCTGGAAAACTACAGAATGCAAGAAATCCCCTCCCTTTTCAGAACCCATTAGCTCTAACCAGACTTGGCTGCAACTATGAAACGTCAAATCAAATGCGAATCTTTTAGCAATCGAGCCCCCCTCACATCTATACATTTGGCCACATTTTCTTAACAACTATTTAGCTAAAAATGCATTAATAACGACTCCAAATCTTGAGTCATAAAAGGAAAAATACGTTTAACACTGGAAAATGCAGTAATTTACTTTGAAATATTTTACTTAAAAAGCCACATTAAAGTTAAAGTAACCCACCTTTCCATTAAAAATATCATGCACATACGCACATTAAAGGAAAGGTTAAGTGACCAAATAAAATTCACGAATCTTCAATTGCGCAATATTATTGAATGTAGCTAAATAAAAGGTTTAGAGTTGGAACCCTCTCTCCACTTGTCCCAACAACAAGTGTCATGAAGGGCGTCCAACTTAATGACACCTTGCAACTAAGGTCTTTCACTCAGACGAAACTTTAAATGAATTACCTGTATGAAGAGGTTTATGAAATTTGGATCCAGAACTGTAGATTCCCAACTCCTCGGGGGCCTAAATAAACTGATTTTGGCTGTTTCGTTCAAAAATCTAAGCAGCTGCAGAGGTGAAATATTGTCAAGGAATTTCCGCGTTTAAAACATCATTAAAGATTTAAATCTAAGTTTAAAATTCTGAAAATTAAAACAAAAAGGATTGAACATTTACTGCTGTAAAATTAAAAGTTTTCGTAAATATAAATATTTAAAAAATTATCGAATCAAAGACCAAGATAAAACATTTTGTCTGAGGAACTACAGAGTCTCACAAGGGCCTGGACACGAATGTCACAGGAGACCTATCTTTCCATCACCTTTTTAGGATCTAAAGTATGCTGTATGGTACTTTATAAGAACAAAATTAATCCCGAAGATACTCTAAAGGGAACTATGAGAATGGAAGGATATGATTCCCAGAAACGAAATTCCAGTTCAAAACTTGCTCAGCCAAGGAGAGATAACGGATGAAAAGAGCCGTGTCCACCCTTGAAAGAGAAGCAGAGCTAGCCTCTGCGTAAGTCTTGAGGATGTCTTTGCAAAGTTGAAATATTGTCAATAGGTTGCCATTCTGAAATAAGGCGGATAAAAAGTTTATTAATCAAAACAACAAAGCCTGATTTGATGATTAAAAAACATAGCCTGAATTAATTATTGAACAAACAACATAGTTCGATTTCATGATTGAACAAACAGTATAGCCTGATTTGATGACTAAATGCTAACGTTATCTTAACAGTTCAAATCTCTTAAAAATCAAAAGAATCATTCAATCACTACATGTATTAATTAGACAGACTTGTTAGCAACTAACTGAACCAAATTGAAGATGAACTGAGAGTGTTATTGCTCCTTATTTGGACAAAAATTTCTCAAATTCCCAACATTTTGACCCGCACATGGAGATAAATTTTGTTTGCCTTTCAGTTATCTTAAAATGCTTTATATTCTGAAAAGGTTGGATTAAAAAGCATAAATATTATTCCACCATTAAATGAAGCATCATATATATGAAAACCAACGCCCACCTCAAAGGCTTTTTTACACTTGGCATGGTACTCCAAACTGAGACCGAGGTTGGCTGATTGACACGTGCTGGAGTATTCGGTTAGCAAAGCCTTCATGATGGAGCAACATACCATTTGCTGAAAGAAACCAAGCAACATGTAATATTGTATACGGAATTGGCCTTTCAATTTCGATAAATTCATAAAAATATGATAAAACAACAAATTCTCCCAAACAAGATTCTGCAGGGCGCTTGTCAATGTTGCCAACTTTATTCCCCTTCAATGATTACAAATTGCGTAAACTTGATTTGATTGAAAAGGAAAAAATCATTAATTTAAGCCTTGGATTTGAATGAAAATTTGTCAAATGGTTTCTGCTTGTTTGGGATGACTGGGATATTATGTATGTTTTGTCTATGGAATGCAATTCGTACCATGTCTTTATCGCCAGAATGAAGCAACTGAGACACAGATTTCAAGAGGTCACCACAACCCTCAGTTGATTTGTCTAAAGTTCCTCTTTTGAATATCATTGCCACCACTTGCAGAATTTGCTCCCGGACAAATTTTTGCAGGCTGAAATATCAAGTGAGAAATTTGAAAGTTTACAATGAATAAAAAAAATAATTTTGCAGATGCTGTTTCGAATCGACAAAAATGAACTTTATAACATCTATTTTACAAACTGATAATGAATAATTTAATCAACAATGCACAAATCAATAAATTTCTTCTAAGAAAAACAAGAGATCGTTTAAATCACGTTATTGCGACCAATCTGGGAAATCAAATGCCATAAAGCATACCAGGTTGATAGAAAACTGCATCAAGGCTTTAAATATCTTTTATCTAAAGAAATTTTCGATGCTCTTTTGCTTCACTGCATGTAGACACTACAGAGGAGAGAGGAAGGCTTTGCCAGAGTCACTGCAAGGTTCATTTTGAACAAAGATTCCAGTCTCAGCGTATACAGCACATGTATCCAAAGTGCTTGAAGAGTTCTTGCTAATTTTTGCCCAAATGAAGGTGGAAGCTGGGATTTATTGGACTCTACGTCAATTATACAAAATAATGAAGAAGCATCGAATTTTCAGAAACTTGATGGAAAGCTACAGGAGATTTCTGCTTTAGATTCTGACATAAAGAATTCCTGAAAATGTTCCTAAACATATGACGAATGAATCAACGATGCAAGACATGTCACATCAGCTGACCTTTTTTGTTGAGTAACGTAATTCAAAAGAAATGAGCAAAGGCCATCGATATCTTGTTTCTGAAGAAGATTCCATTCCCTAACAACTGCCTCCTTTAAAGTGGTGGCTGCTTCGAAAAGCACGTAATCCATGCGGCAATTCTCTAAAAGAGAAAAAGAGTAATTGCGATTGCTGGGTCAAACTTGATAAGGAAAACTTGCATAGTCGTTAGGTACGGGGAATAAAACAAAGAAAAGCAATGCAGCCCGCATTATGTACATAAGATTTTTGGCTCTTTGAGAGTACGAAAGGATGATGAAACCTTTAAAACCACACTTAAAAGAATATCTAGGTTTGGGATTTCAATGAGACAATTGGCAAAGGTAGATAGAGGTAGCTTGCCTTGAGACAGTCAGACTGGTTCGCCTTATTGTCTTACTTCTTACATTATTCACAAGTTCTAATCATAATGTAAATAAACATTATGTCTGCAAAAACAGGTCTTCGCATTTTTGGATCGAAAACATTAATTGAAAGGAACCTCTGACTGCATATCAATAATTAATTTTTTTTACAAATTGGGTTAATAGCAGCATTTTTTGGCTAAATACCTTGCAACGATATTTTTACAACTAATATTCGAATCCTACAAAAATATAAATACTAAAAAATCCACTATTTCATATATACTTGATGCTAAAAAACTTGAGAATATTAAGATGGAATACTCAAAGAAACACTTTAATATTTAAGGAACATTTCAAGCTTTTTCTGATTGCTAGAAGAATTATCGATCTACAAAATGGACATTAGAGGTAATGAGATTAGTATAAAAACATGTCTTGAAGAGTACGTAGGCAAAGGTGTGTCCATGGTTTTGTTAAAAGTAATGTGTGAAGCAAGCAACTCTGCGGGGTTTTTCAGAAACATGTGATTTTCCATGTTCGCCCCAGCCATTATGGAAACAATTAACAAGACCCACACCATCGTAAAATTTTTCATAGGGCCAATATTTCTAGACTTGTCACTTTAAGTTGAGCTTTTTGGCCAGCTTCAAAAATGGAACTGAGCCCCCCATGAGATACAAAAACATTGGCCTGCAATTTCTGTAATATAACGAGGAAATTTTTGTAAATTGTAAAAGTATAATATAAATTGTAAATTTTTAACTTTGGTTGATTTTATCTCAAGTATATTTTCTTGGCAACCTAAAACTCCAGTAGTGCTTTTTCTCCACAGCTAGGGGTGCTTTTGAGAGAGTTGTAAACAAACCAGGCAAAATAAGCAAGCTCTGATTGGCTAAAAGAAAGTTTTAAACAAAGTATCTAATTGGAAGAAAACGAAATTCTGCCTTGCTGACAGATATAGTCATCCGCCTCCGCAGTAACACTGCTTTTACTTCCCAGCGAATTATCAAGACTTTGTTGAAGAGAATGAATAGCATCGTAGAATTCCGCATTCAAGCATTAGGTGGACGACTGCCAGACTATTAAGTCTAAGTAGCTTACCTAAAATAAATCTGCATAAATTGTAGGGCTGTTTAGTTTTTCTGAATTCCAAGAAAACCTGCTCAGCAGAATGCCTTTCCTCTGATGTGACAGCCTGAGGAGGAGCCTATAAATAAAGCAAAGGCTGTAAACAAAGCTGAAGCTGGAATTGATCTTATAAATTATGGCAAGGACCTTTAGCAACACAGATAGCCACATACTAAATACTAAATAATGTAAACTTCTCGTAATTATATCGCTTAGAGAGATCTTGAGTCAATTTCTTTGTTCCTGGCAGTTTACAGCCTTACATCTCAGCTAAAAGGATCTTCTTGGTGATACTTATATCACTATAGTATAACTACTCTTTTAGTTGCATCCTTACAGTCCTAAACATGATTTTAAAAACAAGTGTTTCCATATATTGTACACTTATATACATTCAAAGACAACTTCAAAGCAAATTTCGAAGACATTTTATGTAATATATTTTGGAAAACCTTTTAGAAATGTTTGTTGATGTTTTGAACCCTTTTATATATGCCAAAAATTTTAAAAACAAATTAAAACTATAGAAATTGTTAGGCCTTTGGGATGTAAACATGGGTGTTTTTAAAAATCAAGAACTAAGTGACCAGAAGTGCATGCAAATTCCTTTCTGGGAAAATAACCTGAATAAACATTATGAAATCGCATCCATTGTCGAATGCTGATTGAGTGCAGCTTTGTGATGTTTAAAAAAATTTTCCATACAAGAACAGTCAAAAATTTACCAAGGGTTGGCAGAACAAAAAAGTTTATGACACTGAGAAATGAAAGGTTTTTTCTGAGAGAACTGCTAAGTAATGGGTTTCAATCCTTGCCAGACCTTATTTTGTCATGCAAAAAAGCCAAATTTAGGAACATAAGCAAAAACATGGCTATAAAAATCACAAGAGATACAAATTTCCCAGCTTCATAAGTAGAAAATGTCCTTTCATAACAAAAAGTTAATCATCGCTTGTGGCTTCTTCTTTAGACACAGTTAAACAAGTTGGTAAAAAATGATTTTAATGATTCAGTAAACTTTATTTTAAAAGTTCCTTCAAAATATTTTTTGTTATGCCTACGTGAATTTAAAAATTAAATTTTCTTGGGCATCTCTAAAAATTGCCAAAGGTTGTGTGAGTTTCCTGTTTTTAGGCCATATACAGGCCTCTCCGTTTAAGGCGCGCGATCACGCGCGCGCGCCTTGGCACGCTCCTATCGTTGCCGAGACGCGCAATAAATAACGCGCCTGGTTTATAAGAACCCTTTAAATCGCGCCCCTTGTGTTTTAGTTTTGAACAATTATTATAAAAAGAGCCTTGCGGGTTCGAAATCGATTGATATCTAAATAAACGGTTGCTTCTTTTAATCCCTTTTTCGAGGAAATTGTTATTGCCAAGTTAAATCAAACACCTCTTGAATATATTTCCGGTCAGTAACCAATAAACTGTCATTGTGATTCCTGATTGTTATAAGTTTTTTAAATGGCCATTAATTCAAAGGACCAAGCCATAGAGCTATCTGCTTTCGCAAGTATCGCAAGGACGAAGTTAGCGGATCAAAGACCGAAGATAGGAATGGGAAGACAATGGTGGTTTCGATTTGGTGTAAAGTTTGCTCAAAACACAAAAGCGTTATTTTATCAAATCCTCTTTGTAAAGGAAGTGCCAGAAAAGCAATTGAATCATACGTCAATGGAACGAATTTCGATTCTTCCATTTTTTCTAACTCCGATTCTTCATCGGAATTTGAGCTGGACATTGACGAACTGCAACAATAATGTGTTTTTTTTCTTTTAGTGCATTATTAAGTAGTTTGTTTAGATATTTCTAGATACAAAGTATTTACATGCGAAAACATGCCGTTTTTGTCTACTTTAACGTAAATATATTTTTTTGGTAGAACGCGCGCCTTAGCAAGGCGAGGCGCGCGTTTGAGCACGCGCCCGCTAAAATGCTCACGGAGAGGCCTGCATATAACTCGTTTGCACATTTTGCTGTGATACATATTTTAAAATGGCTTTGAAAAAAGCAAACATTTATTTGGATCCACAACTAGGTATATATTTTTCATTGTGTTCTTTCAGACCCTTATTCTGACTTTTTATTCTCTGGGGAGTATCAGACAAATAAGTTTTTAGCCAATAAGTTGTCAAATTTCTGCTTTTTTCAAAGCCATTTTCAAGTTCTGTACCGTCAAAAAATTGATATATATTTGAAAGACAAAGATTTTTGTCTTCACAGACTACGCACACCGTCTAGAAGTTCACTTCTTCAAAAATCTTCTTCGGAGTATGATTCGAAATCACATTCCGACTCAGTTTAAAATTATCATCGTCTCTGATTGCATTATCCATACTTTCTTATCCTTTTGGAGCTCATGCAACTACATGCACATGACTCAACATTCAGCTAAAAGGTGGCGAGGCAAATCCTTGACAACACTGCTTTACGTACCAAAATTTCCTAAAAGTTTTATTGTTATTGAGGAGATGTGAATTAAATAATAGTGACAACAACAATAATGCCATTTTTCACTAACTTTTCCCTAAATGCTCTTCTTTTCTCACATGTCTTTTCGAGGGCGGTCATTAGCCTGAGTAAATAATTTTGCACAGGTATGGTGTGGGCAAAGGCCTGTCCTAGGTTAAGAAGAACTTTTGTAGATTCAAAGGAAATACCTACCTGATTTGATACTTAATTATTTTTGGTTTTGAAACAGCCAAGAGCTCAAGGAACTTTTTCTATTAAAAGATAGCGTTATCAAATCAAATTGCTAGTCTGTTGTTTGCAAGTTTACTTTTCATCGTTATTTGTTTTTGGAAGACATCCTGACACCTTAATGTTAAGAGATATTATTTAGCGGTTGACAAAACAGAGGGAGGGAATAGAATAGTAAAATACTTTGAAACTTTATCTTGATGTACTGGAATGCAAAAATCAGTATTTTTCATATAATGAACTAGCTCTTTATATTTCTGCAATGATCGACTTTTTACATCTCAATCTTCATAATCGAGATGCTTGTTACAAAACAGGTTGTTTCATTTAATAGTAAATCAAAAACTTCACTTCAAATGTTGTGACATTTCGACTTTACTGCCCGCCACCACCCCAAAATATAACATATTAAAACTCACCATCAAGGCATGTGCTGCTTTTTCAAGCTCTGGAATCACTAACCTTTCCATGTCATATAAGATTACACTAGTAATAGTGCATTATTCCGCATCGACTGGAGTTCTTGCTGTTCATTTCACGTGGACTAAACATTTTATAGGCCTAACCTCAATTCAATGAATCCGTGCCTCGATATGAAAAATCATGAGGCGCCAAATTGATTTTAAAATGGCTGAAAGTGAAGAAGGAGATGATTGTGCTGAAAAGTTAACCGTGAAATACATTGGTCAAAAGGTACTATTTTATTATTGACATGGATCAAGAGTGATGATCAAGATATTTACTGCTATTTTTTCATAGTTTCATACATATTTACTTTGATATGTTGATTTGTGGCTGCCTATCGTTTTTTTACAATATAATTCATGTTTTTGACATCCTTCAAATAGTCATAAGCTCACCTGGATAAAACCAGGAGATATGATGAAAGGCTAATAAGAACGAGAGAACTCCAAAAGGTTAATTTATTTCAGTCACATTTGGAGAATAAGCTCCAAACATAATGCATCCTGCATGCACACCATGCAGTTCATTATCACTATCAGTTAGTTCAGTACAAAATTCTTAGATAGAACTGCTCTTTCAAAGTATTGAGGAATAAATTCTTACTGAAATTTACCTCAGAAATTTCAGTGGTAACTGGGAGACTTTAAAGACAACATTCAGGGCCTCCGACGAAGGGGGGCCGGGGGGCCCCCCAACTTTTTTGCAAAACAATAGAGTTTTTTCAAAATCTTTTGTTATGGGTGTTAAATTTTCCCTTGGCCCCCCCCACTTTTCAACCTTTGTCGGGTGCAATGAAAACTTTTCAACCTTTCTCTGTCAGGTGCAATGAAAATATCAACTTAAAGCTATAACAATTGAAAAAACACTCAAAATGCTATTTCCATATATTTGCTACCTTTTCAGAGTGTTTGATACAAAAATTTTGATTCAGGGAAACAAAAATTTTTTCTAGAAAACTGATAAATTTCTAGTGGTATAGGAGGCTCAGAAACCAGACAAAGCCAGGTGGAATATATTTGCTCAGGAAACTGGAAAGTAAATTCTTCTATATATGTGGTAACGTCAGTGCAGCTTGGTAACTTAAATTCTTTTAAATCTGTGGTAACAAGAAGAAAGGTTCTCCACCACAAAGCAGTCTGGTAATATTAGGCGTGCAATCGCACACACACGCCTCCACACACACCTAGAACTCCCGTGGTGTGCTTTCTATCGCACGCGCAGTTCCACGTTTTGAATTACTATTCTTTTTCTCTTTTGTTTCTTTTAATTTATTTTGTGTGGGTTATACTGATGGCATTCCGGAGGCATTTTAACTCTTCACTTCGTTTCCATTAGGCCTGGTTTCCATTACTCCGTTATTCTGTTACTCCGTTATTGTATGTATTCGTTCTCTCTCTCCGTTCTTTTCTTATTTTCTTGAACACATTGCCCCAGGCTACTCTGTTTTGGTCAAAACGTTAACATGGGTGTTTCCATTACTCCATATTTGTCCGTTATCATATCCTTAGCTCGATCTCTTTTTAAAACTGAGATTGAATGACTCCGTTTTTGAATGCCTCTGTCTTCGCTGTTCCCAATAAAATGATGCGTATTCAAAATATTCCGTTTTCGGATGACTCCACTTTGAACAGCGTTTTGAATAACTTTGGTTTGGTATCAAATGACACTGTTTTTGGGCGCATTAATGAAATTCAAATACGAAAACAGAATCACTCGAATCTGTTCTCATACCCTATTAATTAGGAAGCAATTGCTTGACATACATTTGTGACTTGCAGAGTTTACCACTTTCAATACAGATGCCAGTAAGTTGCCTGCACACTGCTACTCAACAAGCACCACATGAATTGGATTTGTTGAAAATCTTATAGAGCTTGACAGAAAATCTTGGTACATTTTTTGGTATCGATAAATTCAAAGACGGCATAAAAAAATTGTGGAAACATAGGACACTGAAGTACTTTTTATCTGACATTCATTTATAACATTCAGAGTATAAACATCACTTGCAGTCACTTTCCGACATTTATCAATGTTTTTGGAACACTATGTTGAAGTATATTATATATTTTCTATATTTTGATGATGTTTCCCAATCACATGATAATCTTTTTTCTGAAAAGCATCATCTTTATTTCAGGTGTCAAAAGTAAGATGGAAGCCTACTTACTATGGTCAACTACAAGAATCTGATGTGTTTGTAACTGGAGCTTGGGATGATGAGGTGAGATCTGGTCATAATCTAGAGCAGAAAAGCAAAAACCTATCATAATATATTTCCATTTTTCAAAACTTTTTTAAAATTTTCAAGTACAAGGGGGTTATATAGTCAAAATGTTAATAATATTGAACATTGTATACTGTTTATCTTCAAGCAAGGTTATTAAAATTTCTATTTACCTGTCTGTCATAAAGTGCTGGGTGCTGTATAGGCATAGCTGTACAAGCTATTTGGTGTATAGAACTGGGTGGTTCTTAGTTGCTACTCCAAGTTTCATGCTTCGTTCAATCATCAGGCAACGGCCCTTGAGCAAGTTATAATAGTAGATATCAGGCCTGGCCATAAGACTTTTAATAGGGGAGCAGTGAACAGCTCTCCTAGTAGTATTCAGGTGAGCTATAAGAATAGAAACAAAGGAAAAATTTATTTCAAGGAGGGCAAATTTGCTTTTTAGAAAAATTTAGGAGAGCTACCTCTAGCTCCCCTCCAGCGTTTGAGGAGAGCCTGGAGGGGAGCAAGAGCTATGGCTCTCCTCAAATGGCCAGGCCTGAGATATAATAGAACAGTAAGTTTATTTTAAAAGTTGCAAGGTTTCTTTTGTTTAAGAACAGCTTAATTATAAGCTTTGATGTCTACTAAGCTAAAACTGTATTGATGATGATGATCCTCCTAATCAAATAAATTGCAACATACATCAAATACATGTAGTTTTAATCTCTTATATTCAATGTTGTGAATTGTGATTTTACAATACAATAGGTTTATAACGATGATAGAAATAATTGACATTTTGACAGAAAAAAGACAGTACCATGAATTTTTAACAGTATGTTAAAACTGCTCTAGCACTGAACGCATTCCTATTAGCATAGAAAATTCTGGTGTTGGAAATTTTTATTAAGACAATTCCATTATTGGCTTGTTCGATCTGGGCCTCCTATGGTCATCAGCTAAAAAAATACACTTGGAAAATTGCTTAAAATTATTGGAAAATTGCGAAATATGATTATCAAATCTGCAAATAATGTTAATTCTGGTGAAAAACCTGAGCTAGAAGGCACAATAGATTAGTAAAATTATGGATAAATGTCTCCACCTAAATCAAGATAAGAAAAACCCTCAAAAATTTCAGGAAAGATGCATATTTCTTTAGAACAGGCCATTCTATTTCATTTTTTTGAATAATGTTAAAGAGAACAACAACAAAATCTGCCATGCTGCTGTTTTGTTTCAGTGTAATATTCAATGTGTTTTTGCCTTAATGAAATTTAGAGTGCAGTGTTTTGTTAAAGAATTAGTCCACCACTGGTATCTCTATAATTGTTATAGAAACTTTTTATTTGTTTGTTACTGAACTTATTTATCATTGTACACAAAATGTAAACAAGCCCTAAGATATAAAAAATCCTGGAACTAGAAAAAGCCATGATAGATAGCGAGCTAAAGAAATGTAAGAAATATTTTATTTACTTTTCTTATCGTTTCTCAGAGAAACCTCATCAGTGTTTGGACCACAAACGAGAATAGCAGGGGAGAGTATTTTGATAACGATGCATTAAATGGAGAACCAGAACTGTTGTGTTCTTTGGTACATGATGGATCCGTGTCGGACATGCAAGTAAGGATAACCAAAATTTAGCTTGAAAATTTACAACCTTTTTCAATATTTCATATTAAATACCTGTGGTTTATTACATAATTATTTAACCTGAAGCTTGTAGCGTATGTGTTAAATGTCAAATCGAGCTGCAGCAAAGAATTTTCCTTGCTTTTCAGAAACAATGATGATAATAATAGTAAAACACCATAAGCGTAGTCAGAGTGGTAATTGTGGGTGGGGGGCAAAGGCGAGTTGAGCGAGAGGAGAATAGAGGTCTAAAAACCCTTTGGAACACCAGAAAACCCCAATTTTCAAAGATATTCTTCCTCTTTGGGAGGGGCGTCCGACCCCTCTTGCCTCCCCCTCAATATACTACTGGATGATTTCTTTCATTAACTAACTATTTGTTTTATATATGTAGTTATTAAATATTCATTCTCAATTGCTTTTTATTCTAAATTTTTGTAAAGTAGCCTAAATTAGCTTATACATAAATTGTACATAGATAGCTCTACTATACCCCTACTGTAAATAAAATTATTATAATTATTATTATTATATGCACCGTTTGACAAAGCAGCAAAAAAGGTTTATTGTCACCCCAGAGGGACAGAGGGCAAGTGTGAAATACTTGGCATACCTATAACTCAGCAGCCTTGAAACCTTTCAAATCATGAGAAATAAGATTATAAGGTTTTTTCCGTTATTCTGTCCATTAGTTTGTGACCTCGGACTGTTTTGTCACATCGTCTTCTACTGGCAATGTCGGTTTCTACGAGATATCTAAAGATGAAAGTGTGAGTATTGTAACTTTGAACTTTGCTTCGTATTATCTGGACTAAGTGCAGTTTACATTGGCTGAGCAAAAGTGTCTTTAAAAGTGGGTTCATTCTAATAACTTCGGTTGCCATCCAGCACCTTTATTTTTACGAGACAGGTAAGGGGTTGAACCTTGACAAATGGTACAATTAATGCACAATTGAATTATTCAAGTATCGAGAATATCAAGGGATATATAATTATAGCATTGAGATTAAAGTATAAATATTTGTTTAACAAGTAATAAGTATAAAAGTTATAATGGTTATGTATTCGATTGTTTTAAGTGTTGTTGAGAGCTTGTTGACAAGATCATTTCATATCTTCCATTTACCTAAAGGCGTGTCCTTGGTCTATTTTAAAGTTTAGTTTGTTTGATTTTCGGTTGTGGTAAAATATATTTCGTAATCAACGTTCCACGCCCTTTTACAGCCTAAACTAGTCAACTCTTTGCAGTATGATTTCCAAGAACGGATTCGTCTGCAAAAGTCTGCAAGTCTCTCTTTTATCCTGTCATAGCAAGTCTCTCTATTGATGTAGCATAAGGTTTATCAAATAGTGAAGAAGCCAAGGCCTAAATATTGTAGAAGCCTAAATTTGCACATTACTGGCAGTGCACAAAGCAGGGTAAGTGAAAAGTTTTGTTAAATCACTCCCCAGTTTTGATATTTCATGACCACTGCCATGACGGGTGCGAATTAAAGTCTGTTTGGCATTGTTATCATTAGTATCTTAATCAAGTTGCTTGTTATTGATTTCATTTTTAGCGAAGTTGTAGAGATAAGCTTGTTAGAGGTCTGGGAACGACTACATGGCCTAAAAATAGTATTTGGGAGCATTTTGATGATGGTTGTGAATCTAAATCGCATTTACGTGTTATGATTAGTAATCTTGCAAACCTTCATGTAACTGATTTCATTTTCAACAAAGTTATAGAGATAATCAATTTAGGAGTCTGGAAACAATTAAACATTCTAAAAATTTGAGGGGATTTTGAAGATGTGTGTCGATGGAAATCCTTTTAGTGTTCTATAATTAGTACCTAAATCAAATTTCTTGCTATAGATTTTGTTTTAAGTGGAGTTGTAGATATGAACGTGTCAGTGGTCTGGGAACGAGTACATGATCTAAAAATAGCATTTGTGAGCATTATGACGATGGGTGTGAATCTAAACCACATAACCGTGTTATGATTAGTATCTATACCAATTTTCATGTCATTGATTTCATTTTCAACAAAGTTGAAGGGATAATCATTTCAAGGGTCTGGGAACAATGAATCATTCTAAAAATAGCTCTTGAGGGCATTTCTCAGCCTGGGTCCAGACCCCATCTTTTTCAGTATGTCAAATTGTATGTTTGTACAAATTTTCATGCTTTTACCACGATTTGCGCATTTATTCTGCTTATCTCCCACACTAAAATGTTGAATACGGCATATTAGTCCTGGGACCTGGAATTTTGTAATTACGTGCAGACTTGAGCCGTTTGACGTCATCTGGATAATGTAGCGTCAAGCTATCTCAATAGCTTTTCTTTGGAAATATAACATTTCAACGAGTTTCCAATTTCCAAAGTCACCCTATGTGTTTTGTTGAGTCCTTTGATTTTAAATACGCATGTTGCTTCTAGATTTGAATTACTAGAATTTGCGCAATCCTGAATTTCACGTGTGACAATTTGAATTGAACCTTTAAAACTGACGCAAGCAAAACAGAGGTCGTCATTACTGAAGTCAGGGACGAAAACAAGTTGCTAATTTTGGGGGGGCGTGGAAGGATGAAAATTCCAATCTAAGTAAGAAATTTTTCATTTGACCAGTAAATCTACTGTACCTACTAAATTGATATTTGTAAATAGCCCGAACACCATAGTTCTATTTTCTTTATAATTACCAAAACTTTACTCAATAATTAGCCTAAAGCATAAAAGCCTAAATCTCTAAATTTTGATCAACATGAAACAGACATTTTAACTTACAGTAAGAAGTAAAGCAACATTTAAGCAAAACCAGTATTAGATATACTTAATGATTAGAAGTATTCTTTTAGATCAATTAATCAATTGGCGCAGATCAATCTTATCTAAACTACATTTTTTCACGATATAGAAGCACCAAGAATTTGAGCCTTTAATTTTTGTTCTTGATCGAAGAAAACTACTAACAATTTTCAGAGGGCCAAATGCCTTTTCATTCATTACAATTGAAATGATGATTTGAGAACAAACTTGTGCATATGCCTGATCCGAAAGATGAAACACTCTTCTTTGATCAAATACTTCTACTGCAATTTTGCAATGTGTTCTTGCTTCACAGCAGTTTTGTCATAGGAATTTATGATAAGGAGTCAAGGGCGTTAACAAATAACAGGGGGAGTTTAGCATAAACTCGTTTTTATAAGAAGCGTTGAGAATTTTTAGTACTGAAAGATTATTAATCTTTTATTGAATTAACTCCTCGTAGTTTCTTAAAAAACTCCCACTCTAATAATTTCTGATCAATACGGGAATTATTATTCCAAACTGTAAAGTTTCAAGTTTCTTATCCGGAAATTCACCTTGCCTGTTCGTAATTTGATTCAACTCCCGTCAGAAAGAAAGCAAACAGGGCAATTGTGCAATTTGGATCCAGTGGAGACGGGTCAGCTTCAGCCTGTGAATTTTAATGCTTAGAATTTTTACATTTAAAATAAAAAAACTTCTTAAAATATAAAATTCACAAGTTTGGTCCTAAGAAAAAATTCCAAGTCAACCGTTATGTTTTCCAACTGTAACTGGATTTTCCAAACTTTGGGGGGGCGTCACGCCCCCCACGCCCCCCTATTATTTACGTGCCTGACTGAAGTAAGAGAGTGATTTAAAAGTGATTTGTAAGAATTCTGGGAGATTTGATTAGGATAACATTCCTGGGGATTTCCGGGAAGTCAAACCAATTCCTAACCGTAAAATAAAGATCCCAGTGGACCCCTGGAAGAGAATTTATATGGATGTCTAAGAATCTTCAGTCCAGTAGGAAGACAGAAATTCAAGTCCAAGATTGACAACTTTGTAATGAATACCTGTGGCCTAGCAGCTGTCAGTGAATTAAGGAAGACAATGTATCATCTGTGCACCTTGTTTTCGACTTGATCCAATAAGTTACAGGATACATTCGGGCTTGAACCCAGAAACATTCGAGGGGCAAATCACTCTAAGAAAATCTCGTACACCTTTCGTTAAAATCTTATTGTTTTATCTGAAAATCCCCAGAAATCCTTTCGTTTTAGGCAAAATCTCGTACGCTATTTGCAAGAGTGAATCGCCCCTCGGAAACATGAAGGGAAAAATTAAGCTTTGTTAAAGAAATTTGACCTTGTAAAGCATGATATGTTCTGTTGAGATTCTGTACCGCTTAATACAGTCGCAGAGGCGCTTAACACTTTGTCCGCTTTCTATATTTCTTTAAATGCGGACGGTGAAAGCATTGTTGATAAAGGTGGCTTATCTATGAGTGGGCGTCTACGCGCCTGGATTTCTCTGGGCGATGTTACTATACTCTACTGTAAGACAGGGAATCCTCATTGGAAAGTCCCGTCAACTTGAGAAATCAGATCGAAGTATATTTTTGTCTATGATGTAATTAATTATGTCCCGCTGCCTCTTTTCAAGGAGAGGACTGCGTGACAAGGAATCACCCATTATTCCTAATAATGATGATGCAATAGTGCCATTTAATAGATAACCCAGGGCTAAAGGGGAATCCCGAAAAATTTTCAACAGGGGAATTAGACCATGTTCTCTTGTCTCAATGCCTCTACCACAAAATAAGAATTAGGCAGAAGGAGAACTCCTGCCTATCAGGTGAAGCCTGAAAAAACTAGCGCATGCGTTAACTTATACGAGGCTAAGCATGTATCTGTGGGGGAAATTTTAAAAAAGAATGAAAGAAAGTAGACAACTTTATTTGAGACGAAATGTCCCATGATAGTGAACAAATTCAATTATATATCATAATTCGTTTTATATCTGATTAAAGAATGATAACTTGCCATTGCTAAGTTCGTCTAATAAAATCGAGGTTAAAGGGGAATTAAGGAATTCTATTGTTGACTCAGGCTTCAAAAACAAAAAAGAAATCGACGAGAGTTACCCTTCTGCCTATTTCCTATTCTGTGCCTCTACCTATCATCTATGACCGATTTATTCATCCGATTGGAAGAAACTTACCAGATGAATTTATGGCTAAACCTTTTTTAATCAATACATCGTTAATCAAAGGTCATTCGTTTTCTTGATATCAGCGTTTATTTTAATGTTCATTTATTTCTTTGTAGTTTATTGTGATAGCCTCGAGCATGTTGTTGCTATCTTTATTTTTGCCAATTTCAAAACACTTTTTGTTCATTGGCAAGTTCAAACCCAGTAAATTTCCAGAAAGACAAAAAAAACCAAAATGAGGTGCCTAGTTGTTTAAGGCCAATATAGATGTTTAAGGCCTTGTTATATTGGGGCAATACATGACTTAAAATGGTAACAGTAGCGGATAATGCAAGAATCAGGTGATCAGGGGACTTTCAGTGTTCGCACCCCCACCGACCTTCAGAATGTTGCATAGCCTCAAATTTATGCCAATTTTTTGTACAAAAACTGTTTATTCCATATTGAACACCTGAAACTTTGATAAAATGCATGCTATTTTTTATGGACGATCGTTGAGTAGAGAGGGCTGATGATATGTTGTTCTAAGCGATAATTTTTCTTTCTATTTATCAGAAAGACATCGGTAAAAGGTTTAAAACCTGGAGTCAATATATATCTTAATCTGCCCTCTTGTGAGGTAAACCCTGTATTTTCTAATTAACATTCCCCTCAATATATGGGTGGAACTTTGTAAGAGGGGCCTGGAGAAGCAGGGAAGGACAGATATTTAACTCGTCTGAAATAAACTTGGCCGGTTGCTAAAGCGGACGTCAAAAAAGAACAACGGTATAATTACTAAGGAGATCTTCTACGTAATAGGCGAATTTCTCTCGCTATTTTTTCTCGTCTTTTTTTCACAGAATATACAACTGGCCAGAGAATGGACCTCGCTGCATTGCCATAAAAACAAAGATTCTTGCGCATGCACCAGCATTACGGTTAGCCATTCTAATGCAGCCTCGGTTGGGGAAGATGGGAAAATCAACGTTTTGCATCTGGAGCGGAAAGAGCCCTTGCGGACCATCGGTAACTGGCGCTTTTTGTTTTTCGGTTCATAAGAAGGTGACTGAATGCTAGTGATTCAAACAGCAGCTATTTTCCTATCGATCGATTTCATTTTTCTGGCTGTCCAATTGATGATTCAGCGGTCACTAGAACTTTGTCACAAACATTGATCCATTCAGAAGCTTTTTGTTGATATAGAATGCACGAGTCAATGGAAAGGGTAAAGTGAGGGTGCAGTGACTAACAGCTGAGCATAACACAGTTTTGTGATGTTATCATCTTTGAAAAAGTAAATTATTGTAAGATTTAACATAAGAGAATTTTACTAGTTTGCTCCACTTAGCGTCATAAAAGTGTTATATTGCCCCTTAACAGAAATGATTTGGTCACCTGTGGTCTCTTAAAAATGATATAAATTGTTGTAATGTTAAATTTAGGAGACAATTTCAGCATATTCTGATAAAAGAATTAAGTAGATGTAGTGAAGCATATCGACTGATCGGTCTTTCCTTGTTTAGATAATGCAGAATGCGTGGCAATACGAAGTGTGAAGTACACACAGACAAGTGAAATTGTGACAGGTGGAGCGACAGGGCAGCTCAAACTATGGGATCTGCGGCAACCAGCCAAAAAACCATCTAAGACTATGATTCTGTGAGTTTATCAGTTATTGATATAGCTTGTTGGTACTCTGTTACATTGCATCAACATTATAATCAATCATCATCGTCGCGGTGATTGATGATTAAGATTCAGCTCGAGGCATGGGGATATCATCTATCATCTTCTATGATGAATAAATACAATAAAATGCCCCCCCCCCCTGTTCCCCCCTCTCAGTGGATAACAATGATAACGATGATTGATCATTGTGATTGATGATTATGATTAATGATGATAAGGTGGATGTTGATGATCACTTTCGTCTTCAATCATCGTCAATCATCGTCAATCATCGTCAATCATCGTAATCATCGTAATCATTATCTCCACCAATATCTTGAAGCAGTAATAAAGCTTCTTTGGCTTCGAACCCATCCTTCTATTTTTGGTACGTATATATTTATAATGATGCTCGAAGGATTCAGTTTGCTTCGTGTTGCGGGAGCCAAGAAAGAAAGAAATTCTAATCCTGCGTGGTCAAGCTTTTTTTACACCAACCTTAATTTAGAATAAATTGGCAAGTCAAATTAATCATAATGTTTGAGCTTAATAGACAAAATATGAAACGGAGAGCGTGAACCCAAAAAGCTGTCAATGTTGAAAAGAAACCATTCAGCTATTGTGCCACAGAAATCTAACAGAAATAACAAGGGGTAATTCACTCTTCTGAGCAGCGCGCGAGAATTCCACCAAAACAAACAGATTTCTATGAATTTACAAATAAAACAATAAGATTTCTACCAAAGGTGTATGAGATTTCCATAGAGGGTTCGCCTTTTGAAGAAAAATATCTAAAACTACACGAAAGAGAAAGTTTCCAGTTACCTCTAGTAAATGTAGATTTGTTTTCTCTTTCAAGGTAAAGAATAACAAACCAATTTTAGCATGAAATTTTTGTAAAATCTTTTGGATTTCCCTAGGGTTCCAATGTCGGCCTTTGAAAGATCGAACTTCAGTGAAGGTCGGGGAGGAAGGCAGGGATCCCTGGACGTTTTAGACCATTGCCTCCCCCCTTTGATCTCTCAGCGACCCATTAGTATGTAAAGGATGAATAATGATAATCAATTAGATTTTTTGTTTCCATATACAGTTCCCGTTGCGTAAACCCACCCCCCTTGTGTAAACTAAATCATTTGCAGGCAACACCTGCAGCCCCCTTTCCCTAATAATTGTCAACTCTGTTCTATCTCCTTAATAAAAAAGAACTTTGTTTTATGTTTTTCTTGTCCCATCATTATGGGATCAACAGATTCTTCGCACTTAGCTCCGCGTGTTTCTAGATAGTTCCTTTATTGTATTTTAATCTGAAGCAAAGAATGGATCAGTTTGAGAAGACATTTCCTATTACTGTTTGTTATAGAGAAGGAAGCCAAACATGCCGAAACATGTAAAAACCACCAAATTCTTTGCTATTGTTATTAGTTCCGTGTTCGGCTGAAAGCATGGAAGGGTAGTTCCTTCTCGTTTAATCAATTGGGAAATCATAACACAGAAAGAGACTCATATTAGCATACCAAGCTACACGGAAAAAAAATCTGTTTACTATTTACAAAGGGTCCTTAAGAAACTGCTACAACCTGGGATTGTTTGCCCCCGTTAGAATGAGCAGAGGCGTCGTGGGGAATGAACTCTAGAGGGGGCAGAAAGAAACATATTCCGAACAAATTTCTTTGATTTTTTTTAATCAAATAGAGGCATTTCATGTTAGTGTAAGTGGTTTTAAAAAAGTTGGCGGACTGGGGTAGTGGCGGGGGGAGTGGGGGGATGGGGGAGTGGGGGAGTGGGGGAGAAAGACAAATAACCTTTGCCTTAGCTGGAAGGATAATTAAAATACACTTTTTATAGTGTCTTTGTTTCTTCATACTTATGGTGAATGTCCCTTACACCTCGCAACACTATAGATCGGTGGATTAGGACAAAGGTAGAATAAAGTTACTACCTGAGGCAGCACTATGGTTGCTGCCGAAAGGAAACAAATTTTTATAATCTTAACGCTTCAAGTTCGTCTGAAATTGCATTCTTTGGAGCAAATTTTGATAATGATATTTTATTCTCAAAATGAATGTCCACTGGCTGAAAGCGATGGTATTGATCGACTTTTTCCTTGTTTTACCTTTCTTTTATCTTAATGTATGCAACATAACTGCATAAATTTGACCAATATTGCAAATTTCCATAACCAAATTTTGCCCTTGAAGATTCGAATTTCAACTAACAAAATCCGAGCAGCAAGTCACTCCATAGTAGAAGTCGGTAAATCCTTCTGAAATCATTCTGTTTTTGTGAAAATCTTGTGTTTTTTTACAAAAGTGAATTGCTTCTCTATAATGCGATACCTATTTTAGTCTAAATAATATATGTCGCTAAATGGTTCGTTCCACTTCTCCTTTTACCCATAGCTCGAGTTAGAGGCTTTGACTTGCTTCATACTTTTCGAAAAAGCATCACAAATTTACTATCAGCCTCTAGTGTACAAGATTTGTTCCGTAGAAGCGTGCTTAGTATCGGACGTCAAGCCAATGATCTTCTCTCTTCTCTCTTTCCTTTCCTTTCTGCCTCCCTTTCTCCTTTCCCATTCTGTCATTTCCCTCTACCTTTCAAACATAAGACCCAGGCAGAGTCTACCTATAAAGTTAGGGAATTGTCCTGTACCAATATTGATTTATTTTATTGATCCACAAAAAGAAAAATTGATACAGCGTATTTGCACAACTGTTTAAGTTCAGCTTTTTAATGACACCGTGTTGGAAATCTTTTTTTTGGAAATCGTTCAACGTTCCTTCATCGAGGATCATCGTTGGGGCTGGGGGTGTGGTGCACTTGGTGATGAAACCCAAAGTCTCATCGGTTTCCTGTCCAAATGAGAACCGCATCAGCTCATGATTTCAGTAAAAAATTGTGCCTTTTTCACACTCTGTCCATTTTAAACCCACATAATACCACTTCCCTGAATAACTCCTCCGTATTGTTAAAATTGACTTCACCAACATCCCTCATTCACCTCTTTGTTGCAAATATACCTATTCCATTAAATCGTCAAATTTTGTATCGTTTTTTTTCTTGCCTTGTCATCTTGTCATTTGCTTTATCTTTTTTCCTTATTTTGTCCGTCTTTAATTTTTTCGTCTCGATACCCTTCCAGGTCCGGCGATAAAGTTTCGCTTGAAAGCGTAGAAAGACATCCCCACCAGCCTTGTCTCCTAGTAACAGGTGCTGCCGATGGGATTATCGGTGTTTGGGACTTGAGGCATGAAAGATACCCTGTCACTCTAATTGAAGCGCACGAAAGCGAAGGTAAGATTTCAAAAGCATAAATTCCTTTTAAATTCCAATAATGTTTTTGTAAAACCAAAGGGAAAGTACTTTCGAGATAAACAAATGTCATCAACCAGAGTCCCGCGACTGCTCTTCTCTTCCGCGTTTTTAGCCTCGTGCGGTAAAAATCGTTAGAACATTCGATGGGAACGTTGCTACGCCCCTGGTTGTGTCAAAGGCGGACGCGTTTGATTTTTCCTCGTTTCATTGCATACATAAGGAGAAAGGATACATAAGGAGGAAGTTAAATTATTCATTACTTGCGTGCCTTTGAATTGAAGACAGGAACAAGACGAAACTGCACATCCAAAGACCATCATTTCGTTTCCTAAATATTCGAACCATAGAAATTGTACTTTTGCTTCTATGGTATATGATCATATAAATCCTTACATTTTTGGCATCCACTTAGCATTTAAGGCTTAATACACCCAATTCTTTGCTAGAAGAACTCTACAATTACAGCTCTGTTCTAAGTAATTTTGGCATGGATTGTTTAACAGTGCTCGTAAAGCGAAAGACACAATCATATTTTCATTGTATATCATTGCTTATATCATTGAAGTAATTGTGGGGCAACCCATTAGGTTGGAATGCAGTGCTCGAAAATCTATACAGTAAAGGTTTTAAAGTTCATTAGGTTTTATTCATACATTATGACAAATCGGACATTTAGACAAATCTTGTTGTATATATACTTAACATCGAACAGTGACCCCCCCGATTGTCCTAATAGAACTTTTGGCATAGTATATGAAATCTTTGGCACCTTACTGTCAGGGCAGAGCTAAGAAGCTTGTTGAGGGAGCAGATCCCCAGATTCCCCGAGACCAATGGTGCTCCTAAGCTGTGAATTTTGACAATACTGCAATTGCTACAGTGAAATCTTGAGCCATTTGAGAATAGACAAATAATTTTTCGGCAAGAATGGATGATACAAAATGGATGAATTTGTTTATCGCTATTCATATCTCTTTGAATTTTGAAACATACGGCAGTTGATAGTAAACTTAGTTTGAAACATACGGCAGTTGATAGTAAACTTAGTTTGAAACATACGGCAGTTGAAAGTAAATTTAGTTTGAAACATACGGCAGTTGATAGTAATCTTAGTTTGAAACAAACGGCAGTTGATAGTAAACTTAGAATCCAGACAACTTTTGTATTTGCCGACAAACCCAAAATTGAGGGTGCAGCCCCCTTCGCCCCCTGCCTGTGGCTTCGCTCCTGCCATCCATGCTATACCACGTCTAAATATATTTTTCATTTTACTGTTTACCATCAACTGATTTTTATTTTAGTATGGGAAGTGAAATTCCACCCTCAGAGTCCGGACAACCTGTTTACATGTTCCGACGATGGATCAGTTTGGTACTGGGATGGTACATCGATCGGAGGGACAACATCAACAGCTCAAAGTGGCGAAAGATACGGGGCTTTGCCACTTCCAGATGTTGAAGGGAGAGACGCAAGGATGGTGAATCAGCAGGCTTCGTCTCCATGGCTATTCGTAGACACAAACAAACATTACCTGGAGACTTACTCGTTGCTGCCTGCCAACAGTCTTCCTGTAAACTCTTTAGATATTATTTCCAAATCTCTTGTCTGTGGAACAGATGGTGAAGCAGTCATAATTGTGCAAGATCTCCCTATAAAGTAAACATATTGCGTATTTATATGTATGTCTAAAGTCTAATTCTGTCGCAAATTAAAAAGCCGGTAACTTTGTAGCACTGGTTACTTTCTTTCGTTTTCCGCAAATTATTCTTGAATGTACTTGAGAAAGTAATTAACCCACGTGAAGGTAGAAATTTGCAAACCTTCCAGATTATTTTTTGCTTGTGTCTAAATTTTGGAACCTAAGTAATTGGTTTTTGCTTTATTTGTAAGTGATATTTGCTTTAATCTAGGCCAAAGCGCCAGCAGTTAGCTAAAAAGATTTTATTTTCTCAAAAATTGGATTTTTCACGCCGTGCTTTCCATGAGACACAAAGGCTGCCCTCAACTGACCTCTGGGTTTTTTCTTTACTGTATTATTAGCGACGAAATTGAACTTTTATGAAGTTCTGTTTTTCATCAAGGGAGAGGCCATAATCGGTATTTCGTATTCGAAAAGAGAAGAACCAGACCTTAAATGGAGGAGGAAAGAAACTCGATTATAGCAAGGCATGTTGGTCATAGAGCTCTTTTGGCGTTTAAGTACAATCGCCCACCAATATGGACAATGGACCACTTCCCCATGCAGGAATTGCGAGATGTTAGTAAATTTGATGATTAAAAATTATCTGAACCTAAAATTATCTTCAGACAAATCTAAAGAGAGATTTAATTATCTCCAAAACCTACTGCGTTTATCGGCTGTTTTTTTAAAAACTGTGTTAAGGAGGCCATGCCAAATCGGGGCCATGACCCCTTTATTTTTCTGCAAGATGTTTTACTACTAATAATGGCCTCTCAAATATGAAATACAAGGTGAGGCCCTTATAGTGTTCAAAGTGAGTCAGTCAAAAGTCTAAGATAGTTTTAGTAAGTTTACTGAGTGAGTAAGAGAGTTCAAAACCATCTTTGATGGATCTGTAAAGTATTCATTATTATTATTATTATTGCTAAAATAAAGTATTATAGGCATCAAAAGGTATTTACAAGTTGATATCCATTTATAGCTCTAACAATTTTATTTCCCTGAAGTCAAGAGAGGCATATAACACTATCAAACGTTATAGAAGAAAACGGTTTGGGAAGCTACCCTGATAAATTCGCTGGTGGGGGGTTCTAGTTCTAGTTCTTCCCTGGTCGTGAAACTCGGCTGTTGGCTCACATTCTCCCTGAATTTTAAATCAAAAGACTTCCTTCTTCGACTTCGTTTCATTTTCGGCGCAGTCAGAATTAGGTCTCACGTGAGGTTAAGTTCAATGAATGTTTTATCTATAAAATAAACCTTTGTTGAGTTTCTAGTCTTTTTCCGTCCAAGGCGAAAGCTCATTAGTTTCCGCACGACTCGACGTGGCCACCCCTTCGTAAAAATCAGAGAACTCTTTGTGAGCATGCTTCCCCGATAGATTGAGCTTATCGTTTCTTAAAAGCTACTCCTTATAAAAAAGGGGAAGTGTACTTTTAGAACTGTTGCAAGTATCTTTTCCATAGTTCTGTCTAAGACTTCTTTTTTTCATTACTCTGTAAGTCTTCATTTGTTCACGTTCTCGCCAATTCTACCTGCGTCTCACCTTTCTTGTTTTTCGACTCAACATACTCTAACTTTTCCTGGTTCATCGTTGGTTTTTAGCGCCCCATTGGTTTTTAGCGGTCATGCTGAATCAGTGATAAGGTAGGGGTCATGCCGAATTATTGATAAGGCGTGAATAGTTTTTTCCGTGGGAATAATCCTTATCCAAGAATTTCTTGCTTGATTTCTATCAAAATTAACTTGTTTCGTAAGTGTCGTTAAAAAATTGGGTATTGTGCGCAATTTTGCAACTGTGCTCCTGCATTCCACGCCATTATCAACAAACCCAACAATGTGAAGAAGCTATGTTTCTGGGCGGTTAGAAGAACCATGTTTTATTTTCCAAGGTGGTAGAGATTCCTTTAATGGTAGTGAAACACTACACATGGAACGGTAACATGAAGTACGTGCATCAGCTTTTACAGTTACCTTTGCTCAGTTCTAGTGCCCATTTTAAATTTTTTTATTGATTCAAGTATTAGAAAGTGCAAGGCTACAAAAGTGCTAGATAGCTTTTTTAGATAGAAAAATAACACTCAAAACAGGGTAACGAATTTTTTTTATTTATACCTAATATGTATTTATATATTTATACATATGCATATGCAAAGAGAACATGACTAAACTTCCACATGCACCATAAAATATGACACTGTATAAGACGCAAGGAGATCCTTTTTCTATAATGTGTTTCACTTGACACACGCCAATCTTTGAAGATTTCAAAATGTCTTTCCCCCTCCAACCAATGTTAATGTGTCCAATAACAGAGGTTTGTCTTGCTTCAAATGGTTTCTGGTCAGTTAGCTATGGTGTTTAACTCTACAACCAAGATTGTTTTGAGGGAGTGTGAGTGCGACTTTTGTTGTTCTTCTAAATTTTTCGAAGTCGATTTAATGGCGATAGCTAACATTATACATAAAACATAAATGCAAATCAACTTATAAAAGTCGAAAAACCTGCTGGAACTGAATATAATATTTTAATAAAATTTAACGTTGAATGGCAGAAAAATAATAATAAATTTCACTTAATGGCAGACACTGAAAGATACTGCACTTGGAAGTCAGTCCAATTTATTTATCAGAATTACATTCTTAAAACCTTTTAAATGTTATGCTGTGTTCAACTTGCTTGGTAAGACATTCAACTTTCAATTTGTGGCCTAATAAACTCAAGAGAAATTACTTGAGTTTCTTAATGAATAATGTGAAGACAGCGATTTGAAAATATTATGCATAAAAAGAGGAATTAACTTTTTCTATGTTTTACTGCAAAGGATTCTTTTTGACGTAGGATATTCTACCCGAGACAGGTTATTTTTCAAGAAACGATATTCAGCAGCTGAGTGTTTCAGGAAATTTTGGCAAGAATTGTAAATTGTGTCAGAATTTAGAACGAGAAAATTGTGTGAGACAAATGTGTGAGAAAATTTTTCGAGAGAATTGTGTGAGAGAATTTTGCGACAAAATTGTATGAGAAAATTTTGCGAAAGAATTGTGTGAGAAAATTGTCAAAAAATCAAAAAGGCTATAGAGTACCGAAGTGGTGACATCATTAAATGTATTTTTAGAATTTCTGAATTTTGATCCCAGAATCTGAAAGAGCATCATAAAATACCTCTAAATATGCAAAATCAGTTAAAAGCACTACGAATTGGTCGAGATATGGCCACTTGAGCACAGGCTCTTGCCCCATCAAACCTCTGTAATTTGATCTTGGTTCATAACTTTATGAACCAGGCCAGAATAACAGAAATCCGTTAGCAAACTTGAAATCTTTCATTGGCCATATCTCGCCCAATTTTGAACATGTCTAGCTGATTTTTCACATTGAGAAGTATCTTATGCTGTTCTTTCAGGACATGTGGCCAAATTTAAGAAATTTTAAAAATGGATTTTTGATGACGTCACACTTCGGTACTCTATATATCGCCATAACTTTTCCATTCTAATGGTATTTCCAGGAAATGTTTTAAAAATCATCTCTCTTCCTTTTCAAAAGAATGGACAAGTTCAGCTGCACGAACATAAGTCAATTCAAATTCTTCTTTTATTATTCATAATGAGAGCTAACAAATTCAATAGCAAGAGAATTCCCCGACATAATGCTAACAGCATTGCGAATAAGTATAAGCATAGTCAATAGTCTATTGACTATGGTATGAGCACGTTCAGAAACGGCTTTATTCAAAACTACGAGTATGTGATGCAAGATTAAGAACAAATTTCCCTATGAAAAAAATATCTCATTATAAAACAAAAGCACAAATCTGATCGATAAAAGAGTTCCAAAGCGATGATGCCACAAAAATCCATATTTAGAATTTTCCACCTCTGAACACATACAATACAAAAAAAATCGTTGTGACAAAGTTTCGGACCAATATTTTGACGAAATTTTCTTCGATGAAATTCAAAATGAGACGAAATTTGGTCACGGCGAAATTTTTTTGAATTTAAGATTTTTGAGGATTCGCACCGAAAAATTCTTAGATGAGGTTAGGAATAAAATTAATGTATCCTTTTCATCTTTCAATGTCAACTACGTCCTTTTCCTCATTCACAACTTCTCCATAATTAACTTTACTGTCGGCATCATGATTATCATCACCATTGTCGGTTCTCGAACTTACTTCGTTATCATCATTGTTCAATAAAAATAGTTCTTAGTTGCGTAGCGAGAGGGAGGCAAGAGGAGCGGGTGCCCCCATGACAAAAATTATATTTGAAAAAGGGCGTTTCTGGCGTTCTAAAAGGTGTGGACTCCCATTTTCCCTTGAACAACGCGCTTGTGCCCCCCCCCAATCTTAACACCCTGGCTACCTGTTCGAACTGTCTTTTGTCGCCGGTTTCAAAATATTCTATCCCTGTCTTTGTTTACTCAACTGTACTATTTCTTTAATTCGTTCAAGGTATATGCAATTTTCAACCCAAATTTTGAACTCAACAGAAGCAAACTTTCCAGACCAACATTTCCTGTTGGAGATGTTCTTATGCTTTCCGAACCTTATACTCATATTCACACTTACTTTTAACTATACTCTGTCTATAAACTGTCATACCATTTAGACATAGAATTAGAGTAGGACTCTTTGAATTCTAAAAGCATCTATGCTGACCCCGCCTTTGCACAAACTGAGTAAATATCCGCTTTAATTTGGTTTTTCTGACATGCTGCCTGGGGGAGGGGGTTGAGCCAAATTCTGAGCGGGTGCTCAAGCTCCTAAGTCTCCACGAAGTCGGTACATATGAGATTGAGTACAAAGCAACCTGTAAGGTTTTGCCTCTGAAGATTTTGGTAATATGTTGCTATCTTTGTGTTAAAAATCCATGACGAAATTTTGTCACGACGAAATTCTGAAAAGTTGTCCGAAATTTTTTTCGACGAGGTTTATCCGTCGAAAATTTATCTGACGAAAATTTTTGCTGTTAATGTAGCCTGCAAAAGTAGTTGAATGTGTTACAAACTGGCTGACATATGACTTATGCAGAAATTCAAGTTTGCTAGTGAATGATTGCTTTTCTGGCCTGGTTCATAAAGATTACCCTGGGTACCAGACTCACTCTATATAAAATTTTATATAGTGAGTCTGGTACCCAGGGTACATAAATATATGAACCAATACCAAATTACAGTGAATTGATGGGGAAAGAGCCTGTGCTAATTTGGCCATACATAGTGCACCCACTTTCTGAACATATCGAGCTGACTCTGTATATTCAGTGGTATCTTATCCTTTCCTTTCAGATTATGTGTTTATATAAAGAGATTCGTAAAGTATATCTTTGAAGAAATTACTCTTAATTCACTACTGGCGTCATTAAAGGGGCTCAGTACTGGTCGGCACTAGATCATAGTCAACTAACGTACATGACGTCATATAAACTATGGCAACCTAATGCATGGATGGTAGTATGACGTCATTACATTCTAACCATTTGATGAAAAACTGTATTGCAAGCGGCATGAAATTCAATTCCTATGTCAACTGCCAATACCTCAGCTGACACAATGCTCCTAAAAGAGACTTTAGGCTTGATTACAGCAAATTTTGTCGGGGAACTCTCTTTAAAACGCTTAATAATGTTCTTATGCGGCAAAACCAGTTATCTGAAATTTTAGCAACGGCTTCATACATAATTATCAATGGTAGTTACTCTGAGTCAGGCGAAAACGTAAAAGAGAGTTTTCTTAGCTGCACATGCACTAAAACGAGTTCTTTAGATTCAACTGTTAGAAAGTGCTTTGAAACAGGGCCTATTCAATGCTTTAGAGTAGAATATATACTTTTTTCCGTTTTTCTCTGCTTGAGTCTGCTATGAATTGAAACCCCTGGAGAAAAAGCTAAATTCCAGCTTTAGCAGAAAATTCCCCGAACGAAGTAAGCAGAAAATCTGGCAAACACGCCCTTGTAGATTAAAAAAACTACAGAATGATTTCATGATGTCATTTTCTTGCATTCGACGAAAACATTTGACTGTTCTGTAGGGATGCATGCCCTGCATGGGCCTTGAAAATGCCACAGCAAACCACAGACGAGTTCCCCCATTGTATGCAGCATCCGTCTCATTTCACTTAGTCCTCGGTTTCAAAGATGTATGACGTCATGTACGTTAGCTGACTATGATCTAGTGCCGACCCTCAGTACTCCATAATTGCAAAGCCCCTGCTTGAGGATGATTTACAAAGAGGACTTTAGGATGTGGTTTAAATATCATAGTTGCCACCTCCTGAGCAAATGCCTTTATTGTTTCAAAGAAAACTTTTCATGATGTAAACAACAAAGAAATAATATTTATCCAAAATTTCGTTGTATCTTCATTTCATCTCTTGGAATTACAGCGCTATTCGGGTTAGCAATTATGTAGTGGCTATTTTAGTTAGACACAATAAAAAAGGGGAAATGTTGTTTGAATGCTCAGAAGCAGAAAACCAAAGTGTCGTTATCTATGAACTTGTAAATAGCAAATAAACTATTTTAAGGCCAAGTCACAGACCTTTTTTGTAAATAACATCCGATCATGTATTTAAATAGAGAAATATAGTTATATTATTAAAAATGTTACATCTTTGATGGGGTTTTCTACACATGATATATTTTGAAAAGTCAATGTCGTTGTGTGGCTAGAGAGACTTGCGAAGGTTATCTCGAGATAAAGCCAAACTAACCCTGGATGCTCCTAGATGCAGCACAGAAATTTGCTAATTTCAGGTGACAAAATAAACTTAGCCTTCAAAATTGGTTGTTCTCTAATTGATTCACCGTAGAGCTGACGAAACAAAATATTATTAAGGGGGCTGTGCCCTCTTCAACCCCTTAGAAATAATTCCTATCTGTTTTAGCTGTGTATTTCCAAATGTTGGTTCACTTCATCTTCTTAAGGGGGTCATTTCCATTCATTGTAATGTAGGGTTGATTGACTTTTCTGAAAAGATGTTTTTAAGGAGTTTAAAGTATATCATAAAGTGCGTGTGAGCAGAATTCACCACAAGAAATTATGTTGTTGTTAAGTTCACAAGCTCCGTCGACACTGAATTGTACTCTTTTGTAACACGCTTTTGTAGATTTTGCTTTCATGAGCCTATTTCTCAGTAAGGCTCAACTTTGCTTTGTTTGCCAACGACAACAGAATTTCGCTGGCAGACCTTGGTTCCAAAATGCCTTTTGCTTCATTACCTTGCGCAAGCGCAGTGCGTATCTTTTTATTCCCGGTCCCCGTATGTTCATATGAGAAATGTCTATTAAATCTAGTTTGATCCCATCGGCCCGAGAGAGGGTGAGCCAGCCTACCACTCCTTATAGGAACGCAACTCTAATTTTATTTACAGATCACTCTTTGGGCCACATCTCACTCATGTTGTTCAGTAGGATATATCCACTAGGCTCTAACCAGACGCATATGCCCATACTGTAATGCTACGTTTTTGCTAAACAAGTTAGCTTATTTGAACTATACTCATTTCTTTATCTATGAGACTTGCTGTAAGAAACAAGCACTGGACAATCAGAAAGTATTAAGAACTTGAGTAATGAAAACAAAAATATGAGAAAACATATGAATTTTTCTAGAAAAATACATGATTCTAAATTTGGTAAAGATCTATCAATGTGATTTGTTGGTTGGCATCATATATAGTATAGAGCCCCACGTAATCATGTTCCTGTAGGAAGTTTGGAATTTAAAATGTTAAACTTCCTCTCGATGTTAAAACAAATGACACAAAGTTTGGAAACTCTTAAGAAGTAGTGAGGATTGAAATTTGCAGACGTATTAAAAAAGTGGAGTACTCAACTTCGATCCTTTTTTATAAATAAATGATTGTACTACAATATGTTGTTCGTTTGCTCAAAAATATGTCTATCTAGATTAAATGTAGATCAACTCAAAATTCAGGGCGAGTAACAGGCACCGCGGAGCGTTGAGAAAATGGGAGGGGGGGTCTTCACGAGATGGGAAACATAACAAAAGGTGACATTTGTTAAAAACAAACAAAATCAGTGTATTGTACAGCGACATTCTTTATTTCATAAGAACACGAGTCTCATAATTTGTTAAAAGCTAAGAGAAAATTAAGAACAAGTTGAACTTAACACCGCAAACACCCCCCCCCCTCCCCATCCTAGTGCGCAACCTGAAACATCCACCATGATAATTAAAGACCAAATTGAGAACAACCCAACCTCAAACTTTTAAAAAAGTTAGGAACAGCCAGTTTGATATTCAAATTATTGGTTCAGATTCATACGTGGCAAAACCCCCAGTTTTCGTTTCAGCATATGGTTTCAGCAAAGAGAATGAACGCAGATTAACGAAGACAAAAGCAATTAGGCGCGGGAAGAAGGCTTGAGGGAGCTCAACTGTTTTTTTAACCTCTCCCTATTATTATAATTATGAATATTGTTGTTTACTCCAATTTATGTACTTAAGATTCGTAAACTAAAAGTAACTTTTAGACAGCCAGTGAAGGCCTACTACAAAAGTAAAGTTAACATCATATATACAAGGTAAAATTAATGCATTAAAAAAGGTCGGTTAGTGATAGTTGTTTTAACGATGTTGTACATCTCATTTCTTACAGTTTTTACAGCTTCTATGATTTTACCAGCCTGGTATTAAATCCCTGAAAAGCCTCTTAACCTAGTTGGTAATTCAACCCTTTGTTTGAGTTGATACGTTCAGACCTTGCAGAAGTATCAGCGGCAGTTCAGAAAACTTCCTTGTTCGAATCGTTGGGGGATTCCCAGAAGAGGCAGATTGTTCAACCTCGACTGATATAACGCGATTGCTCTTCCGCAAATAGCTCATTTTGTAATTCGAATGATACCGATCAGAAGCAGAAAGGACCCGGGAATTAACTGAAAGTATTGACAAGATTTTTGCGCGATGGCAGGCCACGAAATTGAACAGGAAGGGTATTTGGAGAAATCGCCACCTTTTGCACGCGACATCCTTGGTCGATTAAAGCGATGGCACCCCAGGTACTGTGTTCTAAGCCGACTACCAAATGGTGAAACAGCCCTGACTTACTATGAGGATTCAAAAAAGTTCTCAAACGGAGGAAAACACAAAGGTGAGCTACTTTAACTCTCATTTTGCCTCGGTCTCCAGTTTATTTTGTGCAACAGGTATTTTTTTGAAAAGCTCGCCTTGCTAGTGTTGTTTGTTCTTTTGATATCTGATATCAACCATTGAAGTCACACGTCCAGTTAGATTTTTAACTTTGTACTTTGTCATCAATATTATTTTCGTCTAGGCAAATTCATCCAGTATTGATTTATGCTTTTATGATATTGACATGGACACATAAGGGACATAAACGCACCACTTGGACGCTGATCCATACCCAGACCCTGAACTTATTTATGGTCTTGTATTATATGGGTTACCATTAAAGCGCTGAGTAAATCATTACCAAAGAATTAGGAGCTGTAGCAGTGCCTGCAACAATCGCTTTGAGCCCAGCGAGAAACATCGATGTCCTTGAAAGCGCCGCCAGGAAAGCGCCGCCAGAAAAGCGCTGCCAGAAAAGCGCCATCAGGAAAGCGCAATCGAAAAAGCACCATAACGGGCAAGCTAGAATGCTCTGTGTTAGTGCCCAGTGCCTCAGCGTTGGTGAATTCTTCCCCCAACTGAATGTTTTTCTATTCCTCCCTTGTCTTTTTGCCTCAATTCACACATCCCCTTTCATCATGGTCCTCCTTGTACTCCTGGCACCGTAACAATCGAATGATCTCTGTGCCACAGCTAAGCGCCAGAAACTACCCACGCTGAAATCTGGTATTGATAAATTTTGGGTAATCAGAAACAGGTGGCATGAAATAATTATCGTCTTTAAATGGCCAGCTCTTTAAGTTTCTTCAAAGGAGCTACAACTTTACACCGACCTCTGTGTTTAACCATCCAGTCATTATTTTATATAGAAACTTTTAACTTGAGGCCGGTGGCGGGAATTCATTTCTCAGGTGGAGAGGGGGGCAATGCCCACAAAAGAAGCAAGGTGGCCGACAAATGACATAATTTACCTGCTTGAGACCCAAATCAAATCTATTTCATGAACATCCATGGAAACCCTACACCAGTAAAGAATGCGATCTTTAATTTAGCCAGATCTAGAGCCTTTGCACTTGCGATCAAAAGCCCTTCTTTCTATTTATGAAACCCTCATGCCCCCCTCAACATCAGCATCCTCGGGCAGATGGTGCATGTCCCTCCCCTTTAATTATTGATAACCATATGAAATACCTTGTCAAATGTGTTCTTTCTTTTATTCGATTGAAAATTTCCTTGTTTCTTCTATCAGCAAACATTATAAATAAAAGCACCTAAAGGTGCTTTAATTGTTTTGAGGAGGTGCGGCGACTTTCTTACGGGGGTGATTTGAGGAATTTCAACAACCCTAAATCATGCACTGTCTTTCCCAGCCCTCCCATCCCCTTTTAAATTGGCTTGGCTGTTGGCCACAGTTGAGCTGAGTTCATTACTTTTGTTTCGCAGGTTGCATACTGTTGCAAGATTGCGTGGAAGTGAGAAAAGTGGAAGGACAACTTTACAATCGAGATTTTTTGATATCTCTAAGAACAAGTCAAAAGTCCTCACATGAAGGGCGAGTTTTCCTATTTCGCGCGAGCAACCAAGTTGTTCAAAGCCATTGGTTTAATGCGATAGAAAGATGCATGAATACGGTAAGATATTAGTACAACTTGATTCTTTAAGCATTGTAATTCTCTGCTACAGAAATGAACGTCTCTTAACACTGAAAAAATTCAAACATTTTAAGCTATTTCATATTGGATTAAATTGGATTGGATTCAAATGGATTTTGTTACATTTCAAAAAATTTTTGATTACAAAATTGACGTTACTGATTACATTTATGAACGCAACGCAATTTATAAAGAAAGTAATTTAAATTCTATATAAAAATACAACGGAATGCAAAAATCTTTGATAAAATTGTTGTGTTAACTTTAACTTTTGAAAATTTAAGACAATGTTTTTAGCGGAAATGGCCTTTTCCTCTTAGATCAATATTGGAGTTGTAGCAGTCTGAAATGGGGGGAGGGTTTTGTACTTTTTTTAAAAGAACTGTACGTGCATTCAAGATTTCTTTCAAAACATTCGTTATAAACTATATAATTGAAAATGTTGGGACCTCAAGGTCTAACAGAATTTACGTTCAATTCACTTACAGTCTTTAGCATGAAAGGGAAATAAATTTATTCCAGGTTTCAAAAGCAGAGGCAAAGGAACACGAAGATGATGATGTTTCTCGCGACGCGGTACAAAATTTTGCACCAAGCAGGTAAATATACAGCATGTTTTTCGATAGATATATTTTATTGTTTTTGCTTATCCACTCACGTGGCTGCTTTAGAGATATATTTTACTATTGCATTTTCCACCCAGTAAAATAAGTCTTTTTAGCCAATTAACATTACAGGTTAGAGGAATATCATTTTTTATAATGTGATATATTTCCGCTCTTCCGTGCTATTTTCGTGTATTATTTTCTGAAAAATCCAATATTCAAATCTCAGCTTTTGATGTTTTGAATCACTTTGGTGATCATTTTTCGTGAAGGGTTGCCTCAGAAAATCACTAATAGACTAGACACATCTTTCTCTGGAAAAATTCACACACGCATTTAAGCTCAAACTACTTTTAGGCCAACAGAATTGGAAATTCGGGCTTACAATGAGAAACAGGCTGCGCGAAAGAGAAGCAGTACAACGCCAAATGAAATCACCGGGGAGGAGATTCTTCGTTCTCCTGATGTTTGCACCACTCCCAATAAAGACTGCGATAGAAGAATCAGCAACCGGAGTAGTGGATACGAGACAATGGACCGAACTAGCTCTGCGGCATCTCAATGCAGTGAATTCAGTGGTAAGGAAAAGTTTTGTTTTTTGGTTACGTGGAATTTAAAGTTTACTATACAATTGCTGGCAGACATTGGAATGAGGAATCAATTAACCTTAAATTTGAATTTATTTGCAATGAATCTTTTGCTAGCATTGACATTCCGCTTGCTGCTTTCCTCGATAAAATATAAGAAAGGGTTAGTGCTGACAATGACAGCAGACACATGACACAGTGCATGCCTTTTAGGTACATCGTTGCTATAAGTGGACCTTTTACAAAATAAGACCTTGCCCTTGAAATTTGCAAGGCATCTAAGTTTCAAGCAAATTTTGAAACTCAAGTAATTTCTTAGAAAATTTTTTGCAAGTTTTGAAAGATTTTCTGCTCCATTCTAGATATTTTTTTACCTGGTTACCAGGAATCGAAGTTTGACTTTTCACCAACCTTTGAAGGTCCTCGTGTTGCTTTGAAAAAACCAACAATGATAAAGGCGAGAAGCATGGGAAATCTACTTGACTCAGTTAGCATTAATACGAGGATTGAATTCTCAAATGCACCAACTACGTCATGGGTTAGAAGACCCTCTCTCCAGGAGCAAGTTGATATTATCTTAAGAAAACTGAGCTTGGAAGAGAGGACTGGTGCATCGAATTCCTGTAATACAAGCATAAATGAAAGAGCCGAGAGCCATGAAAGCCAACACGATTTGAAAAAACCAAGGCCCAGCAGTGAACCGTGTAGCTCTAGATGCAACTTTGCAGATTTTAGTGGAAGTTGGGAACGCCCCGCTGTTTCTGCGATGCCAGGCAGCTATAAGGCATCAGCTTCTCCAATGGAGAATGATGAGCTACAAACGAACCAAAGGCCGCTCAGTTATCCGTCACAAGCAAAGGCTCGTCCTTCGCTAGGCATCGGAAGACAGTTCTCAAACATTGATGAGACGGAAGGTGAACAGACCGAAGCAGCACAAGAGGTTACATCGATCAACCGCACGAATTCTGATCCAACCTCGCGAAAAACTGACACAAAATTCAGCTTTTTTCTGGAACTTTAATGTGTATTCGGGAAACGTTATATCGACTGACATAATTATTAACCACTTATGAATTTAAAAACCCATGTTATTCTTTCATTCAGTTAAAAGCGATACGTCAATCAGTTTATGTAAAATGTAAAATAGACTTGAATTATGCAGAATAGAATAGATCGGATTTTAGATTCCATAAAAAAGATGCCACAAACTACACCATCAGTTTAAGTTTCCACATTTCCTCCCTTTCCTACTCCTTTCCCCTCCATCTATCTCCATAAAAATTAAAATTCAACACTTGAAAAAGACTACGCAGATGTTATTTTTCTTCTACTTAAAAGCAATTTCTCAATAAAAGCATGAAATTTAGTCCTGTGACGCTGGCACTCCGATCAAAATAGCTTCTTTTTTGCCTTATCTGACAACGATGGTTTTAATGAACTTGGTGTCTTGAAGCAAAACTACGTCGCTATGAAAATTTAAAATCTCGAATTATAGCAAAATAGATTTTCTTTCATATAAGGAAAGGATGATTTGCTTATACATTAAAAATTAGCTTCCATGTTTGCCTCCAATTGATGCTTGTTTTGCGTCCCCTAAAAGACGATACTGGAGAAATCCAGACCTTGGTGTGGTAGTTTTGTATACCTTATAGTTTAGTTTCCAGCATATAAATTATAGTATATAGCTGTAAAAATTAAAAACAATTGCTTGTAAATATACACTTCGGAACATTTATACATAAATGGTAAATTACGATCTATTTTTGTGATTAAAGAAAGATCTCATTCAATGTAGTTTCTCGAGGAGAAATGAGTTCAGTGAACATCTCATTACGGACCCAACCCGATAACAAACACAACCCAATAACGGACATCATCCACTAACAGACACAACAGTATGACGGACATCATCAACCCAATGGACACTCCCGTTTAGCAGCATTCTTTTATATCCATGTTTTTTTGTACACATGTTCCGTAGAAATGAATAATGGGCGTAGAGATATTGAAATTTTAATCTACTGTTTTCAGACGGCTTTTGTCTCTGTTTTTATTTTCTTCACATTAGATTGGTCTAAAATGTAAATCAGTCTAAAATTCAGACCACGGTGTAAGAAGGTCGAGAAAAAGTCCAGTTAATATTTTATAAAAACGTAGGCCAAATTTGTGTAAGATATTATACTGTCAATCAAAGAAGCGTATTTGCGATTGTAAGCTGTTCTGGCAAGAACAAGTCGTTATAAGAGTTACATAAACAAGCACAAATGAAAAGTATCATGTTTATGATAGACATCACACAAGTCAGGTTTATGATAGACATCCACAGAGGCGTTTTTCATAACAATGTTCGTGATGTGAATGCTTTGATGAAAAAGCTTTGAAAATTCGTATATGGGATTTTCGCTTTTATGATACAACTGGAACAATGTTAAGAAAGCATTGAGCAGTCAAGGAAAAGGTCTTAAGGTCCTGTGGATGTTAGCAAAGTTTAGATGTTTAGAAATGTCCGGTTCAGTCAAATATTATACACTCTTGCCCTGTGTGGGTCGGGTGCTTGCCGCTCTTTTATGCCGAGGCTGGGTTCTTCATATGAATCATAGGCACATTTCGATTACACAAACCAAGATACTTAAATTGGTTTGCCCCTGTGAATCTTGCGAGCCTGATTCTTGGAAAACCTTTGAGCAGTCGAGATTTTAAAAGTGCTTCATTGACTAGTTTCCGGCTTTGCTATATAGTAGTCACAGCCACTCTATCTATTAAACGTAAAGGTTCGTTTTCGCTAAAACATCCAAAAGGTGTCAAAACTGCCGATGTAACACTTAGGGGTAACTTCCACGTACACTGACACAGGATGACCTTAAATCTTAAGGGTCAATTTTAAAACAAAGTTCTATGTTTTCATTTACATTATTCAATTGTTGGATTTTTGCAAATTGGAATTAAAAATGAGGGTATGCATTTCACATTTTATCTAAATTTTGGGGTAGAGTTTTTGGAAAATCTGAAAATTTTAGGGTATGTTTTCATAATTTAAAATTGCACACCCTCATCCTCCGCCTATTGAAGCCACCCGTCCACTGGAACAACCCTTAGGATACCGGTTATAAAAATTCAATTTCCAACCTCCAAAGACTTGGCGCGGTGAATGACATTTCTTATTGTTCACGGTTCAAACATGTGCATTTGATACTTTATGATTTGCTGAAAAATATCACATTTGAAATTGTGTTTATTGTGAGCAGGTTAACAGCAGGTTCCTTTGTCTCAGGGAGATTCCTAGGGCTCTGCAACTTTCAGAGCCCTTCAGAGACCACAACAATAGCTAATTTTAACAATTGAATATCTTTGTTGGGCGTTTAACCACAATGAAAAACAATCTGATTTTTCCTTGATTCGTCTGCTCTTTTTGCTTTGAAGGCATTAGCGTAGGAAATATACACAGGGGATGGGACGCCTGCATCCAGTGGCGGTTTTAAGGGGGTCCAGGGGGCCGTGGCCCCAGGCCCCGCGCTTATGGTAGCCAAAAGGGGCCCCACACCTAAAAAAGATAGAAATTGTAAAGAAGAAGGGCCCCGCAGTCTCCAAAACCGCTGCTGGCTGCATCCTTTATATTCAGACAACATTTATCGAATTTCAGGCTCCTTTCGGGCAGTCTTACCTCAATGAATCCATAATATTCGGGCGAGATCCACATTAAACCCCCTAGATGATTTTTAATTGCTAAGTCTATGTGCTAAGGAAAATGTGGACGAATTTATCATTATTTTCACGGCTATTTTCTTGCTTTGCAGCTTACCGTTGGATCTGTATTGTAGCCTGCGGGAGCTTATTTTTCGTGGCTATATTATTAAGATGGCTACAATATGAACCGTTTTTGTAAGAAGCTAAGCTTGGGATTAGCAATCGGTCCTTTCTATTTGTTTTTTAGTATTAAACAATCTTTAAGGCTACTCAAATATTATATAATATTACATTTATTATTATTATTATTTTATATATTATTATTATATATATATATTATTACCAAATATTATATAAACAAGAAATAACTCACAAAAACGCAGGGTAACGAAAGCTCTTCCATATATGAACAAAACAAATGGTTTCAAAAGCGCCATAATCAATTACAACCAACCTGGTTCCGCAAAAAAGAAGTTCACATGTTCTTTCTGCAGTAAATAATCTGACTTAGTTCTACAATCACTAGACTTTCGTTAGTCGCGTTTACTATAACAGGAAACAACAGGAAACAACAAGAAACAACAAGAAACGAATACAAACGAGAAGAAACGATAAGGAAACAACATGAAACGATTTGTGACTTTGCAGAAACGACTAGATCTCCAAAACGAGGCAAGCTTATCCAACCACGTGGGCATTATCATCTTTGTTGCAGTGGCCTAAGTGTTCGGTCATGTCGTTCTCCACCGCAATAGCTGTTGTCTTAATGAGGTTACGGAAACCCAGTGATAATGCTTACTTATGTTTCTACAACGCTCATTTTAGCAAAAGCAACAGAAATACTAAAAGAACAAACTCCAATATACGCGAGGAACAAGCTGTATAGGTTCACAATCTACTTCTTGAACAATGTTTTGTTTGGGAGCCTATTCTCAAAGCCTCTAAAAAGTTTCGGTAAGCTCCTAAAGCAGTTGAATTCAGGGGGGAAAAAGGCTTGATTATTAGCCGAAAATTAAAATTGCTTTATTTCGACCTTCCCAGTAGTTGTTCCATGTTAATCCCACAATGCTGGCACTTCATATCAGGCTCTCATAGGTTAATTCCTCTTACAAAATTACCATATCAACATCTATATCAACATATCAACAGCTATTAATGCAGGATTTCCACTAAATAAATAAAATTGTGCCGCAGTTTAAATTTTTCTAAGTCGTTTCTACTTGTTTCTACTTGTTTCCTAGTTGTTTCTTACTTGTTTCCTAGTTGTTTCTTACTTGTTTCCTAGTTGTTTCTACTTGTTTCTTATTGTTTCTAGTCGTTTCTACTCATTTCCCGTTATAGTAACCACGTTTTGTTAGTCTGAGTGAATCACAACATCGTCTATCAAACATTGAATGTTACAAAATAAAATTCAAACTTAAAAGGCAAATACCAGGAGAAAAATTGTGTGCATTTATTAAACGAGTCTAGCTAACTCACCAATCGAAAACTTGTGGATACTCAAATGTTTTAAATTGGTGCAATTGGGCTTTGGCCTTCGTCGACGAACGTCGTTCAATGGTTAACAGAAATGCCATTCAGGGCCTGGTAGTACAATAGGAAGCACGGAGACATCACAGAAAGCCTTTGGGAATGAATTCTGCTTCTGGTACTCACTAGGGTGTTTTGACCTCACCCAAGGGACATATATTTAAATATTGACCTCACCCAAGGGATATCTATTTGAATAGTATATACTTGAATTGAATAAAAGTGTTTGTTGGGAATCGTACAAAAATGGTCATATTGAGATATTTAAATGAAGACAGCAATTACAAAACAGATGAACGGTTGATTCTTGGACATAATTCTTATTTATGCAGCGCTACAGTTGTAGTCGGCCTTTCATATGACATTGTTATTGGGAGAGATTTTCTGCATGAATTTTCGGCCGTTTTTTATGTTCGTGGAGAACTTGTCACATTTAAGGGATGCTATACCGTTCCATTTGCTTTGGCTAACACACCCCTGGTCGTCACAAATGTTAAGGTTGCGAAAACTTTTGTAATAGATGCTCAAAGCGAAAGCATAATTCCAGCTAATTTAGAAACCTGTCATCAACCGCCTGTTGTGGGTCTTATTGAAGCTTTGCCAAAACTTTCTGATCGCTATAATCTTCATGATGCCTGTACACTGTGCTGCCCAGGTGAAAATGGCGAGGTATCTTTTCGTTTGCTGAACCCTTCGGACACGCCTGTTATTTTATACAAAGGCTCTGTCATTGATAAATTTGAAAAGACACCTGGCGATATTATTGCATTAATTTCCGATAAAGAGTTTTCCACAAAGGAAGCTCCTTCCCAGAGTCAATTTAGCCCGCAGTCTTTTACGACTCCTGAGCCTATTAAAGATCTACATATGCAGTGTAAATCTTTGCCTAGCCCTACACTAACAGTTGCAGAAAACGTTCAACTTGTTGAACACTTGAAAAGTTATTCTGACATTTTTTGCGCCGTCCTTCTTAGATCTAGATCCATACAAATATACACAAAGAGCGGAAATTGACCGTCACTTTTCTAATATGCTTGAACAAAACATCATTAGTGTGTCAACAAACCCTTGGAGCTCTCCTGTAGTATTAGTTAAGAAGAAAGATGGTACCACTCGTTTTTGCGTGGACTATAGAAAGCTTAATGCTGTTACGCGTAAGGATAGTTATCCTCTGCCTTGTAATGATGATGCTCTGGACGCATTTGGAGGTTCTCAATTCTTTTCAACGCTAGATCTTCAATCTGGTTATCACCAGGTTGCTATGCATCCACATTCTAAGGAGAAAACTGCCTTCATATCTCATTCAGGGTTATACGAATTAAATGTCCTCAGTTCTCGGCTAACAAATGCTCCACCTAATTTTCAGCGCTTGATGGGTAAAATCTGTCACGGACTTGATTGGAAGATATGCCTTATCGACGATATAATAATATTTTCTTCAACATTTGATGAACATATTGAACTTTTAAACCTTGTTTTCGATCGTTTGCGCCAAGCTAATCTAAAATTAAAGCCTTCGAAATGTTGCTTTGCTAGCAAGTCGGTTGACTTTCTTGGATCTGACCCAGATAAACTCACTGCCGTAAAGTCTTTTCCAATGCCTAAATGTGTTAAGGACGTCCGTAGTTTTCTTGGCCTATGCAACTATTACCGCCGTTTTGTTAAAGGTTTTGCGGCTATTGCTTCTCCACTCAATCGTTTAACGCATAAAAATACTGTTTTCCTTTAGACTGCTGAATGTCAGCAAGCTTTCGAAGATTTGAAATTTCGTTTGTGCTCTCCTCCAATTTTGCAATACCCAAATTTTGCAGAAGCATTCCATTTGAATACAGATGCTAGTCAATCAGCTTTAGGATACGTTCTGGGTCAAGTCATACATGGGAAGAAGCACGTTATTGCATATGGTGGACGTGAACTTAGCAGTGCAGAGAAACGGTACAGCACTACTGAGAGGAAAGCTCTTGCTGTTGTTAACGGGATAAAGAGGTACTAGCCTTATTTGTCCGCTAATCATTTTTATGTACATACAGATCACGGTAGCCTTTTTTGGCTTATGAATGTTAAGGATCCAACTGGTCGTTTAGCTCGTTGGGCACTACAGCTTCAGCAATATGATTTTGAAATTGTCCATAGGCCAGGACGCTTAAACGGTAATGCTGACGCTCTTTCTCGTCGCCTTTATGATGCTCCTTTGTCTTCTGTTGAACAGGGTTGCATGCTTTCTGTGCCTGTTGCTGTTCTTGTTCCACCTTGCCCACCTGCAGAGTCACTCAATTTTCTGCAGCGTCAGGATAAAGATCTTGCTATGATAATTGCGAATCTCGAAACTTCCCAATTGCCTTCAAGTGACACGCAAGCTTGCAATTTGCTGCTTACTATTGATTTGTATTATCATGATGAACGAGGCCTTCTTTGCAATTGGTGGACGCCTGGCAAACGCCATGTGCATTCTCTTGTCTCGCAGTAATAAAATATCATGAAAATCTGGAAATTATTCGCTGCACATTTGTATAGAGGCGCGCTTTCTTTAAAAGTCGCTGAATTTATGTTCCTAAACTCACTTTCTTGCCACTTCACATCTTTAGGCACTCGAGAGAAGACTTTGCACACTGCTTGAAGAAAAAATAACAAGCTCCTCCAACTTTTTCTCCAGAACTGGAAATTATTCGCTGCACATTTGTATAGAGGTATCAAGGTCTCTTACTTTAGAAAATTTGATAAACGATGCGAAAGAGCTTCCATGGTTTCCCATAAAGCGGTGTTGACTGATTAAGAACTTTTCCTGAACATCCACGTTCATCAGCTACAATATTTCTTGAATACTTGAAGCTTTGACCGTTTATGACTCACTAACGGAGAGTGATCGGTACTGACAATATCATCAAAGTGCTTTGGAATAGAGGCCTTGGCTTTAGAATGTCCAACAGCGTGCAATTCACACTAGTGAACATCCAATTGTTCTCGTCCTCTCTGAGCTGATGTAGCAATCCTTTAGCCAATCAACGGTCTTCGCTGCTTTAATTTCTTTGATGATCTTGATTTTGAGGTAATTTCTAGTGCTTGTTCTGCAATATTCTATCATTCCGTGGGCTAACTCAAGAAGTATACAACATAACAGAATATAACAATCCTCCTTCTCAAACCATTGAGTTTGTATACAGTAGACTCCGGTTATAGTCAAACCAAATGTGGCTTGAGAACTTGTGACTGTATGTAAACGGAGTGTGACAGTAAACTGAGTTGAATGGAAGAGTTTGCATATTTGGGTCTAAATATTTTGCGACTGTAACCAGAAGTGTGACTTTACGTGAAGTGACTGAAGTACTATAGAGTATTGTCCAAAAAGTTGTTGTTCACGTATTTTGTGATTTTGAAATACCCTGATGCAGATGCATTGTTGCAGGCAGTTGTTTCAGTAATTTTTCTGAGAAGCGCCCAAGTAGCGCCAAGTAGCGCCAAGTTTTGGATTGGCAGCGAAAGCTTTTTTCAGCAATAAGAGACCCCAATAAACAAATTTCCTTCCGCCAGTATTAGATTGACTCAAATTGTCACGGCAATCCAATGACAACGAAGAAGAACCCCATTATACAATGAGACAAAACTCTCGGGGTGGCAATCAGCTAGTACTCATTTGCTCAAGGGTTGGCATTGCCTGGGCCCTCTGACAGCCTTCAGTTAGATGCGAGGCAATTGGCTGAGACGAGATTTTTGGTGCAGGGCTAAAAAATTGATCTATGGCTTTGTCCCCAAATTGAAAAACGTCCAAATATTTTTAAAAAGTTTAATCAAGAAAGGAATTATCAAGCAAATTTAGCTTCTTCAAGGTAACAGAAAATATCTAGTTCTATTTTATGACCCTTATCTATTTCTAACAGCGTTCTTGACCCTTCCTGGTGCTGGGATGAACTCAATATTAATGTATGTACGGATCATCCCTGAAAATGAGGTCTTCCCTGAAAATTTTGAGGGTCCACAGTAAAGATCGGCCATTTTCTACAAAAACCTGCACATGAAAGTTTTCTGTGTCTAAAGCTCAGAGTTATCAAAAAATTGTTATTATAATATTTTACAAAACTCCATCAGAACGCAAAATAATAAATTTTTTTATCGTAAGCCCTCGAGTTCCTACCTTCGTATATTCGCAAATCCCCAAAACAGCCCCCTCGAATAACCCCCCTTCCAAAATTACCTAAATGAATAAGACCCTAGGGGGAAACTCAATAATCTACGGTATTCAGTGCCTTAAATTATCAGATTTCATTTTTGACGATTAACCTAACCCAGAAATATCACACTAGCCAAACGTAAGTACTAACAATGTTGTACTGACCTATTCCTCTCTCTAGGATGGCACCAACCACATAAGTTGAGCAAACATTTTATTAATTTGCCAGGCACGGAAAAGATTTGACAACCATTGTTATAGATAAACCTAAAAGAAATGCCTAAAAGTAATCTATAATTGACGCCAATGAAATAAAGTTTTGGCTACATGCCCAGGCATGACTTTTCGTTTATGGACAAGGTGACTAGGTCAAAAGTTTGCCCTGGCCACTAAAGACTTAGTCACTAAAGACTTTGTCACTAAAGACTTTGTCACTAAAGACTAGGCCACTGAAGTGTAGGCAAATTTTAAAGGCATCATTTGCACTGCTTTTAGCACTTCTTGCAGCTGGATATTGTAATTTTTGCAAAATACTGCTGTATTGCCTAAAGCTTCATCTTCGCGACAAAATCATTTTCTTCTATTTTTGTTCCTTTACCAGTTTGATCCTTTACGAAAATCTACAACTTTATAAAGATAGTTCACAGGGGAAGGAGGGGGGGGGGGGTGTTGTTGGTAATTGCAAAGGAGTTGAAACATGGAAACTAGTGTGCGAAGACGCATTGTAGCTATTTTTGTTGGAAAAATTGAAGCAAAAGTTGGGCCGATTTCTTGTAATACTTTTTGGATGGTCCACACAAAGGCTCGTTCAGAGTCATCTTCGTTCTCTTAAATTTTCCTTGTACGCTGCTTCTACAGGACATCTGTGGGTGCGGTTCAATATGCGGACACCTTACAAGATGACCAAAATGACTTCGGCTAGTTTATATATTGAGAAAGGATCCATCAGAATCTGTTTGAAGGCCTGTCAGTTCAAGTTTGGGCAGGAATACCCATTGATCCGGGTTAGGTGGAATTAAAACTCAAAGAAAGTATTAATTTGACGAAAAGAAAGATTGCAAGAATCTGGAGGCAAAACGAAGTTGCTTTAGTTAGCAGCAATAGATCAATGAATAAAAAAAGGAACTTAATTGTGGATCAGATGCTGCAACGATATATCTTGAATTGTGTGAAAAGAAGTACGCATGAGTTTTAGAGACTCGACAGTCTCTTTAAGCAATATCACCAAGAACCGCACCGCAAAGCAGTGCTGAGGTTTTGGCGGACTGTATGCCATTTCATAGAGTTGCAGTAGAAGATATCTTAGTTTGAAGAACAGGAAGGTTCCAAGCTGCAATCCCGAGTTTTACGCTGAATTTGAACAACAGGCAACAGTGAAATAAACAGGAAACTAAGAAACAAGCAATGTATTTCACAATGGACTTTGTACATGGCAATGGATTAAAAACTCTGTCAGTTTGAGCAAAACTGATGAAAAGTCAAACTTGAGACGTCCTGTCATCTAGATATTGAAAATACTAAGTCAATTTTTACGCTTTATCTGAAACTGTCTAACAACCCTGATCCCGGAAACGGTAGAGAAACAGGAAAAAGGCTCGAGACCTAGTATGCAACACAAGATCTGCTGGTGAAAATTGGTGTAGAGGCAGACTTTGCTTTCGTGCTCTACCAGGAATATCACATCAGGTTTATCACTTAGCAGCATTTCATCTTATTCTTCCATTTAGTCTTACATCCTTCATCTTCTTTTCTTCCTCTGCAATCGTATTCCTCCTCCTCCTTCATCTTCATCTTCTTAGAATCTCATTTTTTTAGTCTTCACCTTCTTTTTCTTTATTTTTCTTCTTTTTTCTTCTTTTTTCTTTCTTCACTACTTTTTCACTTTCTTCTTGTTTTGCTGATATATGCTTCTTGGTTTCCACTTCTTTCTTTTGTCTTCTTCATCTTCTATTTTCCCTACCTTTTCCCAGTTGTTCTGTTCTTCTCCGGCTTCTTTTTAGCTCATCTTCACCTTGTCCTTCTTCCTGTTCTCCTTCTCTATCTTCTAAGACTTGTTCTTCCTCTTCTTATTTTCTTTCGCTTTTTGCTTCTTCGTCTCCTCTTCCTTAATCTACTTTCTGTTTCCTTATTATTTTCTTCTGTTTTCTTAATTCTTTTCTTCAATTCTTCTCATTCTCTTCTTCTGTTTTCCTATGTCCCTTCTCCTTCACCTCTTACCTATTATTTGGCAAGCATTATCGCGATCCTGTTTTCTTTCTTAAACACCTAACGTTTGCTTTACCCTTGCCATATCCTGCTCTACGTTTTCAGGGCCCCTACCATGCTTCAACATGCTGCCTTAATGTTCAGGGCCCCTACCATGCTTCAACAGATAGCAGAGAGCTAACATGACTTCAACACGAAAAACTCTTCAGCCGTTGCATAATTCCGTGTTGGACCTATAAACACTTAAAGACTTCAAAAGATGAATAGTAGGTTTCCAGAAACAGAGATTAGATCCGCAACATTGTATTTCATTCATTTGTATATACATTGAGCAAGTAACTTAAAAAAATTACAAAATGATCATTATTCTAACTTTTGTGAATATAATATCTTGGATAAATAGCTTTTATATGTTCTACAAGTGCTATGGGTTACTTAAAACCAGCAGTCTACGTACCTTGGCCTAGAGATCATCTTCTATAAATGCTTTTATAAACGAAATCAGAATATCGGGCTAAAAGTCACTTTGGGACAATATCTACAACGAACAGTTTGATGGGTATCCCCCTGAATGTAAATACTGGCTTAGAAAAATTCTAAAATAAACTAAAACAGTAAGAGAAGTTGGAATTCGGAGGGAGCTGGGGAGGTTAGTCTAATATGTTATTTTAATCCGGATCTATTTTGATTGCTTTCTGATAAGATGCAAAAGTTTGGTTTGCGTTACAGATATGGTTATAAGAAATAGAGACACTGTCTTTTTTACTACTATAACCAATTTGTCGAAGTGACATATTATGAAGCTGCTTTCCTGAATATTACTCGTCTAGAGGAAATGGTAAAATATGACGTTGGAACAATCAAAGGGGCTAAAAACGGAAGTAACGAAATCTAGTTGGGTTTTTTCCCATTAAGATAAACGTTAGCAATACTATCAATTTCATTCCTCATCAGGTCCGGTTCCGAAAAATGTTAAAGACCACTCTAAGAATTGTCCGGAGCTGACTCTATTAGTTGATGGGTTTAAGCCCGGTATAAATGGTTCTTGGTATCCATTGCTAACTTGGACACGTTGTGATCCGGTTTCTTCTTGTTGGACCTGTACCCTTGGGTCTTGGTATGATAAGCCCATTCTCTTAACATTTTCCTGTTGCATATTGGTTTCAATATTCCCTATATTTCTATCATATCCGAACACCTCGGAACTTTGCGATCCATCAGTGTTCAAGCCATGCATCTCTGGCGAATCACCCACACCAACAAGTCTCTCGAAAGATTCAAGCAATTCGGGGCTTTTGTCGTAGGCATGCAACTTGTCAAATAGAAGTTCGTCATCTTTGCCTCCAGTAACTACAGTACGCCGCTCATTTTCTTTAAATGTGTCTGCAATAAGGTCTTCTACAAAAGGAAAATTGATTCTAAGAATAAAAACGTCTCATATTTTTATAAAAAATGTGGAGAATGAAACGGTGTCCACAAAATGACCCAACGGTAAAAATAGAATGACCTAGGAAATGATGTTAGTGTCCTTCTTGGTTTACTCATTACATTCAAAGGATTATGTTGTACAGATCTTACATCTGGCAAACGTGAGAGATAATTGGTTTTCGACGCCAATAGGCCGAGTAGATCATTTGCTTCAAGAGTTGGATGCAACTTCCCTAGTCATTGGAACATCTGCTCTAACTTGAAGAACATCGTAAGGAAAGACTAAAGTTCGATACTTGGTTTTCAAAGTTTCAAAAGAACGAACGCAGCTGTAATAACCGAATGCTTATTGAAATCAGACAAATCAATCTTTGATACCACGGGGAATTTTAGCAACTTACAAATGTTTTTCTTATAATTTTCATGTCTAATTTTTTAGCCATTCGTTACGTTACTTTCGATGCAAATTCAAAATTACATGAAATTCATGGAAAAATATGACGACGTTTATGAAGCTGAGAGATCAATGAAGCCTAATGTCAAAGATCAAACTACTTGATGTAAAGTAGAGCTCTGTCACGAATACGCAGTGGCTACCTTAGACATATTAATTCCACCAATTGAAATACTCCTTTTCATGAATAATATTCACCGTTGATGGGTGAAAACATAGGCGTTGACAAATAATCAGCTACAGTATCATAGTTCCTTCAAAAAAGTCACACTTTGAGGTCAATATAAACACTAATCATATGTCGAATGAAAACTACATAGACACACATACCTGAGGAGAGCAATCTTTTGTCTTCCTCTAAATCATTCACAAATGAATCTGGATCCAACATCTGCACCCTGTTCCTCCTCCTAACTCCCTCAGGGTAGGGTACATTGGTTGGCGGCTTCTTCCCTTTCCTCTTCGATTCTATTTCTTTCATCTTCTTCTCGTCGTCTATCACCTAACAAAAACAGAAACGCGAAATGTGCTCGAATTCATTGGCAAAATTTCAAAAGTGGGAGGGGAGGGGGTACTTGAATTTAAAAAGGGGCACATCCGTGAGCTGCACCATAACGTGTCACCTGTGCTCCTTGGCTCTTACCTCTATGGCTGTACATCTTTATTCGATTCCATGAGAAATAACCAGAGATTAAATAAAGGAGAGGGGCTAAGGGCGCGGTCAAGGGGGCTTCAGTCTTCTAGATATTTGCAAATGGTACATCTACCAAAGTATATCCGACCTCCGCTGATGCCAAGTGAGCATACACAAACTTTAATACAAAAACTCCCGTTAGCCTGTAATATACCCTACCCGTTTTGTGCAAATGCATCCAAAGGGGGTAAATTTTTTCATCGGACTTTCTAGTTTGCTTTAGAGACCCTACGGATATATGAGACTCATACAGTAATACTGCAATTCACCTAATACTGTAATTCTAAAATGCAAAATTTGCATTTTGCATCATGTTTCCGTTTCATGAAAATAGGATTTCACCATTGATACAAAAATACTCGCTGATTACCTCCTCCTCAAGGTCCTCTACATCTGGCTCTTGACGGCTAGTGTCATGCTGCAAATAACCATTAAGGTTGAAACCTTTTTGCGTCAGCGCTGGGATGTTATCTGTTACATTCAATGTCCAAACACCCTTGGGATTTTCACCCCAACAGTGAACTGTCATGAACGTCCAATCGTGTAACCCTTTATCACTATCATCATATCGTCGAGTTGAGAGCATCTCGTTTCGTGTTCCCATTGGTGAAAACAAATCGATGCTCACATCTCCACGTCTTCTATGTTGGAAGGACACTGTTAAAGTCACGTGTTCCAACTTTGTGATCTCGTTATCAGTGCCCTCGCAGGCTATCGTATCAATGGTGATTGAAAGGGTCCCACCAGCTGGAATTTCCCTAAAACAAAACATTAGAAAAATTATTTTTGGTCACGAAGCATTTACTAATGCATCGCCTACAGCAGTTTGAAAACCACTAGAAAGTTTGTTATGCTTAGTTTATTTGATGCTAAGATTATCCCTTTCTGTGCCAAATTAGTTTCTTCTTTTATATCTAATTTTAAAACTGGTGATTTTATCAGAATAGAATCAGTAGATTCTCATCATGAACACTCCTCTCGATAAAAACGATTTTTATCAACTTACTGTGGAGAGCTGCTTGACGGACCCTGGCATTTCCTTTGCTTTGGAACATTTTTCCAGCTTTTTGCCAAGTTAACCATTCTACTAGCGTCCAGTCTACCAAATCCGAATTTGTGGTTGAAATGGAAGCCAGCTCCATTGCTCACCCACCCTTCATCAACAGGACTCGTCACTTGTGCTGCGTTCACAATGATATGCTGTACATCACGCCATGTCAAGTTGGGGCTGCAGATGAACAAAGGTTGCGAATCACTATCATTTACATTGAATCAAGCTTCAACAAGTGGCACGTGCTGATGGAGAGTGACAATTGTAAAGGAATGACGATGGTTTGTGAATGGATGTTTAATTAGCAATAAACCTCTAGCCAAAGGGCTATAAGGCTATTGCATTTAATGAAAAAATGAATTTTCCTTAGTTTCCTAGAATGAAAGCCATTGCAGCACCAAAAGCATATACGACAATACGGCAGCCATGTTCCCCGACCCTCGCATGGAAAGCTTGTGATGGAAAGTGGCATACAGTTTTCTACATCCGAGGAAAATGAAAGCAAAGCAAGAAGGAAGAAAGAAGAAGCAACGGTCTAAGCAGACCCTTTATAAAGAGATGCAATTACTAGCTTTTAAACGACCAGCAATTTTGCCGTTAATCAACAAAAATCTAACTAATCAACAAGTGAAATTAATCAGCAAAACAAGAGTCCACAGATGGGCAAAATTTAGACATACTTTGCTTGTAAAACAAGAGCAATCGCACCGGCAGCAAGTGGAGCAGCAGAAGATGTCCCCTTGAATTCTTCGGTGCACTTGTTTTTCAAATCAGTTGTGATCTAAACATGGACAGGATAGAAGAGAAAAACTAAATAAGACGACACTCTTACAAAGATAAACGTGATTCACGACAAAAATAGTCCAGAATTTGTTTAAAAGTATAATTTAGTTTAACATTTCGTTTTTTGGTTGCCTTTTGAAGGGCGAAGGCACTATGTCCCGCCAGTCAACCGCTCAGAGGTAGCAATAGGCTCTACCGAGTTTCTATGATTGAGATAAACACCTAGAATTTGTCTTACGATTTGATACGTAACAATTGGTTATTTGTATAGTCAAACCAATGGGAATTTAAGTGGCCATCGAAATGCGTCAGGACACAGTACCCTAAAAGTTTTTGATCAGCTGGTCAGAGACCGAAATAGTGGGCATAATAGAAAGGAGATTCTCTCTCTGCCTTGTTTATTATGACATTCAATTGTAACATTCAAAGTTAGGTTCTGAAAGCTCGAGGTATATCCTTTAAATGCATAAAGAATTTATAAACATATGCTTCAAATGAACACTGTTAACAAGGATACCCGGGATCCAGCCCTATGTGAGAATTGAGGAAGCAATGAGCATACAACTTGGCCATTAACATTCATAGAAATTGGAATGAAGGCAGCCCTAAACATGCCCTTGTGAACCATCAAATAATTCAACAAATACGTACAATCTTATTCTCTTCCTTTTCACGATGCGATCCACCGTTAAATGTGACTGCCAGTGTGGAGGAGCAAAGCTCAGTATAGTATGCTGATAGTCCATGGTCACTGATGCATCCGATTGAAATTGTGTAGATGCTGGTAGTGTAACCATCACAGTTGCAGTCATCGTCAGTTAAGCCGCCATTCCCTGTTGCCCATACGTACACGTTGCCTTTGCCATCCCTGCCCTGTTTAGTATTCAAGATATTAAAATCAACTAGGCTGTGGGTAAAGGTTGATTCTTGCTATTTCGCTACCAGTTCGGGATATTTCCCAACAAAAGAGGGAAATGGAGAATTTGCCAAGCAGTTAAAAAAGCCTCGACTTGGCCTAAAAATACACATTTAGCAAGAACTGCACACTCGAGATAACGAATGTTGTCTCGGGGGTGGCACCAGTATTTGTTAATTTACTGAACTATTTCAATCTCAAAAGGTCAAACAATGCACCAGACTAGTAGTGTTTTCAAGAAAACAAGACAGATTTTTAGAAACCTTAACCCCTGTGCATGCTTGAAACGCACACAAGATTTCAAATGCACACTGGCACACATAAAACTCTAGCTGTCCAAACTCGAGATCTCACTGAAAAATTTCATTCACTGCAGGCCGGTCATTAAGAGTGTCTTACAAAGTCAAAATCTTCTAGCTTTTAAAAAATCTTATTTTACAAGAAAGCCATTCAAACTGTTCAAGGTCAACTTCCAGGACCCCGCACGGAGCTTGATCTTGGGCTTACAAAGCTTTATAAAAACATCATCAAATCAAATGACATCAATTTACATAAGGAAGTTCCTGGTTTAAATAGTTTCTTGCTAAATAAACAATGAAAGGCAAAAAGATCAACCTGGGTTGAATTAATTTGAACGGAAATTTGAGACGTAGCAGATCATGGAATGCAAAGGTCATTGGCTGAAAACTTTGATCAGATGCTTCACCAAGAAGCCCCAAGCAAATACATAGTAAGATAACTATGAGTTTCATAGCTAGGGAGCAATGTGAAAATGAGTTTAAAGGCGACGTCAGGGGACGACAGGGGCATGTCCTCAGTGGCATAACGGAGGCATCTGGGGCCGCATTAACTGACTGCAAGAAAGTCCCATCCAACGCTATATAGCATGTAAAACACAATACCAAGACGTAAAAATAATTTTTCTTGCTAACTAGAAGAAGCTTCAGTTAAGAAATCTTAAAGCTTTTAAAAATGTGGTGAACTTTAGCAAAAACTTGAAAACATGGATATAAAATAATTTGGTGACAATTTTTGGTTGGGGGCCTTTAGTTTGGAAATGAGGTACCCTGAACTGCGTTACTCAAGACATGTCCTCCCCAGTCCTATGCAAGTTTAGTTTAGTTTTTCGTCTAGATTCGATTAGAAAATTTCAAGGCAGGGTTATTATTTTGGCAAAGCATTTTTTGCGATGTGATTCTATGATTTTGAAACAATGTAAGAGTAAGTTATTCATTGATGTACCCTTATGGAACTGAGGTACCCTGAACTGCGTTACTCAAGACATGTCCTCCCCAGTCCTCTGCAAGTTTAGTTTCGTATTTCGTCTAGATTCGATTAGAAAATTTCAAGGCAGGGTTATTATTTTGGCAAAGCATTCTTTGCGATGTGATTCTATGATTTTGAAACGATGTAGAGGTAAGTTAGTCGTTGATGTTCCCTCTTAGTAAAATTGGGATCCCCCGTAAAATTGGCGTTTTCTGACCAAAAAGGTGTGGCTTTAATACTTTATTCTGTTAACAGCCTAGTGGATAGCGGTGCCACTAAATGAATTAATCATAAAATTTTACCTTCAGGGCTCCTTGCATTAATGCCTCTTGTGCCAATTTCCCTGGTTTTCCGAAAGTTTTTCCGTCATCTTTTGGTCCCCAGCAGTTGCTGTAGATATCGATATAGTCCGACTGGAAACTGAGAGAGCTGCCCTCAAGGATGTCTGTTGCCTGCCCATCAAGCATCCTTACCCCTGCAGAGATATTCCTTACTTAGCAAAACGACTTGAAATAAAAGACAGCAAGCAAAGCAGCAATTAAGATTCTTTTTCCAAAATAAAAAACAACAGGTAAGTTTGGCAAAAAGCTTGGAAAACTTTCCGAGATTCAGATATCCAGCAATATCAAATCCTTTAAGGCATCAATTGAAACTTAATGAAAATTACTGTACACGCTTTTGGTGTAAAGAACAGGACGGTTCTGAGCTGTTGGAGTTTCACGCTTAATACGATCATCAACTGAAACGCATCATACATAATAAATAATCAGTACATGATTAAACTTCTTTACAATTGGATAAGAAAACAAGATCTAAGAATAGATGTAATGCCACACGTGCAACTGAACATTTGTTATTCAAGAAATTTAGGATAGGTTTTCTGTTCAACTTAACTTCACATTGAAAAGACCGGATTGAAAGAGGTTCTCACAGATCAATGTTAACAACGATTTTCTATTTTGATGTTATCACCACCCAAATCTTGCAAGTAACGTCAAGGTTGCCGTGGCTGTTCTAAAAATTCATCGAATTATATTGACACTGACTCACCCCCGATACTTGCAGCATAAGCGACACCAACACCACACACGCTGTTATTAGCAACAGCAGCAATTTCACCGGCGCATCTGGTACCATGGCTGTTGGAAAAGAAAGAGTTACTTCAGAACGAGAATTATAACTTGGCATACAGATTCTATTAAGCCTCTTGATGATTTTTCAGTTCTAAAAACTTGGATGGGTAGCTGCTTTCAAAAACGAGGGGATTATGAGAAAAGGGCTTGCACACTACGCCAAGAGAGGCTGACTCGGTTTGAAAGCAAGGCCCAACAACAAAATTTCGATCCACAACTGGGTATATATATTTCCTAGCGTGGAATTTTCGATCTATGTTCTGGTGTTTTATACTCTAAAGAGTGTCAGACGAAAAGCTTTAGTTTACTGAAATGTTTGTTTTTTCAAAGCCATTTTCAAACAAAATTTGTTGGATTGTCAGCGAATTTGAACAGGAAGAAAAGAAGATAGGGGTAAGAGAGGGTTTTAGCTGTAAAGGATGAATGGCAACAAAATATTATGTTGTCCAAGAATATTTCACAGAAAGAAATGCATTTTGTATCATGGTCTTTCATAAGCATGAAACCTGCGCTAGGATCCCGAAAAACACAACATTAAGTCACAGTGTCCAATATAAATCTTTTTTAAAACTAGACTGAATTTTTCATCCCCGTTTAACACATGGTCATCAACAAACATTGTTTCAAGCACAAGATCCCGCAAGCGCAAGATTTTCTCATTCATCTTTCTTCTACAAATTCAATACTGTGGTTCTCTATTCTGCAGTTATCACAAAAAAACGAAATGATATACAAGACAACTTTATAAAAGTTCAGCTGAGACATTCAGTTTGTTAGCTGAGACAACTATATCAGGTTTCAAAGCTGAGGTTAAATGATGACGGACGCCTTAATTTGGCTGGTTGAGTACGTCCCCATTTTAAACAACAGCCACATTTCGAGTCTTTTCGAATTTCATTATCTTGAGCCAACAGAAAATCCCTACCCTTGTTTATTTCATAGCACTACACTCCTGGTGACACCCAAGATACATATTCGCACAAAGCTGCTTCTACAGGAAGGTACGCCTGCTATCTGAAGATATTATTAATTTCCTTTTACTATGTCTAGAATGAGTATTGTCATTGTCAAGATTTGCTTATTTTTGGTAGACACAAAGAAAAAAAAATTAATTTGGCCCTGAAAGCCTTTTCAAATCCACAACCAGACTTATTATAGGCAAAGGGATTGGTGTAATCTTTTTACCAATTGTCAGGATCAGAATCTCTTGGTTTCGGGTCAGCATCCATGTCGTTGAAATCGTAGCTTGCTTTTTGGTCCTTCATGAAACAAAACATCGTCAAATAACCACCAAAAAATCATCATTACAAAACATAACATAGAATTTTATTTTACACAAAAACTGATGAATTAAACTATTGCTGATGATATGAATAAATGAAAATATTTCTGTATTGAACTCGATCATTACATTGTACGCCTACTGATTTTTATGTAATTCGTAAGGGGGAAGGGGGGTTCATATGCAAAAAAACCAACTGAGTAGGGCCAGGGGACAGGCAGTTCCAATCTCGTAGCAAGAAAAGAGGATTTTATGGCCTCAAAAGAGGTTAAATCTCAGGGATGGAAAACATTATCAAATGACGTAACTATCGATCAAATCGAGGCTGTCATAAGGATCCATAATCATACTAGTGTAACAATCTGCATTTCTGACTATAAAATGATGTTGGCCACATCGGTTCCTGTGCCTATTACATAAATGCAAGTGCAAATTAACTGGTTAAGTATAAATACTGTAAAACTAGGCGTCCAAAGGGATGAGACTCAGAAGAATCAAGACTCCAGCTAAATTAATAAAATAGGCCTAAGGGTACGTACATAATTGTCACGAAGGTCTGGATGGTTGTGGTCGACCCCTGCAAAAGAAATGGCAGCAGATGCTTAAAAGGGTTTGAATTCACAACATTGGGTAAACTGAACAAATAGATAGTTCAAAACGATAATTGTGCAATTTCTTCTTCGGCCTTACTACCGTGAATCCTTTATTAAGCACCCGGGCTATTTTGACTAGGAGCTTAACTTTAATATCTTCTGACATTTTGACTGGGAGCTATTTTCGATTTATCCATTTTCTGACATTTTGACTGGGAACTTAGCTTTCATTAAAAAAGGATGTACTTGACTTTTTTATTTTCAAAAAGATGATAAATTGGAAATCAACGGCTGCTTTTCCGATTCAAACTGTAATTGGTATAAAATTGCAAAATACAAGAAATTATGGAATCAAGATAACGAAATTGTAAATAAATGCAGCTTTAGACCAATATCTTTGACTTGATTGTACCTACAATATGTTTTATGTACTTCAAAATGTTTTTCCATAAATTTCTTCATTACTTTAAGTACTGTACACACACTTTATACTTAATGGGTATGCTTTGAATTGCAAAGATTTGCTGGTTTTGACACGTTATTATTCGTATACAGCAAACACAGAGTATAAATAGTGGTTATTAGAATATTATTGCAGTTGTGAAAAAACGCCCGCGCGCACAAAAAGTGTCAAATGGAAATCGGCCTTTACGTAAAAATTGTCCTCCCCATTAATTAAGGGTCAAGCCAATACTGCGGGCACACGGTCGCAGCGGATGCAGAATGTTAAGGAGGGCTTAGTACGAATCGTGCCCGAATACCAATGTTTCATTGAGATAGAGCTGCCCGAATGGAGCCTGAAATGCTGTATGTTTTCCCTGATTAGAGCAGACCTTCCAGCTTCTATGTCTATTACGCCTATGTGCGTACATGAAATTCAAAACAAAGATATCGCTATGGAGTGAAAAAGCTCTTCACAATAAAGACTCAAGTAACGTATTGGGCTCTTTGCACATCATTAACATCGAGATCTATCTTTTAGCACATTCTAATGGATTTCACTACATAGATGATATTTCACACAAGATATCGTTCGATACATATTGTGATGAATGTGAAGGGCCTTGCCCTTGTTTAATAATGAATAAATTCTTCTTTGCTGCTTTAATATCAAGTCTTCTCCGAGTTTCAGAGTAATTAGATCACTAGTAGACAATTATAAGCGAATTGCAACTGATAAGAAACATAAATGCTTTTACATTTTCAACAAGCTTTTTTGGTACGGTATGCCTCAACACAGGACCAGCTGTTTAGTCAGTAAAAAGCCTTACTTATGATAAAAGAAAATTTCTTTTCTATTGCACAAATTGATAGCCAAAAGAAGTAGAAAAATCCCACTTTGCTGCATATAGGAAGAAGAAAAAAGCACTTTGAAATGCTTCTTCAAGCAGTACGTGACGAATCATGTGCTCAGGGCAGCTACTTTTAATAAGCTAGCAAATCTACAACATCGCGTCCAAATGGCTTAAAGGACACGTGGACATTGTAGCAACTTCTTACCGTCATCAAGGACACTGACAACAACTCCTTTACCATTGTAGCCCTGTTGCCATGCACCCAAAACATTAAGATCAACTCCAGCGGGTCCCGTGGACTGTCCGTTATTTCTCTGCAAAAGAGATGGTTGTATACATATATAAGCAAAATATCTCATTGATTCAAGGAAACATTTAAAACATTCTCGCAAGGTCGGTTCAAGAACTTGGAATATGAAGCTCCCGGCATCTAGTGAGGCGAAGATAGGAAAAGGATCTTTTTCAGAACCGGTCACAAATCATAATGTGATCAAAGACAATAGGTCACTCAAAAGGTCAAAGATAATCAGAAAGGTCATAATGTCAGGAAAAGGTCAAATAATGACACGATATTGTCCGTCATACAGCAAGAAAATTACAGCAAGTTTTGAGTTTATCATCTCCTCAGGGAAGGGGAAAATGTTTTGTTTTTTTTCATTTAATCAAGCAGGAAAAAAGAAAACCGTGGTTCCAGTATGAACGTATCAGCGAAGATCAACGAAAGAAAAGCCGTGTCTTCAAAATATATAAACAGTGGTTCAAAATATTGGTTCAAAATTGAAAACAATCATTCCAAAAGCCTGTTAAAGGACTTACGATAGTTAAAGGACTTACAAGATACCACTGCAGTTTGAATTTTGGATCTGTAGGGATTCCATCTTTTCTTCGCCTATCGAGCAAGTGCTGTTGTTCAGCCCAAACGACCTAAAAGATGAATTCATTTTCGCGTCACTTTCAGCCCACTGCTTTTATTTTACATACTTTCTTTCAAGCATATAGGTATAAATCGAAAATTAACAGTTTGCAACCATCGAGTGGATGAGACAAACAGTTAAGTCTCCTATTTACTTTCTGGTCTACGAGCAAACTTGGTGGAGAATTCTTTAAAAATTAACAAATTTGGGCCTCAGGTCTCAGGTTACACTTCGCACTCTCGCCGCATATAATGTATTTTGATTGGGGTGGAGAGGCATTTTCAGATTATCTATTGCCCTTGCACCGAAGAAAAATCTCCACAAAAAGCAAAGACATCTTTAGAGGTGAAGTGGCCATTAAGGCCTCATGACACCGCAATGCAATTCCACAAACATATTTTCAGTTAGAGCTACGGAGGCAAAATAATATTTCTATGAAATGTTGCTAAAGAAAATTCCGTCTTTCTCAATCGAGCCTGTTGCTACAAAAGTGAATCTTTCGTCGACAAAATACGTCCCATAAACATGCAAGTTTTAGCGAAGCACTGGCAAAATCTAATAGCGAATGGGTGCGCGAAAGAAAGAAAAAATTGCAACATTAATAATAATATTATATTTATTATATTATATTATGTTATATTATATTGAATTATTTTATGTTATATTATATTTTATTATATTTATATTATAGTATATTATATCATATTAAATTTAATTAAATTATATTATATTATATTTCATTTAATTATGTTATATTAAATCATGTCATATTATATTATGTTATATTATATTATATAAAATTATAGTATATTATATTATATTTTATTATATTATGTTATATATATTATATTTTATTATTATATTTTATTATATTATATTATATTTATTATATTATATATATTATATTATTATATTTATTATATTATTATATTATATTATATTATATTATATTATATTATATTAATTATATGATTATATATATTATTTATAATTATATTATATTATATTATTTATATATATTAATTATATATATTTATATTATATTATATTATATTATATTATATCGTATTATATTCCATTCTTTTGTATTATATTTTATTACATTATATTTTATAATATTAATTATATTTTCATTATATTTTATTATTCTACATTATATTATGTCATATTTTACTATATCTAATATTTGAAATGTACAAAAATGACTTACGTTCTCTTCTGCAAGAAGAGATTCTGTCTTGTCCTCGGCGGATCTTTTTGACTTCTTTTTAGCTCCATGGTGTTTGAAATGATAAAAATCTTCTAAATCGCCAATCTTGAAGAGATGAAAATGTGCGGTTAGAGTCAGATCTGACCCGAAAAAACCAAAATTACTTAGAAGAAGGAATTAAACTGCTTTTGATCAGATTAAAACCTTATCTTGTTTTTGAATTAATATTTTTCTCTGTTTAATGTACTTTTTTATCGCTCTTTGTCAAACAAACTTATTCCGTGGTTTTTCTGTTAAATCCGACTTCCTGAAGGGAGGGAATTTCCAGATGTTCAAGTTGGTTTCTATCTACACGAAAAATAGTACACAAGAATAGTTACACCCTATTCCTTCTAATATTCCCGCCTCTCTAATAATCCCGGCTCTCCGATAAACCTGCATGCGGCTTTGAGTAAAGAAAGAAATCAATAAATTGCAAATGTGCTTGGACTTGATTTGCGGATGACAGCAAAGGTGAGAAATGTTTAAGCCAATCAGCGTCGTTTTTCCAACCAACTCTCGTCAACATTCTTAGCAATAACATGCAAAATGTCTGCTCCACAATACAGGAGAAAATTTTAAGCCCGCTTTATAAAAGCACGTTGGAAAAATTAATCCCGCATCTCTGATAATCCCGCCTTTCTAGTAATCCTGCATTAAATTAGAAGGTATAATCAATAAAGCCGCAGCGGGAAAACAAGAGAGAATACGATATTTGGCATTCTTTATAGGTTTTCTTATCAAGAATCATCGTGCTTCCTTTGCGCGATGCCTTGTTTGAAATAAAGGGTATGCCACATCACGTCACTCTCTTCAGTTTTTGTCCAACAGGCGCTAGTGTCAAATAATCGGTTTTCAAGGAGGTGGGAAAGGGGGTAGGAAAGGAGGAAAGAGGGTAACTTGAAATAGCATTTGCATACGAGAAAACAGTTTTGGAAATGCCAAATCTGAGCAGACAAGTGTGCAACAGTCATATCACTATATTGAACATTCAAATCACGAGTAGACCTCAATAGTGAAGCAGTTTACTCGTTCATCGGCAACAAAAGCCTCAATATGGAGCTCGACGTATTGCTAAATCTATTCTCGCTTTGCATGTGTTGTTGATACAGGACATATGCTTAAAGCCGGGGAATGTTTAGAGCTTGAAACACGGGTGCTTGATACAGAGAGCCAAAACTTTCTCATTCTTCCTTCAATGGTAAAAAAGGCAAAGAAACCTTATATATAACGACAAACAAAATTTTAGAATGAATCTTATTGCGAACACAAGCGTGACATGCGTAGGAGCATCGCAGGGGCCTGTAATATGTTCCAATGAGCAGAGTGGTGTTGCAACTTTGATTCGGACAATAGCATGAATGAAGCAAAGCGTAGTGATTGTCAAAAAGCAACTGATATTGATATACTAATGATCTGATATACGAACGTTATCGAAATGCTTTTTTGTTCAAAGAATATGATAAGGGCTTTTGTTACCAAAAAGGAATTTTTAAGGCACCATATTTTGCAGTTGCGTGAAACATTAGAACATTTTCTGATGCTTGGTAATCTCAGTAATTTAACATTGTAATTCTTCAATCATACGTTTCTCACCCGATATTTGTTACCTTGCTCTATTATGAGGTACGTAACCTTTGTCAAGTTATGGGTTATTATAACGTTTCCCTCTTTTGTATCCACCAACTTAGGCCCAATCTCATACTTTAAAAGTGTTTGAAAATTCTGAGTTAGGCCGATAAAACGGAAATGGCAAACAGAAATACGTATTTGCAAGAGAGATACCTGTCCCATATTGTGAAATCCATTCCTCTTGGCTATTTGATCGGCTAAAGCAACTTGTTCTGGATTCAACTGAACTGCCCACGAATTCGTGAATATGAGTCGTCCTTTCTTGCTGGTCAATGCATCTTCTAATTTTGCTAAATGCCTCTTGTCGGCTTTCGTCAATTGCGGCGCTGAGAACCTCGATAAGTTATCATCAGTAGCTGTAGATTTTTCGCCTTTTCCGTGTGGCACTCCATTACAAAATAACAAAGTTGAAGCACAGCAAAAAAGAAAATACGACCTAGCTAAAATTTTACAACCCATACTGCTATTAACAATAATAACTACATAATTTTGCAATGCTTTTTAAAGGCCTTAAATTTTGTTGTTATCATATTTTTGATAGTTGCATTCCGGCGCTAAGAATTACTGGAGCGAATGATGTCAAGAAATGGTGCATGCAAGAGCAGGTGGCAAATTATTTTTGAGCGAACCCTGAGAGCACATGCTATTCAAGACTTGACACAGTTGACTTGTTTTTGAATGAACAAGAAGATATGCGAAAATTCATTGCGAGGCGGATGATTAAGACAGTTACTGGAATGTTGGAAAAGAGATTATGGGCAGAGACGTTTCTTAAAGGGACAATACGACAGAGTAATATAAGGGGAAAAAGAGGAGCTAACGCGTCATTTGGAATTTTGCAAACTCTGTGTTGTCTATTTGTGTTCAAATTTTCAAGCCAACAACATACGCAAGCATAAGTCACATATATGTAGCTTTAGGTTTTAACGATGCAGTTTATACCAAGAAACTTTTCTGGGGATAGAAGAACAGCATTTTACAATAAACTAAATACCCCTTGGGTCAATGATCCTACGTGATTCACCAGAGTTGTCAGCCGGCAGATCCAAGCTATAACTACTGTGGATTAAATTTGTTAAAGCAGGATTTCTTGCGGTGAAAGTTGCAAGGGTCGTGAACAGAATGTTTGCTAATAACCTGCCTTCTTATATGGAACCTTTAAGCTACACAACGCTAGCACTAAGGTATAATAAAATATGCTGTAATAACAAAACTCAAGCTATAGTTACATGGCGATAGCATATCATTGCTCGTCGATATCATCCATTGATGGACCCAGTATCTTCAAACTGTGATACTCATCAATAGAAGGTTCTGAATGATTGCAGTTTCGAATGTCTCGCTAGGCTTGGGTTTAAGGCCTAACTGGCCTAATCCCAGAATCTACCTACAGTTTTAATTAAAAATTTAATTACGGTTATGAATTTTTCACACTAGCTTTCACCAATATACACAATTTGTCCAATTCTTCAACAAATTGCCCGTAAATAAAAGCAAAACAAAAACTAAAAATGAGTATACGCTATCAACCGTAAATCAAACAACACAAGTCAAATCAAAACACGCTTGGTAAGTACATCACTGAAGCACTACAGGGGCCCACAAGTGTCAGGGTCCAACTTTCTTCTCAAGGCAAAACTTGCTTTCTTACGGCAAAATCTTTATTTCTCACAAAAATTTCTTTCTCGGGGCAAAACTCTCTTTCTCGGGGCAAAACTCTCTTTCTCGTGGCAAAATTTTATTTCCAAAGGCAAAATTCCAAAGGAAAGTTTTGTCGTAAGAAAGAGAGTTTTGTCGTAAGAAAAAAAGTTTTGCCGTGTGAAAGAAAAGTTTTGCCGTGAGAAAGAAAGTTTTGCCGTGAGAAAGAAAGTTTTGTCGTGAGAAAGAAAGTTTTGCCGTGAGAAAGAAAGTTTTGCCGTGAGAAAGTAAATTAGCCGTGACGCTTTCAGGGCCACCGTAATACATACAATTACTTCTGTTTTTTCCCTTGAAAAGCAATTTAACTTTCCATGAATAAATTAGCATACATTAGCATGGCAACCTTTCCTGAAGGGTCGTACGTAAGGAGCTTTGATAAATAAAACATACAAAACAATAGAAGAAGGTGCATATACAAAAATGCGACAAAATGAGACTGACACACGGTAGTCCTTTTTCACAGGTCCCATGGACCTCTGTTCCCTAAAGAAAACAATTTCTCTCCCATGCATAGCATAAAAAGTATATCAAACGCGAAGCACTTTATTGAACGCTCCAGCCCCCGTTCTTCGAGTCAAAGAGCATGGGAAAGAAGGTATGTTTTTGCGATATGTGAGAGCAAGGACGGGGGATGCGGATGACTCATCCCATAGAATATATCACGTTTCACTCCGACAAGGACTTATATACTCTCTATTTCCCTTTGCTAGCCATTTCAGAGTTGGAGCAGGACATTTTGCTACCTCGACGGCAGTTTGAGACACTGAAATTATCAACTTAAAAGTACTGCCGCTAAAACACCAAAATAAACACATCGAAAGTTGAGAAATGATTTACAGCAAAAAGTCGACCAAAAATTCGGCCTATTTGATTTTTATCCATGGGGGGAAGTTAGCTAATTTTTTTTACCAACAAAAAAAAAACGTACAGAGGTAATGTGCAAACATGTACAAGCCAACACAGTCATGGGAGAGAGGCTTGGAGGCAACATGTGCACATTTTCGATTTCAGTACGATCCGTAAACATTTTGGTTTGGGGATCCTCTAGAATATTTGGGGGAGGCCCTCTTTCTACCCCCTGTTTTCATCTGCAGCTTATCATAGAGGATGGATTATAGATTATAGATAATGTGTAAGCTTTTCAAAAGCACCGCTGGATTTGCTTTCAATTCAAAATGTATCAGTAGAAGCTTCGATCAAGGGACATCAAAGCTTTTGCCATAGATTTTATACAATCGTTTAAGCCACAAAATGACAAAAAAATTGTTAATTAGTTGTGAGAGACAATGCCACGGTTCACTCTCAGAATATTGACAGTAAGCTAGGACAGTAAAATGTTATTGGTATTTACTCAACATGAATAAATCAATGATAAATTGATAATGACAAAGTGTAATTGAAATTAGATCTCTATCCTGCATCTCGCTCTATGAGGAAAAAGAATTTTACAATTTGGCTGAAACTCGGCGATTTATGGTCCGTGTAAAACAAAATGGACTTTGATAGTAGAAGAATAACAAGACTGAATGTAAAGAAGCACGGTTCTGAAGATTTATAATCCTCTTATTGACAGGTTATCTAATACTCTGGAAACCCTTTGCAAAAATGAGAAGGCGTATTAGGAGTGTGGCTACCGAACTTTGTCTGTTCTCAGTATTCTTTGCATTACCTGGGCAAATAGTATACCAATTTTCTTGACTTTGTAGATAAAAATAATTTAGGAAAAATTAAAGGCAATGTAGTAACTGGGGCATTCCATAATCACTGACGGCCTGTCAGACACAATCACAAAATTAGCTGGAACTTTGATATTTAAGAGGTAATTATGGAAATAAACAGCATTCTTATTTGATATCAATATCTCAACTGGCTATAGAAATACAGCACGTGAAAAGACCTGATTTCAAGGCATGGCATTATCCAAAACCTTGAATCTAATGAAACATATCATTATCATTACAATAAAAGTTCAACACTTAAAGAAAACATATGGGGTAGAAAGTTTCCATTATATAGAGCTTTTAACAGTTTAGCTTTCTAATATCTTATTGTAAAATATCATTTTGGTTTAGAATATCATCCAATCCGTAAAATATTTTTGGTTTAAGCTCTTGCTTAAGGGGATGGTGTTCTCTTTTAAAGGTCCATCATCTATTTTTTGTATATGGGAGCTTTATAAATTATTCAAGTTTGAAAATCGACAAAAACCACGGGCTCGATCAAGCAAAAGTTGGTAGTGTAGGAAAATGTTTTCAGCACTCAAGTTTTTACAAAGCGAAGATGCGAGCGATCGCCCTCTCTTTTTTTTGCGGTGTAGATGGAAGGAGTTGAGGATCCGGGGTCAGGGATGATACCCCGTTAGTGACGGTCCATAAAATTAGAGTATGCGATTGCGAGACATGCAATTGGACTGATTAAACAAGGAACTGATTTTTGCTGCGTCTACAAAGAACAGAATGACATGCTCTATAATGAGGTTTTAATTACAAACCCACAAGCGCTGCGATGTGCAATAAAAAAAAGATTATATGATACTCAAAGTGTTTATTCATTTTAAGGTGTCGTATTCACCACTAAGTAACCTTTATAAGACTGGATTGTATCTGCTGAGGTTCAAAATGTCTGCTAGATACATTTACAAAAATACGAGGGAAATGCACCGGCTCTTGAAGACAATTTCTTGAGACTTGAGACAGTCAAAAAAGAGACTTATTATTTGTGCAACATCAAAGGGACTACACTTACGTATGCTGGAAGCCCTTTGACATCCTCAAGAGCATTTTTGCAACAAAGAGGTCTTTTCCTGCCTTAGAATACCTCCATAAATGGATACGTGGCATCAGCTGGGTTGACAAGATCAGCAAGGAAGCAAGCAGTACCGGCGATGCCTTCATAGAGGCTGTAAGGTGCGTCAGGGACACGGGAATTCCCTTTGAATTCCTCTGTCTGCATAAAGGCAGCAAACTGCCTGGCTCTATGTAAATACTTCTCGTCACTTGTCAGGCGGTGAAGCAGAAGGAAAACGTAGCCGTTACCTGTGGAAGATGTTTTGTGTTTATTAATGAATTATACATCCCGAAAAACCTGACCGTTTGGTCTGTAACTTAATGTCAAACCCTGCATGAAAGATTAAAAAAAAGCGAAATCTGAGTCGTTGTTTGATAATTTTCAAAAAAGAGACGAGGAATGGGAATTGGAGGGGTTGGGGGTTGGAAACAACCCTTTGCATTTCCAGTGCTTAATATGATATGGTTAACGTTTCAAATGTTGAAATGGCAATATTTCTAAAGATTGTAGCTATGCTTTAACATTTAAGCCACAAGAGAACAGTTTGAGAAATTTAATTGAACAATATTAAAGGAATCTTTGATATATTCCCTTCCTCTTTCGCCAACATAAAATCAATGTATACGTTTTATTTACCAGCGATTCCATGGCAAAGACCTGGCCCTTTCTTCAACAATCCACGGCTCCAAACAAGCTCACCACATCGCAAAGCAGCAGCCAAATATCGTTCATCTTTCCATACAATAAATGCCTTTGCTAACAAATAAACAACACCTGATGCACCATGACACCAATGAACAAGCTCGTTCCAGTCATCCCTACATTCATCTGGGACTGGTGGGTAGTTGCCATTACGTTGTTCGTGCGACAGAACGTAATCAATCGAAGCTTTGATATCAGCTTCAACTACTGGGTTGTTCATATAACATTCTGGGAAATTTAGCAAAGCCAGAAGGATTGCTGCAATGCCATGCCCAGCACCTGTCAATTGACAAGATCATACTGAATTTATCTTCCGATAAGAATGTTGATTGTTACATGCAAAAAGCTCTATTTAGCTCCAATCTCTATAAACCCCCCCCCCCTGAAAACCTTATTCCAATAAGCTCTACAGAAAGATGAAATTGGAGATAAGCGCTTCCTCCCTAGTAAGCCTCCGCCTATTTCATACAAGGAGGAAGGTGATACAAATCATATGCATTATGAGGTTCTTCATATAACTCAACAATACTGCATTATGTGAACACAATAAAATTGATGGAAACAAATTTTTGGCGAAACATAATAAACCTGGAACTGCACAAATCCAGTTTATACTAACCAATGTATTCACAGTTGTAGTAGGCATACATTAGTGGGCTGGGGTGATTGACCTTCTTTGAGTACTGGCGGCCTGATTCTATAATGAGATTGCAAAGCTGCAAGGTCACTTCGTTTGGGATCGCTATTTTTTGGAAACGTCTATTCAGCATCAAACAAGCAGCCAGGTAGCCTGCTCTACCTATAAAGAACTCATCACAACCATGAGCAAAAAAGTTGACTGGTAAGTTACTGTGGATGCTCAAAAAATTCTGGAGGTACTCTGATTTTTCAGCTTGATAACCTGAAAAACAAAAACAATTTGATGAACTGGATGCTGTCAGAAATAGAATTACACAATGTAGTATCAAACAGTGGCGGCGCCAGCCATTATAGAGTGGGAGGGTAATGGGCGCGGCCAGTGGGACCACGCCCCTTTTGCCTCGTTTTAACGATTTGTACCTAGATAACTTTCCTTAGGAAATTTGATCTACCCCTACCCAGCGTTTTTTAATCCATTTTTAGAAGAAATATGTACACCATATTTTCAGAAAAATGGGAGGGGGTATTACCCCCCCATACCACCCCGTGGTGCCGCCACTGGTATCAAATGGACAATAATTCCATCAGACAGTTTGTGTGAGACATTAGTCATTATTTGAAATAACAATATTTTGATTAGCTGCATGTTGTCGGAAATAAAATAACACAACATAGTAAGAAATAAGCATTAATTCTACCAGACCATTTGTAACGTCATGCTTGAATTAGTACAGAAAATTTTTTTAGCAATAATACTGTCTTTGGAATCAAAATTGAACTCTCGACTTATTTTTGGTTATGCCTGTTAATTTAGTGGTTTCATAGCAAATCAAGATATTTTGCGCAGAATCTATCCTGCCAAGAAAGGAAGAGGAAGATGTGATGCTGTGTACAAACAACATCAAAGATTAGATTAAACCCCTTTTGTTGAATGAAGCATCTCATGCAACCAAGACATGTATTCTTGAAGAAGAAATGTTTCTTGGTGTGCAAATATGCTTAGGTAGAAAGATAAAACAATAAGAAGCTAAGAGGTCAGAATCATAGAAATGACTGATGTGATGTTTCCTACATATTCCTTCTACTCCTAACCCTACAATCCAAAATAACATCTTCCAATAAATTCAATGGGAGTTTCAGAGTAAATAACAAATATAGAACATACCTTGGGCTTCATAAATAAGAGCAGCAGTGACATATATTCCAGCATGGCCAAGTAGCAGTGATGTACCAATGCCACCTCTTAATGGATCTACTTTGTTAATTTCTTTGATGGCTACCTGAGAAATATCCCCAATATAAAAAAACAGGATTTATAATTTTTAAAATAAAATATGACTTGCCTTTGATATATGCTAGAAAAGTGGTAGTTCCACGGTTGTGCCATGGAACATATTTAAGGTCCTTTAACAGTCCTGATAACTCATTATAGTGCACAAGAAATGCATGCAAATAATCATTTTGGCAATAAAGGTAAAATTGCACAGCAAATCACAAATTCTACAGCTAGGGTTTTTTTGGATAACAGTAGATTTGCGTAGGGCACACATATATCAAGTGACTGTACATGTCCTATATCTTGTAAAATGCATGGCTATGGGTAGAAATAATGCTAAGTTAGATAAGTTGAACTAACTACATACCATGTTAGTTCTCTAATAAAGAGCTAGATCAGACAAGTGCAAACCTACCAAGTACAAATTTTGTGTGAGTTCCATGCACTTTAGAAATGAGAAACAATAGAGAGTAAAAAAACAATATAACTAATTAGGTAAAACAATGGATCTCATGCATCTGGAAACATTAACTTGACAGATATGCAAGTGTGTCTGGATAGGATGATCACATTAAGCTAGTCTCCTGCCAAGGAGTTTGTTGAAGGAATTAGTTTATCATTAGTCTAGGCACAGAAGGCCCATGCATGCATGTTAAACTGTGTCGTCATATAAGGCTGGTCTGCATTCAAAAGTTTTCCCAGCTAAAACTTTCATATCAGTCTCAGAAGAAAAATGTGCAAAATCTAAACTTCCACGCTTCATCAATATAAAGTGCAAGATTAAAAGAAAGCTACATAAACAAGTAAACAATCTGAAATAGCTTAAGTGGTCATGCCTTAATATATGCCTCTGCGATGTCTAGAAAATTACTTCTTTTCTCGGAAAAGGTAGGACTCTCAGCTACGTGATAAAACGCATAAGCAATGCCGGCAGCTCCAACATACATTCCTCCATCACAGTTTTCAGGAAGTGGCGGGCAGTTTTTGTGAATTATTTGCAGTAACTCTGGTACATAGTCTTTCTGGGCATCTGATATGTCTTGTGATGGTTTGGAATCATCTAAAGTATTCTCGAAATACCTTGGGTGCTGCATCTCTCTGTAAAGGGTACACGATTGGCAAGCAATCTTGTCAGCAACCATTTACAAAGCGCCTCGATTTAACATTCTCTGTCCTGTTAATACTGCCGCGGTTTCAAACATCTGCCATTTTGTTTTTCTCTCGTGGCTCATACATTTATTTTGATTTTTTCAAGGAATTTGAAGAAGGGTGAATAAAAATGAGCACGAACTTGGAAACTGATGTTTTTAAAACATTAGACGAAGCGCTTGACTTAGGCCAAATTACAAGTGATGTAAGTAGACCAACAAATATACCTTACTTTTTCTAGTTTTTGGCCTAGCCTAGTCTCAGACCATACTGGAAAGTATGAACCTGGTACGCCACATATGTATGCCATAGATAATCCATTTTGCGCCAAGTAGCGCCGGTACTCCACTCCATCCACTCCATCCACTCCGCCAATTGTTAACTTTACGCAAACAGGGCGACACTGACATTTTTAAGGCCCCGGGCCCGGGTCGTATATACGAGGCATAAGCTTTGCCTCTTGGACTTTAAACAATTGAACAATGAGTCTAACAAATACATTTTTACCGTGTGTACGAAAAATTAGAATTTATTTTCTTAGTATAATATGCTGAATATATATATATGTGTGTCCTTTATCATAAAAACGTCTTGATATACCTACTACCGGAGGTGGCACCATGGTTGCCGCAGAAGGGTAAGAAAATTTTCGAATATGAATGATACCAGTTCACTGGAAAAGCACTCTTGCTCTACTACAGTACAGGGCTGCACAGCGGGAGGAAATTTATGCCAAATTACATCAGTTTTTGCAACAAGAGTGCGCCAACCGCCAAGCCAAAGTATGTCAGCGTTCCAAATTTGAAGATTGCTGTGCACCACGGGTCTGTGACGCAGCCAGGGGCGCCTACACAGGGGGGCTGGAGGGGCAGCTGCCCCCTTCAAAGTGGGGCAGAGGGGGCAAGAAGTACCCTGAAATAGTTGACCACTTTTACTACTCTCGTTATATTGATATCTTTTAGGAAATACTAGAAAGATGATAATACCAGCACAAAAATGCAGAGAATGAAAAGTTTGTCTGTGACAAGGTCGGCCACAAGAGGGAGAGCGGCAAATAAAATATATGATAAACAAAAGATGTATACTCCAGGTACTTCAGGAACCTAAGGAAGATAAATTGGTATAAAATTTAGTGGGCAATCAAAATTTTATAACCAGTCCATTTATAACAGCCATGATTTTTGTAAAACCAATTATTGTGAATAGCGATAAGGCCATTTAAAAACCATTTTCATTTATGGATTATTTCGTCCAAGTTTTCTTTATGTTTCTGTATGGGTGGCATATTCTAAAGTTGATATTTTATTATGTTACCCCACCCTGGCCCCGTCCCACCTAGGAATGCTTGATAATGTTAATAGAAAACTTCAACGATTTGCCCTTGGCACGAACACTGCCCCTCCTGCCCTAATCTTGTGCAGGCATCTCTGGACGCAGCCTACGTGGATTCCAGTCTGGGTCTCAGACTAAGTCTGCAGAGTGTGGCGTATGCAAAACAGTGGCCAAGCAGAGACATCTGGGGTCCTAATGTAAAACTGAGACTGAGCCCCATCCAAAGGTGCAGAGCATGTCAATCACAATTGCAAGATGTAAACATGATAATCTTTCTTGTTAACTAGGGGGAGCTGAGTTATAAAAGCTTCAGTTGGAGGAAGAGCTGCAAAGCTTGTACACACAAGACCTTGTTGAGAACTGCCATGCTCTTCAGACTGGGATGTAGGCCTGTGCATGTTTTTTATATGTTACAGCTTCAGATTGAAGCCTATTTTTCTTTTTATTAGCTATTTATGTCTCAGGACCTAGATGTTTCATTTATATACATCTATAATGTTACATACTCTTTGCTGCTCAACTTTAAACTTTTTGCCACTGATAGTCAGACAATGATGGGGATGAAGATCAAACTTCCAAGAGTCACAAGCGCCTTCTACATGACATTTCAACAATTACTGGAGTTCCAAATAGAAAGTAAATTTTTCTGGTTCTAAATTTTTCTGGCACATCATTTTCTGGTTCTAAATTTTTTCACAGAGAGTTAATAAATGACACAGACTGTAAATGTAAAATTTGCTCTAAGCTGCCAGAAATATTGACTAACATTAGACAGGTTTTGAAAGTTATCCATTAAATCTGCTTCCTTTATCAAAATTTGATATATACAGAGTTTGACTCCATTGGTGAATAAAACCTACGCAACTGTGTTTATAATTTCTGCTTTTTATTCTTTCAAGAATGTTTATCTTGTTGCTCTTAGCAACAATGAAATTAAATCATTTAGACTATTAACAACAAATAAATCGTTTTCAAAACTCACCTGAGGTGTTTTCATCTTCAAGTAGAAGAAAATGGTGCCTTAGACAAACTATGATCAAATTTTTTATTATCTTAATATTTGAAATGAATTTTTGCGATTATGCTATGTTTCTGCTTGTGTCATCTTCAAATTTTGCAGTACAAAAGTTTATTTGGTTGATAAATTTTGCAGAATACAATTTGTATCATTTTGCATCCATTATCTACTTTTTTCAGAGAGGCATTGAGATCTGAGCCTGCACCTGTTGTTGATGAGCATCTTTGGTCACAAAAAGGTATAAGTAACTTCTTTATAAACCGCTTCTCAAAGAATTTATGGTAACAAAGTATTACTAAGTTTTTGTTTTGGCCATGCAAACAGAATAAAATCCTTGATATTTATCCGTTTTGTATCTTTATCATTTATGATGTATGTAGTACAATAAAGCTAATTAAATATTACCTTTTAAAATGTCAAAATTGCTTAAGCATGGGATGAACCTGAGAGTTTGATTCCAGACTTGCAGAGAGCTTGATTCCAGACTTATTCATTTAATTCTTTATTCTTGCATGCTTACTTTTTATCTTTTAGATGGAAATAACAAGGTTGAATTGAATGACCTTTTGGACTCAGTACCAAAGACTACAAAGTTAGGATCATTCAAGACAAAAATTGTGAGTTTACTTTAAGCATTTTCATATTTGGGAGATAGATGATTAGATACAATTTTTAATTAAGTTTGGGGGAATAAGAAAGTTTTTCTTGTTATAAATATTCTGAAAGTTCTTAGGTTTTTTGAATTGCTTTTATTTATGAGTAATAACATATTTAGTTATTGATATTTTTCAGTTTAAATACATTAACTACAAAAAATTTCATCGTCACAAAATTTTGGGCAAATACTTTGACAAAATTCTTCAAAATGAGACAAAATGTTTTAACAACGATTGTTTTTACATTTAAGATTTTTGAGAATTGCATAGAAAAACTATTACATGTGGTCAAAAATCAAATTTATGTATCCTTTTTATCTAATTTTGTCATTTTCCTGGTTCACATCATCCTCATAATTATCTTTATCGTAGGCATCATCATCATCATCATCATTGTAGGTTCTTGAACCAATTTCATTTTCACCATGGTTCGATAAAAAGAGTTTTAACTCAAAGGCGTAGCAAGGGGGAGGCAAGAGGGGGCAGACACCACCCCTAATGGCAAAAAATCTCCTTGAAAAAGGGCGTTTGCAAAAGATGCAAATGAAAAAAAGTAACTAATAAATCACCAGTCAAGCCTCTTTTTGTCTGGTTTCAGCCCCCCTTCCACTTTTCCTAGACGACCCTCTTTTCTCAGTGCTCCCTGGTGTCTGCACACTTATAATGTAATTATGCTCTGTTTATAAACTTTCATACCATATCAATATAGATTAGAGACTCTTTGGATGCTAAAAGCATCTCTTTTGCCCCCATCTTTGCATAAACTGAGAAGATTTACTACTTTAATTTGGTATTCCTGACATGCTGCCATTTGGCTCCTATTTTTTTAACAATTATTGTTTCCGTTCATAGGCAAAGTTAGAAAAGTCACAGTCTGTACTTGATGCACCATTATCAAAACCAGAGAAAGAAAAGGTATAAAAAATGTCTATTTGTTTTACACAACGTTTTTCTCTGAAATTACAAAAAATGTTATATTTTACAAACTTATGTACTAAGAGTAATTGTTATTTGTCCAAAGGTTTTATTTCAATGTAATGGCCAGTATAGGTATTTTGCTTTATGAATACTGATTGCCCCTAACTATTGTTTAGTATTTAGTAAATTCCTTTTTTTATCTATCTTCTAGCATGACAACCACCATTCTTGCTTATTGTTCCCTAATTTATCTCTAATTCCCTATTTTTTAATAATTTAAAACAGCATGACTACTTCATAGCTGCAAATCACTAAAATAGCACTTTTTGACTTTTCAACAACATAAGTAATTTATATTTGATTAAATGAAAGGGCATGATAGCAAGCTGCTTGATGGACTCCAATGGAATTGTCAATATTTTTTTTTGGTGAAAATTTGATGTAAATAATAGAGGACAATAAGGAGCACCGCAACTCAGGGAGAACAAACAACAACAAATACATGCAAATTTAAGGTGGCTAATATTTCAACCCTGTATACAGGGCTTCATCAGAGGAAAGCTTCATCACAACAAGGCTACATCAGAACAAAAGTGATGAACTTTGCTTGTATGAAGACCTATATGCAGGGGCAAAATATAAACCAACTTCATTTTACAGTGTTTGTTGTTATATTTGTTCTTGGCATGTTGGGATTTTCCTTATTTTCTACTAAATAGAATTTGTTCACTCTTATTCCATGAACCTCAAAACTGGTTGAATGTGACTCTTCTCTGAAGCTATCAGAATGCAAATAAGGCAATGGCACATCAGTACAGGTTTTCTCATAAAAGATCTCAAATGAAATGCAGCATTTTCAAGGTTTATGCTTGATCCCAGTTTTTGTGTAATTTTGCAATTTTCTTTTCAGATTCAAAGAACTATAGCATACGCAGGTAATAAACAGGAGATCGGTAAATGGGAGCCTACAGTGTTGAAAAATCGACAGGTAAATTTTCTTTTGAAAGCTTTAAAAATTTTAAAAGTAAATAGATATGTCTAGTCAGACAAAGGGGGGAAAAGGTGCAGAAAACCAGAAAGTAGACAGAAAAAATTAAATAGAGAAGTTGTATTGAACCTTTTTGCATGTTTATTTTTATTGATTTAAGAATTCGAAATTTATTTGAAATATACCTGTGTATGTATAATATATGTATAGAACTTTGCATTTTATTGTGAAATTGAATTGGTTGCTATGTCCGATTGTGTTTATTTTAAATTAAGTTTTGCTGCCTCCTTGTTTTTCCCCAAAATATATTTAGCTAAGCAGCACTAATCTAAAATTTTAGTTTTCTTTTTTTAGGCAGATAATCTTAGTTTTCCCTTGAATGCTTACAAACTTCCAGAGGCTACTACAAAATCAGTGGCTGTCAATTTCAAGGTATGTATCTTGGTTTCATTTGACTGAACCTCTGGAAGGGAAGGTGAGAAGGATAGGGAAAAGAAAAAGAAGGGGGTCACATGAGGAACCAGGAAAAAATAGAAGAGGTCAGGGGGGATTGAAAAAGAATCAGGAGGGAAAGGTTCAGAGTCTATGAAATATTTTGTACACTGCATATAATTTCTGTTAAAATTTCTGGCTCCAAAGTAACAGTCTAGATGAATCTAAATACCTTGGCAAGCTTTCTTTCCATGTAGCAAAACAATGTAGCTGTGTAGCATGTTTCTCTTTTTGCAGCCAAGAAGCTCTCTAGAAAAGGAGATTGCAGCTGTTTTAAAAGGTAGTTCTGGTGTTCTTGAGAGAAAAAATAAACAATTGACAGAAAGTGAAGAAAAGGCTCTACAGGCAGTGGACTTAGAAGAGGTTTGTAAACTGTATGTTTATATTCTGTACAATTGTGTATTGATTCCATTTTATACACAGAAAAGTAGCATGGTAAACTAGGTCAACCTTTTTTATAGTTATATCCTATACGTAGATAATATAAAAAGTGTAGAAACGACTGCATTGCTATGTTCTCTATCTTAGAAAAATACATATTCCTCCGTTTTTCTCTTTTCAAGGCCAAAGCACGAAGAAAGGAACTCCAGAAACTTAGAGTTTTACAGTCTTATTATGAAGCGAAATGCAAAAGACTAAAGAAAATCAAGAGTAAAAAGTTAGTTTCTTTTTAATCTTTTTATTATCACCGTAATGCCTCGAATAAGCGCCCGGGCGCTTATTTAATTTTTGAGGCTCCGGGGGGGGGGGTGCTTTTTCGAAGGAGGCGCTTAATCGAGAGGGGGGGTTATTTAAAAAGTAGATTTGGGTGCAAATTATGTTGTTCATTAATCTTTCTTGTTGAATTGCTTTCCAATTATGTTTTCGTTGAAAATTCGAATAAGCGCCCGTTTCTGAAGGTTGAAGGATTGGCGCTTATTCGAGGGTTAGGCGCTTATTCGAGGGGGGCGCTTATTCAATAACTTCACCTTTAGGATGGGCGCTTATTCGAGGGGGGCTCTTATTTGGGAAGGGGGTGCTTGTTCGAGGCATTACGGTAAAGGCATATTTGAAAAAACTTCAAAATTTCTTCTTAAGTGCTGATTAAGCTGTAAAATAAACACAATCCTACTGACCCCATCGCAACATAATGACATGCAGGGAATATATTCAAGCTTTTACACTGGCTAATTCGTTTTATAGCGTCTTTTTTATTAGAAAAATATATGTATGTATGTGAACTCTTGTCCTGACGATAGTCCTCAACCACCACGCAGTAATATCAAACTGATTCACGTTAGAGAACAAAACTGGTTATTAGAACAAAACTGGTTCGTAAGTGTCGCTCTATTCTTGTTCAAGTATTCCTGCTCCTTGAGACCAGTTTCATTTTGTACGTTTAGTTAAATTTAGTGAATCAGTTTTAATCTTGCGCAACTCGCTTGCATGTTTGTGAGTCCGTGTGAATCAGTTGGTTTCAATGTGATTCATTTTTGAATTTACGCAACCAGTTTTTGTGTGGAAATCAGTTTGATATTAGTGCTTGCGAGTTATGCGTCACTATATGTTCTTGACTTTGAGGAGGTAGTGCGAAGTACTGGTCATTTTTACGAATGAAAAGATCGCTCAGCTCCCCCGTAGAGCACCTAGCATTGCACCTAGCATTGCACCTAGCATTGCCCCTAGCATTGCCCCTAGCATTGCACCTAGCATTGCACCTAGCATTGCACCTAGCATTGCACCTCTGACAGTGGTCATCGCAACGACTCAACGAGATGACTTCCTCATTGAATTTGCTTCAGAAACTTCTTTGCTTTCCTTGAAAAATCGTGGGTTTCGAGTTCTTTTGCTAGAGACCAATGTAGACAGATTAGTGTTTCAGTTTCAATAAAGGTTTACAAATGTGCCAAGACAGGTTTATCGTGAAAACGTAGGAGCTATTTTTAATGGACAAGGGTTGTCCACATTTTCAGGTAAAGTACCCCAGAACCCCATTTTCTTCTCAGTCAATAAGTGAAAGTTGTTGAGACATTAGACAAAAAGAGCCCATGTAATGCATTGAAAATGGAGTCAAATTTGGAATACACTGGTATGTTGCTTTTTTATCAACAGTAGAAGCGTTATGTCAACAGGACGCAGTTAAGGAAAAGCGTTATAATTAATTTTTAAGATTCCGGAAGATTCAACGAAAATCTGAACAAAAGAAGAAGGAAAAGGAGCTGAAAGAAGTTACAGAAGAAGGAGATGAAGAAATATCTGAAGAAATAGAGAGGAATCGGGTTTTGGTTGGTGCTTCTTACTTCTTTCTTTCTTTCTTTCTTTCTTTCTTTCTTTCTTTCTTTCTTTCTTTCTTTCTTTCTTTCTTTCTTTCTTTCTTTCTTTCTTTCTTTCTTTCTTTCTTTCTTTCTTCTTAACTCATGTTGCCTCGTTATTACACCTTTTTATACTGCATTTTTGTATTCAGTTTGTGTGAAAGTGAGATGAGTTCTCTGCTGTTGTTACCCACATGGGGATTTGGGGTTTGCAACTAGGTTACTGGCAGTTTGCAAGGCAGAGCCTAAACAAATTATCAAATATTTTACTTGATATACATTTTGTTTATGAAGCTCAAATGAACTACTGATGATCACGTTTCCTGATGATCCAAGAGTGAAACATGGAGTAGAAACTTAGAACCTGCCTGTTCTATACACCAAATAGCATGTGTAGTTCCGCCTATACGGTATCAAGCACTTTGTTACCGACCGGTAAAAGGTAGTTTTTATTAACAGTATCGTTGCAGGATTGTTTTGTAAGTTTGCAACATTTTATACGAGTATACAAATTGTTTCATCTTTCAAAAAGAAGTCACTGTTCTATTATCCATAGACTCTTTATATGTATGTTCTCAATGTGATGCGTTTGGTATCTCCACATAGGAAAGAGCTCATTTACGACACAGAAACACTTCTAAATGGGCAAAAAAATTGATGATAAAAGGCAAAAACAAGTCGGTTGAGGTGAGATATATGCACGTATACAAAGTATTTTCAAAGCAAATTCAACAGTCCTTTAATACTCAAGTATTGTAAGAAACTTCTACGTCAGCGTTTTTAGATCATTCATCCAACATTTTAAACAAATAGAATAACCTTCTATCTTTTTATTGTAGGAGAAACAGTTACTGCACGATCAACTTCAAGTTAGCAGACAGTTGACCGAGCAGAAAACATATGAGCTGGAAAGTGATGAAGAAATCGAACCAAATGCAAATGAAGAACTGACGCTTTTGAAGAAGATGTCAGAGGACGACAAAAACCCATGGTTGCTTGGTCAGGAATCAGAAGGTTGGTATCCAATAATTTTGTACAATTTTTTCATTGCCTCCAGGATTGCCCAGAGGATTGTTAGACACTGCAATCCTTACCAAAAGTAGTTGGAACACAGCCAAGGGCTGAGATAGTTTTCAAAATGCGGGGAGGGGGAGCTTTGATTTTTGCCATTAAAAATTTCTTAGAATTTGTGGGTAGAGAAGGTTGAAGCCCCTAAGCCCCCTCTTCCCAGCTATCTCCACCCTTGACCACAGCAATATTCCTTTTGACGGCTGACAGTACCACTCTTTGGCATTCTCTCTAAAAGCAGTGTGGCAGCGAAGTGAGAGTGGACGTCCCTCCCGAAGACCAAGACTCAAATAAGTGGTAGAATGGTTGAGCGTGAAGTAAATCAGGCTTGTTAAGGTTTGAAAAAAAACTTCCCAAAAAACCATGGATAAAGATATCTAGTTTTGCAATATCTTTTCAATTCTCAAATTTGCGACTATGATTGTCCAATTTCGCTCTGTTTTTTCACTATCATCATTATTCCCGCCTTCAAAATTTGCCACTGCATCACCAAGTAAGTTACTTGTGTTGTTTGTTACAATATGGTACGGGGTACTGTCTTATTGGAAAGAAACGATCTCTATTCTTTACAATCAGGTAAATACGTTGTGGCAGAAAAGCAGAAATTAGTTGAAGAATCTTCAGATGAAAGTTCTTCAGAGGACGAAAAAGAAGTCAGAACTAAATCGGACGATGAATGGGACAAAGCTGGGGAAACCTCGCTGCAGTCGGGCAAGTGTCAGTTTTTTGCTTATTTCTGTCGGTAGCTAACGAAATGGGGGCTCTCGACAACGTATGTATAGATTTACATTGGTTTCTCCTGTTGAAAGTTTCGTCAATCCCTCTATTCAGAGGGGGTTTACCGACTGATCCTTTCACTTAACATTCTAAGCATAGAAAACAAAATGATGATGATACAGAATGCAATAATTGTCCAATTGTCATAAGGATTAAAATCGGTAAATTCTGAAAAGACTGTTTATGACATTTATCTGGTGAATGGCATCTGAGGAGATTCCCCTTTTCGGTGCAGATTACTTTAATGCGCGTCAGCGTCTCAAATAACTCTGCAGAAATGAACTGCGCTTTTCAAAAGTGGAATAATAAAGGCCATGTTTCTTTGCATTGTGAACACATTGCAAAGACTTTGTTGGGTCGAATTATACGGACTTGATTGGAAAAGAGCACAAACGCATTCGGGTAAATCCATAGAGATAGGGGTATATCCCAGCCAACAGAGTTCCAAAGGGATGACGCCATGAAATTTTTTGGAATTTTCCAGTTTTGACCATGTAACCTGAAAGAGTATTATGAAGTACCTCTTTATGTGCAAAATCATTTCAATTTGTCAAAATTTGGTTATGTCCACATGGGCATAGATTTCTTTCAACCAAATCGCTGTAATCTGGTCTTGGTTCATAACTTTATGAACCAAGCCAGAATAGCTGCAATCCGTTAGCAAACTTGTATTCTTTTATTGGTCATATTTCACTGAATTGATTTTGCACAGCTAGAGGTACTTTATGATGTTTTTTCAAAAAATGTGCTTGTAGTTAGTAAATTTTAAACACGTGTATTTGATGACGTCACACTTTGTTTTGTCTCATGGCTTACGTAATTCTCTATTTATAGTTTTGAAGCTCACCGCTTAAAGGCTCTTGCGCAACCGACATGCTTTGCGACAAAATGCAAAACACAATCAATTTCTCAAGACAGCTGCCGATGCCGGTTGCACAAGAGCCTTTAAGGACCACGCTAAATCAGTGAATTAGTAAACTTGACCGCATCACTGTGTTTGGCAAAATGTGAATCGGTCTGGATTTAGGCTTTAGAAATCGTATATCGTACCCTGGCCACACATTTTATTTTTTTTCTATGAAATTCATCGAAGCTACTGTTTCACTACCCTGGGTACCAGACTCACTGTATGTGAAATAAAATAGAGAGTCTGGTCTAGTGCGCCCCATTCTCGTTCTGGTGTGCTGATATTAACCAATCAGAAGCGAGTGTACAGATTTCTGTACGTTCAAAGGTCACAGCGAAACAATAAACTTAGCTCTGGTATAAAACATTGAACAGAACAGAACAGAAATAAATGCTAGCGATCGTAACGATTGAGTTTGAAGATGCTGTTAAAACTGTACTCAAAGAATATTTTCCGCATGTTGTGGAACTGATCACAGAACAACATTGAAAGCCTTGTTTGTAGAGAGAAGAGACACCTTCGCCATATTGCCAACTGGCTTTGGAAAGTCTCTGATTTTTCAGGATGTGCCTCTCGTTGCAAAGAAATTAGGCCTTGTAGTGAAATGCAGTAGATAAGAAACACCGCAAGGCGCCGAGAAAAAACAACAACAAACATAAGTAAATCAGTTATAGCTAATATTTCGCCCGGCATACGGGGCTTCGCTTGTCATATTGCCCATATTTGCTGTGGTGACCTTCCAACGTGATGATTCTAACCGCCGCGGTGTCCAAGCGCGCTGCCGTCACAGTTAGGAAGTAGACGTTGAAAGTACACACAATTTATGAGGAAAATTACAAAAGACTATGATTAACAATTTGATAATGATTAACATTTAATAACTGCACTGTGCTAACTTTAATTTCATGCTTCGCACATGTTTTTTGCTGCCAAATGGCGTTTTGAACCTGATTTGATTGTTATCTTGAGGCAGAAAAGTCTATTACCACTGTTTTAAAAATGTCGACTTTAAAGAACTAAATAAAACACATTTGCTTTAAGATTTCCCAAAACTCCTCTGACTACTGAGTTTCTTTATTATTTATCTGACAGTCTTGTTTCACAGGCCTAGTCTGTTAAATAGACTTCAGTTCTTTCAAGTAAGTTCACCAGAACGAGAATGGGGCGCACTAGACCAGACTCTCTATTATTTTATATAGTGAGTCTGGTACCCAGGGTACTGTTTCACCAAAGACGATTCAAAATTTTGGAGATTCAATGACTAGGGCAAAATTTTCCGCTTGTTTTGTCAAGTATATTTTGACAATTTATATTCATTAAACTTCCGAGACTCTGCGTCGTTTTTGAGAAATGATTAAAATTTTCTTTTAAAGATTCAGAAACTGGAGTCAAAAAGAAAAGAGGCGGAAAGTTGGCAGAGCGCGATGAATTAGATGATAGTAGTGATTCAGGGAGCGATGAGGCTGAAAATGACGGGCGTGGTCATGTTGTAGGAAAAACAACCAATGGCAAGTTTGAAATGTCCTTTGATTCAACCAATCAGAGGAAGGGAAAGCACGGTCATACAAGTTCAAGTTTGACCACTGGTCGAGATAGCTTTCTGACTGTTGAAGCCAAGGCTCTCGACGTGAATGTGTTTATAACTGACAATTCAGATCTTGATTTTGCAAAATCGGCAGAGCAAAGAGCCAAGGTGCGCGAAGCATTTGCTAGCGATGCTGTAATGGAAGAATTTGAAAATGAAAAGAAAAAAGAAGAAGAAAAGCGAACTCCGAAAGATGTTGATTTAACGCTGCCTGGATGGGGTGCCTGGGGAGGAGCAGCTATGGACAACGAGAAAATACTGCGTCGGAAAAGGAAAGCGTTTGTAAAGAAGGGAAAGAAACAACCACCCGCAAGAGACAAGGAATTGAAGCATGTCATTTTGAATGAAGACAAGAATAAGAGATTTGTAGCAAATCAGGTAGGGCCGTTTACAGCTCTTGACTGTGTCGCACTAGAGTTTCACTAGAGTTTCACTAGAGTTTCACTAGAGTTTCACTAGAGTTTCACTAGAGTTTCACTAGAGTTTCATTAGCCAATCAAAACTCGCTAGTATTATATAATAATTTACTTTATCCTTCTTCACTTTCTGTCTCCTCAGTCCACCTCTTCTGCCCGCCTCCGCAGCTACGATCTTTTGACACAGAAGGTTGAAACAAGGCTGCGTTTGACTGACCGGTTTCCCAGTGCTCATGGGAAGAGTCTTTGAAATATAAAATTAACTTGCAATGATTCAAACATCGAGGGGGTAAAAGAATTATTTCAAAGTATCAAAACGCTTGCTTATGGTAAGCATTGTTTGAAAATGGTCCGCTTCACCATCCCTGCTCAAAATTTTTAGAAATCGATCATAGTGACGCCGCTGGACAGAGCGTGCAGACAAAAATATGAGGGCAACTACTCATATGCCTCTACTTGTCGATGACACCAGTTTCCTATGCTGTGAAATAGTGTTGTTTTGCGATAAAGTACCCTCACTAGTGTAAGCAGACAAACTGAAACTAAGTTATAAGCAGACAAAAATAGCCTCGAGTGGCGTCCGAAGAGCATCAGGTTCTACTTAGGCCTGTTTATATAAGCAAATTTCCCCCACTTTTCAGCCTATACGCTGGCAGATGGGGTGAAATCATTGCATGTCTAAAGGCAAAGTCAGTCTCACCTTCCAGCTCGCGCCGTATTTGTTATCCCACCCCTTAGCTTTCCCTTTTGAACGCAACACGTCATCTTTTTGTTATGGAATGTGGACGCATGCGCATAGATAAGAATTCGATCCCACCTTCTGGCCAGTTTGTGTTTTTTTGGAAAATCTCATCCAAACAGGTGAGATCCGGCAAGCTGAGAGCAGGATCTCATTCGCCCGGGATAAATTGTTTGTCATATAAGCACAAGATGAAAATTATGAAACTTTGAATAGGAAAGTTTGATCTCAGCTCACAGACTGGAGCATTTTGCTCGTATAAACAGACCCAAGTTCTTGGGATGCCATTCGAGGCTATTTTTATCCTATTTTTAATTCAGAATCAGTTTTCGCAAATTTTGCAACCGCATAGTAATCCTATACAAGAGCAAAAGAACAGGATAGGGCAGGAAAGACTTGTGACTATGGACTATTGGACTTTTCCTGTGACGACTGAATGCGGAAGGAAACATCAATCATAGAAAGTTTCATTGTAAATAATTGATAACCAAACTTTGCTTTTCTGAGAACTCCACCTTGAAGACTGAGGTCTTCTTCTTTGATCGTAAGGGCAAGTGGGCGAAAAATGCCTTTGACGTTTGCCTTTGTAATAATCGAGAGAAATTATATTCTTTTGTGAAAGAAATGCTTGCTCAGTTTATTTCCCTACTGTTTTGGTGACGTCACGAAGCCATTGTTCAATGCTTATTTTACCACCCTCAAGCCCCTGTGACTTTCCATTGTTTAGAACAAAGGCCTGATCCCACGGCTGATTTCTCTTAGAAAAGGCCAAGGTGGTTCCCAAATTTTGTTCAATTTCTTTTTTTAATAGAGTACTGAATGGGAAGCAAATGAACGGACAGTCTGCGCAATATGAGTTTCGTCTAGCGGAAGAGAGTTGGGGATGCGATTTAAAATTTGCAAAAAGCTACAGGCATTATAAGCTGTTTGCCGGCTTCAATGTTTATTTTTTAATTTTGCACTTCTATTTATTTTGCCCGGAGCTACACAACGAATACCTTTCTTCGCACACATAATCTTCAAGATGCCATTGTTCTTCAAGTTACCGTGACGTCTCTAGAATTCCGTCTAGAGTGTGTTAGTCCAAGTCTCCACAACTTCACCCGCACCTGGGATGTTACTTCAATGAACTCTTCCCATTTTCCTTTCAAAATAGGGGTAAAAAGAACAAAAACTTTCATTTGCTACATTGATTTGTGTCTGACAAAGCCTTTTTTTTCGCAGGTATCTTCGTTGCCTTTTCCGTTCAAGGATCAATCTCATTTCGAGAGGAGCATACGACACCCATTGGGTAAGACATGGAACACCCCTTCTGTGAGTGCCAAGCTGACACAGCCAAGAGTATCAACTTTGATCGGCAATATCATAGACCCTATTAAACGTGGCAAAGAAATATCAAAATCAAATATTAAGAGCAGAGAAAACCAATCTGCTGATTTCATTCCAAAGAAAAGGAAGGTCCGCTGAAATATTATCGATCATTGTACAATTCAATCCTTACCTACTTAACAATATAGTAAAATTGTTGACTTGCACTAAAAGTTGTCGTCCACGCCCTCATGGCATGAGTAAAGCGATTTCGTAAAAAACACAATTTCAAACAACTTTTTCCTATTGCAGCATTCTTGTCAGTAAGTAAGTACCCCAAAGTTTGATAATATTAGCAATTGTGTTAGTTTTGAACTTTTTGCTGCGCCTCTTCCATCCTTCCATTTCTGTTTTCTATTGTAAGATTTGCAATGTACGGTGATCATGTCACTCCATACTTTTCAAGAGAACTTGCTCAAAATCCACAGATTATATATGCACAAATTTAGAAATCAAATTATATATCCTCAAAACTGTGAAAGAAGAACTTGAATGTAAACAGCGATTCGGTTGAGGTCTTCATTAAAAGTAGCAAAGAAGAATAAGTGATGTTTATGTTTTCTTCAAGCTGCTTGTAATGTCTAGCTCCACGGAAGGGTATAGCCTTTTGCCCATTTTGTTAAGTATAACTATTGTTAAGGTATAAGTTAAGATTTACCCCCGGAAAGATGTGCCCTTTAAGGAGAAATAGCTTATTTGGAATTGGCGATCTATCGACAACGCACCAATCGTTTTTCAACAAGTCGTTCTCTGTTGCACAGATCTACTAAACCTGTATGGACGATTTAGGTAAAGGGAATTTTGAAGTTTAGACGGCAAATGCAACATTTCGGGATTACGGTAATCCTCTTGCCGAACCCGGGTCAGGATCTCAAGGAGTTGGAGCCCGGTTAAGATAATTAAAGATATAGGATTGTTAACTATAATTCAAGATGTCATTCCATCTAGCAGTTTTGGAATCTATCTACATTAGCACGAAAAAACCGCTATTGTGTAGATAGAAAAAGTTCATTTTCACCTTTGGACTCCATTGGTAACATTCTCTATAGGCAAGCGGCAATGACTGGGCAACCTCAACAGTCATGTTCTTGCATTTCTGATTGGCCTATTTCGATCCACAACTGATTGGCTACAACTGGGTATATGTATTTCCTAGCGTAGAGTTTTCGATCTATGTTCTGACGTTTTAAACTCTGAAGAGTGTCAGACGAAAAGCTTCAGTTTACACAAATGTTTGCCCTTTTCAAAGCCAAATTCAAGATGTAGTCATGTTAACTATAATGTAGTTTAAACGCGATAGGGGGTTGAACGTCTTTCACGCATGCATACGATGAATTCTTCCTTTGTTCATCTTTACACATAGAAATGCTCCTCTACCCGGGTTGAGCCTAAGTAGATTTTCGGAAGGGCTAGATAAACAGGGCTTTTTAAGTATCAGAAGACGAAAAGAAGAAAGCACCGAAAGAATTTACAAAACGTAACTGAAGCAGTAACAACCACTTCCCAATATTTGGAAAATACGTTTACAAAGCCATAAACACAAAACGTATACAATACTTATTCAATATGTTCATTAAAGTTAAAAATTTATCAGATGCTCAGTATATACATACAGTTTCGACACTTTTCGAAAGGCCGTGGCGAAAGGAAGAATTTTAGAGAAAGGGTTGCCAAAAAGTGGGCCAAGGGGCAAATTCTCTAGTAAGTTATTTTGTATCCTGACCTATCTGGGTCACTAAACATGTTTTACAGTGAACTCACATTGTTATCTTATATTATCAAACAAAATTACCAGATATTTCGAAAATTTACAGTACTCTTGATAGCTTACTTGCGGAGGGGGGGGGGCATCCCTACACGAAGGCCCAGTTTGGAAGAAAGGGCTCCTTGAATATGCATATGAGTACATACAGAATGGAGCAATAGCTAAATTTAAAACATTAATCATTAACGTTCCCTTACGAAATTGGGCAACAATACATTGGATAAGCTAAATCCGACCCGAAGTTAAAATATCCAAGACTTGACCAAATTTGCTCCATGAAACTTGAGCTGTTGTTAGTCCTAAACAGTGTCACTTTCTGTGGTTTACTTTTATCCCAAAAGAAACTTTTTTGGGTTAAAATCTTGAAATCCTTCTTGATTACCCCCTATTTGAAATAAGCGAGAGTACCCTCTCCCCCCATGGACTCGATTTTGGCGCAAAGAAAGGAACCCATTTAATCATTTCTCCATGTTTTATAAGTGATACTTGGCTTCTAGTGAATAATGTGATTTCTGCATTGTTATGTTTGCTTCCCTTTCATTACCAGAAAGACGTGTCTGTAAAAAAGCTAAATTAACCTTGTATTTCTCATCATCTCATTATGGCTAGAATTTTTACCTTTCCCCACCTTCCAGACCAAAATACATAGAAAGGAAAGAAAGAGGCACTTTTATTACCAAATAATTTCTAGTTATTTCTAGCATTTGTAACATTATTCTGCTAAATAACATTTCTCAGAACATCGTTTGATGTATCCTTGAAAATAGTTACGAAAATCTTCCTTTCATTTTTCTTTATGCACAAAAGGGAAGGCCTTGGACCTTGTCCCACTCTTGCTTTGTTGCTAACCATACAAATCCATTAGAAGTAAAAGCTATTATGCACATTATGACAAAGAACTCCGACGACTTTACTGGCAGGCGCTGCCTCCGCGCGTCAAAAATACTTGCTACTGAGTTGGCTCGCAATTCTCGCAATCTAAAATCTACTCTAGTCATGAGGATGTTGAAAGATGTAAGCTTTTGTCGCTAAGTCCCTTAAAGCGTTTTTTCGCATTCTTCTTCTTGTATGGGAGTGATAGTCTCACCAGCAAGTTCTTCTTGGCTATTATTAGAGCCGCCGCTTGAACTTCGTGACCGCCAGTAACTTTCAGTCGGGTATTTTCCGTCCAGATGTTCGGTCCCGTTGCCCAACCCTGAAAAGTGACGAGAATGGCATAGGTATAATCTTACAATTTCATTGCTTTCAAAGGAATATAAATGTTAATGTGCCTGCTTCACAGATCTAATGAATTATTTTTTAAATAATTAATAGTATGAAAGGGATATACCACGAAAGGGATATGCCACGAACGCGAAATGCCCTGCAACTGTCGCTGGTGGAGGAGTTTCAAGTAACCCGTTTGCATTTTAACACAAATTTATCAGCTGCTTAGCCAGGCACCGTGGAGCGTTGAGAAAAGTGGGGGGTCTAAAGAAAGCCAGCCCCCCACCCTACTCTGCGGTGCCTGTTAGCTAACCGCCTTGCAAACGAAAAAAATATTTTTCGCCATGAAATTATGAACACTATGCGGGCACCGCGGAGCAGGGGGGTTGGGGAGGCTTCAACCTACCCCACTTTTTGCAGAAAATTCCAAATATTAAGAAATAAACTACCAGTAAAGCCTTTATACGGTTTAAGCCCCCCCCCCCCCCACTTTTTTAGACCCGCTACTTTTCTCAAAGCTCCGCGGTGCCTGCTATGAGACTTAAAACCACATTGAGTTTGTTTTTCTGTATTAAAATCTTCTGTCATCCTAAAATTTACAATTTTGAGAAACACTGGGTTGTACCCTGGTCACTAGAAACTCAAAAAATCGGTCATTCGGTGGTGGCAAATGAGTGGATGCGGAGAAGGGAAAGGACAGAGGTTGTTTTTCTTCCAATCCTGATAGATTCAAATGAATATTTCTGTGACTAGATTCAAACTAGATCTCTGTAACTAGATTATGGAGACTATGGGACCCAGAATAACTGAGTTGGTGCTCGCTGCCAGGGGCGAAACCAACAAAATTTTTCGGAGGGGTACAGAAATGTTGTTGCCGATAAAAAGGGAGTGTTTCAATCTGTAAGGATGTGGTCATAAGATAAATAATCTTATATGCTGCTTTTATGCGTTTCTATTTAAAAATTCATACTTTAGTGTCATACTTTGGAAGTTAAATACTACAGAAGTGTTAATACGTTCCAATTATTGCAAAACGGTTGCAGGCAGAGAATAATGTCTTCTTTTGCCCGGCAAAAATCTTTTATGTGCCAACAGTCAAAATGTTGGGGGGGGACGGCACCCCTCGTACCCCTCTCTCGGCGACGCCCCTGCTCGCTGCTCATATGAACCGAGAGGCTTTTTATTATCTGAATTTGTACTGACTGATGGTTACTTATAAAAAGTAATATTTTTACTGCTTTACGTCGTTACCTTCTACTCTTTCACCGGCACCGTCTATGAAATCGACTCCATAAAGAAAGCTATTCCCAGAGTACATTGAAGCATATCCGCTCTCCCTTCGGTCAGCAATGCTAGAAAAGTCGAACATCTTGTTCTTAAAATTTATGTGCAGAGGTAAAAACTGGCATTTGCCAAGCGAATAAATTTCTAACATATATCAAGCATATTATCAAATGACAGAGCAGTATCAAATCTAATCCAAAGAGGTAATCCAAGATAAAAAAACAACACAATCAATAGCGCAGCCAGGGTGGTAGGGTTGGTGGCGAAGGTGAGTTAAGCGAAGGTAAAGTGGGGTCCACACACTTTTGAACGCCGGAAATGCCCCTATTCAAAGAGATTTTTACCACTAGGGGGAGGAGCATCCTCTTGCCTTGCCTCGCTACACTCCTGAACAAAGCAAAAAGCGTCTATTCAGGCACCGCGGAGCGTTGAGAAAGGGGTGGGTCTAAAAAAAGTGGGGGGGGGGGCTAAAACCGTATAAAAGAGGCTTTTCTGGTAGTTTGATACTTAATATTTGGCATTTTTTTGCAAAAAGTGGGGAGGGGGCTAAAACCCCCAGCCCCCCCTTTCTCCGCTGTGCCTGCTATTTAGACAAATAAAGACTTCTTGTACCTTACGCAACAGCAAGTCACGTTCACGAAATGAAAAAAATTTAAGCTATTCACGGGCTCAAAAAGATTGGCTTATTCTTGGAAAATCTATAGTATAATACTTGGTTGCTAACACAGAAATCGTCCAACCAGACATGTGTGCGCTTGTAAAGGGGGCCTGGGCCCTTCCGAAATTTCGTTGAGTCTTAACAAGAGGGGCTGGGCCCCCAAGCATCCCTCCAAGGCACCCCTGTGCGACATAATAGATGAATGCCTTCAGGTATGTTCTCTGGATGTCTCTTCCAAGATATTAGATAATTAATTATTATAATAATAAAAGATAATTGTTGAAAATTCTAAATTTAAATGACCTTTCATTTGATATTGGCTTTTTTGTGCTGTGCCTCTCACTCTGCAATAGAATATATATTTTTAAACTAAACCAATTTTATTCTAATTTCACAAAAATAATCTTCTGCCGGCACTCATAGTGAAAAATGCACAGGAAAAGGCACTGTTAAGTGCCCTCTTCTCTAAAGGGCCTTTCTAATCTCCCTTCTAATTTGGATGGCTTTGTAGAAGGGAGCGAGTGACACTTAACGTAAATGTTGCTATTGTTGTTGCTGTCATGTCATTTGACTTCAAAACAACAATAATAGAATGACTTCTAAATAAAAAACGTCTTCTAAATCTACAAACGTATAAAAGAAGCTAGCGAATTTTGAATATTTTTAAAATGATGATAGGACAATACAACAATCTTAAGCATTCTTCATCTTTCATTTATCATATAAGCATTCATTGGAATTACGAAGCATCCCAATGTTGTTATCATCCCAACCCAATGTTGTAATCATCTTGTGAAAAAGTGTATTTTTGAGCAGACTTCATTATATTTAAGGGACCATTCCATATTTAAGGACCCAGCCTTCTCAAGTTCCAAGTATCAAAATTAGATTAAATAAGCCTGTAGCTTCAATAGGTTGTTAAATATTCTAAAAGAAAATATTATTTTATGAAGATAGGGCTGAGTTGCTTGATTGCTTTGTAGACTTCGAGACAAGGAGCTACTATATAAGAAAACGTACAAGTAGTTCTTTCCTACTTTTCAGTTACTCTTCCAATAGTGCTTTCGTTTTATTACGTGGACAAAGGTCTAAACGCGCTCTTGTATTTTGTCAATCTTCTGTGGTAATATATCGTTTGAACTTTATAGCAAAGTGTTTCAAAAACTTACCAGGATATCGTTAATAGTTTTATACCACAAATTCATCTCATCCTGGTCCTTTGCACTGAGATGGTATTTTCGGCCAGAGTTCTTGGTCGCGAGAACAATGATGTTGTGTCTCCCACAGTAGCTCTCTTGCTTTGTAATTCTATCACAGTCTCGAAGGTAAATCGTACCTTAAAAGCAAAGTTAGCAAATGAAATATCTTGCTCTAAACATTTTGTTAAATGGCTAAAACCTATGCTAAACCTTACTTTTGTTCTTTGTAAACCTGCATGTAACGGGAGATAACTCGTGGTTGCGCTGACGGGTAGGTAATGGTCCCAAAATTCAGAGTTTCTCCTTCTTATGGTTGGGAAACGCTGAATTTCCACTGTTCCAAAGCTCGTTTCCTACATAATGGCCTGTTATTCAAACAGGCTTGTATTTACCGAGGGGCAATTCACTCTTGAAAATAGCGTACGAGATTTTCCCTAAAACGAAAGGATTTCTGCGGATTTTCAGATAAAACAATAGGATTTTCACAAAAGGTGTACGAGATTTTCTTGGAGTGATTTGGCCCTCGGTATTAACTTCCTCCTTTCCTCAAGAAACACAAGCGGTAGACAAGGGCCGTGAACTCAACCAGGAAGGCGATAGCCTAGAGCTACAATCCCCCAATTGTACAAAGCTAAATGCCTCTTACAACAGATTTGTCATGAGTAACAAAATTTAAAAGATTTTCAACGCCTTTTCTTGATATTTCTCATGTTATTACATTCGCTTTTATAAGTATGAATTCGCATTTGCAATTGTAGTGTGCAACCACTAGAGCGTCCGGGATCGTGGCCTACAAGACCCCGCCATGTAATTTAAACTGTACCCCTAATTAAAAATACTACAAAACCGCTTAGTTTCACCTCTAACCCGGGAGAAAATTCAGATTACTTGTTGGCTGGAAATCAGAGACAACCGATGAGAGCAGCGCGCCGAATACGCGCGGCGAAACGAAGAACCGGCAAAACCACTTCAGTGCAAGATAACAAGCTCAGGAAATTTCGAAATCATTTTAAAAGGCATCTTAAATACCACGATTGCTAGCAATGGAATTAAAAATAGATCAAAACGCTTCTTTCGATGTAAACTACGTCCTTTTTCACTTCTTTACGTAACCTACCGAAAAGAACAAGGTGCTCTCTGCTACCTTTCGCTATTTGATGTTTTTGCAGTATAAAGTCGTTAATTTATAGCAGCAAGACTCAGATTGCGAAATAAGTTAATTCTATCAATATAATTGCATTCTTTGTTTACCTTTTTCCGTCTCCCCGTCATAATAATGCAGCTGCAGACCTCTTCCTCCATCGAACAAAGTAAATCTTCTCCAAGTCCATCTGCGTGATAATTTTTGTAAAATTCCCGGCCCTGCTTTGTGCAAATGCCCATCAATTATATTGTGATTTGACATTTTAAATTGAGTTTCGACTTACTTACAAATGCGACAACTTATCGTCATCCTCAACACACTTAATTTCTAGTTGCCCTGCCCTAGCTCCGTGAAACTGCAAATGCGCAATCAGCACACATGATGATCAAAATAATGATGTCACAAGAATGAACGTCCTCGGGGAATTACCACAGGAGTCACACTAACCCGGAACAAATTTGCCGCGGACCGGTGATTGCTGTAGCGCGTTTCAGTACATTGGATTGTGTTGAAACCACAGAGGAATTCCCCATCTACTTCAAAGTTGGTTATTTCGGTGATTAGCCCTTCCTATAAAATGCCCCACTATATGCCTTACTTTACTTCAATACAGCATGGTACCAGCAAAATTGGGACCAGCTTTGGGTGTGATAGATAGAAATACTAAGCAGATGACTAGATCGGGACCGACTTTATTGCTATCAACCTTTAACTGGGACCGGGTAGTGAAATTATTGGGGGGTGTGACACCCCCACACGCCCCACACCCACCCCACACCCCCCACACACACCCCACAAACCACCCCACACCCCCCACACACACCAGCAGAAAACGAATATGAATAATGATTTGGAGTAAATCGAAGAGCAGCCAATTACAGAAAAATAAATGCAGTTCTGCAATCACATTCTTTGGGAGTATACAGAAGCTCCAGTCAAAGATTGTTTAAAACCAGCAGCTTCAAATACCAACGATAGTTGCAAAAAAATTCGAAAAAAATTAATTCTTGCAAAAATGATTTTCCCTAGAAGTGTAGGTAAGTGATAAATTCGAAAAATATAGTAAAACTTTATCCTATAGATGTATAATATGTTAGATATGAAATAATCAATTTTATATTTATATATTGAATAAAGTATTTTATGGAAAGTCTTTTTTCAATGCGAATCAGTTTTATTTTAAAATGTAGAAACATCAGCTATAAAGAAGATTGAGATGACAAAGTTACTTGAATGCACAACGCTCAAGTTGAACTTAAATGTTCTTTGTTGTAACTTTCACATCAGAACACAAGCAATTCATCCGAAAACTTTATTTTGTAGTCATGCATATTTTGGTCAACAGTAAATTGGTTGACTGTATTCTTCTACTGTGCCCTGGTCTTTTCTAATGACCAGAAAACACTTGACTTTGTATGGCTTGGTGAATCTGAAATTTTTCGAAAAGTTATCGAAAAAACAATGTCTTAAAACATACTGTCGAATTCTTTTCCAAATTTGGCGAACTTGTTAAAAATGTTTTCAGAATCTAGGCCTGAAAACAGTCAATGACATGATTAAACACGATAGCAGAACGATTGTATAGAAATCTTTAAACAATCTTGCTTCCTACATATAGCTATATGTTCATAAGAAATTCTCGAAGTGCAGTTTGGCAGCTACATAATACAGACACTGACTTAAGGCTTCCAAAGAAAAACACAAACAATATGCAAAAGTCATTTTCGTTTAGAAGCGCTAAACTTTGGAATAACCTACAGTTTCCGAAGCTAAGAAGGCAACATCTCGTAGAAAATATAAAACTTTGCTATAATTTTTATTTGTTTTGCTTGTTTTTGTTTTAATATCATACTTCAGGTTTTTATCTATTGTGTATATATGTATATATTGTAATTTGGATACCCCCTCATACTTCCCTCAAGTGACGCCCCTGACTGAAATAGACTGATAAGAAATAGCTCATTCACAGAAAATAAAAATGTATAGTTGCCATTTCGAACACAGAGTTCGTCCAACCAAGCAAGCATATGCTCGCTTGTTATAGGGAACTGAACTCCAAAAATTTTAATAAGGAGCCTTAGCAGTAGCGTAGAGCCAAAAAATGTAGAGCAGGCCATAAGGCTTTCTCTACGCACTCTTTTTGATAAAAACCAGTAAATTTAAGTTCAGGCTGACTGCTCTTAATTTTTCGAAAATCTGATGCTTCATTGTTCTTTAATTTGTTCACAATTTATTATGGCGTAAGGAGTGTGTTTGCTAGCTTTTTCGCTTGGCCTCGTTTGCAGACAAAGTGAGTGAGACAGCCTGCATTTGCCGACAAGCTTGAATATTCACCGAAAAAGCACCCACACATATAGCTAAAAATCCTCGTTTTTGAGATGAAACATTGTTCAAAATTGCATTTTATAGTAACTCAACCTCAGCTTGTTCTTAATTTGTTCTTAACTTTTGACCAGTTTTGAGGCCATGTTCTTATAAAATTGTTCTTGTAAAAAAAGAGTGTATTGTGTACAAGATGAACGTTTCAGTTCTTTTCCTTCCATTTTTTCTAGGGTTAAACCATTTTCCAATGTCTACCTATTACTGAAGTAGAAAGATCTTAGAAATGAAGAATTTAATGTAGTAATATTTGCAAGCATTTATTGAATCTCCAACTATAAAGAGGGCTATTGAGGTCACACATGAAAGTCAATGTCAAAAAGTAATATCGGTTCAATCAAAGATTTGATCCTGGCAGATGTTAGCCATGATATTTTTGAATTACTTAGAAAAAATAGGAGGGGAGCAGCTCCCTTCGAAAAATAGAGCGGAGCCCCCTCCTCTACAGCCCCGGGCCTGACCCCCCTCTTCTACAGCCCTTGGCCTGAGCCCCCCCCCCGAGTTTCACTCTAGGACAGCCCTTCCCAATGCTCCATTTGCGCGAATAAATTATGCATGAGCTTGATTGTTTTTGTGAACATTATGAAATGGCCTCTCAATGGATCATAATGGCGCGAAAAGCGTTCAGCCATTATTGTTATGTAAAATTGCTTCTTTGCTTTAGAAACTTTTATTCAAGGAAATGCTTAACTTCAATCGCTTTAAGTATCGGAGTAAAGCCCCTCTAGATTTCTTATCAAGAAGACAGAAAGAAACTTTTCCTGCTGATTCACAAAAAGAGGTTCGTAATAACAGCAAATTGTCAGAAGCAAGTGAAGTAAATAACGATGATAATTTCAAGACCAGGCCTAGGCATATCACCGATTTGAAGTATGACGGTGAAGAATGCCAACATGAAATAGTTAGAGAGCACGAAGGAAAAGTTCCCGGAAAAGGTGAATGCGATAGAAATGTCAGCTCGTCATTGAAAGAGACAAGAGAATCCGACGAAAATACCATGAAAAAATTCAAAGTTTACACTAACCAGAGAGAAAATTCAGATAGTATAATTCCTTCTGGAAGTGCGAATCATTCTGGGACTTTATTGGACGAGGGTCACATTTTAAAAGGAAAAGTTTTCACCGCAGAAGAAAAACTACGGAGAATGCTTTCGAATGGGCCAAAGAATTGTTCATCTTTGGCCAAAGATTGTTTAGCGGGTACTAAGAAAGACACCAAAGAAAACGATGATGAGTTTGGACGGAAAAGAAAAGAGCCCTATAAAGACACAAGTCAAAAAAGACAAAATCACAGTTCTTTTTTTGACACTGTGAAGGTTGATTCCTATAAAGTTGAGAAAAAGAGTCCTTGTTCTTATGAGTCTTTTGTCCCTAAAGCTAAACGGAAAAGGGTTTTTTTGTTAGAAGATAGCGATGAGGATATTGAAACAAATAATAAACCAAGAAGTCCGAAAACTTCTAGTCTTAAAAACGTAAAAGGAAAGTTTATTGCTGAAGAATGTGAAGAAGATAGCCGTAATATTGAGAAGCTAAGAGAAATTTACTCACATTTATCCATATCTGAAGCCAAGGAAGCTCTAGATCTTGCAGGTGGTTTGACAGATGCTATACTTAATCTTGCAAAAACTCTGGATATCAAAGGTATTTAATTTGTTGATACAAGTTTAGCTCTCGAGATATTATTTCAATACGGTTTTAATCCTACTATCAAAGTCATGAATCAGTGCACCTTCATTAAGCATCTAACCATCTCCTTCCTTACTGTCTTCACCACACAAGTATCAGCTAGAGATCCATTCCCTGTTGTTTTCTATCAATTTGTGTCCCTTTGATTTTCTGTGCTTTTTCAAAAATCAAGTCTATTCAATCTGAACTGGTATAAGGGAACTGTTGCAGTGAAGTTAAGGGGACTGGCAAGTCACATATCTTAAATCGAACACAGTTTGCCAGGCTACCAACCTGTTTGTGGGATAATGCTAACACTTTTTGAGAAGACTGCATACTCAGATGGCAGAATTATGAAAAGGGGTGGATACACATACAAAGCTTCTATTATCTTGCTAGGCAACTTCAGCATAATACCTAAAAGCTCTAAATTATATCAGTTAGGCTGCACTTCTTGTTACCTAGCTCAAGGATGGAGACACTTCAAATAACTGGAATATGAATTTGTAACAAAATCCATATTTTTGTTTTACATAAAATTAATTGACTTTATAAGAACAATTCTAAGCATCTGAATTTCAGAATTCCCAACTGCAAAGATTAGGAGATTAGGAGATTCATTTGTAGTAAATCCATTCTTAACATACCTGAAAAGTACATATATTTCCAAGTAAATTAGGAAGAGTTTCATACTTGATTGCATGCAATCCAGCCCCTTTCAAGCAAACTGTTCAACTTGCTGATGATTTTGAGTGTTCTGCGTGTGGGCCCAATTTTGTGTTTTTTTTCAAGACAGTGCTGTGAAAAAATCCTTCCATTGAAAATTCCAGTAAAGATGGACTTTTTGCTTAAGTGTATAATGTTTCAGATTTTGATGCTATCAACTATTAGTTTATAAAAAGCTAAGATTTATTGGATATAAAAAATCTAAAATTGCTATTTGAGTAGAATTTGTTAGAAAGAAATAGTTACAATAATCTGTGTGTAAGACTATGTTGCCTCACAAACTTTTTTACATCGTTTGCTATCCTTGCCTATATGCAGGGGCGGCGGGCAGTGTTATTACCGTTATTACTGTAATAACACTTTTTCCAAAGTCTTTATCAGTTTGGTGCATTCATCTGCTAGACACAACCAATGACGTAGAAATAATATGGTATTTGTCCTCTATTCATCTGAAGGGGATGATAATTACCTGCTAATCCTTAACCACAGGAAGCCTATTATGTTTTTCAATGGTATTTCAAATGGTTCAAAGCTAGTTCGAGGCTCCCGGTCTCATTATTACTTTCGCGTTTCTAATAACGGAAACAGCAAAGTCTTTGTCACGGGACTCACCGATGACGTAAAATTCAATTGTTCTTGGTCCTTGAAATAAAGGAGCCTAGCAGCCCCGTTATTACTTCTGGGATTCTAATAACGCGGCCATTTACCTTTTGCCAGTGCTGTTTTATGATTTTGCTTGTAAGTTAGCTGTTTCAAAATTAATCGTGTTGTGAAAGATCAAGTGAATGACCATCGTCTAGGTGTTCAAAGTGTTATTATTTTGTATCTCTAATTATTTTGAAACAGGTGGAATTAACTCACTAGCAACGTCTCGAACTGAAAGACCGTGCCAGATATATCTCGTCATTTATTTTTCTATAATAAATTTTTAGCCTGCATCCTTTCAAATTTTATTTGTACATTTGTAAACTGTAGCTATTCAAAATGTTGCAAGTTGCTTATGTAAAGGCATTTGAAATGAATGATGAACTGAACTGAACCTTGAATGTATTCAGAGGGCTTTCACGCAGCGGTTTCCGTTATTACAATCGCGATTCTAATAACGGGCCCACATGGTGGCTCAGAGGAAGGGGCCGCCAAATATTTTTCACGACTAATCACCACTCGAAAGCCCTTCAGACAAATGTTACAGCCCTCCAGTTTGTTTAAAAAGACCAACAGGAAATCAGGCTCTTCATAGATTTCTTTTTGATATGCTAGCAAGGAAGTATCTGCATTTATTTTCTAGGAGATACAGCACTAAAATTGCCAATTAACTTAAAACTTTCAGCATTCGCTCAGATTCTTAGTTGCTTACAAAAATGTGTATACCCGACCAATTTATGTCTTTTAGTGACTTTTTGTTTGTTGTTTAGAGTCAATTGAAGATATGCATATTTCCCCAACGTATGGCTGGGCCAAATTGGGGGGGGGGGGTGTTGCAAAACCCCTATACCCCTCCAGCTGAGGAGGTTCAAAATTCCTTCATGAAGAAATTGTTAATTTTCCTTTTTCATGCATTTTCCATACGTTTGAAAAAGTAATACCGAAAAAAATTTACTCCCAGCCGCCCCTGCTTATATATTTCTGTCTTTAAGAAGAGAGCAAAAGATCATTTGTGTATTAAATATATCAGATAAACATCAAAATGAATCGTTCTTTCGGTTAATGATTGGCTCAGTTACATTTTCTTGCTTCATCATGTCAACTGAACAAATTAATGTAGAATTATGTTTAAATTCACAGAAAAAGATTCATCTTCAAAGAAAGAAAAAGATTCATTATCAAGAAAAGGTGCAGACTCACTGCAAAAGACTGAAAACAACGTTTTACTGAAAAAAGAAAAGGCAGCAAAAGCTAATAGTCCAAAGGTGATTGAACTGGATGAAGAAGACAGATCAAGTTCCATCAAATCTGAAGAACTGAACATAGCATCTCGAGATATTGAGGATGAAGCATATGATACTACGGAAGAAACTGATGAATCCAGTTGTGAAATGACACAGCAGGAGCTTTGTGTTCTTTCATTTTTCCAAGATGCATCATTGGCTGATATTGGGACAGTCCCTGGTTTATCAGAGAAGAAAGCTTCCATGATAATTGAACAAAGGCCATTTGAGGACTACAATGACTTGGTAAGTTTAATCAATATGGACATATTGTTCACTGCTAAAAATACTTCAAGCAAGAATGAAAACCATCTATAAACCTTTTAATGTCAACACAAGTAATGTATATTCCTTCATATTTACAATTAACGTGGATATTAAAAAGGTTTCAAAAACCATGTGTACGTTAGGCCAAACATCATTCTAGAACCAAAAACAACAACAACAACATTAAAGAGAGCTGATACTGCTCAATTAATTGTTCAGTTTTTCTTATTGAATTCTAACAGTCACCAAGTTAATAACAGTCACGTTGTTGGCTCCCATCAACTCCACAAGTATTTGGGTCATTCCATGTCAATGAGGAAAGGCATGTCACCCATCCTCCCATATATTTTTGTGTAAATATTGGTAACTACAAGGCTAGTAGAAGTTTCAAGGGAAATTGGGTCATTCCATGTCAATGAGGCTTGTTGTGTGGTTTTCACGAGAAATTAAGTACACAATATGCCCTGATATGGTTGATTGAACGATGTTGCAAGTGTCTATATAAAAGTGGTATAGTCGGAATGGTGCTTATGGACCTTTCCAAAGCTTTTGATTGTCTGCCGCATGATCTCCTTGTAACAAAACTAGAGGCCTATGGTTTTAGCTTTGGTAGCCCAAGAATTCTCCACAGCTACATTACTTCCCTAAACAGCTAGTTAGAATCGACTCTGGTTAAAGTCTGTGGCTCGATATCACATTTGGTGTACTGCAAGGTTCTATACTTGGCCCTCTGTTATTCAATATTTACATAAATGACTTGATTTACTTCATTGAAGAGTCAGAAATAGGTAACTTTGCTGATGATAACAGCTTGTTCGCCGGTGACCAGAAAATTGAATGAGTGATTGCTAGATGATGGCTGCAAATCGGCTCAAGACTTGGCCCTTAGCTGCACTATGTTTGCTAATGGACAATATTTCCATTAGATAGTTGGTTCTAGTTAGCTAATTAGATATTTTATAAATAATACTTTTATAGACACCAGGCCATCTTGGGAAGGGCATGCCATCGTGCCTGCACACCTTGGCACACGCCCCATTTTCCCAAGAAGTGCGTTTTATTGCACGCCTTATATGAATTACCACCTTTACAGGAAACATTCTTAAGTCCTGTTCAAATGACATTGTTTTCATTTCATATCGTATTTAGATTCCCAATCCCACACTAAATTTTTGGCTACTTGCATGTTACTGTTTTCATTTCATCATGGATTTGGGGTTCTGTGAACAAGAGAATGGCAGAATGCTGTAGTGCACCAGAACGCTATACAGTAGAGGGTTCGCCTTTGTTTTATCATCTCTGCACAGCAGCGTTTTCATTTGATATCAGATTCAACCCTTTGCACGAGCAAAAATATTATCAAATTGGTTTTATCCCGCATTTATAGTGTTTTCATTTTTAAATGCGAAATGGTATGAAGCATATCAAATTGGATACTAGTTTTCGTGTGAAAAAGAAGGCAGATCAAGTATGAAACCAATTGATGTTTACTGAAAACAGTATTGTGTAAACAGGGCCTTAGCATGTTCAAATAGCTAGGTTTTCACTTTTATTCGTCTACGGAGAGGAACATATTTGTTTTTGTACGTTCACCCTGCTTACAGAAACGGAGTAAATAAAGATAATTCTTTGTTTTGATCGTTCACACTGCTTCAAATTTTGAAAATTTTTCGGGCTTACACTGTTTACAGAAACGGAGTAAAAATGTCCGTTTTTGTCGTTTTTCTGTTCACACCACTTTTGTTTTTGTAAATTTGTTGGAGCATTTTCCAAAGCCCCCTTCTGTGCGTTCACACTGCTCAAAGAAACGGACTAAAAATGTCTGTTTTTTGTTTGTTTTTACTGTTCATACTGCTTCCGTTTTTCTAAATTTGTTTAGAGGGTTTTGTAAAATCTCCGTTTTGTGCGTACACATTGATCCAGTGCGTTTTGAAAAACCTCTATTTTTGTTGATGTCCACTTTTGATAGCATTGCGATATACCTCAATTTTATGTCGTCTTGTGTCGTTTTGTGTTGTTTTGTGTCGTTTTATGTCGTTATTATGTCGTTTTGTGTTGTTTTGTGTCTTTTTGTGTTGTTTTGTGTCGTTTTGTGTCGTTTTTATGTCATTTTGTTGTTGTTTTTGTTCTTTCTAATTAAATTTTTATATTCCATTTGATAAATAGCTTTGATCAAAGAAAATCTATACCCTTGTACAAAATAAATGATTTAAAAATACATAGGTAAAATTTTCAAATTTTGTATTTTTAATAAATGGTCATTAATACTTCAATATTCTAAAAAAGACATAGCACCCCATTGCACTCCTTGATTTGCCGAGGTGTGCGATTCAATGCACGTCTGCAAATTCATTCCTGGTATGGCCTGAGATACATGATTTTATTAATCAATATTGCACCAATGAAAAATAAAGAATACAAAAATATGAATGCAATATTTTTTATTGCTACTTGGTGTTAACAGATTCTTTTACCACAGAGTTGAGTTGGGTGTGTTTTGTCTCAAAATGCTCTATTTTCTAGATTGCCAAACTGTCATCACACAAAGGAATTAGTGAGAAGGTAAAAATATTTGTTATGTTGTTTTTCCACAAATGGTAATACTAGAAAATCATTTATGACAATTACATGGTAAAATGCTCAAATTATGACTTTTCAACCAGCAGCATGCATTCAAAAGGCTTTGGAGGAGCCAATAGATATCCAGGGGGGAGATGCAATGATGATTCTATGCAAGGGTAATGTAAGGGTGGTGCAAGGATAGTGCAAGGGTGGTGCAAGGGTGGTGCAAGGGTGGTGCAAAGGTTGTTCACACACCTGCCATGAACCCTGTTTCACAAAGGAATACCTTAGATATAAAATTGTCTACTTATTTCTTGATCATTGGCTAAAAATGTCTAACTAAGTTAGGCCTATTGTTAATGAAAAAGCATTTCAATTCTTTGTTAGATTTTTTTTGAAACACATAAAGAATTACTTGCAATCAACAAAAAAAGGAATTCTAAAACATAATGTTTTTAATTAGCGATGCTGGACAAAATGTTTCTAGTGTCAAGGTCACCCATTTCACCAATAGGGACAACATGTTGACGGGACCTAGAACCTCTAATGCAAGTCACTGCAATTCTGAGTAAACAAAAACTCAGCTTTTCTTTTGATCCAGGCAGAGGTTTCACTTAAGTTTTGGTGATGTTTTAGGAATTAGTTCAGCAATTTGTTCCGATACTCGTTGAAAAAATTTCCTTGTTTCTATGCTGATACCATCATTGCATGAGAAAATCGAAGGAGTAAAATTCTTTGTTAGATTGATTCTAATAAGAATATTTCAAAAAGTTGCAATTTCCAGAGGAGTATTGTGTTCATCGCTACATTTCCAATTTTCATACATACAAATGCTGAGCCACCTTCCCCCTCCCATGCATTGCTTTTGCCCTAGAATCTCACTTATTTGTAGCTTGGAGTTTTTTATCCTCTAAACAACTTCAGAACTTGTCAAAAGTAAGATGTTGCTTTAGTACTAATATGAAATTAAAAGTGACATAGGCTCCAAATACAGATAAGATTGGAAATACAACCATTGCAGCAGCACCATGACGTCACTAAGATGGCATTGTGGGCTACACTAAGGGTGACTGACTGTTGTTAGGCAGTTTCACACATAAATTATTTGATATAGAATCTTCAGACCTTTTGCAGCTGTTATGTCTCTAGTTCTGTAAAGTTCGATTTTTTAGAGTTTTGTTTGATGTGAAATTTTTATGATTATTTGTTCTCAGTTTACTTCCTTTTGTTCATCGACATCTCTTTCTAATTTAATTTCAATCTCAAGTTACTCTTCTGTTTTTCAACAGGTTGTTGAAAATGTCATAGATTTTATAAATCAGCAAGCTATGGTTGACGAGTTGATGCAAGAATGTCAAAAGATTGCAACTAGAATTACCAGCGCAATCAAGAATGTGGCAAATTTTAGAGAGGTATGCAAGTAATGCTTTCGTTTTCCTTGTCACATTCAAGGACGGCCCAACCAGGAGGATAGAGGGGGTTGTGGCGCCGCTTCGTTTTCTTAAATTTATCATTAAAATTATGTTCTTTGTTTGCCTTTTTTCTTAGCGCTTCACCCCCTTGCTTCCGTTGAGTGCAGACTCCCGTGGTCATATTTTCGTTATTAGGTCTGCATTTTAACGGCATCGAGGTCAACCTAGTGAAATATTATTATAAAAGACGCTAAAGTGTCGATTAAAGCCCCTGGGGGACTATATGCAAAGCGCTGATTTTTAGATCATGGGGCAAACAAAGTCGTCTTTTCAAGGCGTTTTGGAATCTTTCTGTATAAAAATAAAGGATCTCAACTTGAGTAGACAGAAAGAGTTCATTTCCTCTCTTTGACTCTTCAACTAAGTGAGCGATTAGCGTCTACGATTTGTCAAAACAAAGAACCAATGAAAGGCGCTCACGTTACTTTCGATTCGCATTTTGATAAATATTCACTTTTTGTCTCTTGATCCGACAAATTATCCGACGTTTATACTGTGACGAGTGTCGGAAAAAAGTGCTTGAATGTGACATGTTTCCGCCTTTCCATGTTATTTTAAAGCTCTGATTGTTTAGCAAGGCCAGGGCTTTGACTATTTGATACATTCCCATTTAACTAACATTTGTAGGTTTGCAATCATTACAAAAAATATTCGTTTTCACTACACTGTGGAATCGTGACATTGTCGCTATTCTATCCGGAATAGTTTAGATTGTGCTTCGAGCTCATCTTTTCTACTCACGAAATGGAAATATGTAAACGCCTTTCCTAAACAATTTTGTTATGGATCTATAAAGAGATCGTAAGTATGTGTGTTGCAGGCAATTGAGACAGCAATTCTAGGGCAATTTACAGAGGAGAAGCGTTGTCAAACAAGACAATTCTATCGTCTTTCTTGAAAGTCTTTGAAATAACACAATGGAGCAAAGCAAACTCTCTCGTTTGTCCAAGTGATCTATTGCTCTTCTTCTCTATTTTTGTTTCATATAAAGTTGTAAGTGATGGTTATGCAAGCAAATTTCAAGTTTATGTTTACTATATACAGTCTCTTTCTAACCATACGCTACAGTTCAGGTATAAACAAAAGAGCTTTATGGGAAACTTTAGAAACTTTACAGAGTGGGTACTTGTGAACCGTAATGATATGAAATCGAGGTATAGACAAAAATACTTGAATTTCTGATTATTCCAATAAATATTTTAATTACCATTGTGAAATGCTGGCCATGATTACTTAAAATACAAAGCGGCTTTTTTACATCTTTTCCATTTCTTTTCCCCAATGCTACTCCCTTTCCTCCCCGCTCTCCTTTCTCCTCCCCCTCCCCCTCCCCCTCCCCCAAGAACAATTTAATAGTTTAGCCAAAAACACTTTCCAGCGCAATGTTAAAAACCGTACTTCCAATCGCCTACTTTGTTTAAAGGTGGAGAGGGAGATGACCTACTTCGGATTGGGAGAGGGTTTCTAGAGGATTCCCTTCAATTGTGATTAAGATTTTCCTTTGAGCTTTGCGTAGAGAGGCCTGATTTGAAGGCAATCTGTCACGACGTTGATTGATTTTAAGAAGAAAAAGTTTTTTATTGTTTCCAGTCCCCCTTTTATTTATCGCATTGTAAAAAATATGGCGGAGCGCTGGAATCGTGTTTAGGCTATTGTTCCAGCTATTGTTCTCGTTAACCAATCCACAACGAGACAGATTGCCTTTAAAGCTTCTTGTTAATTTCCACTACCAAAATCAGAAAACAAGTTAGAGTTAAGCTGTTTTTAAAATATCCTTGAAACTATTTCATAACCACTCTTAACTGTTTGAAATGCGAACTTTGACAAAAAGGAGGTGGCATCTCTGACATATTTAATGAAACAAAGAATGAGGAAGATGGAAGTCAAAGAGGTAGAGTAGAGAATACCCGTCTTAAAACAGGCCCTTAATTTTTTATCCTGAATAAACTGAATAAACATAAAATAAACTGTTGTTTTGATGATCAATGTTTTATTATTTTGTTTTTAATTTTGATTTCCTTTCTCAACATAGGATGGTGACACAACAGACCTTGATTTCGAAGATCATGCCCTCTTTTCAAAACAGCCAGCAATCTTGAACTCGAGGTATTTTGATAAACAATGTCATTTCAAATTTATTGCAAAACTGTTATAGGTTGTACCAAACCCTAGCTGCAGGATAATGTGCGTGTCTTATCAACGATGGCCACATATACCGTTTTTTATTTCATTGGTACCTCTGACAAAATTGTGAATGATATAAAGTTGTTTTTGTTTTTGTTTGGCTTTAAGTAAGAGTATCTTGTTTTGCCGTATAATGTTTGTAACTTGTTTTACCATAGAAATTGAAGAGAACATTGTTTGAACGTTGTTAGGGTATGACATGACTGAATTCCACTCCTTGTCTGGTTCATTTGTTGGCGAAAGATGCATATCACACACGGAACCAGACTTCTCAACAGATTTCGTTATTCTATGTTGTTTTGGTTAGAAATAACGTTTTATTGATCAGTAGATTACCAACCACCGAATAACGATTTCTGTGACAGTCCCCGGCATAAATGATTTGTAAGGCTATTTCTGTTACACTTCTTTTCTTGTTTCTCAAAAAGGGTTTTATTAATAATTTTGCCCAAATTGTGGGCCTAAGTTTCTCCAAAACTCAAACATGAGGCCCTTTTCTAAAAAACGTCTTTTGAAATTTTTCCCCAGTTTCATAAAAAAGATGTCAAACCTCTTTGAACGTCCTGATACTTGAAACCGATGCTGGGCTCGTCTCCCTCTAATTAATGTTTGTTTTAGAGATGAATATGCTTATTATCGATGACCTCTTAACATTACATAAAGAATGATGTTCGGGGTTGTGGGTGTGGGGGGGGGGATGTTGTTTGGTGGTTGTGCGTCAGAAAACGTGCCTAAAGAATTCAATGTTGTGTACCAAGACTTCTGGTAGGAAAAGTAGATGTAAGGATGCATTTTCTGTATCTAAATTAATTTCGCTTTATCACATTTTTCAGTCATCAATTGAAGCACTACCAACTATCCGGATTAAACTGGCTCATTGCATTGCACAAGGAGGGGGTGAACGGAATTCTGGCTGATCAAATGGGTCTAGGCAAGACAATCCAAGCACTTGCTTTTATCGGGTACCTGATTGAGACGGGGAACTCTGGACCGCATGTTATTATCGTACCAAGCTCGACCTTCGGTATGTGTCAAAATTTATTAGCAACTTTTCCTTTTCGAGCAGCGTTTAATCATATCCTTCACAACACGTACGTTGGTCGAGGTTTCTCTTTTTCTTGAAGTCTTCAGCTACTCAAAGGATTAGCGGCCGCCGGTTGCCCAAAATCAGGAACCAATCAGATGCGTTATTCTGAACATGATAGACAGTCACTTTTTTTGGTCCGAGCTTCGATCTGATTTCAACTCACCTTTTGGTCACATCTGACTTTTTATATTCGGCGTGTCGAAAGTGTTAAAGCAATGGCAAACGACTAAGTAAATATTTCACTTATCATTTCACTAAATATTTCACCAAACATTTTACTTCACTTAAAAAAAGATTAACCAACTTTGTTCTTGAACTCCTTGTGTAATGAATTAGAAATCCTTGGGTTTTTTTTCTAATTCAAAAATGACCTAGGCGAGTTCTTTGAAAGTCAAGCTAAAGAATCTGCCCCTCATCTGTTGTAAAACACCGTCCAAAATGCACACTTTTCTTGTATTTAGCATGTCAATTTGAAAACTGACGTTTTTTAAATTTGAAGAATTTTTTGCTTACCTTCAAAGTTCAATGTGGTAATCCACGATTCATTTTCGCGTATTCTGTCATTGAGCATAAATTCAAGCTTTCTGTTTTGAAAATTTATTTTATTAATCATCTTATCATACTAGACTAGAATACACCCTTAGTTAAATCCTTTAATTCAAGACTCCGCTTTTAAGATCAGAAATAACTATGGAATTATGTACAAAAATTGGAACAATAGCTTTTACTCACTATAATTTTCCATCTTTCTAGACAACTGGGTACGTGAGATCGAAACATGGCTACCATCGGTCAGTTACTTACAATACAAGGGTACGTTTTTCATTTCAAAGTAATGGTATAGCAACCTATAATTCTAGTCAAATAATGATGATTCTTGAAAGGACTGTTGAAATAGAGATACCAGCTTCAACAGGACAAAAAAGAGAAAGGTTTTTGTAAACGTTTCCCGAATTATATAAGGCCGGACTTGTATGAGGAAAAATCTTTTAATATACAAAAAACTCAAGCTACAGAAGCTCCGCCTTTTCTAAAATGTGAATTGGATTGAAGTTAACTGTTGAAATGAAAAGAGAGGCTTTCCTAAGACACAAGTAGAAGAGGTTTCATAAACTTGTTTCAAACCACGTCAGGCCGGACTAATATGCGAAAAAGGCTTGTAATATCTTTAAGAAACTCAAGCTGCGGATTCCCCATCTATAGATTTTGTGTTAAAATTCAAAGTATTTTATTCAAAGGGTCACAGGATGAGAGACGCTCATTGCGTGAGGAGATCTTGTACGGGGAAGAGGAGTATAACATTATAATTTCCACGTAAGTTCTTTGTTTTTGTTTTTTATTTTCAAGGCAAATTTAAAATGGTCTCTAACTGTAAGGCAAGGGAATATGTCTCTTGTACCAGTTAGAGGTTTGAAAAAAGGCAATTGAGTGAATGAAGATTATTCTAAGCAGGCTTTGGCTGTCCTACTTTTTACAAACATGTTTTTTTTTCTAAAGAAAGACAGATTGTTTCCTTCTATTGTCAAGCAATAATGAATTATCACTTTCTACAGGCTTTTACCCCAGTTTTGAAAGTGCCGTTGATTGAATTAGCCTCATTATCTTAATCTTGTAGTGCAATTTTTCATTATGTTTTTCCTCAGACCGCGCAAAAAATATATTTGCAAATATTAAAGTTTATATTCTGGCCTAACACTAAATTGTAAGATCTCACTTTTTAAAAACAAGATAATTTCAACGTTTTCCGTCAATAATTACGCATGCAAAATATAAATCGATTTTTCTACACAATCAAAAATCGCATAATTTTCCTCCCAGATGCCAAATCGTGAAGCCAGGCTTTGACTTTCCTTACTTTCCAGATACAACATAGCGATTAGCACACCAAAGGACAGGTCTTTATTTAGAAAGCTGGAGTCTCACTACGTCATACTGGATGAGGGCCACATGCTGAAGAACGTCAAGTCTAATAGATATAAATACCTCATGGATATACGGGTATGCTATCTTTTTTACGTCGTAATATTATAGCTCGATTCCTTTCCTGCTTTCAATGTTGAACCTAAATACGAGATTCCGTTTCAAATGCAAGATGATGTCTAACTAAGACAGTGTCGAAAAGAGATTGCAATGGTTAAGCTTTGCCTTTAAAAATTTGGAACGATTTTCCCAAATACATCAAACTGCCTTAAAATGTTACAACGTCCAAAAAAAATAAAACATGGAATCGGGCATAATGCTGTTGTGGCTGTTTCTCAACCAAATGGCCTACGTTCATCTTCCAGTTTGGTAAGGGAGATTAGGTATTGGGGAACTGGGTGCAAGAAAAGTCAAATTTACATAATTGCTCCGCATTTTTCACATGCTGTGAGAAGTTTATATTGCAAAATTCAATGAGCTTTCCATTCTGGTGCAAAATTCAATGTCAAAGTAATCTGGGAAAGCTGGAAACTATTTTCTGTAATACAACTATCGACCTTTGTTATCAGACATGTGCTTCTATTACTGCGATTGGTGTTTTTTATCAGTGTTATAATTGGTTTCGCATTATGGGTCTTCATCAACTGTGCACACGTTAAGGGATTCATGAATTATATATATATATATACATTTATATAACAATATGATTGATCTCCTCGCTAGATCGTTTGCAGATACAGCCAAGCATATAGCAATCCCAAGCTTTCATCCATTCAACTTATGTTTTCTTCTCATTTCTAGCGACAATCCCATGTTTCTTTTTTCGTTCCACAGGCCTCAAGGCGACTGTTATTAACTGGGACCCCAGTGCAGAATAATCTTTTAGAGATGATGTCCTTGCTAAGTTTTCTTATGCCTGACTTGTTTGCTGATCGTTTGAATGGTATTTCCATGCTTTTTGGAGCAAAAGTAAGACTGGTTATCACTTAGCGCAATATTAGCACAGTGAGAGGAAAAATCTAATTTGTAGCGCGACATAAGCGCGGGTCTAGACGCGAGAGTGAAAGCTCATTTGTAGCGCGACATAAGCGCGGGTCTAGACGCGAGAGGGAAAGCTCATTTGTAGCGCGACATAAGCGGGGGTCTAGACGCGAGAGTGAAAACTCATTTGTAGCGCGACATAAGCGCGGGTTTAGACGCGAGAGGGAAAGTTCATTTGAAGCGCAACGTAAGCGCTGGTTTGTACTGGAAAGGAAAAGCTCAATTTGTGCTATTCAGTTCAATGTGTTGGTAAACAAATTGCTGTACGTTTCGCTAAATGAAGAACAATCTTGAAGTGAGGAAGCAGTTATCTGAAATTGCAGGCGCATTTTTCATTTTTTTCACGGAACAGTTTTTGAAGACGATGCACCTTACTGCTCTTAGGGAAGCATGTTGATTTTATGATACTGTAACTTGTAAAAAGTATATGTAAAAATGCAATTAAATGTGTACGTTGCGTGTGGTACATCAATCAAAATAACGATAGTATAGTTAGCAAATAAATTGAGTACCAGAATGAAAATAAAATAGTTTGATTGTTAAAAATATGACGTTTCGAGCATGTACTCGTTATTAAGTGGCTAAAAAAGAAACGAGCCGAGCAAAGAGAAGGCGAGATTCGATGATAAATAGAAAAGAATGCGAGATGTGACGCAACCGAAAAAATAGAATAGGGGAAAGGGAGGAAAGTAAGAAAGAGTAGAAAAAGATAGAAAAATAAATTATTGAAGGAAATTGAAATGTTTATTAAGACCATTAGGATAAAGAGTTTTCAGGCTAAAAATTTAACGTTTTTCCAAAGTCTTTCGTTTGGTGATGTCTTGCGGTGCATGCAATGAGCTAAGGATGAACATATCCGCAGTAGAATGATCGGAGGAGTTAAAATGTTTAGATATGTTGCTATCTGCATCGCTCTGGTGTTCTTCTGTGAGATGGATTTTGTTTGCAACATTTCTCAAGGGTTCTCGTTGGAGTACATGCTCGAAACGTCGTGTCCTTAGCAATCAAACTATATATTCCCATTCTGGTGCTCAATTTATTTGCTAACTATATTATCGTTATGCAAAAAATGAATGACCTTCCGAGGGCTCGTCTTTCGGGGGTTTGGTGTCTGTAGCTGTATGTGGAGGAAGCCACAGTCTGCAGCGGGCGTTTGAGCCGGTTATGCAATGTTTGGCCTAACACTGCAAAGTTGGTTGATATCACATCTGAACCATGTTTCGATAGGCGTTTTAAAGAAAATAGGAATGATGCTATCTTTATTCACCTATGCTGTTCTTTTTTCTCCTTTTTGCTGCTTTGTTAGCGGCGGGCTACACATTTCAATAAATTAAGCAGAACTGTCAATTTGTTAATTCGCCATTTCGCCATTTGCGCCTGTTTGTATTCGCGTGAATATCCACCGCATGAAATTGTTCCTGCGTCGCTTTCATCGAATAAGGAATTCCCATTGTTAGTTTTTGTGTTCCAAATTTTATGTTTTTGAAATTGATCTTTTTTTCATTCGTAGGCAAAATATCATGGGAAAATTATCAACACAGCCAAGCAGATTTTAAAGCCGTTTATCCTAAAAAGAACAAAAGACACGGTAAATTTTTTATGTATCAGCTACTGTGAATTCTCACAAACGATTTCCTATTTCATTTTAAAATTTAGTTTTTTAGATTTTAAATTTTAGGAAAAAGAAAAACATTAAAAGATTTTTCTTTAACATCGAGAGTCAACATTTAAAAATAAGTCCATTTCTTTGTAACTTGAAATTAGGAAATTAATTATATCATCAGAACCTGTGGTTCTTTCGGAAAAGCAGGTTCTTTTCAAGTTTTAACTTTTTGTGCTTGATATCGGGTTTTAAATGAGGTTTTTTAACCTTCTGCTCTGTTTTGAACATCTTTGTATATGGTCTCCTCACATCAAATTATCTTGAAATCAATTTTCACTATCCGCCTATTAACTAGGCCATCCATTACGTGAAAACCAAATATTTCGAAGGTTTGTCCCAAGTGTCGAATTGTTGATTTGAGCACTAAGAAGTAAAGCGCCATAGCAAGTCTCCTTTACTCAGTTTGAAACTCTTTGCTGCATAGATGGAATTGTCCCTGTCAAAATATCAGCTTTTGATCCTGGAGCATTCACAAGAGTGCAAACAGGATAAAGGTTTACTACGAAACTTATACGTAAATACGACTTTATTTTACTTTTGTATGTACGACAATTATGCCTCTAACTAAGCGTTTCCTATATAGTTTACTTTACGCGTAGTTGTACGCATCCAGCATGCATAAATATTTACAAAGTGATTATACTTCCATGAAAACTTTCTTGACCAATATATTACCATGGGCTACAGCATTAAAGGTTCTTGCGCCACCGGCATGCTTTGCGACCATATTTTAAAAACGGGCCTAATTTTGTACTGTATAAAAATACCGAACACTGCCCATTTCTCCTCAAATGCCGCTACAGCACAGCATGTTGGTTGCACAGGAGCCTTTTAGTGTAGTAACAATAATTGAGATCCGCTCACAAAAATATAGAAATTCCGCCCCTTTAGTATCTTCTCTTTCACCATAATTCATGAAGGCTTAAACCCAAAGTCTCTTGAAGGTTTTTTCCACAAAAATTCCACATTCATTGTTTACCTGTTCGTTTTACGTCCTTATTCTTGCTTTCTTGTGTAGAGCAAGACGGCTCCACCTTATCAGAGGTTTGAAATGTGACGTCATGAAACATATGTTGTTAGAGTTTTTGTCTTTGACTTATGGAAAATCAACAAAACATGCTAATAATTGGGCGAGATGAGATGTAGCCAACGAACTTTTTAAAGTTTGCTACCAGTAAATGTTATTTAAATTTACGAACAGAGACTAAAATATAGAGATTGGTGGGGCAAGAGCCTGTGCTGGCCATATCTCAGTCAATTCCTTACATATGTAGCTGGTTAGCATTTCAAATTTTTGATTTTTTAAAAAAGTTTTTTTACTTACAATAAATACATTGTTTATAAAATAACGTTAAATGAGGTAGAATAAATAGCCTGATATATCAAAACAAAACTACAACAAAAACAAAAACCCAAATTTTAAAATACCTTAAATAAGATTTTTAAAGATCCTTAGGAAGATTGCTCGTTTGCAGTCGGCTGAAAGGCTGTTCCAAAGTTGCGCACCTCTGAAAGAAGAACACTTCTGACCCGTTGTGGTGCTTTTCTTTGGCAACCTAAGGTCAGTTAAAGTGTTACGCAAACTATATGTGGCATATTGTGAGCTTTTCATGAACAAATTGCGTAGGTATTGAGAAGCGAGTTCGTTTAAGCTCTTAAAGACCATTGTTTTGGATTCAGTTTCGATTAGTTCTTTTATAGTCTTCCACCCAAGTTTTCTAATAAGTGGTTGGCTGGGTGCGTCGAAACAGCTGTTTGTAACAAGCCTAGCAGCCCTGTTTTGTAGCTTTTGCAAACGATCAAATAGATTTTAAAATCTACCTTTTAGGTACTGAAAGATCTTCCAAAGAAAATTGAAAAGCTGCTCTACTGTGAAATGACCGATCATCAGAAATCCATGTACAAGTCATTGATGGCAAAATGTAAAAAGTTAGCAGGTATACAGAGGGCTCCTCTTGCTTCTGCATTTTTTAATTAATGCTATCTATATTGTAGCAGCTGCTTGTCGTTAGTTGCATTATGAAATCCGGTAAACCGAATCTCGCATTTCAATATTGTTATTCCGAGATAAACGGGTAGTGTGTCCGAATGGCTTGTCTATACAGCATCTGGTTTAAGATTGGCAGGGTTGTCACTAATTTTTGAAGTATAAGGCTCATATTTATAAGTTCACATATACAAGTTTACTAAAGTTTGTGTAGTCTCCATTGTCGTGCCAAAGCAGACATATTTATCATGCAATGAATGAATATTATGTTCAGAAGATTTATTTCACATGTGAAATGCGGAAAGTTTAGAACAGATCTTGAATAATGATGGACGAAACTATGAATTTGATTTCAAGTTGATGTGGCTTGCTGAAAAAAAAATATGTATTAAAAAACAGGAGAGTTGTCTCGTGTGAAAGGAGCAGTTGTGTTATTCTTATCTAATGATCAGCTTTAAGTTTCAAGAAGTTATTTTCATAAATCAAAGATTTTGGCGTGTGATATGAATTTTTAAGTATTTTAGACTAAAGATCAGTTCTGATAACAACTTTGAGACACAGTTCCTATAGAAATCGTCCTGTGTACGTGGATCTTTAATAGTAGACATCAAGTTCATTGTGTTTTCTATTCGTGCAGCTGACGACTATTCCACGGCGGTTGCTGTCTTCATGCAACTAAGAAAGGTTGCGGACCATCCATTACTGGAACGAAGCCTTTATAATGACGAAAACCTTAGAAAGATGGCCACAGATTACATCAAAGTAAATCATTTTGATCGCTCCCTTAAACTATTTCATTAAACAAATTTATTGAAAATATCGGGACTCGTGTTCCTTATGACTTTGATGCCTTTAGAATTTCCTTTTTAGTACGGCCTAAAGGAATGCAAGTTTCTATGTTGTTTAGAATGAGCAGGAAGTAAACAAAACAATTAAAATCTGCTCTCGTGTTCACGTGGCATCTGATGTCTGATGATATGAGAGATCCCGTATTGAGCCAATACGGTATCTTGCCAATGTTTAAGTTTTTTGTATTCACCTTTAGCTTTATTTTTCCACCAATTGGGCCTTCTACAAATCACATTGAATAGTTATATAAATAGCTAAACAATAAATAGGTTGAAATTGGAAACCTGGCTCTTGAAAATGCTATTTTGATGGTGATTCTTCTAGTAACGGAAAGCTGTCCGGTATGTGGCATGCCTGGTGATTCGTGACCAGAGTTCATGGAATAGGCCCGGACTCCGGTACTAAGGCCCGTTCCTTGTGGGATATTTCTAGAGTACCCATTTACTGAAAATCAGTGAATAGACAAATGGGTTTCGTGATGGCTTTAGACAGGATGCATTTTTGTGGTTGGTAAAACGATTTAATCAGTTGTTGTATTGACCATTTTGACTCATTATAGTTTTTCTCGATTATTTTTACATAATTTTGCTCATAACGACTCTGTTTGATCTATTAGCAATATGAAAATCGAGAATCGTGTTTCGAATATGTATTAGAGGACATGGAAGTTATGTCAGACTTTGAGCTGCACATTTTATGCCGTGAAAAATACTACCTCAACAAGCATTGTCTACCAACCGAGGCAATTCTGAACTCAGGGAAATTCAAGCAGCTAGATGAACTACTTCCGCAAATGAAATCAAAGGTTTGTGTTTGGGACTCACGTTTCTTTCAGATTTTACTTTTCTTTTCAATCTTCTTATTGTTTTTGTATTTTATCGGTTCTGTTTTAAACTTTCTGACTGAAAATGCACCGTATCTAAATAGGACAAATATACGATGTTACAGGAAATTGTTAAATGAATAATAAAGGATCGTTTCAGTCAACCTCAACAGTCATGTGCTCGCGTTGTTTATTGGCCTATTTCGATCCACAACTGATTGGCCACAACTTTGTATATGTATTTCCTAGCGTAGAGTTTTCAATCTATGTTCTGACGTTTTATACTCTGAAGAGTGTCAGACAAAAAGCTTTAGTATACACAAATGTTTGCTTTTTGCAATGCCATTTTTTAGTTTTGTACCACCAAAAGATTGAAAGCTAAAAGATTTGCTGATTATGTTAGCCCGAATAACTATTTGTGACAGCTGTTGTTCTTTCTTTGTGTCACCGTAATATACTTCAATCGACACACAGATGTCTTTTATTTTGCTTGAAGGAAGAAAACGCAGGTTAGGCTGTCCGCCAGACTCTATGAAACTTGAAATGAGTAGTAATACGAAGCTTGCTTTTTGGCTTTTTTTTTTCTATGTTCATTTATAAACAAAGATAGTTTATACTGCAATGTTGAATGTAATCTTGCAAGAAACTCAGAACCATCCTTACCGTTTTTCAATTATTGAGAACATTGAGAACAATAGACCAAGAGCCCACCTCTCATGGCACCTTTCTCTTTATGTTTTATTTTATATAATTCAAGACTAACTTTAATTTGAGACTCCTTTAAGAGTCACGAATGTTCCTACCACAGAATACATTATTCAGTGTGAAACTGACGTCATCGATTTTAACTGCGAATAGTACCACAGTACCACAGATAAGACTGTGCTTTGCTACTCCTTTTTTTGCATGCAGCTCTCTAAGATTACGTTATAGTTTACTGTTTATGTGCAGATGTTGCAAAATTTTGAAACCTACAGACAAACACTGGCTAGTGCATTGGTAGATTCTAAATAGATTGAGAGGCATTTAGAGTTTTCTCAATAACTCCACCAATTAACCATTCAGATTAACTAATATGATACAAGCATGCGAATATGCAAAACCAATCCCACTAAGTTTAAAGACTACCAGTTTGATTGTTTCCCCATTGTCAGTCGACAATGAAATAAAAGATCAACTTTTAAATATCACAACTTTACTTGAATGTCGACTTGCAAGTTTTATTTTTAGCAGGTTATTGTGCTGTTCTTAACACATTACTGCATTATTTTCTTTGGTCTTCAAAAGCAGCTCGAAGAAAGGTTTGCTAGCCTTCTTCAAGAGATTTCCATTGCCTAAACTTGGCTACATCTGTTCGAAAACATAGCTAGATATGGACACCTCCAGTGACATCGCCAACCAAGAGTTATGATTAGTCCTACTAAACAGGCTGTTACTCAAATAGACTTTTGATTGCCTGCCGAACGCAAGACATTCGAAAACAGTATACCATTGGATTCAAAGTACTGTTGAGAAGTAGCAATAATCTGGTCCATAGAGCGACAACGGCTTCGTTCACTTTTTGCGTGCAAATGTCTAGGGGTTCCTTTCTTTTGTAAGCTGCGAACAAAGCGGGGGCGTTGCATGCCACAAACATTAAAAGCAGAATCACGATTGTGTACATCTTGCTTTTGTTTTCTGTTGCAGTGGTCGCTGGGTTCTGGGCTTCTCCTTCAATCTCTCCCAAACTGAAGACCATTCGTTGCTGTTTACGGATCACAATGTAAATGCCTGTATAAAAAATGATCATTAGAATGAACCCAGCAAGACCGCCTATCTTGATAAATGAGTAGTATCCCTGGGGTTGTGTGAAAAATATGATCACCAACAGGCCATTCGATGCTGCCAACATGTACGCGTAAACTTTACAAGTCACAAGTTTTTGGTAAACAAACGGAAAGCAAATTGCTAGAAAACGATCAGCTGTGATCACGAACACGTGTAGAAGCGATGTGCCAACAGACAGAACCATCGAGTAAAGAAAGACTGTATTGATAGTTGTCAAATGTGCTAAATCGTTTACAATGCTCACTAACAACGTCAAGTATATAGGCTTCGAAACAAAGCCTACAAGAAGATCACTGATTCCCAAGGAGCCTAGGAGTAAATTCGCAGGCGAATGTAGAGGTCTGTGTTTGGCAAATGCGACTATCACTATTGTGTTGGCACTGATGGTTATTATCGTTGATACCGCGCAGATACCGATTATCACCAGTGTTGATAACCGAGCGTATTGGGTTGTTTGTATAGGACAAATTCCGATGGATTGGTTCATCTTGTTCTTTAAAGCTCAGCAATCTGTGACTAGTAGCTATTGTTATGTTTGACAACCAGCCTTCTCTTCTTACTATTCTTTGTCACAATCTGACCGCTTTATCGTCTTGCCGACTATTCTGGGACTATTATAATGCTTCAGGATAGCTTTCAAGTTAATATTGTTTGTCTTTTTGGGCCCTGCCGCTTGCTTTGCCAATGATAAACTCCTCTTACTAGTTCTCACAGGCTCTAAGTTATCAACACGGTTGATTAAGAATTCAAACTTGTGAAATTACGCAGGCCAATTCGCAGGTGTCTTTGACAAAAACAACAGATGACCCTCTGCTGTTACATGATTTTAAATTTTCGCACGAAGTAAGGTCGAAATTTTCCCCGATGGTTGGTTGACTTTTAATATCCGATAAACTTTTGATATTCACAACTTATAGTTCAAATGTCAAAAGATCGTTTTAATCTCTATGACCATTGACAAGATCTTTCTCATGAAATGATCAGAATATCTGTTTCTTTATTGCAGGATAGTCGTGTATTGATATTCAGCCAGTTTACCATGCTGCTTGACATTCTGGAGACGTATTTGAAACATCAGAATCACAGATACTTACGTCTTGATGGGCAAACACCGGTATCGTCAAGGTGGGCCCTTTTTCGTGTTTATTAAACTGCAACTCTTGTAAAGGCAATTTCAAGCAACCCTAAGTTCAGGGATAATTTGCAACATGTAGAGAACAAGGAACACTGCAACGCGCCGAGAGCAAATAGCAATGAACACAAGCTAATAAAAAGTAGCTAGTATTTCGTCCCGGCTTTCCAGGCTTCATCTTTTCGCCGCCAGCACTCCATTGGAGTCCGTCGAGCAGCCTGCTACCGTGGCCTTGCCTTTATTTACATAATAGACAAACTCTGGCTCCAGAATCCTGGCTCATATCACCATATCGTTTGTAGTAGTGCTGAATAAGTGGTGCAATTCAACCTTTTCAGAAGCACGTCATCTAGCTAGAATTTAACCTCCATTTTCTCCATTAGTATCTGTCAGTTGAAGGCATAAAACAGTTCTGTATAAGATGTGCAAGCTAATGCGCACTTTGGAAAAGGCTATAATTTGAAGGTTACGGCTGTTTCCTTCTAATTAAACCCCTATCAACATGAAATATTTCTTTGGTATAAATGATTTGTAAGATTATATGTGAATGGAGATGTTTACTTCTCAAAACTTCATGTTATGAGAAAAATTATCCACAAAGTTGTCTCAAAAATGTTCATATAGATCTTTCTTGATGGTAAATATTTTAAGTGCAAGATGAATTGTTATTTCATTGTTGCTTAATTGTTCCCACTCTCTGAAAACAGGCAGTCTTTAATCGATGAATACAACAGTAACAGAGAAATATTTGTTTTTCTCCTCTCAACTCGTGCTGGTAAGTTCTAAATTGTCAGCAATTTAATTTTAACACTATGTGCCACAATAAATATCTCATATTTATGGAATGCATTTTACAAGCAATTTTTGTTTTTACATGACAACTGTGCACGGGCGATGAAAGTAGTCACTACATCTTCTGTTAGTTATTAAAACTGGTAATGTTACGGGGATAGCATCAAAGCATTTCCACGCAATGTTCATGTAGTACTGGCCAGATTTTGTCTTTTGATAAATTTGGAATTCACAGTTTTGGACAAAAAGTCTGCTGAATCTTGACTATTCTTCAACTTCTCAAAGAATGCTGCCCCCATCTAACACAGTTTTATTAAGAACGACAGGCTTGTTTTTTCTCCATGTTACTTTTGAAATTCGGTTGTTTTTGTCTTTTATTCGATTGTCTATATTAATTGCAAAAATTATTGTATCTATAGTGCGTGTGCTTATTTAAGTATGGAATTTTCAAGACAAAAACAGACCGGGAAAACTCAACAAAAATAAGTAACAGAGAAAATAATTATGCAACTTTAAAGATAAAGATATTGTATACGGAATTTACGTAGCATTTTTGCAAACTGTTTCTTCGCTTTTTTCTAGGTGGACTGGGTATAAATCTGACGTCAGCAGATACAGTCATAATGCATGACATCGACTTCAATCCGGCAATAGACAAACAAGCTGAAGACAGGTGTCATAGAGTTGGACAGACAAGGTAGGCCGGTTGTGATTAGGGTTTGACAGAGTTCTGAAACCTTTATGGTTCCATGGCTGTGAACCGTAGGAAGGTTGTTCAACGATGCTGTAGTTTTGAAGAAGGCAAATGTATAACTTGACAGAGTATATACAATAAGAGGAATTTACTTTAGTACTTAGGCTTTTTTTTGCCCGACAAAGTAAAAAGACTAAATCGTAAATGATTCGACTAAAAGGAAAATTTTGAGGAATGCGAATGGGGTAAAATTTTATCCGTAGGTCATTCTCTAAACTCTTAAGTGTAAGAATATTTGAAAAGTTCCTATTTGAAAGGATAGAATGGGTAAAAGGCACAAAAGTTAAATTGAAAGTATGAAGATATCAATTGTGGTATCTATTTTACTCTTATCTAGAAAGTCTATGATTGACAGGTTGTGAGATCATTCAAAGTCTATGATTGACAGGTTGTGAGATCATTCAAAGTCTATGATTGACAGGTTGTGAGATCATTCAAAGTCAATGATTGACAGGTTTTGAGGTTGTGAGATAAGTATCCAAAAAAGTTCAGTTCTTCTGAAATGTGGTTTTCTGGCTTTAGGGTCCACAAGATGCTTTATAATTTGGAGGGGGTTTTGTAAGTTCTAGTCTTCCAAAATTGTCCAGAAATATCGTCCTTTTATGCGTCCCAATTCAACCGGGTCCTGATGATGCTAACATCCTTTCTTCGCCATCTTCTACCACCTCTTTCATTTTTTGAACATCTACTCATATATCTTTTTTTTAGCTGTACCCGCTTCCCTTTTCTCTTTCTTTCCTCATTATCTTCTTTTGCCTCTTCTATCACCTCTTACTTTTCTCTCTAATCGTGAGTGCCTGCATCTTCTTCTCTGAATCTCCAGATAGTGCATGTTATTTTTTAATCTTTTTTACAGATTTTCTTGATAATGATAGAATAAGCAAAATAATCAAATGACTCTTAAGATATATGCTCATGTTTTGTAATACTTGAAAAACAAGATTTATCCGAATATAGATTTAATGATCAGCTTCTTGCATTGTAGTTTTCACCCTTTTATCATTTTTAATGCAGAGATGTCACCATATACAAGTTGATTTCAAAAGACACAATTGAAGAGGCAATGCTTGAATGTGCTAACAGAAAATTGAAACTGGGAAAGGTCGCTGAGAATCTGGAAGTTGGTAAGCCGTTCTTTCTGTGCTAACGTATATTTATTACAAATGTTTTTTGCTTTTGCTCTCATAACAAGTCTTTTTAGAGTTGGCTGTGAGGAGGAAAGTCACACAAGGCTAATTGAATTGCAACTGGTTAGATTTGATATGCATTGACATCCTTCAACTATCCATTGTTATCCTCCTACCGCTAGGCTTTTTGTACAAATCCTTACCTATTTAGGCCCAGATTTGCTATCCAAAAGTATCTTGCCAAAGATCAAGATTTTTTGATGAGAAGAACAGGCTACAGATTGGCCTTGTCCTATCATAACACAAAACTGTGCATTATTAAGTGTAAAGCAACCTCAACGGGTAATTTTTGCAAGAGTGGTGTAGACTGTATCACAAATTGTAAACAAGGCCAAGTCCTGTGATCGAGGCATCGAGGACAGTGATGGGAGTTCTTCAAGTCTGGATTACGATAAACAGATTTTATTTTCGCTGATTAATTCCATCCTCATTGTTAGTATGAACACAGAAACAGAGGATGGAATAAAAATATATATTTTGTGGGGAGACTTTTGACTAGAATAGAGCAAATTTTTCATAATTTACGCTAGCAAGGAAAGGAATTTTACTTTCGAATCAACTGTTTCAACAACAGTCGAGTGAGATGAGGCACCCCAACATGCCAAACAATTATTGTCTCTACCGGGATATCCACATTGAAGCCGCAAAACTATAAGATGTATTTTTGTTATCTATATTTCAATTGCTTCAAACCCATACTTCCCATTCTTCAATATAAACAGACCCAATGTTTGTATGTTGAAGAATCATACAGCTGTAACTGCCAACACTATAAAATTTATACGATTTTGTCAATAGAATTATACGTATTTAAAAAGTAATGAACATAGATAAAATTACAGAGGTTTGATAGGAAAACTACATGTTCTTAAGTGACATGATCAATACATTCAGCTGATTTTGCACATTTAGAGATATTTCATAATGTTTTTCGGGTTATGAGATCCAAATTCATTTATTCTAGAAATAGATATTTTATGACGTCACCACTTAAGAACTTTATGGAATTCGCTCTTTGATAAGTCTGAAGCACAGACTGAATTCAATATTCAAGTTTATAACACGAACACTTCGTTTGTTTGAATGTTTCATTATGAAACTTCTCGGCATCCCATGCAGTTCTTATTTTTGAATTGGTCCCTGGGTCTTAAGTTTTTACTGTATTTGTGCACGAACTGTTTTACGTGGTATTACGAGCTCTCTGTCTTTCTCAATCTGGCCATCAAGCGATTTGATCAGTGTATTCTTTCAAGCATTTGGTGTGATGGTGAAATCGGATCTCAGCTTCTCACAATGTGGCATTACTAGCCCGGTTTAGATTAAGGTGGTTCTTTTCTTGGGGCCAAGTAGATCCATTTAGTCTTTCGCTAATGGCAGAAAAAATGTGATATTTCTTTTGTTGTCTTTGATAGCGATCCTTATCCTTCCGTTTAAGAGATTTTAGTGTGGATTTTCTTAGCTTAGTTGGCTATCACTGTTTCCTGCAGTAGTTCAAAAGTTAGGCCCACTATGGATTTCTACGTGTATCCCTGTGTGCAAGAAAATAGGTCACTGCAGCATAGGCGTCAAATCTTGATTGGCTGCGAAAGGAATTGCCAAAGCTGGAGTCCCCATCAATTTGAACCAATCAAATTGCGAGAAATATAAAATTTCTGTCTTTTCTCTCTGTCTTGATTTTGAATCTTCTCTTTCTGATGCTCCAAAGCAAAAATGCTAGCTAGTGTAGTATGGGAAATATGCGAGAGAAGTTCATTTAATAAGCCCTAAAACTAGATTCTACTGTGGTAGTGAACTTTATGAAAATCCTGTGAGAATTATTTCGCCGGTTATAAACGCTAATTGAAGTCGTTCCTTTGTTTGATGTGGTTTGTTTAGATAAAAGATTTGTGGTTTTTTAATATCACACATTATTAGCGTTGACTGTAGAAGTATATGATGTAAGACCATTTTTCCTCGAAGGCAACTGCTGAGCTTCTTTTATTTGCTGTGTGAAGAAACCTCTACCTGGTTCTTCGTAGAATTGATAGCGAGAAAGCAAAAATTGACAGAAGAATGCAGCCTTGTGAAGAAGGAAGCAAGATTTGATTTTATCGATTTATGCGTTTATGAAATCGCTAACTTCTGTCAAAAATCCCCACTTTCATCGTTTGCTAGATGCCAGCTGTTGCCGAGATAGGAAATACAGGTCCGCCTTCAAAAGTAAAAACTTATTAATGGTTATTTTGGGTTTGGGAATTTCATGGTCATTATAATCACTATCTTTGGGAAGCTTTTAACTAGCATAGTTATCATGAAAGTTTTAAGAGCTATGACATTTGAGTTGCTTTCGGTAAATCAAAACTGTTTTCCCTATATTTATTTAATTGCTTTGCTGGTTAAAAGTGTCCTTACCGATGTGAATAAACTGATATACAATGCTTTGTATTGCTTCAATGTAGTCCTGGTGATGCGAAGCAAGGTCTTGGGTTTTACTGGCACACGAATTTTCGATTAACACCCATTTTTATTCATATTGCTTTTAATTATACCATTTGTTTCGTCTTCAGAAGCATTCCAAAGTTGTAGGGATAAAGATGAGCACTTTGTCATTGAGAAAGAGCTTATTTGAAAAATCTCGCGAAGAATTAACTTCCGAGAAACAGAATTTTGCCAAAAGTGGAGGGGGCATGTGCCTCCAATGTTCCCTAGTTGAGATGCTTCTGCTTGCAATTTTTTTAATCTGCTACTTCATAATCTAATTGCAGCTCTTACAATGGCAAATGAGTTGCTCCATGCTTTTCTTCAACTAACATGTTACAATTTTTCATAGATGATTCAACCTCTGCAGATGTCATCAAGTACTTAATGGCAAATATTTCGTGCTGAAAACCTGAAGTTATAATCGATTACAATTGTACCGACTTGCAATTTTCAAGAGGTTTGTCGGCAATGCTATTTCAAATTTTGTTTCAAGCAAACAAGGAGTTTGCTTTTGACATGTCTCTCATTCCGAAGTTATTGCAGTGTACATGTGAAAGCCGTTTTCAAGAATTCATGATTTCTCTCACTACTTGAATACCCTATTAACTTTCATGAAAATATGCCTTCTAAGCAATTTCTTACAAAGTTTTGTTTATCGCAGAAGTTTTTGTTGACTTTTGTTGTTTTTAATTGTAGTTTTTAAAGTCGAACTTCAATCGCTGTGTAAATTTCTATGCGCTACCCCCCCCCCCCCTCATAAATGTATCTTCCTTAAAGATTTGCAAATTATAATACTGCTATTTTAAAGTGAATTTTCAGGTGTATTTAAAAAAGTTACCAAATGTAATGGCTAATGTTATTGCTATAAACCAAAAAAATTACGTAAGAGTTTTATTTAATGTTTCGTTAGATTTTAAAGACTCAAAAACAATTTTCTATGTATTCAAATGCTTATAGTATCTTAGAGGGTCAAAAAAATAAAGCCTAAAAGCCGAGTTATGCAACGAAACAATATTCAACAAGAATTATAATATGCCTTGATTAAGTCTTGTTAGTATTCCAATGAAGAATTTTCTCAAGAGTAATCCTTTCACGTCGTCATCTTTTTATTTGAATATTCATGTTCAAGTGAATTAATTCAAACTTGTTTGATTTTATTCCTGGCTTAGAGAATATTCAGGCAATAGAAATGTGGGTTCAAGGATTTGCAAAGTACGAGTGTGCTCTTTTCCTGGTGTGTAAACACGGGAATTAATATGAATACCAGCGAATATTCTTCAGATCTTTTAAGAATATTTTTACAGGAAAGAATTACAGAAAGAGTAGCCCTAAGTGGCCAAAGTAGCTTCAGTTCGTCCCAGTTGTTGTTTTAAGGTCTTTGTCACCTCGAAGAAGGATTAACTGTTGCACACATTGCTGTTGTTTTCTCTGTTTAACAACATGAATGTAGTTTCTTCAACATATTATTCTTTAATTATTTTTGCATGTTAAAACTGAAATGATATTCCAAAGACTATAAATACTACTTTATTGACTAGAATATTAAAAGAAGTGGAAACGATTGCTCTTTCAAAAATTCTTCATCGAACACAAGATTAAAGCAAAGAATATTATCATTTATGTTGAATATGCTTTCGTGTAACCTGGCTTTAAGGCCTGCTGCACCTTGAAGAGAATTTTCCGGGCATTAGTAATTCTCATTTGATCTATTGCCGAAAATTTACATAATTGCCATCGTTATGTAATTTTTCTCTTTGGTTGCCCACTAAACACTACGTTTATGATAAGGCTAACTCAACCTACAATGATTGGAAGAAAATAAGAAAAAAACTAACTGGAATCGTATTTTACCATTACGTTGCAGAAAGAGCTGAGAGACGCCATTTTCAATCAGCACAGCAATCTAATCGCATATATAAACTGTTCTCAGTATAGTTCTATTCACTACACCATTATCTCTTTGAAAACAAGTTTAAGCTATACCAAAAATTCGGTATAAAAATTTTGTTCAAAGGAAAGTCCAATTTAGTTGAAATCCGAGATTCAACTTTTCTTCACCCGCAAACGTAGACTCTAGCGATGCTACCTCGAGAAAGCCAGTGAAATATCTTTACAAGAAATTTTTAACGCCCCCAAAACCCGATATTAACCCCCCCCAACCCCCCCCCCCCCCACGACCTGTTGGAGGCGAGCTCAAGACCTCAAATGCATTTGATGGTCCCGTGGCTTGACTTACGAGATATCAGCTTTATTGGTCCCATGGCTTGGCTTGACTTGCGTCTGTTTCAACAGCTTTCCTATTTCCTATAGGATATACTCTCTGAATGTCGGTCCTGTCTACGCTATTTCTTGATGTCCTTAGATAGCTTAATTAAACACTCAGTCATCGAATGTGGCAGTATTATTCTAGAACCACATAAGAGAGTATTGCTTGTCAAGTCTATCGACTTTTACCCTCGGATTGGCTGAAAAGGCTTCATGCCAGTGACATGCAAATAACTCATTGTTACTTTAAGTTTCATGCTAGTGCCAGTGCTCAGGTGAACTGAAAGTATTGTTCTCATGAAAAAGACACGAGACAGGTAGACTTGGAGGATTGTCTTTTTGCGTTGCATCGGTATTAGGGCAATTACAATCTAATATAATTGCTTCTAGCATTGCAGAGTTTACTTTAAGTTCACTATTCTGTCGTTAAACGATGTAGAATCCTCTTTCATTCCTTGTCTAATATTTCATCGTCACTTGATCTGTTCCCTAAAATGTTTTATACGACTATGTTTGACAATAAATATATCTCGTGGCCTTTTAATTGAATTATCTTGGTTACTCTCCCCAATGTAAGGCAAGCCTTACCCATCTAGTCAAGAGTTATTAGGATAAATTAGTGAGAGCGTTTTCCTGTTGTATGTTATAAACATTTTTTTAATTGAATGTTATATATTAGGAAAAAATTTGAACATTCGTCTGGAAAAAATATTAATCTTATTGGGTAAAACGGTAAAGCAATATTTACAATTATTTGAATTTGCATTAATAAACTACTTTAATGTTTTTATGCTTCTATTAAATATCAAAATTTTGTTTTCTGAGTCTAGTTCTTCATGTTTGTTATGCCAACGCGAAACCTTCTTTACTCAAAATTATAGAGGCAAACCATTATTACTTTTATTCATTCATTCATTCATTCATTCATTCATTCATTCATTCATTCATTCATTCATTCATTCATTCATTCATTCATTCATTCATTCATTCATTCATTCATTCATCCAGTCATTCATTCATTCATTCATTCATTCATTCATTCATTCATTCATTCATTCATTCATTCATTCATTCATTTATTTATTTATTTATTTGTTTATTGATTTTTTTATTATTTGAGTTCAAATACACTACCTCCGATTAGAGTAGTAATAAGGGAAAAAGCCCACAGTCACTAACAGAAAAAAATTGTTAACTCAGCAAGAATCTTAATGATATATAAGTGTAGCATGTCTTTCAGTTAACACTTCTTAACATTTTTATTTACAATGTAACCTTAAGCGAATTGAAATATATAAAATTTAGATTGATTAAAATCTCAAGAATAAAAAGCTGCAGTCCTTAAGAATTTTATCATTGCTTTCCTTGCAGAGAGTTGTTTTTTTAACGACCCAATGTCGGTAGCTCACGAATTTCAGCAAATATATCAATCCAAAACTTGTATCTGAGTAATGAAAGCCTTATTTGCAAATTCAATACTTTATCTAGGGATCTGGAGTTCTTTGAAGTGTCTCTTATTGTAAGTCGAGTGAGAATATCTCGGTTGGGGTTTGTCCTTTAGGCTTTTAGGGCATTTTTTTTCATAATCTGATAGGTCATGACCTTCCTATCCTAACGGAAAATATTTTCTTCTTTTAACCAGGAATCGACCAGCTATTTCTTATTCTTGAATTTCATATTATCGAATACGCCCAATATCGAAGATTTTTGAGGGTATCACCCCGAGAGATTTTCCTTATCAACTCTTCATTTAGTTTCAGGTTTAAATTTTTGTTTTAAGCTGATGCCCTGTGATCATCAATTCAGTTTTTTTCGGATTGGGGATGAGTTTATTCATCCTCGTCCATACAGAGAGATTGGAAATTTCTTGATCTTCATCCTTAACTATTTTCACTACATCACCATGTTGGCAGGGATGAAAACAAGTTGCTAATCTTGGAGGGGCTTTGAAAATTGAAAATTGAAAAAGAAGGTTGAAAATTCCAACTTTAAGTGAGAAATTTTTGATGCAACCAGTAAATCTACTGTACCTACCAAATTGATATTTGTAAATAGCCCGAACACCACAGTCATATTTTCTTTATAATTACCAAAACTTTACTCAATAATTAGCCTAAAGCATAAAAGCCTAAATCTCTAAATTTTGATTAACATGAAACAAACATTTAAACTTTGCTGTAAGAAATAAAGCAACATTCAAGCAAAACCAGTCTTAGATATACGTAATGATTAGTAGTATTCTTTCAGATCACTCGATCAATTTTATCTAAATTGATCAATTGACCAATTGATGCAGATCAATTTTATCTAAAATACATTTTTTCACGATAAAGAAGCACCAAGAATTCGAGCCTTTTATTTTTGTTCTTGATCGAAGAAAACTACTAACAATTTTCAGAGGACCAAACGCCTTTTCGTTTTTTACAATTGAAATGATGATTTGAGAGCATATGCCTGATTCGAAAGATATAACACTCTTCTTTGATCAAATACTTCAACTGCAGCTTTTGCAATATGTTTTTGCTTCACAGCAGTTTTGTCATAGGAATTTATGATAAGGAGTCAAGGACGTTAACAAATAACAGGGGGATTTTAGCATAAACTCGTCTTTTATAAGAAACATTAAGAATTTTTAGTACTGAAAGATTCTTAATTTTTTATTGAATTAACTACTCGTAGTTTCTTAAAAAATTCCCACTCTAATATTTTCTGATCAATACGGATATTATTATTCCAAACTGTAAAGTTTCAAGTTTCTTATCTGGAAATTCACCTGGCCTGTTCATAATTTGATTCAACTACCGTCAGAAAGAAAGCAGACGGGGCAATTGTGCAATTTGGATCCAGTGAAGACGGGATTCACAATAGAAAACGATTAGTAGATGGATCAGCTTCAGCTTGTGAATTTTAATGTTTAGAATTTTTACATTTAAAATAAAAAAACTTCTTAAAATTCAATATTCAAGAGTTTGGTCTTAAGAAAAAATTCTAAGTCAACCGTTAAGTTTTCCAACTGTAACTGGATTTCCCAAACTTTGGGGGGGGGGCGTTACGTCCCCCACGCCCCCCTTTTATTAACGTGCCTGCATGTTGGTACGGTCAGCATTAGACTTACTCCATGAGCCTCTGTTTCGCTACGTTCGCATCTGTCGTAGCGTCAGTTAAGTGAGGCAGTAGCGAAACAGAGGCTCATGGAGTGAGTCTAGGTCAACATAAGCGGGGAGACTTTAAGACCCTTGTCTAAGTCGTTCTAGTAAGTGATGAAAAGAAGAGGGCCTAGACAAGAACCTTGGGAACACCACAGGCTACATCTCTGGCTTTTGAATGCTTTCCGTTCAGTGAGCAGAACTGTTTTCTTTTAGATTCAGTTCCAAATAATATTTCTCAACATATAAAAATTCATGAAAATACCAGTTATCTTTGGAAAATTATATATTTCTCAGGTGAATGCCTGTTGAAAGCATCATATCACCATCAATTGCAGTAGGCTCAAGCCATGAGCCGCTGTGGCTTCTCTCATCGTGGCTGTTTAATTACAAGACGCCTAATCTTAGAAAGACAGTCTGTAAGATGTTATGTTTTCTGCTTTTGCTTTGCAGGGATTTACTGAATATTACATAAGAATCTGCTCTCTATTTCAGATAATTGCGCATTTATAGAAACTGTTTGCCGGCCTGTTGTATAGCGATCGGTGATGTTTAGACAAGATAGCTTTTTTGCGAAACCGAGTTTCACGCTTTAGGCGATCATCAGAAGGCACAGTCGTATGTCAATAACATTGCTGAATAGCTTGCAGCTGCAGATGTTGCTGGGCATAGATGCAATTCTTCGCACTGTTGCACTGACTTTTTCTGTTAATTTTCTTGCAAACACAAGTAGCGGAGATGGTTCTTCTTTGCATGGTTGTCACCGTAATTGTAGGAATTACGAAAATAGAGTCAGTTCTTAGATCATTCTCTATGATGAAGACTTTTTGAATGGCAACCATGTCGATTAAAATTATTTTTAAATTTGGGAATCTCTGGGATATTTAGTGTAGGGGTGCTCAGGGAACTTTTTGGGCTTAGAACTTGAGTGAGAATACTTCTTAAGGCAAGATAGTTCCGGAATGTTCTTTTCGGTCCCAAATACACGAGATTATGAAAAGATCGATTTTTGAATGTTTTCAAACTACGCAATTTTTTCAAACTACTCAAGAGTTATGAAATCAAACTACTTGTTTGTAATTACAATCTAGTATATACCTAAAGGACAACTTTGGATTCACGATCAACTCATATCAAACAAAGTATTGACGCCTAATGAATCTGCTTTTTATATCACAAATAAAAACAGCTCAAAATTAACTGCATATAATATGTATGCGTAGCCGGCAGCACTTACATTAATATTAAACTACATATACAGGTAATCTAAATGGCAAGAAAATAAACAACAACTTAACCGGGTGTCTTAGAAGGAACACATCCACATTATTGCTTTTTGAAAACTGTGTTCCATTACAACATCCCTGAAAAATGGTACTGACTATTGGTATGACAATATGGACAAAAAACAGCTAAACTTGGTCATATTTCTGGATTTGAAAAAGGCATTCAATACCATAAATCATACAATACTGATAAAAAGATTAAATGCATTCGGTATGAGGGGAATCTCTGGAGCATGGTCCACATCCTTCTTAAGTAATAGAAAACAATTCTGCTCAGTTAATGGACAATAGTCGGGGCTAGATTGGTAACATGTGGTATACCTCAAGGGTCATGCTTGGGACTACTCCTGTTTATCATCTACCTAAATAACTTTGAAAAGTGCTTAGAATTCTACATTAACATCTAGTAACATTGAAGTTCTACTTACAAATGCCCACAAAGAATTAAGAAACATTTCGGAATGGATGCGGATAAACAAACTAAGCGCAAACAAGAAAAACTGATTATTGGCCATCCACGGAGGAAAAATAAAGTTGAAATCTCAAAACCACTGCACCTTAATGATTCAGAAATGAAGCGAGTCGCGAAGACCAAATCATTAGGGGTTATGGTGGATGAAGGGCTAAACTGGGATGACCAATTCAGCAAAGTGATAGGAAAGATTAATGGCGGTCTAAAGTTGCTAAAAAACTTAAAAATCTTATTTCACAATCTTAGTTTGACCATGTGTACCGTGCACTTGTCGAAATCCATCTGAGATACGCTAATATTATTTGAGGGGGGTTGGGGGGGGGGGGTCTTCCTAAATAGAATTTGAATACACTCCAACGTCTGGAGGACAGAGTACGCTCGATTATTGATAAGGCCAGACTAAAAGACAACTGGTCTAATAACCGGCTGACCGTTGAGCAACTAGGAAAGTTCGATCGATCAGTTATGACATAAAAAATTGTCAGCAGAAAATATCCCGAAAGCCTTTGGGATAAATATCATCACAGGACCCAGCACTCCAACTACAGAACAAGGAATTGCAGGCACCTGCAAATCCCAAGAAATAACCTTGAATTTGTCAAGAAAGGCTTTCACTATTCGGCTCTGAAAGCCTGGAACGATATTCCCATCAATATCAGAGTGCTCCCTACACTTGGTAAATTAAAAAAGCAATTGAAAAGTTATTATACGAGCTGAACACAACATAAAACACGACTCCCTGGAAGAGCAGCTGCTTAAAGATAGATTACTATGCATAACTAAGCTTTAACTGTATATGGATTATATTAATATAGCTATGGAATTCATTTTCTTATTTAGTATTTAGTTGTAAGCTGAAGGGATTTTGTGTATAAAAAGTTGCAAATGAAATGAAAAAGAGTATAAAATGTCAAGAC